GCCCGTGCGGCCGTATCATGGCCCAGCAGTCTGACATGTTCTGCCGGAGACGACGCTCCCTTTTTCGCTGCAGACGCGTGTGGCAGGCAATCACGGAGATCAAGAGAGAGGATCAAGGATATGCGGTGGGCCGGCGATCAAATCGATCAAATCGCATCACAGGCGTGCTTTCGGCTGCGGCTCCGAACATGGAGCGGCACGACGTGCGAGATGCACCGGGCGCTGCTGATCGGATTGGCAGGGAAGTGAAAGGTGTCTGTCGCATGTCCCATGCCAATACGATCAACACCACGATTGCATATTGCATTTGCTGGCGCCGTGGTTCCCGACTTGCGTGTATCCCCTCCCCTCTTGCGATGCTGGCCCTCATCAACACCACGCCCGAGTCTCTCACGCTACCAGACACATCTGCTCCGTCTTGTATAACAGTGTCATGGTTTCACTCCAGGCTCCCCACTCGTCCCGCCGCTACTTCGGCCGACACGAACACCCGTAGCAAAAATGCCCAAACTCGTCCCGCTCTCGGACGCTGTCAAACGTGTCGAGTCTCCAGCCCACCCTTGAAGAAACCCCGGCGCCAAGACATGGATGTCTTGATTCCGGATGCAACTGCATGCCATTGTGCATAGTGTATTAGTGTGCCCTTCCTTGATTGATTAAGCAGTCATTCGTCTCTAGCCAATAACCTACGCAACTAACTCATCTTGCTGGTCTTCCCGCTCCCGTCCCATGACTCGCGGGCCTTCTTTTTGAAGTTGCTGTTCATAGACTGACCGGATTGTCCGTCTAGCAGCGCCTTTTCTTTGTATTTCCAAAAGGCTGGGTCAAGAGTAGAGCAGGGCCAAAATGCACATGTTGAATCTGGGCGGCCCAACGCTTTAGGGCAGGAACACATGAATATCCGTCTCCCCCTCTCCACAGTTTTAATGTTGGATTTATTATAATCATAATCACTTACATCTGCAAGCATTCTAGAAGACATGCGTACCATAGAATAACCAAATCGTCCCCATCTCGCCCATTTCGCCTCCTACTCCAGTTCAACCACCACCACCATCACCACCACGGAGCTCCCTCCAAAGCCAGCACCATGTCTGAAGACGCACACATGAAACGCCGGCGGGAGGCAAAAGCCTAAGGAGAAGTTTACTCAAAACCCCGCGGTTACATGTACGCCATTCATTACCTGATATAGACAAACTTCAACGTCGTCAGCCTCATCAGACCGCAGCCCGGTGGAATCGCTGCAACGCCTGGCCAACGGGGCTGTGCAAGCCCGTCTCATTCCCTCCATTGTGAAGAAACGTTGAAAATAGACCCTTCTCGTTGGCCAGGAGCTTTCTTTCCCGAGGGGAATCCATGCACCTGCTCATGTCATCGCCGCGTTGCGTGTGCTGTATCGCCGTCATGCTGTCCTCCACGACGACGACATCCAAGCCCCCCTAAGTATATGCCGAAACTCACTGCAGAGCAGAGATTTCTGCACGAGCTGGCGTCAGATGTCAGGTTTTGACGTCCTCCCCGTGTCTACTTGTATGTTATTCCTACATCACCAGCCGGGATCACTCGTAAATGTGCCCAGGCTCCGAATAGCCCAAGCCATTCTTGCCACACAGAGCGTCTTCTTCCTCTCTCAAGTCTTTTGATAGTAATTACAACGGGCCATAACTGGGGATTGTGGTCCCGGTAAGAACACTGGGCCATGTCAGGGGTGACATGTTTATCGAGTTTGTCGCCAAGATGGGGTGGTTCGGCCGGAACGCCTTTGCTGGCTCCAACAGCAGCCAGCACGCCTCCGAGAGAGGCGAGAAATCACATAATTTGGCGGCTACAGAAGGACCACCACCCCAGACTGCCATGCAGGCTGTGGACAAGGCTATTTTGTGTACATTCTGATATACATGATACTTGTGCCGTCCCCCCCGGGTCAGATATATCATGGACATGCGTATCGTACAAGTGATATCTAGACTCAACGGCAGTGACTGTATCCTTTTCCCTTGAACCATTTCATGCCACCGATTGCCTTCCCTTTGCTAGCCAAATACATTTCGTTTCTACACAAAGCGGCAAAAGACTACAACCCAGAAATGATGTCTCAGCAGAATCGTCAGCAGCAAACCCACATTCACATCCCTTACATTCTGGTCGCCACGCCCGCTGCGCACTTCCCAAGATCACCCCAGAAGCCGGGGATTCAGAATAGCCAACTCCCTGATGTGCTCGTCCCAAATCTCCAGAGGATCCCTCTGCGCCACAACGCCGCCCTTCTTCACGCCATACAGGTACGGCTTCTCGTCCGCGTAGCACGCCGTCTCCTGGTCCTCGGGCAGGGTGCCCTCCAGAATGTACGCCTTGGCAATCTCGTCGGTGCAGGCAGACGTATCCCTGGAGGAGTGCCCGTAGCCATGGTGCGCAATCAGCCTCGCGTTCCTGCCCATTTCGCTCAAAAGACGCCTCCCGTTGCGCAGGGGCGTGGCGGGATCGTACGTCTCGGCGATGAGGAGGACCGGGTTGCTCAGGCTGCTGTTCAGGTCGCCGCGGTAGACCTCGGCCGGCTCGGGCCAGTAGTCGGTGAAGTGCCTGCAGGGGAAGACGTTTTGGAACCGGGAGTTGCCCGCGATCCACGACCTGGCCGTCATGTTGGCCCACAGGGACTCGTACCAGGCCAGCCCGTCCTCGGGCTCCGGCGCGTCGTACTGGTCGGCGCAGATGACCAGGGTGCCGAGCTCTTCGGACCGCGGCCGCCTGCCGGGCGGAGGCGGCTTCGTGGGGTCGTACCCCCAGACGCTGCGCTCCAGCATGGCCGCCGCGAGGGTCGTGTTGCCCGCCTCCAGCTCGTGGAGCATCTGCGCCAGCGCCGGCCACCCCCTGGCGTTGTACATGGCCCCGTAGAGCAGCCCGACGAGGCTCGAGTATGTGACCAGCGAGGGTCCCGAGGACGCCGTGTACGAGGCGAGCGGGCGTTGGATCAGCGACCGGATCAGGCTGTCCATTCGCTTCTGGAGATGGTCCAGCGTGACGGCATTTCCGTCGACGGGCTTGGCCAGGGCGCAGTGGTCGGGGCCGGCATGGACACATTCTCCCAGGAGCCCGTCGTGGAAGGCGTTGGTCCCGTTGTCCAAGGCGGTCCATCCAAAGCCACCCAGGACGCGGTGGTCGCGCACGTATTCCGTCCCGTCGAGGATCATGCGGCCCACGCTGCTGGGGAACATGTTGGCGTACGTCTGTCCAATGCCGGTCCCGTAGCTCACCAAGTACCCGGTGAGCGCATCCTCGCCGAGGGCTAGGCGGATCTGTTCCAGGTCGCGCGCGACAAAGGCTGTTGACACGAAGCGCGGGATATCTCCGTGAATCTGCTTACAGGCGCGCAAGATGGAATCGCTCATGGCGTCGAAGAATTCAAGCTGAGCACGAGGCGAAGGCGACGTCTCGCGGTACTGGGACATGCGGACTGCCCAGTGGTCCCTGTCGACATCGTAGGGAAAGCAGGAGATGGCTGGCAGAGAGGCGTTGACTCCGCGAGGGTCCCATCCCAGGACGTCGTACTTGCCGCCGCTCAATCGCTTGGAGATGTCCTCTGAAGCTCGCCATGCCATGGAAGTGCCGCTGCCTCCGGGACCGCCTGGTTCAATGACAATGGTGCGTTCGCTCTTGGTGCCGGCACCGTGGCGGGGTTTGCCGTCATGGTGCTTGTGTCCGCGATGAGAAAGCCCCGATACCTGGTACTTGGTCACGGCGAGACGAGAAATCCGCGAGTCTGACTTGTTGGTGTAGTCCAGGGGGACGTCGATGTATCCACAGAGGTAGATGCCGCGACCAGCATACGGGTCGTGATGAGGTGGTCTGGGGTGTCTAGGCTTTCCAGGTCTGCCAGGTCTTCCCGGTTCGTCAGGCTCACCGGGTTCGCGTTCGCCAGGCTTGCCGGGATGGTGAGGGTTGTGATGCCAATGAGGCCTGTGAGGCTCCTCAATATCATTTTCGTGGCCCTCTGTGGCATTTCCCCAGCTCCAGTGTGCTGGGTTGGGGTCAAACCTCTTGGCCCAGGTGCGTTCGGGATGAGGGTCATCCAGGGCTGGCAGGACAGAGTCCTTGGTACATGGAATGAAGTGGAATGGGTCGTGCTTCTCAGGGAACCGGCCAAATGGTGAATGGCGTGGCTGACGATGACACGGGTGAGGCCATCTCCAGTGCGGCAAGTGTGGCCTAAACAGAAGGGACAAGACGGCGACGGCGGCAAAGATTCTGAGAAGACGTCTCCATGGACGCCTTGCTGGGCGGGGAGGAGCCGCGTCTATCTCGTCGTCTGCCTTGCCTCGTTCATTCAGCTCAGGCTCGAGCAGAGGAGCCTTCTCAAGAGGAGCGTTGCCCATGGTCGATGCTGGGCTCTCGTGGGTTGGGGAGTTGGGAAGAGGACATGCTTGCCGCGAGGTTGACAGCGAGACGAGTTGGTCCCGGAGCTCTCCAACGAGTCTGACGAGATTACGCACACATATGCGCCATCAGAGGCGATGGAACGCCATGGGCAAGGGTCGAGATGGCCCCAACTGGGCTTAGCATCACCGCGTAACAAAGCAAAGGGAACGAGGCGTGGCCCCTGGTGGGAAGCCGAAAGTCTGTGAGTCGCCGGCAAAAGTGGAGACTGGAGGAGATTGGATCCGGTACCCGTGTTTGCCGTGCTGCGGCATCGCGTGCCTTCCTAATTTGGATGGAGTCTTCGATTATTGACCCTTTGCGCGCCAGAATGATGACCTTGGGCGAGTCAAAAGGCAAGAAATGCATGTACTTTTCCGGCATTGTAGAGCATTGGTTGGCCAAGGGTCGCAGTCTGCTTCAGGCGATCCAGATTTCCGCAACCGGGATACAACCCAAGAAGTGCGGGGCTGGTTGAGCTGGCTGACGATGTGGGAGTTGATATAATGTTCCGTCTAAGCCGCCAGGCCATCCATCGGCATGCATCGAGTTTCCATCTTGCTCACCATCGCTTGAGCCTCCTCATCATGACCCTGAAGCAAGTCGCACATTACGGAACATGGGTGTCGCCCATTGGCGTCGAAGCCACCATTTACAAGAATAGAGCATTGACATCTCCGCGGGTCAATGTAAACGCTCCCCTTTCACGCCGCCCCTGTCCTATATGCCGTCCCAACACTAACCCATTCCACTATTAGAGGCAATCTGGCCGGTCTTTCTTTGTCGAAAGCACCCCAGAAGGCAGGCAGACCATCGTTGCGATTACGGAAGATGGCCTGAGAGACGTCTTACCTCGTGAATATACTGTGCAGAACCGAGTGTACGAGTACGGCGGCTCTTTGTATGATGTTCTTCCCGACGATCGCCTCATTTTCTCCCATGAGGACGACACAGTTCGTTTGCTTTCACCCGATACCGGCCTGGTCCAATTGGTGGTGCAGAGCGACACCCTGCGGTACTCTAGCTTTTGTGCGCGCCATCCGTCGCCCTGGGTGCTAGCCATTGAAGAGGACCACACATTCACAGACCCATACAAGGTCCAAAACTACATTGTCGCCATCAATGTTGAGACCTCTGCTGTTCAGAGGGTTGTGAGCGGCGCCGACTTCTATTACCTGCCCCAGTTCAGCCCCGACGGCGCACGCGTAAGCTGGGTGGAATGGGATCACCCCAATCTCCCCTTCGCCGCAGGAAAGCTGTACGTCGGCGACTGGACGGCCCAAGGGTCCATTCAAAACGCTCGTCTCATCGCTGGCCAGAACCACGAAAGCGTTGCTGAGCCTCGGTGGGGGCCCGATGGCTCTCTCTTCTACGGCAAAGAGACGGGATCGCATCGCAAGTTGTACCGCATCCCGCCTGGTGGCAGGCCTGAAGAGCTGATTCAACTTGCGGGTTTGGATGATGCCGAGTTTGCCCAAGCAGGGTTGATGGAAGGGAGGTGAGAAGCTTTGTGCGCCCCCCAGCTCGCGAGCCCCTGGAAACTGACATGGGAACCAACCAGCCGAACATTTGTTCCACTTACAGCGGATCTCTTGGTCGCCACAGCGTATATCAACGGCACAAGTCGTCTCATTGCCATCGACATGACAACGGGTTCCTGGAAGCCGCTGGCGGATGAGAACGAGCTGTCCGATATCTCGGGCGATGCAGTTGCTAGACTTGGCCATGATTCCGTCTTGGCCATTGGCAGCGGAACTGCCTCACACAAATCCGTGTACAAAGTCGACGTGGCAAATCCCAAAAACAGCAAAGTCCTTCGGACGGCCTTTGATGAAGAAATTCCAGAGGCAACCTATGCCCGGCCGGAAGCTCTCCGTGTGCGTTCCAACGGACCGCCGTCTAGGGACATCTTTGGCTTCTTGTGGATGCCCCGGAATCCGCATTACACAGCGCCCGTGGGAGAACTCCCGCCGCTGATCATTCACACTCATGGCGGCCCGACAGGACGTATGGGCAGCGGGCTGAACCTTCGAACGCAATACTTCACGTCTCGCGGATATGCCTTTCTGGCGCTCAACTACACCGGATCCATGGGGTATGGCCAGCAGTATCGCGAGTCCCTATTCGGCAACTGGGGCATCGTGGACGCGGCAGATGTGGTTGAATTTGCCGACTATATGGCTGCCTCTGGACGCGTCGACAGCGGTGCGATAGGCATCACCGGTTCAAGCGCAGGAGGCTACAACACACTGCAGTCGCTGTCACGATACCCGGGCAGATTTGCCGGCGGCGTCTGTGTCAGCGGTATTTCAGATCTGTCGAGTTTTGACGCCGCGACTCACAAGCTCGAATCGGACTATACGGCGGCATTGGTCCTGCATCCCGGTGTAGATGAGGAGGAGAAGCGCAGGATCTTCCGCGAGCGCAGCGCCATGTACCACACTGACGGCTTGACATCTCCCCTTCTCTTGTTACACGGCCAAGCCGACACCGTGGTGCCTGTTCAACAGGCCAGAATCATTGCCGAAGCCCTCAAGAAGCTGCACCGCGATGTGGAAATCTTTGAAGTCGAACACGAGGGGCACATGTTTTCGAAGCCGTCCAGTGCGAAGCTGTCGCTTTTGCAGGAGGAGAGGTGGTGGAAGAAGACGCTGCTCCGGAAGACTTGACAGACGAATGTCGACGGTCTAATCAGCCCTTTCACAGGATGCATGCCGCCCTTCCTGAGCAAGACGCAAACCAAACGGCTCGTGGCATCGCTCCCCTCCTGCATGGAACCAGGACCCAACCGCCGACGATCGGACCGTTGATGTTGGTGCTCACGATATCGGACAGACACTGCGGCCAGCTGCAACCAGCTGCGAAGACGTGTCAGGTGTCACGAGGTCATGTGTTGGGCATCCTCGTCCCGTCCCAACATTCATTACGCTTTTGTCTTCTTTCTGATCCCTTCCCACTGCTCTAGGTAGTCAGTGTACGCTCCTCGATTCTCATCTTTTAAAATTTCCATACCACCACCCACAACGAACAAAGTCTAAAAGGGTAGGTTCTGCTCCTGAACTCGACGCTGCAACGACCACAACAGTTCCTGATTCCCCTTCAGATGACACAAGCCAAGCCTCGAGCGCGGGCGTTGGCCGGTGCCGTTTTGGCTGCGAGTAGCTATTTGGACACGCTGTGCACCAGGGTAAGTCGGCAGAGTGCGTACATGTCGACCACATTTCATTTAGCTAACGACTGGTGATTTTTCATCAGTGCTACAAACCAGGCCACATTGCCAGGAACTGCCGCCGTATGAGGAAGAAGCGAAAGGCCCGGCGCGGGGGCTTCAAAGACCTTGACGGAGCTTTGTCGTTCATCATCGAACAAGGTGAGAAGAGACGGTTAGCGAGGGAGAAGGGAGGCGAGGATGCTTCCGGGACTACGGTGTCCGGCAACACGGGCACTTCGGCAGGTATGGGTGGCATGTTTGGCGGCTTTGGAGCCGCAGAGACTTGTCAGACTCCGGGCTTTGGCGTTTTGAGCGTCAGAGTCAACGAGGGCGGTAAATCTGCTCCGGGTATCTTCGACGCCGCAGGTCCTTGCAAGTTTTCGGGTTTCGGTGCTCCCGCCGTTCAAGGCAATAATGGCGGTAAACCTTTTTCGGATATCTTCAAGGCCACGGGGACTCCTCAAACGTCCATTTTTGATGTTTTTTCAACTCCTGCAGCCATTAGGGGCAACAACAATTCTGCGGACATCTTCAAAGCCAGTGATGCTTCTCAAACATCCATTTTTAACGTATTTTCAACTCCTGCGGTCAACAAGGGCAATAACAATGCTGCAGATATTTTCAAAAGCAGAGGTACTCCTCAAACATCCGTTTTTGACTTTTTTTCAGACCCTGCCATCAACGAGGGCAACAACAAGACTACGGACATTTTCAAAGCTAGAGGTACTTCTCAAACATCCGTTTTTAACGTTTTTTCAACCCCTTCGGTCAATGAGCGCGGCAAAAATGCTGCGAATGTCTTCAAAACCACCGCCACTCCTCAAAAGTCTGTTTTTGGTATTTAGACTATTAGTCCATAAGGGGCGGCAAACATGCTCTGCATTCGGGAGAGGGGACGAAAGACGGTTCAGTGCTGCAAATAGTGCAGAACGATGAAATTGCCTGTATGTCGTAAAGATTGATCATTACTCACATCCAAGTATTCTATAGCGTTTAAATATACATTACAGGATAGTTATCTCATACACCACAAGATGGCCCCCAAGTCTCCCGAGACAATTCTACCTGCAAAGCGCCAAGCATAGTGATTCAGTAAATAGATGAAATGCCCAAGGCGGTCCAGCGAATCTGCCACAGGCAGAACGACGCCCACGCAACCCCAAAAGACACCCGCTTTGAGACAGCACGCCATGATACCCAGTCGCTTGCCGAGCTTTGGAAATCCGTCTTGCCACAGACTGTGTGACGCCAACAAAACGCCCCTCAACTCTCCTCATCCTCAGTCGGCCAGAAGAACCACAAGACCACCATGATGGACTTGATACCCGCCGCCGCCCACAGCGCGCCCTGGATGCCAAACGAACTATGCGAGAACAACCCCCCGGCCACGGCGCCAACCAGCAGCAGAGCCGGGGCAGCGGCCCTCCGATTCCTCTCCACGTTGCGGACCTTGAACAGGTCCTGGTCGGAGAACAAGTCGCAGTAGATGCTCGTCAGCACCACGCTCGTCAGGGCATTGTACCTGAGCGCGCGGCTCGTCACGGCCTGCCCGCAAGACTGAAAGGCGACCAGCGCGAGCGGCACCAGGACGGTCCAGCCGACGGCGCGCTCGTCCCCGGGCGCCGGCCAGACGGTCACGACGACGGCAGCCGCGACGATGAGCAGCGCCTGCGCGGCAAACGATGCGCAGAGCACCCACCGCCTCTTGGGGGAGAAGTAGCGGTGGAAGCGCGCGAAGAAGAAGGACCCGACGCAGAAGGAGAGCAGGGAAACGCCCGACTTGTACAGGCGTGCGGATACCGGGGGGTTGAAGACGGTCGCGATGCCCAGCCCGACAAAGACGGTGTTGCCTACGGTTGTCAGTCTTCTCCTTTGGCTGCTCTGTGTATGTATAAACGAAGCCATGTAGGCTCGTGGATGCGGATTATAAGAGGGCATCACGTACCGGTCTGCATGGAAACAAAGGCACCCCAGACCTGCGTCGACGCACTATCCAGCAAGCCCGTCACGACGTAGCACAGCAACAGGACCAGGTCGGCCCAGGAACGGGACACCTCGGCCGTCATTTGCTTGCGGCATTTTGACAAAAGAGAAGGCGGCGATGGTTTGCGGCCGAGAAGGGGCTGTTCTTCGTCGGCGATGACGCCGTTGCCGTTGCCGTTCATGATGGGAGCTTGGGTGCTGGAGAGTCGAGACACTACAGACGGATGGGAGGTGCTCGGTGTCGTGATGCTGTTTACCTCGGGGCTTGAGCGATGTGTGCGGCGTGGCATCAATTGATAATACGAGGACTTGGGAGGCTTTTGTCCTAGACGGTTTGTTTCACTGCCGCGTTGGCTTCATGTGCCTGCGGGCGCCAACACGGTCAACAAAACAACCCCCAATGAGCAGCGGAGGTTGAATGCCAGGGCAGCAACGGCAATTGACTTTGCTCACGTCTGGTGCTCATACTAATAGGCACCACCTGGGTCTATGTACGTGCATGGGACTCGGGAGCAAGCAAGTGGAGGGCCGAGATGGAGCAAGAGCAAGAGGAGGCGGTGGGACTGGCACCTGCCCTGGTGGATGGATCATGGACCACTCGATCGGATCGGGGAGCTCCGGTCGTCGGCTCCAATTTGCAGTCGACAGCTCTGGTTCCCACGCCCTCGGTACAATTGGTATTGATAGCTTGCTGATGATTCTTCCCACGTCTGCCCAAGCGTGGATTGCGACATCAGGGATCCAGGGAGCGCAACGTGAAGCCGGCCCTCGGTCGCGGCACGCCCTCTGCATCATGAGGCTGCCTGGTCTTTTTTCGGAGGGCCAGGCAAGAAAGCACCTCGTGCAGTCTCGCCGTCCGTTGAAAACCAAAACCAAAGCTGATTGATTGCCCTTTGACTCAAGCCCAGCCGTGTCATGCTACGTCCATGGTGGCATCAACAGCCGCCTTAACCGACATCTGGACCCCATGCATGCTGGGGCCGGCTCACCGCGCCGCTGGTACGCAGCTCAGTTCAGTTCTCGGCTGCGTCAAACATGATTGATGTCTTTCCTTCAGGTTCCCACCAGGTAGTATTTGGCCGCAGCTGTTCCTGCAGTCGAGGGATGCGCCCGGCGCGGAAAAGTAGACGCCGCGGCACCGTCGGCCTGCAAAACAATCCCCAGGCGGCACCGGCGTCACAGCTTGAAGCTTTGCCTGCGACCCCGGTCGTGGTCAGCAAGCCTCCTGCTTCGCGGCCCCTACAAAGCATGGGGGGGGAGGGCATTCCAAGGTTCAAGGTCCATTTGAAGCAAATCGGTTGGGGCCGCCATTTGCCCGCTTTGGCTAAACTGCGTAAAACAAGCCATCCGTGGGAAAACGTCATGGGTCAAGGGATGGCATGGCAAGGCAGCATGGCATGGGAATGGCTAGGACTGGACCGAGACACGTCTGGAGCTTCGCATGTCGCCATCCTGCGTAGCTCTGGTAGCTTGGGTGGCGCTTTTATAAGGCGCTTTTCTCCTGCTGCGCAACCGTGCTGTTTTCTCCCTCTCCCATGGATTGTTTCCACCGACTGCGTTTGTGTGGTTTGCATTGACAGCTTGACAAGCTCCCGAGTCCCGATCAGACATCTTGTAATACCACAAGCGGGTGTACATCAACACGCCGTTACTACCACCACCACCACCACCACCACCGCACACCTGGTCCGCACCATTGCTGTCCACTCTGGCCCAAGATGAAGCTCACCTCGGCTCATTTGCTGCTCACGGGAGCCGTTGAGCTCTGCGGCGCCCTCCCTCACTACGACAGCCCCCAGCAGCGGCTCGCCAAGGGCCTCTCGCTGACGGGCAAATACGCCAAAGACAATCCTTACACTCCGGACTACAGCGATCCTCACGACCATGCCATTGACGCCGTTGGCAAAGGCCTCGATCCCCGGCCGTGGCGCAACGGCAACGGCGCTACCGTCCTCGGCCCATACAACCGCGACCGGTCGCGCCAGAGCCCCGACATGATCCGGCCGCCAAGTACAGACCATGGCAACATTCCGAACATGCGATGGAGCTACACGGATTCCCATGTGCGGATTGAGGTGCGTTTCCATTCATCCCATCATCATCATCACCCCCCTTCTCTTGTACTAATCCGGTGTGGGCGGTAGGAGGGCGGATGGACAAGGCAAACCACGGTTCGTGAGCTTCCCACCAGCATCGAGCTTGCCGGCGTCAACATGCGCCTGGACACCGGCGTCATCCGCGAGCTGCACTGGCACAAGGAAGCCGAGTGGGCGTACGTGCTCGAGGGCGAGGTCCGCGTCACGGCCCTAGACTACGAGGGCGGCAACTTCATGGAAGACCTGAAGAAGGGCGACCTGTGGTACTTTCCCAGCGGCGTGCCTCATTCTCTGCAGGGCCTGGGTGAGAACGGCACCGAGTTTCTGCTCATCTTTGACGACGGCCGCTTCTCTGAGGAATCTACCTTTATCCTGACCGACTGGCTAGGTAAGCCCGCCCATCTACTATTGCCCGAACGGTCTGGAAGCTCAACAAGGCCCTGTACGGTCTGCAGCAATCACCAAGAATTTGGGACGAAACCCTCACGAAGTTCCTACTGGGCCTTGAGAAACACGCTATGTCCTGGGTGGACTGCGTAAAGCCTAGGCCCAGTAGGAACTTTGTGAGGAAAAAAAAAAAAAAAACAGCCAAGTCGACTAACACAAGCCCCCCATCCAGCACACACGCCCAAGTCCGTCATTGCCAAAAACTTCAGGCTCGACCCCCAAGTGTTTGCCCACCTCCCCGCCGGCGAAAAGTACATCTTCCAGGGCTCGCAGCCCGGCGCCATTGACCAGGAGCGCCCGTCGGGCAAGCACGTCAAGAAGTCGCGGTACCAGTTCACGCACCGGATGCTGGACCAGGAGCCCAAGCAGACGTCGGGCGGGCTCGTCCGCATCACCGACTCGACCAACTTCCCCATCGCGCAGACGGTGGCGGCGGCGCACGTCATCATCGAGCCCGGGGCGCTGCGCGAGATGCACTGGCACCCGACGGCCGACGAGTGGTCCTTCTTCATCCGCGGCCGCGCGCGCGTGACCGTCTTCGCGGCCGAGGGCAACGCGCGCACCTTTGACTACGTCCCCGGCGACGTGGGCATCGTGCCCAAGAACATGGGCCACTTTGTCGAGAACATTGGCGACGAGCCCGTCGAGATGCTCGAGGTCTTTCGCGCCGACAAGTTTAGAGACTTTTCCCTGTTCCAGTGGATGGGCGAGACGCCGCGGCGCATGGTGGTCGACCACTTGTTTGCCGGCGACGAGGACAACGGCCGCAAGTTTTGGGACGCGGTTAGGGACGCGGAGAAGGACGAGGTCAAGCAGCCGGGGGATGTGGATGACGACGCCGCGGAGGAGTAGGAGCTTTGGGACTGGCGTGGTCGAGAGATGGGGAGTCTACGTTTGATGATGCCCTGTTTGCAGAGACGGAAAGACGGGAGATGGTCGCGTTGACAAGCACGCTGCATGCCTACCTACACTTGTACATACTTGACGCCGCAGAGTAGCCAATTTTCATGAGCTCCATTGTCAACGATAGAACGGCACGTCTTGCGCGTCTGCTTGCCAGTTTGCACGGTGCATCACGAGTCCACGACCGACTCGGAACATGGAGGTCTGAATAACCGGCGACGTCCGCTTTCGACGGGAGCAGCCCGGCGTCATGAAGTGGATCCGCCGGCGCCCAAATCAAGTCCCGCCCGGCGCTCGTCCGCCCGAAACGACAAAGAGACGCCAACACGAGCGACGGAGTTGAGTCGGCATGTTGGGGGACGTAAAAGGCTCTTTCCCTGGTGGTCATTCGCTCAGCACACCACATCCAACATTGAAGTCATGCATTTGTCTCGGGGCCAACGTTTGTTTCAAGGTGCAAGGCAGTCAGTTTCTTTCACCGCCGATCCTACCGCGACGATCGAGACACGCAAGTCGCAGGGAGGGGCATGTGAAGCAATCGCCAGCATGCCGGCTAAATATAGCCAGCACCGGTCAGTGTGTACACGCTGGCATGGGCATGGGCATTGTTGCTGATGCACGTCACAAAACGAAACCTGATAGCCTCGGCACGTCATTTTTTCTTGGCCGGGCGGCAAGTGCGAACGCGTCGACAGGAATTGATGACTTGGCACCCACACACGACGCAGTCGTCATCGAAACGGCGTGGGCTCAGAGTTCGGACGTAAATCGGCATCGTCGAGCTCCCCCCACGCATGAGCATGAATTCTGGGGAAGAAGTCTGTTTGGCATTCATGCAAGCGACGAGCCAACCACCAACCACCAACGACGGACCCTCGTGTCAAAGGCATCACTGGAGGGTCCAAGGAACTGAGTTGGGGGGGGGGGGGGGGGGTCAGAAATCGATGAGGCATTGACTGGAAACGCCAGCGGCATGCCATGCTGCTCAGCACCGCCTCGCCGTATCCCTTGACTAGAGTTGCATTGTCGCCGGCAAGAGCCTCAAAGCTGCTTGATGCAGCGACATTGCCCATCTCCCGACGCAAGACACGGCAAACGGGTGGTAGCGAGCAGACGCCCAGGTAGCCATGCCGCGGTCGGTGCAACGCGGGTCTGGCGTCCCGATGCGTCTATTCGCAATTGTACAACCCCCCCGAGAATTACGGCAGTCCCCTTGCCTCGCCTCAATCCTTGGGGCAGCTAAAGAGATTTCAGCTCGAGAAGAGAGTGGAGAGCGTTCAATGTCCCCCCCGCTCGAGAACCCTCCCCGGCTATTATACAGGGCCTGCCGCTGGCCAAGGTCGCCCTTCGATCGTCGGCTCCGTCGATTGGCTTTATTTTAGAGGCCGGTCCATCGCTGGGGGCCGGGGGTGCGTTTATTGAGTGGTCGAGGCCGCCACATGGGAAATCCAGATTCCCTTTCTGATATGTGACCGAGTACGGACGTGAGACGCCGTGGCCCAATGGGCGGTCTGTATAAGGCAGAGCACCACCCAAGTCTCACTCACCAAGGTACATATGTATGTATATGCAATGGCACCCTGCAGGAAAGGTGTCTGGTGTTATTTCCAGACATGGCAAGTCCCTGCTCTCGGCGTGCTCTGGCCAGGCGCCTCTGTGGGGGTTTTGCCACGACGCCGCCCCCCGTCATCGACATGGGAACTGGATCGATTGGACGCTTGCTTCAGATGATGATGGGAGGGGCCGCGAGTCCCTGCCGCGTTCCATCGATCGGCCAGGGAGGCGACGGTCCAACGTCGAGCCAGATCGGGGGGTGGAAGCCGCCTCTATTCAGAGAAACGAAAAGAGCATCGACACACGCAGACACGCCCCAGCTCCAACGACGGACCACGTCTTGTTCGCTTTGTGAGCCAACAGAATGCCCGGACCGGACGCTCCGTCTGCGGCGGCTGCGACACGCAGCGTTGCAACTCGACAGGACGACGTCTCCCCAGCCATTGACACGTCAAAGTTTCCGTTGCATCCAGTCGCATAGAACGGCAATGCGCTCGTCACTTATCATAGCGTTGCATTGCTGTGACCGACTCTCTGGCTCCAAAACGGCCCCATGGCTCCTGGGCCTGCATCCTCGGATGGGACGGCACCTCTGCGCTGCTTGCCAATGCCAACTTGGGACATCAGACATGACATCACCTGCTCATATATGCTTCGTTTTTCTGTCAGCCGCGAGAACAAACCCGTGTAAATCGCGCCCGGCTTTGGTGGTTTGTGAAGTGAGTTTGACCATCAACCCGGCGACCGACTTGTACGCCGTCTGGTCGGCATCAATAGGCAAACCAAGGAACCACTCGTGGCTTGCCCTTTTGCTCCCATGTTGCCGCAGAAATACGCTACAGGGCAGTCCTATCGAGGGGAAGCCAGCCACACTTGAAATCACCGGCCTCGGCTGGCGGCAGTATTGGACATTTCCGTGCCGGATCGCAGCTGCGAGGCAGAGCAAATCGCCTGCTCACCCGCGGCCCATTCCTTTCGAGTAGCGCCCAAAGAAACCTGACCTTGGACTCTAGTAGTGTATTCCATGGCCCTGTGCGCATTTTGCCACCAACCTCTGGTTTCCAGCTCCGCCGTGTGTGTTGACGCCAGGTGTCTGTCGCTTCTATAGCAACTTCATCCGCCCCAAACGCCCTTCTTCCCCGTTGACAAGTCGCTGGCAGAAACCCACGTGATGGGGCCAAAGAAGAGACGACAATCCCCGGATCGCAGGTACCGAGATGGGCGAGTCCAGATCGACTCCCGTCTCTCGGCATCGCTATCCGGCCAGCTTTGCACAGAAACAGCAGCCTACCTGCCGCTGCGGATCCCAGTGAAACAAGACACAGCATGGGAAACAAACTCGCACAAGCAGTAACTACTCCCCATCGCCCTGCCACGCCACACATTTCCAAAGTAGTTGCCAGACCGCGACTGTCGTCCTCCCTGGGTGGACGCGGCGCCGTCTCCAGGGCTGGCCGGTGGTCATGGACTCATGGGGAGCCGGATATACACCTCCCGCCCAACGACCAAGGAGGCTGCGTCGATCGCATTTGTCTTTTGCGTGCGTGTGTGTTATTTTTTGCCCTCTCGTCACACCCATCTAGGTGCTGCGGCGTCGCATCTGACACGATGTTAGGTATAAGGCTGCACACCACGGTCTGTGCAAAACGACTCGCTGGCCACGCCGGCCGGCTAAAGCGCAGCCAAGCTCCCGGCGCTATGAGTCTCCAATGTAGATGGGAAGAGTTGGCCGGCCGTTTTCCATTCGTTCCTGAGTGGCTTCCCCTCTCCCGGGCACCGTAGACGGCCGTTTGCCTTGGGTCCGAGTGGGCGGCGCAGAGCCCAGGACGCACTTATATATCAACCACATGGTCCGCGGAGCATGCCGTTGCTTCTAGAACCGCACTCCTTTTTATTTACAAGCAAGCGTTTACTTTGAATAACTCGCAAAGATTCGACCTTGACGGGTCTGTAGCTGCGGGAAACTGTGAACCGCCTCCGACTTGCCGAGCATCCCTCCCCCTTGCGCAGCCATCACCTGCTCTCCGTCATGAAGAACTTGTCCCAGATCAAGGACGGCGTGGCCGCGTCTTTCCGGACGGACCCGACCATCAATCGCGTCAGGGGCTGGGCTGGCCCGGCGTCGAGGAGGCTCCCGTCCGCGACGGCAGAGTATCTCGCCGAGAAGCTCCCCGTCGCGCAGTGGCTGCCTCACTACGACCCCCGATGGATTCTGCGAGACTTGATCGCCGGCGTCACGGTGGGCGTGATGCTGATCCCCCAGGGGCTGGCATACGCCAAAATCGCCACGGTGCCCATCGCCAACGGCCTCTACGCGAGCTGGTTCCCGCCGCTGCTGTACTTTTTCCTGGGCACCTCGCGCGAGCTGTCCGCGGGGCCGACCTCGATCCTCGGCCTCTTGACGGCGGAGGCGGTGGAAGACTTGTCCAGGCAGGGCTACCGGCCGGCCGACATTTCCGCCGCCATGGCCTTCATGGTCGGCGTCTACGCCCTGGCCGTCGGGCTGCTGAAGCTCGGCTTCCTCCTGGACTTTGTCTCGGCGCCCGTGCTGACGGGCTGGATCTCGGCCGTGGCCATTGTCATTGGCCTCGGCCAGGTCGGCTCCCTGGTTGGGCTTGATCTGCCTCCCAACGTGCCGGGCATCATCCACGACTTCTTCGCCCACATTCGCGGCGTCAAACCGCTCACGCTCGCCATCGGCCTGACCGGCCTGGCGTTTCTGCTGGTCCTGGAGCAGGTTGGCAAGCGGAACAAGAGGGGCAAGTACGTCAAGTTTGTGTGCACGAGCAGGGCCGTGATTCTGCTCATCGTCTACACCCTCATCAGCTACTTGTGCAACCGCGGCCGGGGAAACGACCTGCTCTGGGCCGTCACCAAAGTAGATACGCATGGCTTGCCGGCTCCTCGTCCGCACGATCCCGCCCTGTTGAAAAAGGTGGCCGTGAGGGCGTTTGCGCCGCTCATCGCAATGTCGGTCGAGCACCTGGGCGTCGGTAAAGCATTCGGCCTGAGGGGCGACTACAGCATCGACAAGAGCCAAGAGTTGGTCTTTCTCGGCGTTAACAACATGGTCAACAGCCTGTTTGGTGCCCAGGCAACCGGCGGAGCGATGAGCCGGACTGCCGTCAACTCCGATTGCAACGTTCACAGCCCCGTCAACTTCCTCTTTACAGGCGGGCTCATCGTGCTGACGCTGTACGAGCTGGCTCCCGCTCTGTACTGGATTCCAAAGGCTACTCTGTCTGCTATCATTGTAGGTCCTCTCCGACTCGTCATGTTGTGACCCCGATGTGCCAACCTCCGTTCCGACTTTGGTCCAGACGGCCGAGTTTGAGCTGCACATGGCGACAATGGGGAGAGCAAGTTGGATACCAGCTAACAGGTATTAGATCATGGCAGTTGCCCATTTGGTTGCCCGACCGAGCCAGTTCTACCGGTTCTGGAAGATGTCCTTTGTGGACTTTGTAGGCTCCCAACTCGCGCTCTGGGTCACGCTTTTCACGTCTACGGAAATCGGCCTGGCTGTTGCCGTTGGCTTCAGCATCGTGTATACCCTGCTTCGCCTTGCGTTCCCGCGCTGGATAGGGCTTTCTCACCTCGAAACGGAAAACAACCACGTCTCCCTGCCTTGCGCCGGCGCAGCCTCAACCAGTGTTGACGTCCCGGCTGAAGCGTACCTCGTTCAGTACACCGACGACATCCTCTTCCCCAACGCGGAGCGTGTCAAGGCTTCCATTATTCAATCAATCAAAGTACATTTCGATCCGGCATCAGATGCCAACATGGTTGTGGACAAGAGCAGGCGGACATGGAATCCGGCGACCAAGAAGCAAATCATCAAGATTCGAAAGAGGAAGGGCATCACGGCCTTTAGCGGAGATGAGACACCGCTTCGACGAGTTGTTCTGGATTTCGGACGAGTGTCCTTTATTGATACTACGGGCGTCTTTTCCATAATTGAATTAAAGATGGAGCTGCGCAGGTATATCGGACAGGATTTGGAATTCCGATTTGTCGGCATGGTGGATGCCGTCAAGGAGAGATTTGACCGTTCAGGGTGGGAATTTGCTTCCCCTGGGCGCCAGCGCGCCGAGGCTGCCGACGTTGTGTATTCGTCCATCGACATGGCGCTGTGGCATCCGGGCAAATCTGACGACAAGGACGACCTGTCCAAGGAGAAGGCTCTGGATGCGTGAGTTTGCAGCTCTAATTTTACACTCTGAACCTTTGTGTATTTTTCAAGCCCGTTATTTCTTGTTTCAATATCATATGAATCTTTTCAACTGTAGTTTCACTCTACGCAAGCAAAAATACCATTGATATTATCAGTCTTAAACCTACCCAGTTCAGGTCCGGGGAGGCGGGTGATACCTGACTTTGGCCCTCCACCTTGACACTACACCAGGGAATGAGGATGAGCATGGAGCACGCGGATCTTGGAATGCCACTAATTTGGCGCAACCACGCCCATACTTTTGCCTTGCGTCGTATAACTAGCGTAGTCGTCGGTGAGAAGCAAGTGGTTGTGCACACTCGCCGACAAAGGCACCGACGCGAACGGTCTGCGGGAGCCGCTATTCCACGATGGCATCGGATTTAAGTCGGTGTCGGCTGGGACCTGACATGGTATGGCATCAGTGTATGCCGCCCTGCTGTGTTGGCAAGTGCTGGCCTGGGCTTTAACCCAGGTCAGGAAACGCCGTGGCATGGATCCCCTCAGGAGAGGAGGGGGCGTCGATTTGCAGGCCACGAGCTTCCTAGACGAGTTAAGAGGCTCAACACCACCACCCTGTCCAAATAGCCGGGGTGGATTGTTGCATGTTTTGGCTTACAAGTTAGGCTTATTTCGGCTGCGTATGGATGTTTCGCCGAAGTGGTCGAGGTCGCTGGGCCTAATTTGGTTCGGCGGTATTTACGTGCTTGGAAATATATCAAGTTGTATTGATTTTATTGCCGTTGTGAATATGTGATGAGAAGAGCTTATACCGGACGTCACTTGTCTGCGATTCATGGGTAGTAATGTCACACTCATAGTGTCAACAAGGCATGAAGTTTCGCCAGTTTTCCCGACTTTACTAGTCACAAAATGGGTAGATATTGGTTAGGCTTACAGTAAAAGTTGTCATTTCGCCAAGTCTATCTAGGAAAGTTATTCAGACTTCATAACCGCAGAGCTACTTTTGCCAATATTGTTTTATTCTTTTCGTCGTCATCGCCCTTGTAATTTCTACTAGTAGCTTCCGATAAGCTCATCTCCTGACAGCACCAAATGTATTGTCCGCAATTACTCGCGCTTTGGCGCTTGTAACGCTCTGCTCTCACAGGGCACAAAGGGCACTTTGTAGCTTGATTATACTCCGATCAAGGGATCTTCAAGTACCACGTGGAATCACCGGTGGGATCACAATCCGTCTCTGTAAGCCCGTTGACCATATGCTGGAAACGATTCTTGGTCCAGAACGTTATACAGTACTATGCCTTCTCGGTGCAACATGTTGAGACACTTACGTCAGACTAAACTAAAGACAATTCCTTCCATCATCTCGTGCGTATGGAGGTAGAAATCTCTGGCCGCCTCCTCTTTTGGCTTCACGCTCTGATGCTTCCTGTTTGCATTTTCTCAATGACTTCAAATACGGGGCGGACAAGGCACTTCAAGCGTCTGTATAAAAGGGCCAGTGACAATAGCATTGGGGCCGACAAACACCGAAAGGGCATTGGCGGGGCAGAGTTGAGTCTTCAATTGTTCCAAAGGCTAGGGACTTACAGAAGAGATTGGGAAAATTTTCTGCTGCTATTCCAAGATACTCCTTCGGAGAGTTATATTGTTCACGAAGAGCCGTATTGTTGCGCCCGTATACTTCGAAACTGAGGTGTGTGATGTGTCGAATACTGTCGCACACAAAATGTCATCTATCATCCCCGTTTCAGGGATCAACTTCACTATTCTGGGCCCTCGCTGGTTAATATTAATCTATTTGGCGACAAAGTAGAATAATATTACATGCCATGTAGAGCTACGCATAACTCGGTATGTTCCAAGCATTCGATAATATTTGAAGTCAACCATATTCCCAGTTGTTGGTTATAGAATTGACCTGAAAACGGCTTGATACTCACGGCGAAAATAGACAAACTTTATATAATCTCATCTATACTTCAAGTGGATCGAGGAAACAATGACTTCAAACCCTCCCGCAGCATGCTGTACGGTTAGCTACCAGTTGATGGCTCTGACTAAGTTACAAACCTCCTACGGAGTTAGGCAAAGCGGGATAAAAATTGGTGGCCGAGTAGAGTCTGGTGAACACGGCAGGTTGGCCAGTAATAAGCTGAGTGCAGCTTCCCGCTTTATATCTTTAATATGATATATAACATAGGCGTTCCACAGATTTTAATAAGTTAATAAAAAAATACTTATTAGAAACTGGTTCGTATAGAAATTTGGCCCACGCCATTCACGTGTGTGTAGCATCGCAGCCTCGTATGTCGCGTCACGACCTCGCAATTATTGTCAAGGCCGGCCGCAGGCCAGAGCTCGTCGTAGGCGGCGCCCGGTTATCTCCCTGGCCACCTTGTGTGCCGTGACAATGCATCCCTTGCGGTGTTCCAGCCGGAACCGGCTGCAATAGGGGTCATCCGCCGGATTGGGAAGGCCATGCCATGTATTCGTGTGATAACGAGCCACGACTTCGTGTTGGGTGAATAGGAGTTTAGTGGCCCAGCTAACGGCTCAACTACCAACAATGAGCATGTATTAGGCGAGTGGGCATTTACTGTCAAGAACGTGAGCGCAGCAACTGCCAATAGTCGATGACTGGCTCAAGCAGCTGTGATTATGTATTCAATCGAGAAGTCATCACACAGGCCCATAATTTGTTGTGCCCTTCGTATACAGTTGGCCTGGCGGTTGGGTCTAGGTTACTATGAAACTCTATTCTGTACTCAAGGTATAGATGGCTATATTACCGCTGTGAATCCAAGCCGGAGAGACGAACAATGCCAGTTGTTCAACCGAATAGCCCACTGGCTCTGAAGATTCCACAACTGAACTTCTCAAATTGCCTAGCTCCTAAACCAAAACGAAGTAGAACTTGACCTTACGTCATCCATTCAACATAGCCATATTCAACTCGTATTAACAAATGGTCGAATAGACCTGTTCACGCTTCAGTCAGCAGTGAAGAAAAAGCATTCGTCCCCAACATACCTCTCTCTATAGCAGCTTGTCACGTTTTGCAAGTGTGAGACTGGCCTTGACCGTAAACGACACCGCATTTCGAGCACTGGCTTTGGTTGCTGGCAGAGGGCATGTTTGTTGCCAAATGTTTCTTCTTCTTGAGGGAATATTCAAGGACGATGCTTGGTGTCAACTCGTGGAGTTTGGCGTCTTGTGATCAGTATGATTGATTTACGGAATATTTGAAGAAGAGGATAATCGACTTGAGGGAGTTGGAAAGGCATGGCTTTATACCTGGATGATCCTGTCAGTAATGAGGGAACTCTTGCCTACAAGGCAACCATTCCACCTGTTGCATTTCGGTGAACCAACGGCATTCTCAGCAACGGTCAAAGGACTGGTGCTTTTGAAGGTGGCCCGGGCCCAATAACCCCTCTTTCGACACACCTTGGACTTCTGTCTGTGAGCATGATCTTCCCTCCACAGTATGACAAGAGCTCAATGCAAGAGCTTGCAGTAGTAACAACTCAATTCAAAGATAATCTCATAGGATGCCAAAGATCCTTCATTTTTGAGGAATGAGAGGAGGGCAAGGCCTATATTATATAAATAAAAGGAACAAATATGCCTGAGGCTTCCGGCTTGGTCCGTGATCGCTTCGTGTAACGATGTTGGGCCTTTGTTGAGTCCCAACCGTGTAATACACGGAATTTCGCTGCTCGGACTGAGCCCTGCTTCATGACACCAAGCACGTTTGCACTCAAAGATGCCATCAAGGCCATTGCAGAAGATGGAAAGCGGACATTATTGTTGTTCAGTTATGGAAGGGTGAATGCCGAGTGGTCTGCTGTCGTGGCATCCTACGTGGCAGCCCGCGAGACCTTTGGGAGCGTTTATTCCGTAAATCTTATTTGGGAAGTCGCGTCTACGAAATTAGAACGCGTTAGCTGCGAGCCCGTACCCCTTGATTTTCCGATAAGTGGATTGTCAGTCAATCATTTCCTTCCCCCATCCCAAGACAGCCGTTAACTAATCCGCAGCATCATCCTAAATACACAGACTACCCTCAAAGCAAATCATAGATCTCCAATAACTTATTCCTTTTCCCCATTACATCACTTAAAATCCTAACAAAAGCTCAGCACCTCTAAAACAGAGAGCTCAAAAGACCCAGTGAAGGAGCTACTGTTACACGGAAATCGCCCTGTTACACAAGGGCTACGGTCACGGGATTAGGGCAGAAGGTCCTCACCGACTTCTTGTATAAATAGACATCTTCGGTCCCTCAAGGCCGTAAGGAAAACCAAGGACCTTTGATACCAAAGACTGTTATTAGATGAATTGAGTAATTGCTCCAAGCTAGGCCCTTGTCACAGCTACAAAATGATAAAGTTAAAGTATACTTCGCAACAGAAGATAGTCATTAGAGGTTTGGAAAGAGGCGAGTTTAAATCATAAAGGCAACGAACTCGGGAACAACTTGGCGAGCCATGCGCTTGCACGTCCAAATTTCAGGTAACTCCCACACCTACCTACACCAGCTTGTCTGACATGCTCCCAAGATATTGGTTGGCTCTCTCAACATCAAAATTAAATGCCAGACGCACCATCTCGTAAACCAAGCCCTCGTCTTGCTCCGGTACATCCCCAAGCTTGGAGAAACAACCATAGATCCTAGACGCTGCACTCTCCAGGACCTTTGCGAATTCATTTCCAAGAGGCATTCCTTCCTCTTTGAGTTTTGCCTCAGCTTCCCGGAACTTCCTGCAATATAATTCCCTGGCATCAGTCTGCCGTGATACATTCTTGTGCGCGAGGTGCTGGGGATCATCTAGGATCGTGTTGATGCTCTCGTCTGACCATGATAGTGGAAATGGCATTGGGTAGTAGTTGACTTGCCAAGGAGCAGTTTGAGCGAATTCCCAATCAATGACGGCCAAGAAGTTTAAATCATCATCGACTATAATGTTTTGTGTGCCAAGGTCCATGTGGTTAAAGGGATATTGTGCGGGAGACGCCTGAAAGAATGGCGTAGACTGCACAATGTCCAGGAAGACCAACGCACCCAGCCTGTGGAAGTGCGACATGCTCTGATTGCTCTCATGGCGACTTGCCCGGTATAAAGATGCTTCTCCAAGAGCTGTAAAGTACTCCACAGCCGTAGAGAAAGGTCCTGGTGACATCAAGCCTTCGGATGCAGCAGAAGATAGCTTATTGACGATTGGTTCTCCAGTCTTCGTAATACCGGAGATGGACCCTATTAGGGGACTTGTCAAGGTTGCCAGAGCCGTTTGAATTGTTGCCCACTGCGCCATGACATGCTCCAGTTTTGCAGACTACATATGTAGGCTTGGTTAGAATCGTCCATGGTCACAGGAAAAAGTTCACTGACAGGCAATCCACAAAGATCCGGAACACTATCTTGCAGCGTGTTCCCGCGAAAGCCCTCTATGAGCATGTAAACAGCGCCAGCATCAGTGGCGAGCTGCGACCCAGGACCCTCGTAGGCATATACCCGAGGTACGACGACAGTCGAGAGTCTCTGCCGCATGAAACGCATGGCAGAAAGCTCGCACGCGATGGAATATTGTTCGTCCGTTTCGCTCACTGTTGGTGCAGCATTTGGGTGGCGAGGCAATCGAACGCGTGCAATGACAAGAGTCTCATCTTCAGCGACCAACTCAAAACATATCCAATACTGCCCTGCGGAAAAGGGCTCGCTCACGCTGATTTTCTGGCCTATAATGCGCTCGGCATGGTCTATAAGCACCTTTTTATTTAGAGTAGCAATCAGGTCCTCGAGTCTTTTCTTCATGCCGTTATAGTCCCAACCCTCGAATGACGTCCATCTTTTGCTCGGGGCCAATCTCGACATGGCGAGTCTGTTGGATTCGCAATGCTGAGACGTTTAGCTTCGTGTGATGTGATAACGTGGAGTTGATGAGGCGGGAGAACTGGCGGGGAGAATTGTCGGTGTGTTCTCGAGGAAATTACATTTGATCAGATCAATTATTTGGTTGGCCCGTTACCACTTCTACACGTGACACCAGCTGTTGTCATGTCAACTGTCAGGAGCTCAGGCTTGCTTGGTGCACAGGTCAACGGTGAGTATCGAATGATGTCGTACTCCGGAGTGACTCATGGCTTCGCGGTATGTAGTGACCTCGACCAAGAGCATGACAAGTTTGCCTAGGAGCAAGCTTTCTTGCAGGCTATTGCGTAGCTCCATCACTTTCTGGGGGAATAGGAATCCGGAAACTAGAATGATGCCTACTACTTGGCCATGTTGCAAATTGTCGGTTTCAGACAGACTGAGCAATGGTAGTATCAGAGACGGAATTCCATTGGCATGCTTGGTCTAAGCTTGTTTATCCGATTTGAAAACCGCACTTGATCCCCTCCGGATTCGTATACATCTATTGTATTCCACTACGTCCCACATCTGCCGTCGACACCTGCTTGGCTTGTCTTCATATTTATTACATCCTCCGAATGAATGGAATCCGCGTATCGGGGTGAATGAATTCACTACATCCAAACTCTCTACGTGAGAATATTGCAGCGTGTAGATATTAAGAATCTAGACAAAACATCCACCCACCGAAGTGGCCCTAGGTACCTATCTTTGGAGACGAGGTATCTATGCTGGTGGATTTGGTAAAGATGGCTGGCGATGCGGCATGGAAGGTACTGCATTCGGCTACGTTGGATCAGCGAGAGTGGGATGACTTTGAATCGAGGCATCATGCTGGGTTGAGGAAATGGCTTATTGAGAATCCTGAAAGTGAAAAGGCGAAGGAGGTTGAGAAACAGCAGAAGGAGAGGGAAATGGACTATTTGGCAGTTTTATAGGAGGGTATCGGGGTTTGCTTGGTTAGTCCTGGCGCGCTGAGTATATACAAGCATACGGGAGAGCATAGCGAGGATATGTACTGAACTGAAATGAGGACTTGGAATCTTGGTCTTTTGGGTTGTTTTGCTGTGTTTGGGGTAGGCGGCGTGCGGTGAAGATGGCTGAAATGAAGCATATAAGATTGCAGGAAATGGCTATTTATGCTTGATCTGTTCTCTGGCTTGTGTGTTCTTGATATGTTGGTGTTAATTTGTTTTTTTAACTTATAAAAGATGGCAGAATCCCACAGGCAAACTAAACAAACTAGCACCGCAGCCGGATAAAGCACCCTCGATAGTATGACATGTTACTCCAAAATCCGGCTGTATAGTTTATACCCTCTCGCCCCAAATAGCACGCGAATGTACTTTCGAGTGAAGTGCCAAACGCCGCCCAATTGAGTCGTCTTGCAGAACATGGCCACACAAAAGCAACTAGACAAACAACATTTCCCATGACCGAATCGGTTAACCCTCGCAAGTAAGACATATACCGCCAATTTCCGTAGTCGGCAGTGGGACCTTGCAGCATGATCCGCAAATTCCAACATCAACCCGACTTTTGCGACTTTCCCCGCATTCACGACCAACAACATAAAATCTGTCGGTGAGCGCATCTCTCCCAAAATCACGAGGCTGGGTATAGCCAATCTCCGACTTTCGGAATGTCCCAGGCGCTTATTCTGTTGACTGTCCGGCCTCTCGACCGCTCGTGTTGTCGTGCTCTTCAACCTTGTGCTGCATTCAACTGGCGCCAAGTCGAACCGCCGAGATGAAAGACGGGACCAGGATTCTGCCAAATTCGGTACAGAAAATGGCAGAGGGAGACGAGAAACACGGCATAGGCAGCGACGATGCGGAAATAGGTGTCGCCACGCCCGTAAGTCTGGCAACACCCCCTTGATGAACTTGCTCGACGCCACGACCACAATCAGTGATACTAGCCAAATACCAGGTTCCCAATGAAGAGCCCCCCATTGATGGCAAATTAGAAAAACGCCTACTATTGAAACAGGATCTGCGTATCCTCCCCCTCTGCGCGTCCATCTACTTCCTGTCATTTCTCGACCGCTCCAACATTGGCAACGCCAAGATTCTCAATTCTTCCACTCATGATGACCTGCAGACCTCCACAGGCATGACAGACTACCAATTCAACATTGCGCTGATGGTATTCGTCGTGGCATACGCTGTATTCGAGGTCCCCTCCAACATTTTGCTCAAGAGACTACGGCCGAGCCGATGGCTGGCGTTTCTCATGTTTTGCTGGGGCGCCCTCACCATTTGTCTAAGTGCCGGCAGGAACTTTGGCGGCGTCACGGCCTTGAGATTCCTGCTCGGGGCGTTTGAAGCAGGTCTTTTCCCAGGGCTCGTGTACTACCTGACGTTTTGGTACAGGCACAATGAGAGGAGTGTGAGGTATGTACATCCGCGAGAATGGACCGGGAAACTCTGCTCATCGTGTCCTTGAAGGGTAGCTTTTATTCTCGCCTCGGCTACCTTGGCCGGAGCTGTAAGTCGGCTTCTGCCCTTCAAGAAACCGCAAGCGCCTGGGCTAATGATGTGTGAACAGTTCGGAGGCGCAATCGCCTACGGGATAGGCCACATCAACAAGGCGCATAATCTCCGAGGGTGGCAGTGGCTGTTCATCATTGAAGGGATCCCCTCTTGCGTGTGCGCCGTCCTCGTCTTCTTCCTACTGCCCGACTACCCCGAGACGGCGAGCTGGCTGGGCGAAGCTGAGCGAGACCTCGCCCAACGACGGCTCCTCCACGAGGGCAGTAAAGGCACACAGCCGGCCATGACCTGGGCGGATGCCAAAGCCACGCTGACGGACTGGCGGCTCTACGGCCATTACGCGATTTACTTTGCCATTAGTCCTGGGTTTGCGAGCCTGAGTCTGTTTTCGCCGTCGATTGTCTCGGGACTTGGCTACCAGGATCTCCAGGCCCAACTCTTTACCGTTACGCCCTGGGCGGTGGCATATGGTACCTTGATAGCCCGCATTACATCTGTGTGTGCACCGTGACTTGAGCTGACAGAGACACAGTCTGCCAACTAGCCGTCGCCTACTCGGCAGACCGCTTCAACGCGCGCGGCCTACATACCGCCGGGGCAGCTGCCGTTGCTGCCGTCGGGTTCATCGTCTCGGCCGCCCTGCCGCCGACCGCTTACGCGTCACGATACGGCGGCCTGATTCTCGCGACGTCGGGCGCGTTTTCGGCCATCCCTCCGCTGTTGGGCTGGCTGTCGTCCAACATGTACAGCACCGCGGCTACGGGCCTGGCTATTGCTATCAATGTGAGCTGCGGAGGAGGGCTGGGGCAGATCCCCGGTGTTTGGATATACAAGGCAGGCGAGAAGAGCAGGGGATACCCGACTGGCCACTGGACGAATGCCGGGTTTCAGATATTTGTTGCTGCCGCTTCTGTTGGACTGTGGGCATTTTACAGGGTGAAGAATAGAAGGTTGACTGAGGAGGCCAGGAGGAATGGAGTCGAGCCGACTCTCTTCAAGCTGTAATGGGTTGCCCGTGTGTCTGTGGTACCGGTGGGAATGCAGTTTGTGGCAAGATACTATGCGTCACTCAAGTTGGTGTGTCACTGGTTTCCAAGGGAGGAAATTTCACCAAGGTCTCGGTGATATTTTTTTGGAGTAGGGCTTGCTACCTTTGAAAGGGAAAAACAGAAGATCTACCAAATTGAACCTCGCACTTGTGTAAGGCCTCCACTTTTGCCAGAGTCGTTAAAACACTAGCATGCGTAATTGTTGACAAATAGTAAGCATCTTCAAAGTCCAGCTCGTTATCTGGTTCATATCTTGCATATGTAAGAGTTGCGGTTCTTATCGTGGATACATAACCTGAAGCTCACACTCTGTGGAAGAATATATTTTGCTCATCAACTACATATGACACTAAACTAAATATACTATAGGGTATTGTAGTGTAGAGCGCGATAGTTGGGTACTTTTGCCTCACACTGTATGTACATTACTTGATAGGGGTAAGATGAAGTAAATGACGATAGATATTTAATATATATTCCATGTTGGTAGTCCATTACTTCTCAGGGTTAGGGTTGAGGACTATTGGAGCTTGCAGAAAAGGCACACTAAAATGGCCCAGTCCATCCATTCCGGAGCGCGCAGAGAAATCAAGGTAGCGAAAGCTTGTGATTGGCGAGGAGGCGAGGAGGCTGCAGGCCCATGCGCGCGCACCTGGTCCGGCTATGACGTCGTTGCCTCGGCGGATCGCAGGGGAACTCGACAAGATCCTTTGGACCGTTGACGCTTGCGAGCGTGCCTCCACCGCACTCACCAGGGCGCCGACCCTCCAGCGTCATTATCTGGGGCTCTGGAGTCGCTTGTTGTTGCCAAGACCCTGTTTCGACGCACGAAACTGGCGAGGGCCATGATCAGCATCCTGTGCTCAGCATGCCTCGGGGGAAACGCCCCGCGAGCGAGGTGATGAGACAACTCGAGCACGATGACGAGACAGACATAGCTCTGCAGTAAGTCATGCTGCCCGGCTGAATGCTTGGCTCCCCAAAGATGTGAGGTCTCTCGGTTTCCCGTTTGGCCCGAACAGCCGCAAGTCAGGCACAGCCCAGGCGACAAGTAGCAGTCTGGGCGGAGTCAACATGTCAAGCACATCCTGAATCAGTGTGCGTCTGCAAACAGGCTCAACCTTGTCACTCGTTCGTCGCCCAGGCTGCATGCTCAAGGCCTATCAATGGCTAGAACGATGATGATGCCCGGACCACTGCCGCCGTCATCGCCGGGTTGGGCCTCGCCATGTGATGACACCGATGATGCCACCGCGTCTGTGGACTGGTCGATCATCTTTCCTCAAGAGTGGCGATATGCTGCAAGCCGCAACAGCAACGCCTTGGATATCTGTACACGCCGTCAACGGATTGGATGCCTTCAGGACGTAGAGGGGAGGCGGCAAATCCTGATTGTGTGAAAAGGCTGGCCGAGCATCGACATGGCCCAACGCATCGGCACAAGGGCTGGCCAGATGCAGGACACCTGGGTTCTCCGTAGATAAACAAGTCAATATATATGCGCGACAGTTTGATGATATTACTCCGCCAGCTTGGGTGTTGATGGGCCCCGTCATTCGGCACGTCATACCAGACCATCTCCAGATATTGATGCTTCAATGTTCAAGGGCTCAAGGGCTGGGGCCTTGCACTGGCTACTCAGCCGCCCCACTGAACCCACTGCCAACAGGCACTTGAGACCGGCCAGGCATTGATGGATGGATGGAAAAAAGCCGCTGCACAAACACCCTCCAGTCCGCTGGCCTGGCGCCTCAAGCGACCAGGACCGGCTGACGTCTGCTTGTGGCCCATAAGCAGCCAGCTCGACCTTGGCCTTCAAATCTGGTTTCTAATCCACCCAAGAATCTCAAACGTCGTTTCCGAAGCCGCCTCGCCTATTTTTTTCTTCTCCCGCTGCCATCCGCCCAGTCTTACCTGGTCTTAGACTTTGTTGTTTTGCTTTAATTCCTGTCATTGCATCTTGGGGCGCTCCCCTTGTCCCCTTCGTCATTCATCTCTCGTCCGTCATCGCACAAGAACAGAATTGCTGCGTTTCGCACCTTCGTCATCGTTCGCCCATCAAACCCCGCACCCAGTCCGTCGCAATCTAGCAAAAATCCAATCTCGACAGCGACAATACTGCAAACACGACGGCGCTATAGAAAAAGAACAGCAAAAACAAGTAGCCGCGAGCCAAAGTACCCTTTTTTGGAACAAACTTTCCACGCGTCGGTATACGTATTGCAGCACTGGAAGCCACGCCTTCAGAAGCATCGGTAGTCGCTAATTAGCGGCGCCTCAATACGCCCGCCATGTCGACGATTCAGCACATCAAGAACCTTATCCGCCATGGTAAGTTGTATTCGTCGCATTGTACCTACCTCCTCATCATGTAATAAACCCCGCGTCCTGAGTTGTCGCTCGTCGCCATTCATCTTCATTCATTCCTACCTGATCAGCCCCTGGAATTTGCCCGTCAATCATGATGGCATACCCCCTCAGACTCCTCTCGGACTGTTTCTGTTGTCCAATGACGTCTACCCTCAGTACGCAAGCCACCTTATCACATGGTTTCCATTTTACCTCAAATAATAGGGACTCTTGATACTAATCGCATTTTTCTTCGCTACTAGGCAAACAAGCTCGCAATGTTAATGTAGACGACGAGCCCTCGAGGAAGAATGATGTACCACCTGCTCCCGCTGCAAACCAGGAGAAAATGAACATCTCCGACCCCGTCCTACACCAGCCGCTTCCTCACAAGGAGCCACTCGAGGCCTACTCAGAGACCCCGGGAGATACCCAGAACCGAGCTGCTCAAGCCCACAACGCTGCCGCCCACCACGTTGAGCCCGCGCAAGACGTCAACGCCAAAGCGAGTGGCACTTCCAAGAAACGCGTCGACGATGCCAGTCTTGCCAAACTCGTTGCCGAGGAAAACGCAAGCAGGTCCAAGTTCCCTAGATATCCCGGTCTAGAACGATGGGAACTGATCGAAAAGATGGGCGACGGTGCGTTTAGCAACGTATATCGCGCCCGCGACTTGCAGGGCGACGCTGGTGAAGTCGCCATCAAGGTTGTTCGTAAATATGAAATGAATAGCATGCAAGTAAGTGGTATTGCGACTAAGAGCGTATACACGTCGCTCTTTTCCTCCTCCCCTTTTTTGGTTTCTGTCCTGCCCCGTTCCATCCTCTCCTTTTGAGCTTTCTTGCCATTCCCTTTCCACTGCTTTCCGTTGCGCAAGTCTCTCTACAATATATATCGACCGATTACCAACATTTGGGGTTCTCGCCCCGGATAGGGAGATAGGCATCTACATCCGGAATTCAAAAAGGCTCCGAAAGCAGCAGAGGTGCGAACATATTTCTCTTTTGTCGGATTGCAGTTGTCAATCCACATGTTGCTTTGAGCAGCATCTATTCACGCCTTTGGCGGCATTGGCCACATCTACAGTTCAAGAAAAGCAATGGGAATGCTGACCTATCATCTCCAAGCGTTCGAATATATTGAAAGAAGTCTCGATTATGCGCCAGTTAGATCATCCGAATATTATTAAGCTCATCGATTTTTCTGAATCCAAGCAATACTACTACATTGTTCTTGAACTCGCTCCCGGTGGCGAGTTGTTCCATCAAATTGTCCGCCTCACGTACTTTAGCGAGGAGTTGTCTCGCCACGTAATCATTCGTGTCGCCCGAGCGTTGGAGTACTTGCACGAGGAGAAGGGAGTTGTTCATCGGTGAGACTTTGCCAGTAGGAATGGAGTCTGAGTGTTTTCCAAATGGAGGGCTAACTCCATCTAGTGATATCAAGCCCGAGAACATCTTGTTCAACCCGATACCTTTCATCCCCTCCAAAGTCCCGAAACCGAAGCAACCGGGTGATGAGGACAAGGTGGATGAGGGCGAGTTCCTTCCTGGGAAGGGCGCAGGGGGTATTGGTGAGATCAAAATTGCCGATTTTGGCTTGTCAAAGATTGTTTGGGAGAGTCAGACTATGACGCCTTGTGGCACCGTTGGTTACACAGCCCCCGAAATCGTCAAGGATGAACGGTATTCCAAGTCGGTTGATATGTGGGCCCTCGGATGCGTATTGTACACCCTGCTCTGCGGGTTTCCCCCATTCTATGACGAGAGCATTGAGGTCCTGACCGAAAAAGTGGCCAAGGGACAATACACCTTCTTGTCACCGTGGTGGGACGATATTTCCCAGTCTGCGAAAGATCTCATCACCCACTTATTGACTGTCGATCCGGATAAGCGATTCACCATTCGCGAGTTTCTTGCCCACCCGTGGATTCAGGGCACTGGGCCAACTCCTAGCGAAGAGAGGAGAAAGTCGGAGGCTGTTATCCGAGGATTTGATGCTAGCAAGCTGGACGATGTGGGCAAGCGTTATGACTTCCGGTCACCTGGTGCTGTCAATTTGCGCGAGGTGTTTGATGTGAGCTATGCTGTCCATCGTCAGGAAGAAGAGGGCAAGCGACGTGCTCAAGTCGGAGCTCGAGCCGGTGGCATGGGCAAGCCCTTGGGCGGCTTGGATGAAGAAGACGAGGATGCCGATGAGATGCAAGTTGACCAGCAAGCTCAGAGTCAGGCTCCCAACAACGGTACTCATGCCCTCGAACAAAGCATGCGGAATACCAACATTCGGGATCAAGAAGCCCTTGCTCGGGGACGGGAACGTGAACGAGCGCCTGCGCCTGCTCCTGCGCCTGAGAGGGGGTATGGTCAGCATTCAGCAGCCGTGACCGCTGCAGCTAGACAACAGGTCCGAGACCGGAATCGACAAAAGGGCGCGTTTGAGTTGACTCTTGAAAATGCAACACTACTTGGCAAACGAGGCAAAAAGATTTCCGCCATGGGCGCATAAGGAGATGTGCTGTCTTGAGATTGACGATACCCATACTCCTGGGCCACGCAAGACCTAGACATTTCTTAACATACATTGAGCGAGGTGGTTCTATCAGACACAATTTTTCATCTGGAAAGGCATATTCGAGACAGCGGCATGGGGGAGAACAATAACGAAGGGCGTTGTAGTGAACTTGTGTTGCCCTTGATTGGTTCGTTTTCATATAGTCCATTTTTTTCATATTTATGTTCCCCAGCGCTGGAATGAAGAGAAGATCAGCCTTTGATTTGGAGGCGTTGGGACTTTTTGGAATCGGCTTCTTATTTCCTTTATTTCTTTGCCTGTTTAACAGCGCTCGAGATGTCGACATCGAGCTGCTGGGGGGCTGGTGCCAGAGTGCTTGATGCATATGTCCGGTACCTTGGGCGGGATACATTTACAGGGAGTTCTGGCAACATGTACATTTGTTGAGTGCTCTAATAAACAAGATGCAAGGATTTGCCTACTTGAGTCTGCTTTCATCTCCTATTTCGCGCTTCTCCGTACAAATTGTGCATGGGCGGCGCTACGAGGTTTCTTCGGCAGTGATGTCGTGTCCGTGGGACTTGGCCTCTGACCTTTTTCCGACCTCCTTCGTCCTCTTATCGATGTGGATCGCGGCGTGGGACGACGCCGTTTTGCAAAATCAATATGCCTCGCTTGTATGTGATTGTATGTGATTCCCATGTCTGGAGTTACTTTGAGCTAGCTGCTGTCTCGCCAGGTACAGACATGCCGCAAGGCTCATCCTCACCACTCTGCCTCGCCTCTTCAGGCTGCTGTAGGGGCTCAAACTGTTCATGTCCCCAGAACCATCTTTGTAGGGCCCCAGCCCAAAGCAGTAACGCCCCTCCGTTGAGGCTGTCTCACCAAGCGATGCTCTGCAAACTACCGTCTTGCAAAGTGCTCCCATTCTTCCCCTGCCAAGCCTCGTCTATCAAATATCCATCTCGATACCTAGGTCAACCACATTGGGGGCTCGAATCTTGCAGCGTCCCCCGACATCCGATCCCTGTGACAAGCTCCTTTTCTGGATTGCGCATAATTCTGACCGTTTACTACATTGTCAGGTGAAAGGATTCCTGCGCTGGAAGGATACGAAAGCGCTGCGGACCAGGTCTCGTGGTATATTCCTGGCCAATGCAATATCACCTGGCAAAAGATCACATTCATCACGGTAAGTACACGTCTAGAGGTGACCCTTGCGATTCAGCTGCGCAGTGCGTCTCTAAATTGTCTTGACCCGTTTGACTCCAACGCCTGGTAATCTTACAATGTACGGTCCCCGAAGGGGAAGCATGTATGTGACCCCCGACCACGAAACCACTTTACAACTCCTCCTCAGTAACCATTTGATCCCCATTAGAGTGTCCCGCCTGTCCTTCCTTCTTGGGCATAGTAGCCTCCTTGTCAATCATTTGTCTAGAAACCGCAACAATATTGTCTTCGATCAATTCCTGCCCGACATCCTCCAAGTGCTTCTTGGGGTCTAGTTTGCCGACATAACGCGTCTTGAGCTGTTCCTTCGTCAACTCTGTCTCCTCCTTGACCCTCTTCTCGTAGCCATCGGCTAGGCTGACCAGGCGCTGCAGCCGCTCCTTGTTCTTGTCGCCTTCTGAATGGAAGTCGTTCATCTCCAGCGCCTCGGTCCACACGTGTTTGTGGAGGTTCATGAGCATGTTCTCCTCGAGGGCCGTCTTTCGGTAGTTGATACCGATTGAGTAGTAGTGGCGGTTGAGGCCGTGAATGAGAGCCTGGATTGAGGGCTTGTTCAGGTGGCCTAAATTACTGGTGCTTTGGCGGGGTTCCTGTCCCATCATCAAAAGCTGCGGGTTGATTAGGCGGAATGCGTCAATGACAACCTTGCCCTTGACGGACTGAATGGGGTCGACGACGACGGCCACGGCTCGAGGGTTCAGCTGCTCAAAGGATTGCTGGGTGTTGATATCAACCGATGACAACCAGCATCCGAACCCAGGATGTGAGTGGTACCAGCCAACGACTGACTCGGGTCTGTTTACGCCTTGTGTAAGCCTCCCTTTCAACATGGCCCGTGTGATGGTCGGCAGTTCCTCTTACCTTCCTGTTTGCCTCAACATGTCCATCATCTTAGTCTGGAAAACGGGATCGACGGCCTCGACACTGACACCTGTCCCGCTCTGAGGCATGGCAAACACGTCCATCACCTTGACTGTGAAGTCGTCCACGAACTCCCCCAGCATGAGCCCCATCACTTCCATAGGAACACCGGCGCGGCCGTGTCGCAGCATCTTCAATAGCGCCAGTGATGAAATGTAAACCGTCTCAGAGTTGTCAATGAGGTTTGTGTTGTCCTGCAATTACACAAAGGGCACAAGTTAGTTTCCTGCGAAGACAGCCAAAGCACCAGGGCTCGGGAGCTGCACGTACCGTGCCGTGGGCGGCTCCAAGGGCGCCTATGCCACCACCGAGCAAATTTCTGAATCGTTCCATCGTTAAGGGCGTAGAATGTAGTTTTGAGGGGAGAAACGAAGAGGTAAAGACCACTGCCTGAAATCAATTCTTGATATCCTCGACGTAAGGTGGTTTGTGTTGAGGTTTGGCTGCTGTGGAGCTAGCTTGCCTTGCGTTGACGCCAGCATCGGCCTGCCTGGAGTGACAAGCTGAGTAATGAAGTCACGTGGCACCCTTTGTCAATGACTGCGCCAAAGCTCTGCCGAGCCCCATATTAACGTGTGGCTTTGATACACGACATCGGGCAAGCCTTAGCCATACCGCCTCAACTTTAATCCGTATTCAGCCATCTACACCAATTGGCGGGAGGGCAGTCGCGACCTTCCTTGCGACGCATCCTTTTAAGCCTGCAACTTCTCCCGTCTTTCGATTTTGTAGGACAATGCGGCTGGCTCTCTAGACACCTACTCTCCTCCCTAAACCGTTATAAGCATTTAATTTATACTCATTGTGCAGACTCATTCTCAACTGCCCAGGCTTCAAAAACCCCAGACTCCCGCTGCGATGGGCGACTCTAATTTGGCCCAGGCCCAGGCCCAGCTGGGCTCTGTCGCCCTCAACGGCTCCTCGCCAAAGAAGGTGGCCTACTTCTATGATTCAGATATCGGTAACTACGCATATGTCACTGGTCATCCTATGAAGCCCCATCGAATTCGTCTTGCGCACAGCTTGATCATGCAGTACAATCTGTACCAGAAAATGGAAATTTACGTGAGTTCTGGTGCCGCCACGACGCCTCGGGAAGATTAAAGGCTGACCTGGTTTCAGCGAGCTAAACCCGCGACGAGAGGCGAAATGACACAATTCCATACCGATGACTACATTGATTTTTTGCAAAAGGTCACTCCAGACAATATGGACAGTTACATGCGTGAGCAGGGCAAATATAACGTCGGCGACGATTGCCCGGTCTTTGATGGGTTGTTCGAGTTCTGTGGAATCAGTGCTGGTGGAAGCATGGAGGGCGCTGCCCGCTTGAACAGACAGAAATGCGACATTGCTGTCAACTGGGCTGGTGGCCTTCACCATGCCAAGAAATGTGAAGCAAGTGGTTTCTGCTATGTCAACGGTAAGTTCTGCCACCACCACACGCCAAATTCGGGGCTTCTAACAAAGTTAGATATTGTTCTCGGCATTCTCGAGCTTCTGCGATTCATGAAGCGCGTCCTCTACATCGATATTGACGTTCATCACGGTGATGGGGTCGAGGAAGCGTTCTATACGACCGACCGTGTTATGACAGTATCCTTCCACAAGTACGGCGAATACTTTCCTGGCACCGGTGAATTGCGAGACATCGGCATTGGACAGGGTAAAAACTATTCTGTGAACTTTCCGTTGCGCGATGGTATCACCGACCAGACCTACAAATCGATTTTTGAGCCAGTCATCGAGAGCGTTATGAAGTACTACCAGCCTGAAGCCGTTGTTCTCCAGTGCGGCGGTGACAGTTTATCTGGCGATCGCCTGGGTTGTTTTAACCTGAGCATGGATGGTCACGCTAACTGCGTGAACTACGTCAAGAGCTTCGGGCTACCCACCTTGGTCCTGGGCGGTGGTGGTTACACGATGAGAAACGTTGCTCGTACATGGGCATATGAGACTGGTGTTCTGGTTGGCCAAGAAATGGACCGTACTTTACCATACAATGAATACTACGAAGTAAGTTGCAGCTGATGTTGTTACCGCCCCCGAATTCGATGGCTAACTGGCTATAAGTACTATGCTCCGGACTTCGAGTTGAACGTGCGAGCTTCAAACATGGAAAACTCAAACAGCAGAGAGTATCTAGATAAGATCACCGTCGCAGTCATCGATAATCTTCGTCAGACTGGGCCTGCTCCCTCAGTTCAGATGCAAGACGTGCCGCGGAAGCCATTTGGCGGTATGACTGATGAAGAAGAGGCCGAACTAGATGATTTAGACGAAGACGAAAACAAGGACGTTCGAATGACTGAGCATCGCTGGGACAAGCATGTTGAGAATGGGGCGGAATTCGAGGCCAGCGACGACGACGAAATGGCTGCTGCAAATGGTGCAACTCGAAGCAATGGAAACAAGGGGACTTTCAATGACTTCAAGAGCGCTGATGCAGCGGAGGATTCTCGCAGCAAGTCGCCCAGGGAGAAACAGGACGACAACACTAAGGAGGCCGTCGAAGCCGAAACTCACGATGTGAACGATGACACGATTGAGGACGTCGGGGCTATGGAAGAACAGGAGAATCAGGCTGCTGAACAAGAAGAGAAAGAAGACCAAGACTTGAAGAAGAATAAGGTCGATGCTGACGGTGATGTCGGTATGACATACTCGAGTGTCGCCGACGAAGCCACCATCAAAAAGGAGGAGGGCGAACCCGAATCTGTGCCCGAGGATGAGAAGGAGCCAGAGAAACCTACGGAAGAGAAGCCTTCTGTTGCGGAACCAGACAAACCCGCCGAGGCTGAAGGGGCCACAGAAGTCAAGGCAAGCGACAAGCCTGCGGTTGACCAGGTGTCCGAAGAACCGGTCGAGAAAGAAGGCGAGGCCCAAGCAACAACTGAAGCTGAAACAGAACCTATGGAAGTCGACGACAAAGAGAAGTCTGAGGACAAAGCTGAGTTTCCAAGTAGTAAATTCCTACTCTGATGAGGAACGGACAGCTTGATTGGTCAGCTTTGAGGTGTATTTGTTTTCCAAAGCTTCCAGCGCATGTCCTAGCTTGGTTGGCTTCTAACGCCATGCTGGACATGATGTATTGTACAATCTTGGGACGAGCAGCGAGCTGGCCTGACGGGGCGTTTTCGGCGTACAGGCATAGCGATACTACAAAGTTAGTTGGGAGGTTCGCTAGGAGCAGAGCCGTTTGGTTAATTAGCTCTGTCTTTCGGTATCGGTATACATTTTAGCCACAGAATTGAATTTTTTGCCATTTGAGAGGGTTATGCATAGGAGCCAAGGATTCACAGCTGACTTGTAAATTGAGGTGTACTTATTGGACCCTGGCCCAGGCTTTAACGCGCACCCCACCACGTTCCTTGTAACCAGGTTTTTTCCTCTCCCAGCATCTGGAGGCTGCCAAACCATGCTTCTCCAACAGCTTTTTTTATGCGGGGACCAAAATTTGGCAATTCAGTTTATCGGCGCCGCATGGCACCCCACGCCACACCACCTTTTGATCTGTCCCGACACCAACCTCACAATTGATTGAAAGTCTGTAGCTTGACCGCCAGCTCAAGACGATTCTCTCCATCAATGTAGCGACTATTTCCGATTCACACCCTTTCAACGCCCTCGACCCATCCGAGGTTCCAAACACACCCCTCTCAAAGACTCTAACCTGAGTCACCGAACACGCAAAATGCCTGCCTCAGCGGCACCCGTCGCCGCAGGCGGGAGCGAGTCGGATGGCGCGAAGCTCGCCGTCTGGAAAGAAGCTCTCTACGAACGGTGCAAAGAAGCCGGCCCGGGCAACGACTTGTTCTCGCAAGATGACCTGCTGCGACTGGACGTCATCCCCAACAAGGACCTGCTGCTGCTGGCGCGGGTGGTGCAGTCGCTCAGCGACGACAAGCTGTTCATCACCATGAGGGAGGCGAGCGGTCAGGTTCTCTGGAAATGGCGAGATGCGCAAGAAGCACACAAGTGAGTTTGCGACTTCCCCCCTCCCCCTCCGGATATTTACCCCTCCCAGGCTCCTAGCAAGAAACGTTTTTTTTTTGTCGCCGTGCAAGTGGCCAGTGCTGACTCCGAGGCCCTGCAAGATACAAGCAGTGCTCAACCGACGAGCAAGTCATGGTGTACTCGCTCATCGACGACTCCGGCGGCGACGGAATATGGTCGCAGACGCTCCAGAAGCGGCTCAACATGCACGACAGCGTGCTCAAAAACGCCATCAAGCAGCTGCAGACCAAGGGACTCATCGCGCCCTTCAAAAACGTCGAGCACCCCAATAAAAAAATGTACATAAAGGCGTCGATCCGGCCCAGCGACCGCGCCACCGGAGGCCCGTGGTACACGGACCAGAACCTCGACGAGGCCTTCATCGAGGAACTACAGCGCGTGGTGTTCGATTTCGTCAAGCGCCAGAGCGGATACCGTAGCACCCATGGCGGTGCCGGCGCCAGCGCCAGCGCCAGAAGCCAAGTGCCTACAAAGGGTGTCATCAAGGGCACCGCTGCAGACAAGGGCAAGAAGCGCGACGCAAGCGAGATGAGTAAGCCTCCCGCCAAGGCAGTCAAGGCCTCTGCAGGCGCGACTCCAAGGCGAGAAGCGGCTCTGTTGCCTCTTCCTGCGGGCTATACGGCGTACCCAACGGTTCGAGATATCGCCCGCCTCTTGTCGAGTAGTGGTATTACGAATAATACGATCTTGTCAGAAGAGGATGTTAAGAAGCTTGTGGATGTGTTGGTGTGGGATAACCTCATTGAACCCATTAAGATTGCTGGTCGGATGGGGTATCGTGTCTCCAGAGTCGCAAAGCAATCGCCTCAAAATTGGGCAGGGAGAGAAGATCCTACAGGGCGCAGTGGCGACCCAGAGCTTTATCTCAGCCCTTATACGGAAGCGCCCTGCGGGAAGTGTCCTGTTTTCGAGCTCTGCGAAGAAGGGGGCCCTGTGGGACCTAGCAATTGCGAATATTTCAAAAGGTGGCTAGGGTCGGATGTCATCTGATAAATGACAGCATGCGATGGCAGATGGGTGGTCAGGTGGTGCGTGCCGCGACTGCTTGTATGAGTACAGAACGGTGGTTACTGTCATTTTTGGGCTTTTTCTCGTGCTGGTGGGTAAAGGATGCATGGCTTGGGAGTTTTGGCGGGCTGTTTTATGTGTTTTTCTGGAATCAGCCAGATTTATCTTGGCTAAGCATGGCATGGCGCATGGAAAAATGTAGACAAAAAAGGTTCGACCAGTAGGCATATTCTTGTCTTACACATCATGTCTGAAATAAACCCACCATCACACATGCTAATGTTATGGAATATGAAGCCTTAACGCTCAATTTTGAGGAGCAGGAAGTCGGAAAGTTCAGCTTTTCAAGTATATTGTAAGGCAGCTGGTAGGCAGAATGAACTGCCATTCAATGGTAAACCGCCGCTATCGATGTATCCAATATCCGTTTTTCCATCCCAAGAACAAAAACAGGATGATAATGGTAATAATGCAAGGCTAATATCACAATTTACAGCTCACCAGACTTGACGATGGTGGGGCGTTTGCTGTACTTGACAGTACCGCTCTGGGAACCAGTGGCCTCGAGGGCCTTGACAATGTTCAAGGACTCCTCGTCAGCGACTTCGCCAAAGACGACGTGCCGTCCGTTGAGCCATGAGGTAACGACAGTGGTAACGAAGAACTGGGAGCCATTTCTGTATAGATTTGGGTCATTTATGTGATTCTTAAACGGTAGTGCGAGGGAGTTGTCTCGGCATGGATTGTAGAGCTGGCACTGTAGCCGTGACGCGGGGACTTACGTGTTGGGGCCGGCGTTGGCCATGGACAACAGTCCAGGGCGGTCGTGATTCAGCTTGAAGTTCTCGTCGGCGAATTTGTCACCATAGATGGACTTGCCACCAGTGCCCTATCAACTTGTCAGTGCTTGTTGAAAACAAGCAAATTATAGAAATCCTTCGTACATTGCCACGCGTGAAGTCACCACCCTGAAGCATAAAGTCGGGGATGATGCGGTGGAAAGACGATCCAGAGTAACCAAAACCCTTTTCACCAGTGCAAAGAGCGCGGAAGTTCTCGGCGGTCTTGGGAACGACGTCGTCAAATAGGTTGAAGCTGATGCGACCAGACTGCTCTGTTTCGCCAGAAGTGTCAGTTTTCGATTCTTCCAACGGTGGGTGAATTGGCGGCGGAGAATCAACACGGAAAGGTGACCGAAGGAATTTACACGCATCACCAGTGCTACCAGGATGGCATGGACTCGAAATTGTCCATTTGTTAAAGAGCTCATCCACCGCCACTGGCGTATCTAGGACACAAAGAGGCCAAAACAAAGTACATACCTTTGACAGTATTGGTAGGCTTGCCGCCCTGCATGACAGGACCCTCCCAGGTAACGTCGAAGAAGCTACCACCCCAAGTCAGATGTGGTTCGAAAGACCAATTGGCGATTTAGGCATAGGAATAAGAATGAAGAGACTTACACCTTCTTGCCCATGGCTGCGGAGGTAACAGAAAAAAAACGGGTGGTTTGAAATCTGTTTGACGCAGATGCAAGTTGAGGGAGAGAAAAAGGTCTGGCGCCGGGAGCGCAGAAGGTGTGGCGGGGTAGGAGGGGTCGAAGAAGTGTTGATCGCATTGTGAGGCAGCTGGAGGGGTAAAATGTTAGTGGCGGGAGCCAGGACCAATAAAAAAGGCACCAGGAGCTGGCAAAGAAAGAGCCAGTGTGGGTGGGCAATTGGAGGGAAGGCAGCGGCTGGATGGAGCAGACAGCTCCAGCATGCAGCCTTCACGGGCAGGGGACCACGACCACCGTCGAACAGCGTTGGTAGTTCAAATGCTGGTGCGCAAGTTGGTCCAATGTTTGTGTGAAGCTCGCCATGGACGCGGGAGCCGCCAACTTGGCCATCAAGTGTTGGTCCATTCGACAGTCGCAACGACCACGGCTGCGATTGGCTTTGCCTCTGCTATCAACGGCAACAGCGGCATGCACGCCAGTCCTGCACATTCAATGACAGATCCGCGAAATCCCGCCATTTTCCCGATCATCGCCATGGCTACGGACGGTGAGAGGCAGAACCATGTTGTTCGGCGCGAGTGGATCTGCCCCAAGAGCCAATAGTCAGGCAAACACAGCCCACTCGCTGACAGCTCGTCGACGAAGCTTGTTGCTCAGCAAAGTGCCATGGTGATGTGCAACTTGCAGCTCTAGCATGAACGATGCGTCTCTGCAAATGGGCTGGACCTGCTTTTGACGGCGGAATGTGCCATTGACCAGCTGTGCATGCATATGCGTGTCGAAGGTGCCGGCGGCAACCAAATGGGCTCTTCACTGATGCTGAGGAGTTGACTGACTTCGCGCTGTTGCTGCCGACAGGGATATCTGCATCGAACATTGGCAAGAAAGAAAGCGCCTCAACGTACCTAGAAGGCAAGGGCCTTTGAATTGATAGTACAGTAAAATACAAACAAGGGTTGCAAGAAATTTGTTGATGATTGAATGCTAATGGCAAACTCGGTTGACCAAGTTGGAGGGCTCGCCAGAAAGGGGAAAAGTTTTGGCCGGGTGGCGACGGGCTGGGATGCGCGCCTGAAGTCTCAGGTACCTTGTTCCCCTGGGACGCAAATTGGATTGCTGGACACATCAATGCCAATATCTTTCGTACAAGGCACTCCACAGACGGCCAAGCAACTCGATAATGGTTTCATTGCAAGCACAAAATACCTGGAAGAATATTAGGTTCCTCCATCCTAATTTACTCCTCTTGACCTTGCAAGCACTCTTGGGCTCTGAAGGGAATTAGAGCGCCACCATGGTACACCTGAATCAAGTCACGTGACCATGCCTTCCCCTGGTCGTTCATGGGCTGGGGGTGGACTCCACGACCTGAAGCCCGAGAGACCAGTTGTCCAGGTTTGGGTTTCCAGTCCATCGACGACAGTACTCTCACCCTTGCGAATAACGCCTCCCGTGCACGTCGCGGCCTCTCAATAATCGCTATTCATCTCGCTCCTAGAGCCTAGTCTTGTCTTTGGATTTTTCGCAATGGATTTAAACGATCTCAAGAGCACCGTCTCCAACCTCACCTTGTACGATCTCAAGGCAGGTTTCCGCAAAGCCCAAAATGGTAAATGAATTTCATCCCAACTCCGGTGAGCGGCATTCTGACATTATTTCGATAGCGGTTATGAACTATACAGAAATGGAGGCGAAGGTGCTACTCTACCAACAACTCAATTATGCGAACCCCGGGTCTGACATCGTTGCAATAGGTGCGAGAAGCTACCAACAATGAGCCATGGGGCGCTTCGTCTACATTAATGCAAGAAATCGCCAACGGCACATTCAACTAGTACGAAACCGGGCGAAACGTTTCTTTCAAATGGCTAACCTGAGACCAGCCAAACACTCAACGAGATTATGCCCATGATCTATCGCCGATTCACCGAAAAGGCCGCCGAGGAGTGGCGACAAATCTACAAAGCGCTACAACTGCTCGAGTTTCTCATCAAGCACGGCTCTGAACGGGTCGTTGATGATGCTCGGGGACATATCACTCTCCTGAAGATGCTGCGACAATTTCACTTTATTGATCAGAACGGCAAAGACCAAGGTCTCAATGTGCGGAATCGAGCCAAAGAATTAGCCGAGCTTCTGGGCGACGTTGAGCGCATCCGATCTGAGCGCAAGAAAGCGCGGGCAACCAAGAACAAATACACCGGCGTTGAAGGCGGCATGACCTTTGGAGGTGGCTTTTCTGGTGGGAGCGGTAGTAGATATGGCGGATTCGGCAGTGAATCGGGAAACTACGGCGGCTACTCCGGCGGTGTTTACGGAGACGGCGGCGGCTTCGGTGGCCAGCATGATGGCTACCGCGAGTCGGGCGGTGGTGGTAGCAGTGGTGCCGGCCGGTCCGATGGGTTTGAGGAGTATGACGAGTTCAACGAAGATGAGCGACCATCGAGAGCTTCACGCAAGTCCGACCACACATCCACCAAGAAACCAGCTGCCGAACCAGCAAAGAAGAAGGAGCCTGAGGTTGACTTGTTCTCATTCGATGACCCAGTTCAAAGTTCAAGCTCCGCGACCCCTGCTGCGACCCAAAGCTCAGGCCTGGCCGTTTTGGCTGGGCCGTCTAGTGGCAATGTCGGCGCAGACGATGATGACGATTTTGACGATTTCCAGTCTGCAACACCGGCAACTCAGCCGATTGTTCAACCTTTAACAACTCCTCTCACTTCAACAGCCACCTCAACGGCACAATTCGCCGCGCCCCAACCAGTGTCCGCTCCCCAGACTGCCAACCTTAGCCAGATGGTCAACACTTCGTCTATCTCACCCGGGCCCAACTCCAGCGCTACCCATGGCGCCAATTACTCTGCCTTTGCTGTCCCAATGACCCAGAACCAGCCTCCCAAGCCAACTGGCTTCCAACCTGCTGGTCCGAACTACTTCAGCGGTGTTCCATCTCAAGCACCTAACCCAGCTCCGACCAACATGTCGGCTATGGGCAACATGGCTTCAACCGGACCAACAACAATGGCGAACATGAAGCCTGTCACCAGTCCTGGGTCTAAGCCAGCCGGAGCCAGCGGTGGTGATGCATTCGGCGCTCTCTGGGGCAAGGCTAGCTCCAGCATCAAGAAGACCGACAAGTCAGCCAGCGGGCCTGCAATGGGACAGCTTGCCAAGGAGAAAAGCAGTGCTGGTATCTGGGGAGCGCCAGCCGTGTCCTCCCAGCCCGGTTCCGCAGCTGGAAACAGCGGGTCAGCATCTGGTGATCTGCTTGGCTAGGTTGGCATTGTATGGATCGTTTTGCTTTGACCTCGAGTTTATTCACGCAAATCTAGCAACGGCTCCTGATGCGGGACTAAAATTGCACGTACGGGCCATTGGGAAGGATTGGCAATGGCTAATCTACAACGCACGCATTGAGCAAGCATGTTTGAAGTTGAGACTTTTAGATAGGCGTATGGCGCAAGAAAATGAAATTGAACCAGCCATCAGCCATACCGCATGCCACCGTATAGACGGACATGAAACCCACCGTCAAGCCTCAATTATCACAATACACAATCGGCATTTAGAATCAGCTGAAAACAAGCTTCTGCGGGCCATTGCATCCATTTTTAGCTCATGGCCGCCAGAGAAAATGTCCGTCAGGCCTTGCAGGGCCAGAGCTGCCCGCCATGGTCCCTCTCATTTGGCCATGCTGCGGCCGGGCAACGCATAGCCGGGTTTGTGGGTTCATGGCAATCGATCAAACGAACCAAGCCCAATCGCTCAACGTCTTGGGCCTTGGTCTGTTGCTACCAAGACCAGCCGAGACCCGGGCAGACGCGCTTAAATCGTGCGAGTGCAGCAAGGTTGTGTAAGCGCCGGCTTTTGCGTCGTGGTGCAGAGAGCACAGTGATTGGTCAACCGGGCGGCTGCCCACACTGGCCAACGTCTCATACATGCTTGTCAAAGATGTCACCGCTGGTCCCCTCCGGGTGTGAGTCGTTGATGAGTCGTTCACCAAGGATGTGAACCGGGTTTGTGTACATATGTGGTCGCCGGAGGCTCAAAATTTGAAACGGCGACGGCCCATGTCGGTACATGTGGACGGCAGCGTCGCTGCATTTAGAAACCAGCACTACATTGCCGGGTGGTACACATGGTGGCATGGCCGCAGGAAGATGCATGGCCTTGGTCTGGTATAAAAGAGTCCAACATCCTACCTAAACGTAGCCTCGTTCTTCTTCACTCTCAAGTCAAAAAACATCTACTGTGTTGGAAGGAACTGTTTCTTTCCTTTGTCTCTTTTTTTTTTCTTTTTCCTTTTTCTCCCTCTCACACCTTCTTTTCTCGGGTTCGGACTAGGGGTCTCTCTGCGCATTTAAGATCAACCATCTTTGCTGTTTCAACGTTTTGCGTATTTCCTCTTGTTGAAATTTACACATTCTCTCACTGTGCTTGAAGGAAACAGACTCGAAAGATCCGGATATCCATCCATTCTCTTCACAACAAAGAAACGCCAGCTTCAGCCCGTCTCTCGCTTGCTGCTTGTTTTTATTTTTGAGTCTTTGCTCCAACTTACGCAGTCGGGCAAAGGCTTCTTTTGCACCAAACTCACGATTTCGCCCACCACGCCTCCGCCGGCTATTGTGCCGTTCTACTCGAAACATTTCCCTCTTTGCACGGCCAAGTGCTCGTCTCGACCTCGGCTTTCGCTCGATATTCCCACTGGAGTCACTGCCAAAATGCCTGCTCCTCCAGCGTTGGGTGCCCTGGGCATGACGTTTACGGCCATGCGCGCTCTACAGGCCATTTCACTGATCACCATTATTGGGCTGGCTTCGAATTTTATTTCCGAAATGGTGACTGCCAGCTACGTGCCTCCGCCTGCGCTGGTCGGCACTCTTGTCGTTGTACGCTTCTCCGTGGCGAGTGTAAAAAGGGTTTTGGCTGACTGACTGAACACTAGGCTTGCATCACTGCTGTTTACACCGTCATCACGTACATTCTCTACTGGGACTCGATGCTCCCTCTGCTGATTTCCACCGGTGCCGATGGCCTTTGTCTCGTCGCCACCATCGTGGTGGCTTGTGTCGTCGGCAAGCCCGTCAGCTACCTCTCGTGCCCTTCGCTCCCCGACAAGGGCAACACAGCCAACTTCATACACTCCCTTTTCCTCAATCTCTCACGCAAGAACTACTTTGAGTGGGTTGACCCAGACAAGGCAACCTGCTTTGAGATCAAGGCCATCTGGGGCCTCAGCATCTGCCTCTGCGTCCTCTACTTCATGTCCGCCGTCACGTCGGCCTGCCTCTGGAAACGCATCAAGGGCGGCAGCCGGCCCCCTCCCAAGGACTTGGAATGAGGGTACGGCCGTGGGGAGGTTCCGGCCGGGAGGAAAAGATTGGCAGCGCCGCCTCGGGCTCCGCGAGAGCTGCATAGGGCAAAGAGCCTTGGCACAATGGCCATGGTTCACCCGGACAAGAGATATGATAGCGACTCGGGCAGCGACGATGCCGTCAGCATGAATATCCCTTATCAGGCTCGTGGGTCTGTTTATTCATCGTTTCCTCCCCCGCCGGCCCCCGCGGCGACAATTCGCGAAAAGCGAGCTCGCCTTCAGCCTCCGCCTCGACCTGTCGAGACGATCCCTCCGTTGCCGCCTGTGCCTGTTGTTGTACCGCAGCCAAAGTCACCCGTGGGTTTGGGGTTACTGAGTCCTCCTCTGACCGCGCTCAGGCCTAAACGGAAGACCATCTTGGAGAGGATTGACGGGTGGTGGGATTTGGGGCTGCTGGAGAAAAGGCAGACTCTTTTTGGCAAACACCGTAATGAGTTGCATTAGAATTAGTTTTTGATTTGGCTTTGGCTTTGGGGAAATATTCAGATTGCCTGCTAAGACTTGGTTCAGGACTTAATCGTTCGTTGTTTTCTGTTTGTCTTTTTTGAAGGGGTAGGGGGCTTTGGGTATAACACTGGCATATCATGGGATCGTGACAAAAACTGACAATTAATTGATTAGGTTGTTGGTTTGATTTTTTATATTTTGCTAGGTCAGAATTGCATTAATGTTGGTCAAGGTTTCGACATTGTGGGGTGAAACCGCTTTTAGATGGTGATAAGCAACTCGGGCATAGGAATATTTAAACAATAAAATAAAAAAAAGATTGCATGGGGCTGTTCTTCTTATTAGCGTATAAATAATTGCTATTACTTTCCGTATTGCCTCTGCTCGATTGATGAATTGATTGCATGTGAGTAATGTCTTTGTAATAATTCTCAAGTCGCGGGTGTAAATACAGGGTAACCTCGCGCAATGCTGTGAGGCCAATCAGAGTAATAGTTGGCAAATAAAAAAAGGGGAAGCGTGATGACAAATGGGCGCCAAGCACATCAGCCACCAACGATCCACTCTTAAGGCCCTTGAAGTTGATCGCAACAGATGGCTGTGGCATTGCCTCACTGCATCACAAAGAACAGAGGCGCATCAACGGTTGCGATTTAACTACCCGACATATGCTCTCTGCCTACACGGCCAGTGAGACCGTGCCCCAGAAAAATGTCCTACCCAACGTCCAAAATATCGGCCCTTCGACAGCTCATGTCCAACAGTAAGACCCGCTCCTCCGGGGGCTGTTGGACCTGTAGAATGAGACGCAAGAAATGCGCCGAGAACCGGCCAGAGTGCGATACCTGCAAGGCTCTTGAAATCACCTGCTATTTCCAGGACGAAAAGCCGGATTGGATGGATGGCGGACCCAAGCAGAGAGAGATGGCTGATAGGATCAAGGCCGAGGTGAAGAAGCAGGCCAGCCAGAGGAGGGATCGCAAGTATCTAGAGATGCTGGAGGCAGGGACCAAGATGGTGAGCATAAGCGACACTGACGATCCACAGGCCAACGGGGGCCGTGGAAAGGCCCCCATGTCTGGTGCTTCAGATACCGACCCGTCGCCTCGTAGCCATGGAATTGGCTCATCGCCAGAATCAAGCAACACGAATGGCGCCTCACCGCCCGAAGTGCCGTGGCACAGCCAGGTCTTTGTGCGGCAAGAGGATATTGACGACAATGGACTCGACAACGACCTCCACTTCTTGATGATTTATCTCGATTACGTCTTCCCCTACCTGTTTCCCCATTACCGGCCGCCGGTTCTTGCGGGAGGCCGTGGCTGGATCTTGGACATTCTGCAACGCAATAAATGCGTCTATCACACTGCGGTTTCGCTGGCAAACGCATTCTTCGCCATTGTTCTGGCAGATGGAAAGCAGGAGCACGAGCAGTGTGCGATGCGCATGGTGCACAGCCTGGAGAGCCAGCTTGAACTCGGCCTCAAAGAACTGTCCAAGGAGATGTGCTTGATCAACGCCAGCAAAACCGGCTTCGACAAGGAAAAGGGTCTTGTCGTGATGCAAAGCATCATTCAAATGCTCTTCTTCGAAGTCGCGACCTCCAAGAAGGAGAACTGGCGACTGCATCTCGATGCTGCGATCGCATTGTTTGTGCAGATATTGTCCGAACCGGAACAGTGGACGGGGACGCTGCACAGCCTGTACAGTCCGCGGTGGCCTCCGCCTGAGATTGGCGCGAGAAGACCCTGGAGCACCAACCAGGCGGCCCTGCGATTTTTCACGGCGACGCTCATATACATTGATGTGCTGTCGAGTGTGACGCTCGGAAGCTCACCGCGCCTGCTCCGATATCACGACACCGTTATCCCAGCGTGTGCAGAATTCCAAAGAAGTATCGAGCCTACGCCTGCGGGGCCGCTGACCATGGATGAGTTCTTCGGCTTGCCCAACTGGATTATCCAGCTTCTCGGCAACGTAGCCGCGTTGGAATCCTGGAAACGCGAACAAAAGCAAATGGGCTCACTTTCAACGGACGAGCTGGCATCGCGAGGAAAAGTGCTCTCCGACGGAATCAAGACCGGGCTTGACCTTTTAGAGAACCACCCGGAACTGCGATACCCGCCCCAGGGTGTATTCCCGCTGCTCGTCGCAGACCCTGTGACGGGAGCCCACGCAGAGGCGCAACCGAGGTTCCAGATGATTTGGCTGCTTGCAACGCTGAGCTACCTGCATGTCGTCGTCTCAGGATGGCAGCCGTCCAGCTCTGAAATTCGCTGGTCTGTGTCCAAGGCAACGGAGCTGCTCACCTCGCTCCCGACAGGAGCCTGGCTGAGAGCGGTGGCTTGGCCCATGTGCATCTGTGGTTGTCTTTCGCCGCCAGAAGACGAAGACAAGTACCGCCAAATTGTACGGCGACTTGGCGCGCTGCAAATATTTGGCACTGTCAAGGAAGGCATGGAGGTCATGGAGAAGGTGTGGTCCATACGCGGACAGATTGACGAGTCCTGGGACGTGGCACGTTGCTTGAATATATTGGGATATGGAATACTATTGATCTGATGCTTGCCGCATGGAGTAACTAACTACATTTTGGCTGTTTTGCGACGGACTGCGCATATAAATGATAAAACGATTCATGAGCGGCCTTGGGTTTTGTAAATATCACAAGGAATAAATAAAACGACTTATTGCACTTGAAACTTAAATCCCATCATTGTGGGCTTTGTGCTCTTACACGTTACAGAGACGTCAACTGGTAATTGAGTCGCGACAAGACCCAGTGCTCAAACTTGCGCACACGGTACCAAACCACCCGCCTTGCGATCACAACGAACACAACGCATCTCATCAAACCCTCACCAGGCCCGCCATTTATATAGCAACACTGAAGAGAAACAAATCGCCTCTTAGGCAGCCAGGTCCTTGGTCTCATCTCCCCATAAACCGAAACAATGCGCCCATGGACCCTATGTATCCGGGGGCAATTGTGGAAACTTGATTCCGCAGCCGGATGATGGTGCACAGTGCTTCCGAAGAGCGCTTCCACCGTCACGTCGCACACCAACTTCCCAACTCCACCAACACAACACATCCGGCCATGCATCGACGAGCCGCACTTCAATGGAGGACGACAACGGCAGACAAACACCCGGAGGGCCAGGACCGCCCCGGTACATCCGCAGCCGCATTGCCAACGCGTGCGATGGGTGCAAAGCGCGCAAGGTCAAGTGCGATGGGAAACTACCCTGCGGCTACTGCGCAGGGCGACAGCGGCCGCAGGCGTGTCACTACTCGCCACAACGGCGCAGGACGACGGCAAGCAGGAGAGTGTCAAAGAGTGTCGACGATGAAGGAGTGGGCGGAAGGGCGCTGAGGACTCGACCGGCTGCCGTGCACGATTCTGCGCAGGGTGCTTCGACGCCGAGGACGCGAGATTCCGCCGCCAGAACCGCCGATGATCGGCAGGCAGCTGTGAATGTGAATGGCCCAGCCGAGCCCTCGGCTGAGGACGACACTGAAGTTCCACGGGAGGCACGGCTGCTGTGCGATGCGCAGGGAAAGCTGGTCTTCATCGGAGACTGCGCGCCACTGTCGTTTTTCCAGTCTGTCCGACAACTCGTCACCAGCAGGGTGGGACAACACGCCTTTGCACCAGAGAGCAGCCGCTACTCGGTCCTGGAGAACGTGCCCGCTGGGTATTCGACGAGGGAGCGAGCCGGCGGCGGGTTCGGAAGCCCGCCGGACGTCGGGGGCGTTGATTTCGACGCCATTGTTGCCAGTTATCTGGCGACGACGACGGGGCTGGCCGACTTGTTCGACAACGCAAAGCTGCTGAGCGATTTGCTGCTGTGGGCGAACCATGGACGGGGGTCGGATGAATTGACGTCGGTTGTCAACTATCTTGTTCTGGCCATCGGGAGCCTCAAAGACCACGAGGCGCTGTCGCAGGGGTACTTTGAGTATGCGCGGAGCAAGGCGTACGCCACGTTGAGCGGCAACTTGAGCGTCGGGACGGTTCAGGCCTTCATTCTCATCACCATATACATGCTTTGTTCATGCCAGATAAACGGCGCGTATTTGTTCTTCGGCATAGCCGCCCGGGCGGCGTACTCCATCGGCATCCATCGAACCGAAGTGAATGCTCGATTTGGAGCCCACGTGCACCGACAGAGGGATCGGCTGTGGAAGAGCGTTCGGATAGTAGATTTATTTCTGAGCACGTCTATGGGCAGGCCGCCGTCCGCTTCGGATGTCGACTGCACTGTTCCGTATCGAAATGTCGACGGCAACGGCGACGAGACCTTTGACCTGTTGAATGCCTCGGTACAGATCCTGCTTATTACAGAGACAGTAGTGGTGGAAATCTACTCCAGACGCAAGATCTCGCTGCAGCTCACCGAGGGAATATCACACCAGCTACGGGACTGGTCAGGGCGCTGGCTGCAGCAACTCAAGGATGTCATTGCTCGAACCGATTCTCGCAGCACGGCCGAGATGAGCGGTGCTTGCCAGGTTTTGTCATCATACTACTATGCTGTCATGCTTGTTTCGAGACCATTTCTCATGTATGAGCTTGTGAGGAGGCTATCCGACAGTCAGTCGGCGGCTGGAAGGTCGCCCCTTACATCTGGGAAGTCGAAGCTTGCGGATGCATGCATTGATGCTGCCAGTTTAATGGTCGACCCGATACTGGATCTGATTGACCGAGGCATCTTCAACAGCCGAGCGCCGCTCATCGTGTAAGTGCCACAGCTGCTGCCAAGTGCCGGAGAGGTTCGAGGCTAATACTTGTTTTACAGCTCTTGGTTGTTCGCGTCTGCTCTCGTCTTGGGTGTCGGTCTCCTGGGCGGGTTTGGCCGCATTCTTGAAAAGTACTGCCGCATGTCCATCCAAGCGCTCGATCACTTTGCCAAAGCTGACGGCCACGCCACCCAATACTCGCTCATTGCTCAATCCCTCCTCATGACGGCGCTGGAGTATCTCGAGCGACGGGAACTCCAGGAACGGCTGCGAAGAACAGAAAACTCGAGCCAACTATTCGGCTTGATGCCGCCGGAACCGCGGACAACGCCCGGAGAATCCACACCGGGTAGGGATTCATCCCAGCACACTAGCAGAAGTCCTGCGGCTGTGACGTTTCGGGGACGGGAGCCACTGGACAGGTCATTCTTGCAGCACCAGGGCTTGCAGGGTGTTCCGTCTCCGCGACTGGCCGAGATTGATTCGGCGTTTTTGGGGTTGACCGAGTCACTGATGCAGACGCCGGATGATAATTATTGGAATGGGACCGTAGGCAATGACGGGGATGCAGGGTCGGCATTGAATCTGTTTCCCCTACTGGAGGCTGGGGGAGGGATTGATTTGGCGCATTATTTTTAGGGCCGGCACTATCGGCGGCAATATTTGATGTACATCTATGTCTGATGAATTCATGTATAACGAAGGGACTACAAAGGGCGAGTATTATAGGGCAATAGATCCAACCCCACGGATTATACCTCGTACTGCGGTTTCGTCATTGCGTTGGAGTGCTGGGTTGTTTTTGATAACCGAGGATCCGAACTTCCGCAACTAGCCCCCAACACAACTCCTATTGTGGAAGGTGGAAATGGAGCAGGCAAGTTCATCAAGTAATGAATATGTAACAATGTCGGATGGACGCGCTACCGAGCCATTACGTCGGATTTTCTATCCGGCAAAGAAGACCTTCTGACTCCCAACGAGTTGAGACCCGCGTACGAGGCACCAAGATAAACTCCGCCAAAAAGGGGGGACTCCTTCCATGATTCAAATATGCATCGTCATGCTCTATGCCCAGATACAGATGAAGTATTCTGCGCAGCCACGTCCTTGGCATGTTGCGAATTCTCTGCCTCCAAGCCCCTTTTTTGCTCCTCCACAGCCACCGGAGCAATAACGTTGTCTTCTGAGAAATAATTGCTCTCTTGGACGTGAAACACCAGGACCCAGACGATTCCACAAATGCCCAAAGCATACAATCTGCGCGTGGTATTAGCCCGAATCACCCGCGTCGAGAGACGAAACAGACGCAGAAGCCACCTACACCAGCTGCAGCGTAATCTGCCCCAGAAAGCTGACGCCCTCGCCGGCCATGACGAACGAGACCATCATGCCAAACGCCGAGTAAAACTTGAACATGCCCGCCACGCGGGCCAGCACCGCCGGGTCGTTTGTCGTAGCCGACAGCGTGTACTCGACGCACATCTGGTATCCCGCGTACACGGCGCCAAAGAGGACGTAGCACACAAACAAGCCCGGCCACTCGGCGTCGGTCCAGTCGGCGCCGGCGGGCGTCCTCAGCGCGTCCACCCGATTGACCTGCAGCCAGCCGATGAGGCCGGCGCTCGCTCCCACGGCGACGGCGCCCATGCCCGCGATGCCGACGAGGCCCCGCGTCCTCCGGGACCGTATGTACTTGCTGTCGAGGACGAGCACGAGGACGGCGGGGACAAACGCCTGCGTCGCCTGGTAGGCAAAGTTGTTGACAGAGCGCGTGCGCAAGTTAAAGTACCGGGCTGCCCAGTTATTAGCCCTTGTTTTCTCCCCAACAGTCTAGGATACCAGGCGAGGCGCACAATTGACGCTGCTCACGAGAGCCAGCGCCATCTCGCAGACGAGCTGAGCCGGCGCCGTGAAAAGGTACCGGCGGTCAAGCATGACGGCCAGCGTGCCCCTGACCTCAGTCCAGAGCCGGGCCTCCCCAAAGACGGCAATGTGCGTCCCGTCCCGGCGCACCACGCGCCTCGGGTCGACGATGAGCAGGAGCGCGATGAGCACGGCGCTCGTGTGGATAGCGATGAAGGCGACGTACACGGGCGTCGAGACGCCCACCGGCGAGGTCTGGCCGACGGACAGGCCGAGCGAGATGGAGCTCCCCACGATGGCGCCTATGCTTCTCAGAATCCACTGCGTGCTGATGTACTACGTGCGGGATTAGCGTTTCGCGTCCAGAGGCCCCGGGGGAAAGCGGCGCGTGTCGCACCAGGCCCTTGTCATTTTCTTGGGCGTAGCTGAACTGGACGTAGGCGGCGGCCGTCCAGAGGAAGCCGCCCGTGATGCCGAGCATGGCGCCCGCGAGCAGCGCGAACCAGACGTTGCCGGTGCGGTCGTAGTACCACAGGCCGCCGACGTAGCAGGGGTACCCGAGGGATCCGATGGCCAGGCTCAGCTTCGGGCGCAGCATGTTGAGGATGGTGCCGCCGAAGAGGGCGACGAGGGCGAGCAGCCCGTAGAGGAGGGCGTTGGTCTTGTTGGCCACGTCTGCCGAGGACGGCTGGCCGCCGCCGGCGCCGAGGCCCGTGAGCGCCGTGTATATGCCCGGGAGGCAGAGCAAGATGCTGGCGGTGGTTAGTGACTTTTCGGGTGAGACGTGGCTGGTAGGATGGAGGGCGATGCTTACCATCCCACTAGGAAGTTTTGTGTAAATGGCCGGTATAGACTGAATCGTGACGGCAGCGCCATGTTTGGCAAGCCGGAGGGTGTGTTGCGAAGAAGGAAAAGGACGGGAAAGGTGAAGGTGCTGCTGTCTTATAAAGAGGTCTATTGGAGTTGAGATGGACTCCACTTTCTGATAAGTGAGGTGAGATGCTGGCGGGACGTTGCTGGTGCTACTTGAGGTGAAGCTACCTGCTCGTTTGGTCGTTTAGCTGCATGTGCAGATCGACACGTCAGAGCGCTGGAATGAAGGGCCATTGGGAGCGCCGCTTGTTGGGCCTGCATCTTGGGGCCGGATCTACTAGCCGGTGAATTAGTCGCGGTGATGTCGATCCAGGATATTGCTTGGATAACTCGCTAGCAAACGGCTCATGTCGCGATGGTGTTCTGTTGTCGAGTCTGGTCGGATATTAAAAATAAACCCCGGAAGGGATTATCCATCGCATTGGTGGATTCTGTCAATTTGTTTCCCCCGACTTGCTTCGATGCGGGGATCCTGGTCTCTGGGGCTCCTCAGAAACGAGCACGGGGAAATAGTGTAAGTGAGGGGATTGCAATCGATGTAAAAAAATTTAAAAAAAGAGAGAGAGAGAGAGAAAGCAAGAGGTCCTTTAATATAAAGGCGGCGTAGTCAATTTAGTTGATGAATCATATTGATAAATCGTAATTGATCTAGGGAATTCTTTAGGAGCTGAATCAATCAAATGACGTCAATCCATAACAAACTGCTTCTGCCCCGAACCGGAGGCCGATATCCCTGTCCGGCGGGCATAAATTGGACTCAGGGTGCCGAGGAACGGAGCGACTTGCATCTATCATGACTTGTAGAGCAACGGGCCAGATGTACTTTCTCTACTCCCGCCCCAGCAACATGAAGAAAAAAATCACACGCACTCAATATACATGCAAGTATTCGTCAGGGGTCATGACCAATACATGATACAACAGCCTTTATGCTCGTAATGCCATAGTATTCTATAAATCATCAACTGTCAATGGTATTTACAACCCCAGCGCCCCTCGCAAAATCTGCATGTAAGCCCACACGTCCTCAAACCGCGTATACAAGGGAACAGGCGCAACCCGAATGACATTGGGCTTGCGCTTGTCGCAGATGGCGCCATTGTCCTCCAGCGCCCGCGAGACCCTGTCCAACAGGCCCTCCCTCAACAGCACGCTGAGCTGGGTGCCGCGCTGCAGAGGATCCCGGGGCGTCAGGACGGTGAACAGGGGCGCGGCGCCGGGATCGTCTCCCCCGGCCTCGTCGAGCATCTGGTCCAGCAGCAGCTCGGCGTAGGCCGTCAGGACGAGGGCCTTGGAGCGCAGGTCCCGCATGCGCGTCTTGTTGAAGACGGACAGGGCGCCCGACAGCGCCGCCAGGTCAATGGCCGACGGGTTGGAGAGCTGGTAGCCCGCGGCGCCGGGCGTCGGCACAAACGTGCTGTCCATGTTGAAGCGGACGCTCTTGTCGCCGCCGTACCAGCCCGCCAGGCGAGGCCGGTACGAGGGCCTGCCTCCTCCCACTGCGTCGCCGCCGGCGGCCCAGTCGACACGGCCGTGCCGCTCGTGCACGTACGCGCCGGCGATGGAGCCCGGCCCGGCGTTGATGTACTTGTACGTGCACCAGCAGGCAAAGTCGACGTCCCAGTCGTGCAGCCGGAGCTCGACGTTGCCGGCGGCGTGGGCCAGGTCCCAGCCGACGACGATGCCGCGCGCCCTGGCGTAGGCCGTGATGCTGGCCATGTCGAACAGCTGGCCCGAGTAGTACTGGATACCGGGCAGCAGGAGCAGCGCGGTTTCCTCGGCGTGCTCGTCGATGGTCCGGAGGATCTTGTCCGTGGGGATCAGGCTGTTGTCGTCGGGCTCGATCTTGACCATGCTCTTGTCGGGGTCGTGCCCGTGCCAGATGACCTGGCTCTCGATGGCGTAGTGGTCGCTCGGGAAGGGCTTCCATTCCAGAATCACCTTGTGCCGCTTGGCGGTGGGCTTGTAGAAGCTCGCCATCATGACGTGGAGATTGATGGTGAGCGTGTTCATGATGACGATTTCGTGCGGCGAGGCCCCGACGAGGTCGGACGACTTCTTGGCGCAGTCCTCGGCCATGTCCTGCCACTGCGTCAGGGGCGAGTTGTCCATGTCGGTGAAGTGGCCGTTGACGCCAATCGAAGCCCACGTCTCCAGCTGAGCATCCAGGTACTCCCGGACGGCCCGCGGCTGAGCGCCGAGAGAGTTGCCGACAAAGTAGAGGCACGGCTTGTCGGCATCTGCTGGCTGTCCCCCTGCGCCGTTGATGCCATTGCTGGCTGATTGTCCTGATTTGACCCAGTCAGCAAGGTTTCATCCCGAGCCGCGGTTTCACGGTGTTTTGTGAAGAAGGAGATGAGATGAGATGAGACGAGATGAGATGAGTTGGGACATACCTGGGAGAGAACCATCCAAGGCTCTCTTCTTTAGGGAGCCTTTGGTGGGCAGCACAAACTCATCCCGCAGGTGCTTGAGCTGGTCTTGTGAGTCGAGCTTTTGAGCAAAGGCCAAGGTGTTTGCGTCAGCGGGGAACTTGGCGGCTGAGCCGTTCCGCAGCCGGTCGACAAAGGAGGCCAGATCCATGGCGATATGTGAGGCGTGACGAGGGCGATGAGGAGTGAAGGGACGGAAGATGGCGAGAATGACGGCCGCGTCGGACAGCAAGGCCACGGAGTTGGAGATTGGGGAGACGAGGCAGTGCGGAGCAGCACAATGCAAGTCACGAGGGTAATCGAAGGCACTTTATGGTTTCGACGTACACGTTTGCTTCCCCCGTCGTCTTGGGAGGCTTGCCGATGTCTCTAAAAAAAGGCTGGAGGGACCAATGAATGCCGATTTCACTGCGGATGTGCTTTGCTACAGTGATTGCGGCTGTGACTCCTGATGCAACTGCGCATCGGAGATTCGGGGCATTGAAATAAACGGGCGACCCACACGGAAGTATTTTTTTGGATTTCAGTCCCATTCCGTGCGCGCGGGCTCGACATCCGAGCTTCCGTCATCCGAGTACCGCAACAAGCCGCAAGTCTCTATCCATTCAGCAGTCAGTCCCCACACTTTGCCCATTTGGATACTTGCAGGCGAAATGATTCGCAGGAACCGCATGGCATCGCATGGCGGCCATGGCACGGAATGGGATACGGGCATGGCCGGGGGACTGTCGTCACTGGTCAGCAGACATGCAGGTCCGGATGGAGTTGGTTTGCCCGGCATCTGCGAGTCATGGCCTGGGCGCAGCGAGAGCCTGCCTTATCATTCCATGTCACTGCGGATCATCACAACGGCCCCGGAGCGGATGCCGCGACTCGGATGGCGGACGGAAGACGCATTACGCATTACGCAATACTCGAAACAGCAAACTCGTCCAACTATGTCGAGCATATTGATTTGTATTTCATCTCTGTACATCCCTAATCTGCATGTTGTCTTGTCTTTCACAACAACTGGAATTTGCTGCTGATGGTGGGCTTGTCTTAACATCGCCAAGTGACACCGAGACCATCATAGCCGCACAACAACACATCATAGCCCGTGACACATAATGTCACCTCACGCCGTGCTGTCCGGCACCCCCTCGAATGGAAAGCCGACAGTCGACTTGAGCAAATTCGCCGTCACACAAAACGCCTTCCTGCCCGCCACCAGTCCGCCCACGTCTCTCTCCGATTCGTATTATGAGCCCTGGGAACTCATTGCACAGCATCTGCCGGCATTGATCGAGAGCAACCGGATTCGAGACTCCGTCCGTCAGCTGCCCGTGCTATCCACAGATTGCCTCGTCTCCGAAGCGGAATGGAGGAGGGCGTATGTCATCTTGGCCTTCATGGCCCATGCGTATATCTGGGGAGGTGAAAAGCCCGAGCAAGTAAGTAACCAAGCCGTCCACGCCCTCCGTCGGAAGCCAAACTCTGCTAACCTTCCAATCCCAGATCCTGCCGCCGCAAATCACAGTCCCCTTCCTGCGGGTATCGAGCCACCTCGAAGTCCCCCCGGTATTGACCTACGCGGGGGCCAACCTCTGGAACTTCTCCTGCTCCGGGAGCGACTTCACAAACCTGCACAACCTCAGCCTCCCCATCTCATTCACCGGCACCGAGTCGGAATCGTGGTTCCTGCTCATCAGCGTCGCCATGGAAGCCAAGGCAGCCGGCATCCTGCAAACCATGATGGCCGCCCTCGAGGCCGTCAAGACGCGCGACTACCCCGTCATCGCCTCGGCCCTCGGCCAACTACGCAACTGCATCGACGGCGTCGGCGCGCTCCTGGAGCGCATGTACGAGAAGTGCGACCCCATGGTCTTTTACCACCGGATCCGGCCCTTCCTCGCGGGGAGCATGAACATGGAGGCCGCGGGACTGCCCAGGGGCGTCTTCTACGACGAGGGCCACGGCAAGGGCCGCTGGAGGCAGTACCGCGGCGGCAGCAACGGGCAGAGCTCGCTGATCCAGTTCTTCGACGTGGTGCTGGGCGTCGAGCACCGCACCCACGGCAAGCCGGGGCAGGAGAGCTTCCACGCCGAGGTCAGGGGGTACATGCCCGGCCCGCACCGGCGCTTCCTCGTGCACGTCGCCCGGATGGGGAGCATACGGGAGCTGGCGCTCGCCGAGCCGGCGACGCCCGAGCAGCGCGGGCTGCGGGAGGCCTACACCGCTGCGACCGAGGCCCTGAGCGAGTTCCGGAACAAGCACATCCGGATTGTGACGCGGTACATTGTCCTGCCGTCTAGGCAGCCCTGGACGGGGGGGCCGCGGACAAACCTGGCGAGCTCGTCGTCGTCGCGGGGGGGTGAGCAGGGTCTCATGGGTACGGGTGGCACGCAGTTGATTCCCTTTTTGAGGACGTCGAGAGATGAGACGGCCGAGGCGGGGAAACTGGCACGGGAAAAGGAGTAGAGTGATGGACTGTGTCGCATTAGCTGGGGGTGGATAGAATTTGCGTCATGTATATATTCGATGACAGCGTGGATGATGTATTTAGCGAGACGAGGGAGCAGACGTCGCGGGGGGCCATGGCGTCATGATTTAATACTGCATAATTGGACACATAGTTGCCCCGAATTGGACTTGGGGGCGATTTTATACTCTTGGTGTTCTGTTTGACAATGTGGTGCCCGGAGGCGACAACCGTCAGGGCTGTACGGTGCATTACGGGTTGATGTAGCCTGCTGCGCCGCGGCCCGATCTCGTAGTATGCCTTTACGTGTAGTTGCGCGTGCTGGAAATATCCTATGCTTAGCAGAGATATATGCCGGGATACGAATCATAGTGAGTTTGCGTTTATGGCCGCGTCCTGCGCTTGTTGATTCTATGACGAATCATGAAGAAACCCTATCGCGTACTGCCGTATTCTGTGGTAGACGTTGGGAAGGAGGAGAAGAGAAAAGTTACAAACTCGCCAAAGAATGAGAAGAATCCGACTATTTTACGAAAGGATTTTAGTCTTTGATCAAAGCTGATATTACGTTGTGAAGGTTTCTCTCTTGGAAAAGTCAGACTCTTCTTGAATAAAAGCGCGAGCAGTTTCAGAGTGGCGTGCATTTGTTGAGTCAAACAGGCTAAAATTGAATATCCGCGGGGCTTTTATTGAAGGATTCAGAGGTCCGGAAGTCCCAAAGGTCATGATATTTGCCTTTTCTAGGGTTCCAGGTTAGGGCTAGGAAGAGGGTCATCACAGGGGTCCTCAAGGGCTCGGCCAGGGTATAAAAAAGCCTGGTCCAATCCTCCGGATTTTCAGGTCTTCAGTCTTGGACCTTCAATAATTATCAGAACCATCAATTTGACCCTTCTATGTGTAACTTTGCACTGCCCCGAATTGCTGTTGATAACTCGACAGCATTTAAAGAGCTGAAAGTGCAGGGAATAAGCACACTTATCTGGATTTCATTCTTAAATATAAATTTAAGCCCCTAAATATGCCGGGCAGACATCTCTATTTGATAATGAGCTCTATGTAGTAGATATTGGCATCTCTGCAAACTGTATTCCTGTATCTCGTTAATAGTACCACAGGACCGCATGATATATTAGCAAGACCCCATATATGTAGTAATTGATTGTAGACCACCGAGCACTGTACCAGACCTATTATAATGATTCCATGGCCCGTGTTACAGCTGGCAAAGTCTGGTGATTACCGCGCTGGGCAGAAGCATCACCAATAACCATGCCATTTGTTACACGGAAATGGCCCCGTTACACAAGGGCTACGGTCACGGGGTTAGGGCAGAAGACCCTCACCAACTTCTTGTATTTATAGAGGCCTTTGGCCCCTCAAGGCCTTAAGGAAACGAAGGACCTTTGATACCAAAGACTGTTATTAGATGAATTTGAGCCATGTTGCTCCAAGCCCTCTATTGAGCCCCTGCCACACCGTTGTCCTGTCTGCCTTTGTGTTGATGAGGCGCAGTGAGGCGGCAGCGACAGTGGCAGCAGCAATAGGAACTTTAAAGAGGACCATTGCGAATTCTTTGCGTAGAAACCACGTGAGAGTAGACCACTGCGTATATTATCATATAGTATTAGAGGAACAATAAGACGCGAGAGAGTGTGTGCGACGGGAGCAGGGATGCCGGGCTGGGAATGATTGGCTTTGGTTTCATCATCATCATCAGGAAAACAAACAGCTTCAGCGACTGGGAAACTCTCCCCTCAGCATCCATCTCTGTTTCCGGTATACATGACCAGGACACAACCGGCATTGGTGTCAGGTTCGGCTGTGCCACAATGGCACACGGAGCATGGGCAGTCACAATCTCGTCATATACAGCCGACACAGACACGGTTCGAGGCGACGCTAGAGTTTTGTACAAAAGATTGCATAATTACTTAAATATTGAATTAAATAATTAATATAATAGTGGAGCTGGTGGTAAATATAGCTCAACCCATACCTCCCGGCCTTTGGCTGATGCTACCCCTGGCAGTCAACAGCTCTCATGTGCAAGGGGTGGCGTGATATCTTGATGTAGTCGAGGCCATATTTCCCACCAGACCCGGTATCCAAGTACGTCCTTCTACCCTGGCCCTACAGATAATGTCTGGTCAACTGGTAGTGTAGGTCCCGGACTCTTGGCTACTTGACCGGCTGCTCCTACTACCACTGTCTTTCCTTTGCGCACCTTGGCCCGCCTCCAATGAGACACAGGGCTGGCCTATAGTCGTCAACTCTGCCTCCGCACTGGTGTGCGCAGTACAGTCCCCCGGCGCAGTCACCATGCTTAGAACAGCCCTCGCCCTCCTTCTTGGGCCGGGGTTTGCAGGTGGGATTCCCTGCAATAAGGCACTCGACCGAGCCGGGACCGTATTCCTCCATGGCACCGCCGCACTGGTGTTGGCAGAAGAACCCACCCTCACAGTCATCCGACTTGACGCACTGCTCGCCCTGCTTCTTCTTGGCGGGGGGCTCGTCCTCGAGCTTGAAGGTCTGGGACACCAGCCAGGGCTTCCTCTTGCCGTCCTCGCAGACAAAGGCGGCCTTGTACTCGCCGGCGTCCAGCTCGGCGAGGTTGATGGTGACGGTGCGGATGTCCCGGCCCTGGGTGCGCTCGGCGTATGCCCATGCCACAAAGTCCGCCGTGTAGGGGTTGCAGGCGTCCGCGGGCCAGACGCCAACCCACGGCGTATAACCGCCGCACGGGGGGTTGGGGGCAAGGTAGTCGATGGCGATCTCGGTGGCCGTCACCCGCTGGGCCCCAATCTCGTTTTTGCTTCCGTCCATCTGGCGGCGGCGGAGGGAAGGCTTGCCCAGGGCCGGCTGCAGGGCGCCCAGCAGGAGCACGGTAGCGCTTGGTAGGAGCATGTTGGAAAGAGGAGGAGGGTAGTGGGTAGTTGTGACGAGAAGCGATTAGATGTTGAGATGGATCGATGGATGCTGGCTGGCGGTTGAGACGACGAGGAGCCCGCGGCCATCTTTTATATTTCGACAAGTGAAGCTCTTTCGCTTGCCGGAGGAGACGAGTACTTGGTCATCAATTTCCGGACGCACAGCGGCCCTCTCGGCGTGGCATGACTCGGCATCGTCTTAATCACGATGCTATGCAAATTAACTCATGCAAAGTGAGAGGCTGGGGGCCCCAGAGCGGGTGCCGTGCTGTTCACTTGAACTCGCGCAGATGATCTCATTGTGAGTATAATACGTTTGTGGCACATTATTGATTCTATTAAAACCACAGGCATAAGGGTGTAAGTAGGGCAAGCGATCAACTCACACACGATGCTGCATATTCCTTGTCACACAATCAACAGTCTTAAAACATCGATGTCATCCGTCAATATTCCACGAATTACCAATTCTGAACTTTGAATACTGTCTGGTCGCACACTTTTGGCCTAGCTGCGTAATTTTGTGACAAATACGCAGCACTTGAGCCGAGAGGGAAGCCTTGGCATGAAACAGTGACAGACTTAGACTTGATCCATCATCTGGTCCTGTTGGTTCAATGTTGCATTTCATTCCATAAACATTCTGCCAAAGTGCCCCAGTCACCACGTCTTGGGATGCCAAGAGCCTATAACATGACAATGATATAGTATTGTGGCTCATCGATAATACCCGTTCGTTAAGAACTGCGGCGTCGTCGGCGGGGGCCCCGATAAATTAGGCCCAGCCCGATAAATTAAGTCCCGGTGCGGTATATTGGGCATGAGCACTATATATGTGACCAATCTGATTTGGTGAAATGCCAGGCCCAATAATTCATTGTACCTTGGCTGTAAAAAACGCCGGCTGTCAACTGGTCTGGTGGGACATTCGGCTTTAATTGAACGGACTTTTTCACCAGGCCCGAGCAGCCTCGGGGTTCGAGCCGCCTCATTTATTCAAAAACGCGATTTCCCATGTTTTATTTAAAGTCACACCTTATAGTTGGCCGGCTAGTATTCCGGGCCACTTGAAATTGGTCACATGTTGAGGAAAAAATTCCCCTACGGCTGCCTCGTTGTGCACAGCCCACATCGCGATGCCCTTTATCAAGTTATGAAGAACGCGAAAAAACAAGAAAATAAGTAAAAATAGCCACTTCCATTGCATTACAAGGAAATCACATATAAGGGTGTGGCAGACTAGATGTGTCTATCATCTTGTGGAGCGATGTGGGTGACAGCGCCCATGCATGCCAATACTGACTCGGTAAATTATATTAAATTATTATTGATTTTCGGCTCCTCTTTCAGCAACCCCAGGAGTCTTGGCACAGGTCGGCAGATAGTGGCGATCATTCCGATGGTACCGATGGTAACATGACACCGGCCGCCTCCTACTGAGAGAGTCGGAGCCAGGTCAAGAGAGTCAAGTGGGCGGCGCTGACAACGATGGCGATGATGGCGATGATGAGGAGAATTGGCAAGTCAATGCTATACTCCGATTCTGCTTTTTGATGGCAATGGAGGACGTTGACGATGGACAAGGAGGCGCAACGTTGCTTGTCAACATGTGGGCTTTCTGGCGAGAATGGAACAAGTTCGGGCGGTCGGCCACTCATACGACGCGCCAGGCGTCTTATTGAACCGTTGAAGAAACCCTGCCTTGTTTGGCCCATGGGTACCAGACATAAGGCTAAGTCTAAGCCGTCGATGTAAACGGACTACCCGCCAGCGACTAAGTGGGTAAACTATGTACATGTACTTCCTAGTCCACTTAGTTGCCAACGGACAGCGTCTCTCTCCAAGTGAAGCCAAGACGGAAAGGATCGACATCTCGTGCCGCACGGGGTTACACGAGGACTACAATCACGGGACATCGGGCAGAAGACCATCACTGGCTTGTTGTATTAAAAGAGCTCTTTGGCCAAGTAGGCCTCAAGGAAAACCAAAGACCTTTTATACCAAAGACTGTGAATAGATGAATTGAGTCATGGTACTACTTCAAGCCCCTGCCCCTTGTCACATCTTGTGGGACGGCAAGCACCACTTGATCTAGGTTCCTTACTTAAGTAGGTGCATTTTCCCGACGAGGCCCCTGGGTAGCCCCTGAGTCAATGTGTTGTTCAGAACAGCGGTTATCTGGCCATCTTGAGATGATCAGTGCACGTGGGTAGACGATATGTACATGTATTCTGCTACGTACTGCACTCGCGGGCTGAACGCGCAGCTGATTTGATACATGTTTGCAGTAAAGACGCCAACGATCCCCCCCCCATGGTGAGTATGCGAAAATGCAGGGGGCCGGCCTGAAGGCAACGCTCGTCTGGTACTATTGATGAGCCCTACAGGGCCAAGATCCAAGCAAATGTCCCCACTGCACATCCCTTACGTCCAAGAAATGGATACATCTGGTATCATTCATATCTTTGATGCCTGGCTGTACCGCATCTGTGCTTGGTGGCATCGTTGCCAAACACCTGTGCCGCTGAGCCTTCAAGCCCGAGTCCATCGGGTTATTCACATGATGCGCAAGACGTCGCGTCGCGTCGCCTCACCTGTCGTACTATTCACCCGTTTAGTCGAAACTCGTAACTTTTCCCGTTTCCGCCCTGGACATTGCCCGCCTTGATGCCAGTATAGATGGACCAAAGACGGAGAAAATGGACAGCCTCGATCCCCCCACACGTCAACGTATCGACATCTTTCCTCAGTGAGCAAGCGCTTTTGCGTAAAACGCAATCAACTTTGGCGCCGACTCTGCCAAATCGTCATACAAGTCAAAGTGGTTTTTCCCCCGAATAACAAACAGCTCTTTCGGCTCCTTTGCCGCCTCGACAGCCCCCCTGCTAAAATGCAGCGTCTCCGCCTCGGCGCCCGCAATCATGAGCAGCGGCCGCGGCGCAATCAGATGCGGCAGCTGGAAAGAGTCGTATCCAATCATCAAATCGTAGCTAGACGGCGGGACGCGCTGGTCCGACCGGACATGGTGGCCACGCCGGGAGCCGTAATACGCAGCGGCGGCCTTGAAGAAGGACGGCGCCTCCTCCGGCACCGCAGATGCCTCGGTCTCAAACATACGCGGAGCCTGCGCCTTGGGGTCGTTGGCGTGGGCGGTGCGCCAGTCGCCCGCCGCCTTGAGAGCGCCGGCAATGGCCTCGGGGGACTCCTTGTCGTTGGCTTCGTAGAGGCCGCCGTTGCGCGTCATGCGGCCGACGCAGGCGGCGCTGACGGTGGCGAGGGCCTTGATGCGGGCGTCGGACTGTGCGGCGTGCGACGAGTATCCCCCCGATGCGCAGATGCCCAGGACGCCGATCCGCTCGGGGTCGACTTTGCCGTGGAGGCGCGTCAGGTACGTGACGGCGGCCTTGTTGTCCTCGACGCGCTGGCGAGGATCTTCGAGGCCGCGGGGCTCGCCGGTGCTCTCGCCCTGGTAGCCGGCGTCGAAGGTCAGGGCGTAGAATCCGGCCGAGGAGAGAGCCCGGGCGTAGTCGGCGGCTGTTTGTTCCTTGACGCCCGTCATGGGGTGGCTCACGACGACGGCGGCGCCTTTTCGGTCGGGAGACCCGGCGGCCGGGGCGTACAGCTCGCCGCTGATGCTGAGCGTGAACGAGGGGAAGGTGACCTTGGTAGGCGAGGACATGACTATGGCTTGTTGATCGATTGACTGGTCTTGTTGTCTTGTGGTGTCTTGTGGTACTTGTTGATGGCGTTGAGCCTCAGAATGTAAAGCCGGTTTGTTGCAGGTTTAAATATATTGCCAATGCCAACATGGCTACACCCCGTTAATGAAGCCGGAGTTAAGCTTTTTACAAGCGCCCGAAAACTTTCGCGCTTTTCGGGCGTGCCCACCATGATGTTTGGGGTGGTGTCTCCTGACTTGATTGATTGGATTGGATTCTTGGGCGGAAGCGCCACGATGGCGGAGTAGATTCGTTCCAAGGTTTGAAGCTCCTACAAAGGTCCGCATGCCCGTGCAAGGATAGCTACACAAATGTCTCATGAACCTTAAACGATAGGCATGTAGACCATGAAAACCTGATTTGACTCCCGCCAGTTGTGGTCTCCGGTTCCCGGAGCCAATCACCAATAGCATCTAGAATGAAGAGGCGGGGTTTGACAACGAATTTTTAGCTCTAGAGTTCGGCTTGTCCAAAAGTTCTTCGAGTGGCACTGGGGGCAATGGGCTTTATGGCTTTTCTAGTTTAAAAAAATGTCGTTATAAAGGCGTATTAGACCAGGGCGACGTTTTCAGGGAGGTTCTCAAAGGGGCAATAAAAATCTGGCCGACTTCCGCCTTTACATCACGTGGGTTCTCTTTTCCAGGCACTCATTTAAGCTGCAAAAATTTGACTTTGCCTGCGCGATTGAGCTTCGACCAGATGAGTGGACGCCTGGGATGCCGACGAGGTCACACCGGACAATGTAAGAAGATACGTTCGCTGCTCACGGGGCCTGGGAAGACCACACAATACAGCCCTCCTACTGTCCAGTTCATCCACGAGTCGGTGCGTGAATCCTTCCCTAATGTCGGCATTTGTGATATTTGGGCGGATGTTGCTTAGCTAGAGTTTGAGAGCATGAGCCATGAACGTCTAGCCTATTACTGCCATGTCTACTTCGAGCTCAAGTTTGACTTCAATAATCACCAAGATATGAGAGACCTGATACTCTACAATAGCTTACTATATCATATAGACCGGGCGGCGCTACAAATTCCTCAAGATAGTTTCCTCAAGGCCTTCCCTCTCACTCAATGGATCCAAAAGCATAGCATGCTCAAGCCCATCCCGAGTCCGGAACTGTATGGGCCCTGCGCAGATCTGCCGTATATCCTCGCAGATAGAAACGGACCCAGGCTCGTCGAGATGGTACTTGATCGGGACTCGCAAATAAATGTCAGAGGCCAGAGATATGGGTACCCCTTTTATGCGGCGTTGGTACATGGCTATGAAGACGTAGTTGGAGCCCTCTTACATCAAGGCAGACGTGTACAAGACGAGAGACCATCATGTGCGATTGTTGCTGTGGTGGGCAGTCATGAATGGACTTGATGCATGGTCAAGATTCTCCTTGAGACATGGGCGGTCCATGTGAACGCAGAGGACAGCAACTGCCGCACGGCACGCTGGTGGGCAGTCTCTCACGGTTTCGATGGTATTGCAAAGACACTGGTAGCAGCTGGGCGAGTGTCGCACGACTTGACGGATTTTGACCGTCGCAGCCTTTGTTTTGAGGAGGGTTAATGAAGCCTCGATTTATCCTCGACTTGGTCGAGGGAGAGCAGTGACCATGCAAAAGGACGACCACAATCGGATGTGTATCTGTTGTGTAGACTACAAGTCCGTATTGGACCTATAGAGAGATATTCGTCGTGTTCCAATTTACTCTAGTATTAATATCTCAAACGTGCATACCAAATGCCAACCATGACATTGTGGAGAGCGATATCCAACAGGCCAAATCGCAACATCCGGGAAGAGCCAGCGACTGCTTCGCTCCGAGTATCAGGGTGGAGAAAAGTCACTTTAGACTCAATAACATTGAAGTAGTACAGATGTCAAGTTTATTCAGCTATTTTTGGCAAAAAGTCCGACCCATCCCTCGTTGCTGTGGAGCATCTCAGTCAGCCATCCCGACTGACAAGCCGACATGCTTTCACATGTCAACTCGACTTCCATTGGTCCGGGTTCTTGCCCGTGATTCTATCGCAAAGCCACCGCAAAGACGAGTTGCCGGTCCATGCACGACAACATCGTTGTGACAGACCAAATGTGTGGCTCACACTTCATGTCTGCGCAACCTATAATACAAAGAGGTATAATCTACACTGACCGAGCCCCTGCTCACCGTCTCACGCTGTTCTCAAAACCCCGGCTCAATTCTTGGTCAATGTGCGAGTGGCCACGACGTTGCCAATGACGTATTCGACCTTGAGCTTGTCGCCCTCGAGGGAAAAGGTCACAGTGTACGGCTTGTCGCCCTCCTTGTGGAAGACCAAGGCGTCGTCCTGAAGAACGGCCGTGGTCTGGACCATGACGCCGTCCAGTCTCTTCTCGGCGAATTCCTTGCCCAGCTCAAACTGGACCTGGTCCGTCTTGAAGGTAGTCATGGTCTTGAAGGTGATGACGTCGCCCTCGGCAGAGAACTCAATCGTGGGTGTCTGCGTCTTGGCAGCCGTGCGTAGAAAGAAGCTGATTTCTGTCTTGGGCGTTAAAAACCATCGACTGGTTCAGGAGCCTAGTCGCATCAGGGGGGGAGAAACGTACTGAGAGCGCATAGGAACGCGTCGACATTGTCGCACGACTCTTGGGTCCAACTGCCGTAGAACTTGTCCATTTTGGTATTTGTAAAGAGTCCGGTGCCTTTTTTTTACAAGATGCAAGTGAGATCTGGTTGTCAGACTTAACGTTGCAAAAGACAATCAAAGCTGCCGCTGGGAACGAGGTCAAGGGTCTTCCCCGGAATCCCCGCGTCCAGAATGCGGAGAATCGAGGCGCTTTAAATACATTACTCGTGGGCAGGAGCCAAGAGGAGGATTCGAGGCACTGCCCACGACATGCCGCGGCACATGTCAAAAGTTTGTGGTTTTTGTGGTCAAGATCTGGGGCGCTCACCGGGGGTTTAACCAAAACGGACAACGTCCTCCGAGAGGTACTTTGCCTTGTTAGTGTCCACTGCCGCCGGCCCAAGTATCTGCCCAGCCCAGTTTCAACGTAATCACAAGCTTTTTTTTTTTCATTCATGCTCCTGAGAAAATCCATGTGAATCAAAGGTGAGCCTGCGCGGTCGGGGGGTTGGACACCTTGGGCGACGTGCGCCTCGTGAGTGTCACACGGCGTAGGACCTGGACAAAGGTATCGGAGAACAAAGGTTACACAACAACAAAGAAAGGTATCACGGGACGGGCCTTGGCGAGGGTTGCCTCGGGCCTCTCGGGCGCACCGGCTTGTTGTACTCATAGACACCTCTGACACTCAAGGACTCTCGGAGAATCAAGGACCTCTGAAACCCCAAATCTGATTATGAAATTGATGTTTGAACCCAAACGTTCCAATCGCAGTGCCAAGCATTCACAATAAGCCTACGTCTCGATGGTCATTCCAGAACGATTGTTGGCCGCCGCAACATAATGCCCCCATGTAATCAGCTCTTTGCTGCAGTCCTCCTGGTCGATGCTGCATTCGATGAGACTTGGTCCATCCATGTGTGCCTGTGCCAATTCAATGGCTTCAGAAAACTCCTCGACCGTATCTGCTTTCAGGCCAAGCGCACGTCCTCCCGTGCCAGAAAAGTTGAACGCCTGCACGAGGAGGACGTAGTTCCAATTATAAATCCGATTGTACACCCCGGCGTGCATCTCCGCCTCGATCGTGTATCCTTTATTGTTCATCAGCACCAGAATCACGGGAAGGCGGTGCCTCACCATCTGAGACATCTCTTGAGCCGTCACTTGCAGGGCCCCGTCTCCAATCAGGACTATGATTCTCCTTTCAGGTTTTGCAAGCGCGTAGCCAAACGACGCCGGTATCGACCATCCGATATGGCCCCATTGCATTTCGATTTCGAATGCCGCCCCGGGCGGAAGTTGCAGTTGAATGCCGTTGAACCACGAATCTCCTGCGTCCGCGAAAACCGTCATGTCCGGCCCGAGAAGCAGCTGCACCCGTCGGGCAACCTCCTTTCTCGTGAGCTCCCCGTAGGCTCCGTGGCGCTGGAGTGGAATTTCCGGCCGCAGCCGAGCGTACTCGGTCATTGAGCTGTCGTTCCAGGCGACTGTATCTGCCAAGCCGACCAGCAAGTCGCACATGGCGACGCCAGTGAAGCAAGTCGTCACACATGTCACAGCATCCGCGTCAATGACTACCTGCGGCACGTTGGACACGGCTGTCCAACCGACCGTGCTATAGTCTGTGAACAAGGTTCCCACGCATATCAGACCATCAGACCAGTTGACGATGCTGTCGGCAGCGAGGGTGCTCACTTGGCCCCAGAAAACTCCGGCAAATTGGGGGTGTGTCTCGGGGAACAGTCCCTTGCCCGCTGGCTGAACCACGACCGCGCAGCCAATGGCTTCTGCCAGGCGGACGAGGCTTTCCTGGGCTTTGCAACTTCGTATCTTTGGCCCGGCGAGAATCACTGGCTTCTGCCGCGTCTCAAGATATTCCCTAACGCTAGTAACCGCAGCGGCAAGGACAGACCCAACGTGCCGATCCCCAGCGTCGAGACCACTTATCGGTCCGGGTTGCACGCACCTCTCGGTGGACAGGTTGGTAGGCAGCTCAATGTACCCGGGTTTTTGCAGCCGGATACAATTCCATACAACGCGGTCAACCAACTCGGGAGCTGATTTGGCATTCCGGATCGACACGGCGCAGCATGTAATCTTCTTGGCCATTTCTAGCTGGTACGTGAAATCGTGCTCCCCGAGGGTGTGGTGAAGCAAATGCTGGTCCTTGTCATGCGTATTCGGTGCTCCGCTGATGAGGATGACGGGAAGATTCTCAGCGTAGGCGCTGCCGATGCCGTTGAAGGCAGAAAAGGCCCCTACGCTGTAGGTGACGACGCAGACTGCGATGCCGTTGGCTCTGGCGTATCCCTCGGCAGCTAGAGAGCAATTCAGCTCGTTTGTGCACCCGACGCCGGTGAGTGATGGGTGCGCGCCGAGCCTGTCCAGCAGAGCGAGGTTGTCGCCGCCGGGTACTAGGAAATGATGGCGTACCCCTATTTGAGCGAGCCTTTGGGCAATGTAGTCGCCAACGGTGAAATTGGCCATGATGAATGACTGAATTTTCGGTTCAGACAAGCTTGACCATTTGTACTGAGCCTGCTTGATACACCTCGATTTAATGTTTCCAAAGGATGTTTTTAGAATGGGGTATTGCTATGACACGCACAAGCTGGATATCCTCCAATGCGCAATACACGGGATGCCTGCCCTGATTAAAATGGTTTTAGCAAAAGATGCTAATGATGAATCTTAACTTCTTTTCTTTCTCAAAATGAGATGATGGGATAGGCTGGTAATCAAATGGCTATTGAAACCAGCGTCGAGCGTTCTGGTGGCAAAGGACACGATCAGGGGACATCCTCCCACCACAAACGGGATGAACATCGGGTGTGCATTGGTTTAACCTTGGAAATACGTACGAGGCTTGCTGATGTCTACATCCAATAGTCAGAAAATCTCGAACCTTGGTTGGACGCCGAAACGTCAATGGCGGGGACCACGAAGCATGAAGCCACCATTTGACGCGACATGGGTCGGTTTGTTTCCACGTCACGAATTCTATCATCATATGATAATAAGGCCGTGGCTTTCATGCCACAAATTCTATTACCATGCTGTCGTAGTACGTTAATCGCTTCCATGCTTCGATTGCAGTGACCACAAGGTTGGCGTCATATGATTATTTTGATCCTACTAGTGCACAAATGTGTCATAGATGAGGTAAAATAGGAGGCTTCAAGCGCACCTAATTTATCAGCGCGCAGACTATGGCTACGACCATCTACCGTTGACTTTATTATCATTATCCACAGCCTTATTAAATATATAGGGGTAAACATAAATTCACCAGTGCAATAATACGCAGTATCCCCAAAGTAATAACACTATAAGCAAATTTCAAGTGCCAGCCGAATAATGGCCCAGGTTGATGAGGGAAGCAGCAATGGTGAGTCGTGCAGAATGGCTTCAAGTAGAGTCCATCGCCGAACATTATCAACAAGTTGCAAGCTCCGATCTACGAAAGAATTCCCGTCTAGTACTCGGACCTGACGAGGTTCTAGTCCACATCTTGTACTCTGGTCTGCCACACTGACCTGCATGCCATGAAAGGCGATTGGCTCTTAAACGCAAAGATGCGCTTGTTGGTGGCCTAGGATCGTTGGCAACCCAGTATGCTAAGGCTATGTATGGGTTTGCGTACCTTTGCTGTGGATAGTGGAGCAGAAAAGGGTGAGTGTTGCAAAACACTTTGGTGCTGAGACTTCTATTGATTATATTCAGTCGAAGGACCTGGTTTACGATGTTAAGGCACCACCACCAGATGGCCTCGGCTCTCACTCAGCGCTGATGCTCACTGCCAATGAAACCGTCCACTGGTGGAATTGTATAGAGCAGGGCTCGTCAAAGTTGCAGTCACGGTGGTTCCGCTTAACAAGTTGCCTGATGTGTCTGATTTGATGTCGTTCAGGGATATCATAGGATGATACGTTGTCTATACTTCTAGATAAAAACTAAAATAAGTACTGCAGTTGAGAAGCCAAGTTATGCGCATTGGGCTAGAATATTACATTAAACTTGCTCGTCATCACCAAACAGAGGTTTGTGCCTCTGCAACCTGATTGGCTTAGTATATGTGAGCTATTACGACTAGATAATAGCTAAAATACAAATTACGTAGAAATATTTCTCAAAATTTGCACTCTCACTGCATCATCGTGTTAGGCAGCCGCTGACAAATTATCTGCATTAGAGTGATGTATGGGAATACATCTTTTAACTATTCGGCCTTATATAACGGTCAGAGTAGAACTTGATACATGTGATGTATACAAAGAGCTCGGTATTCTCGGTCGTCTCTGCTAGTCTTTACTGGCAACCAGCCAGATCTAATAGCAAGTCTCGGTACAACTCAGCTCCGATCTAGAATGTCCAACTGCGATTGAGTCTCCGGGTAGTTGATTGTGGTGAACGAGCAACTAGTATCTGAGAGGTCCATGTGCAAGGCCCTTGGATAGATATACTTTTGCATTGAAACGGAGTGTAGCTGTGTGTTTCTCGTCGTACAGTCCAATTCGTTCCACTACTCTCATAACGGCTCTAACCATCATGCATACTAGACGCCACAATATGGACTTCTTGCGGTATCACGCCACTATCCGTCCTGAGCAAGAACCAGACCTTTTCCACTTTTCCCAACACCCTCCGTAATTTGGTGGCTCACATCCTACGCCACTTGACCAGCTGAACTAAATAATCGGGCGGTGGTAGAGGGTTAGGGTTAGCTACGCTATTCGTATTGCTGAGCCGCTATCAATTTTTATTGATACCTATGACACCTAATAAGAGCTCCGACGAGCGTATTCAGATTATCCGCAGTAACTTTAACCTCGTCCCGTTGTCATTGCCCGCGAGTTAAACGTAGACCGGCTGATCTATCTCCAAACCGCCAAGAACGGTCACTCTGGTACCAACCTATCTTTCAGTTGAGAGTATTCGAAGAAGCTCAAGTTCTCAGTTGTACTGGCGGGCTTAAAGTTCCTAACAGCACATCCAGAATCTGGGCCGTATATTGCATAAGACATTAATACTCTTGAAGAGATGCCGCTGGCTTAAGGGCGTGTGCCCAAGTTCAAGTCGCTAATTTGGGCCTACAGTCGTTGTACTGCTGCTTGAAGCAAGCATTAGGTCTTCATATAAATCCAGCCTGTTTGTAGGAAACCGAGAGTCTCCCATTCTGTCTAAAACCGTCCAACAATGGTGCCGTGTATGCTACGTTGTCGAACCAGTATTCCGTGCACTACAACTCACAAATAGATACTGGTGATGGTTCAAGCCGTGTCTGCGTATTATAACGATGACATTTTCTAGGTTTTGACTTCGTACAGTAAATGCTGCTACTTCATGGTCTGGAGATATTCAACGTTTTCAACTTGCAACAAGGTTCTTATTCTCAGACGCCTCCAGGGTTCACTTGGATAGCAGAATCGACGCCCTTGACAATACCGGAGCTCGCCGCAGCCGCCAAACCCCCAATCAACAACGTCTCCGCAGAGCTGAAAGCAGCTGCACGGCGAGCTAACCCCATGCTCGTCGCCTTAAAAAACCCGAATAGAGTGAGCATGGCAGCAGTGAGCCCAATGGAGACGAAGAGGGCGGCCTTGACCGCGAGGGCGAAGTACGGAATCATCGGAATAAGGCCTCCTAAGTAGACATGGCGAAAATCAAACAGTCAGGAATACATGAGTGGGATAGGTCGGACCGTTTTTCTGGCACTGCGCCCGGATGGATGGCCAACACTCACCGAGAAAATACGCAAGGCCCATGACGATCGCAGATAGCCAGGGTTTCAATTGCCCCGGCCGTTCTAGTCGGAGCTCAAAGTCCATCATGAACTAGCACCATGTATAGGCATCCGTTAGAATCTTGATGATGAGGTGCCGATGCTGGGGAAGGGGGCATGAAACCTGAATCCATGCATCTGCGTCACTTCTCAGCCGCCGCGCCAGCGGTCGGAGCTCCTCTCTACCAACACCGTAGCCTTCGAATATCTTGACCATAATCTCTTCTTCTTGATCGGCCGACATGGTGACCTGGCGACGTTCGCGGTCAAGCTCGATCTGGTAATGCTTCCTCTCCGTCGAGGTGGCCAAGTACGCTCCAAGCCCCATGCTGATAGAGCCAGCAAATAGTTCAGCAAGACCACCGACAATGACCAGTTTCGAGGAGCCGATTCTGTTTGAAATTTGTTAAGAGTCAGTCGCGAGTCGCTCGTTGGAATAATGCGCCCGTGGTGGCTGCAAGGTCGGCTTACGAGGACAGCCCAGCCGTCAGGGCGAATGGCACCGTGAGGCCATCCGCAAGGCCGATGATGGCATCGCGCATATATCCACTACTGATTTTGTGCCGTTCGATCAGAGCAGTTGAGTTGTCAGCGGACGGCCTGTTTAAGAGAGCCCTGGCTGTATTGGTCGGGCTTTGATGGACATGGTCGGCCGTAGACATTTGCTGCACCCTGAGATGATAGTTGAGCGTGTAAGCACCAGTTCACCACCGCAGTAATTTCTGTCTGCGCTCCATAATAAAGTACCGGAAAAGACGCCCTGAGACTTGCCAGCCCGGTCTAGGGCGATCCGGTCGTTGGAGCCAGCGCCTCCAGCGCCGCCCATGGCACCAGACATCATATGACCGCGACCATGTCCACACTAGTTTAGCAAATTATAACGACAATGCAAGATATGGCCTAGCCACCAGTCAAAATCTCAGTCATTAAACGGGGAGATATGGATGGATGTGTTAGCGTAGGCTTTAGTATCTAAACGTCATGTCCTGGAGTTGTGCCATGGCAAACGTCCTAACTTCAACTCCAGAGTATATTCTATGCCTAAAAGTCGATTCTAATCTTCACGTTAACTGTGAGGGAACATGTTTACAGTTCATCACCATGATCATCACGTAGCAACCCAAAGCCGCTCAGATTCGGTCTATATTTCGACTTGTAATTGACTTTTCTTTCTATCCATTCTTAGTTAATGAAAGCACACTTTACCCAAAGGTCCTTGACGGTTCGTAGTAGCGCACGCCCATCTTCGACTCTTGTCGTCCTCGATAATAGCCGCGCCAACCATGTCTTTGCACACATTTGGCGGCGGGCTGTTTATAAAATCAGCCACAAGGCCAGCGAATCCTTTAACGTCGACGCTATGGTCGATCCCGAGGCAGTACATTTCCTTGTCGTCCGCCAGCTGCACAAGCTTCGAGGAGCTAAAGGCGGTTATCTTGCCGAGCATGCTGGCCGTGGTTGTGTTACGGGGGCAAACATGGATGTGGACTTGCTCCATGGTTCTCACTACGACCGGGTTCATGGCGAGAGCCTCGGACGTCTTGTCGAATTTTTGCTGGGCGAAGAGCCAGGCTTCGTCGTGTCCGGCATTCATTTGGCGAATGCCGGGGAGGAATTGCGTCGTCGTGACGAGATTGTGATCGCCCGGCGGCGTTTCCAGCAGCACCCACACCGGCGCGCCGTATTTCTGTATCGTGCCGCTATTCTGGCAATTGAGTGGGTGTTGCAGGCAGTTGCAGAGAGTATGGAACCAGATGCCGCATGCGGCGCAGTCGGATTCGCTATCCTCGCAGCCTCCATTGCAGTTGCGTATGTTCTTTGTGGGTGTGACTCCGCACCCGGGACACGGTGTAGAGCAGCCTTTGGGTTCTGGGCTGCAGTCACAGGTGCCTATTACATCCATATGGATGAGTTGGCTCGTGTTACAGTAGGCGGCAGCTCCAAAGTCGATAAGGGAGGCGGAGAGGAGTGCGACGAGAGCTGGCTTGATCTGCATGATGAGTGATTGTACCGAAGCGGTCAAGGCTGAATGAAGGTATAGTAATAATCAATAAAGATGGGCGTTTGGATGTTCTTGAAAAGGCACTGCTGGAGAGAATAGGACTCGGGCTTAAACATCTTGAAGTTCAAGAGGCTTTTATACATCTGGTTATGATTACTGAATATATGCGTACCGTTGTATCCAAAGGCCCATAGAGGTCTAGATCTAGCCATTTGGACAATTCACGGTCCGGCCTCGTGGTGGCACTCAGGTTAGAGACGCCTGGATTCTCGACTCGCCAGCCTCATCCTACCGGTAACCAAATAGCAAGAAACCCGCAACGCCAGGTTTGCGGCATCCCAATAAGGCCAAGGGTGCGTATCTTCGACAACGCGGAGTCCAAGGACCCCGGATTTGAAGTGGCTTCGATCTTTCGGCGACAGATGAGCCGGCCGGTGGCGAAGGCTGCTGCCTTCCTCCGTGGGCGTAACATATTCCAGCTTCGACCAATAGTCCGCCACGTTTTCCAATCTCGGCGGACAACCGGCCGAGTTTCCACAATAAGCGCCGCATAAGTGTGCTCTAACAGGCAAAAGCCACAGGTTAAGTGTGGTGTTTGATCTACCGGAGGTGCCGCTGCTTGCCCCAGCCCAGACTCGATACACATTTTGGGACCAAGAGAGCCTGCCTAACAAGTCCGCAAGTATGTAAGAAAACCTCCAAGGTATCCTTGGTAGAGGTGCTTTGTAGTTAGCTGAATAGTTTTCCCGTTTGGCTGGAACAAAAGCTGTACCATTTTATACTTTTTATGTGGCTGACGCTATTCAGTCTGGCTGTTGAACGCCTTTGGGTCTCGGTTCCTGCATGTAGACAGCCATCGTATCTAAAAACACATACTAACGCTGAGAAGGCGTTACGGCTGTCCTATTTGTGCGTATGCGTGTAGTAAACTTGATCGGTGTCGCCGCATACCGACAACCAGATTAAGACATGCGAATGAGGACCTTGGTTCGTACAGTCCTCTGGTCTGCTACTCACTCAGGTGTAACCTGACTATCAAAATACTGTATCCTGAGTGGCTGTCTGCTTTCAAGCCACCAACTCTAATGCCATTCCCAACACGAGGCTGACATGGTCGACTACGCAGGAATGATACTTGTTTCTAGCCCTACGACGTCCTTTTCTCTCGTTTCTCTTCAGCCGCGCTCTTCTACCCAGGTGAAAGCTTTCCGACCTGGAGGACTTCCAGAAACGACTTCGTATCCGCCAAGGCAACGCCCGTCATTATAGCCAGCTCCCTGGCCGCTTGCCAATTTTAGTCGCCTGAGCTAAACTGGCTTTTTTGAAATGTATGACAAGTGATGAACTGTTCATGAACACCCTTCAACACCTTGATGCAAATTGCTTCCTGAGTGTTTTATCGTCGGCTGCTGAAATCAGATACCTGACCCCAGGGTGAAACACGACTGCAATCACCCATTTTTCGTGACAAATTAGCATTATAAGACGACTACCACGAGTATTCCAAAGCTTAATAGTGTTTTCCCGAGAGCCAGTTGTGATGAATTCCGCTGCGCTGGTAGCGGGCGGTGGCGTCTTTAACCTTGCCGTTACCGCCAGATGTACTAGATACGAGGTAGGGGGAACAAGAGCGCAGCAATTGATGCCGTGATTATAGCCCCATAAGGTTAGTGCATTGCTAGAAGTTGAGCCTGACATGTCTCGTAAACAAGCTGTCTGGCCATTGCCTGCGGATAAAACGCATCGCCCGTTGGTAGATGCGCAAACCGACCGTATCCAGTCGGTGTGTCCTTGTAGCGTTTCAACACAATGTCTTGTGTTAATATTCTACATATTTAGAGTCTAATCACTGCTTGTATTTATAAAACGATTCGTAATAACCATATTGTCAGTTCCAGAGGGCATTGATGTAGGGGGCTAATACTGTGGTCGTGTCCCTGTAAGACACGTATATTCTGATGAATTATTTGCAGGATCCTATTCCTTTTTACCCCGTCGATTCAGATAATCAGTCTAAATAATCTTTGACCATTTGTGTTTATTAATCAGAATCTTCGTCATAATAGGACAAATAGCGGCGGTTTGCGGGTAGTGGACGTATAACGACCACGCTTTGAGCATTCTCAAGTTCCCTTTGATTCAGAGTCACACGACTCCCTACTTTCCACTACGCATCAATCCGGCTCTATAATATCACCGGACCGATTCCATCCTTTTTCATGTCCTTCTTCATGCCGTAAACCTCGAGGACGTCTCTTGCTGCCCTTTCACCACTCCACCAAGCTCCCGTCGTCGTTCCAAGGCCGCACAGCGGAGCGGTATGTTCTCCAGCGAACCATACACCGCGGTCATTACCCATCAGGTTGCCGCCCGTTGCTCCCCTTCCTCCACCGGAGCGCAGGACCTTCAGGTCTTCATCCGCTCTCTCCAGCCCAACTTGAAAGCTCACGTAGCTTCCATATCCTGCAAAGGGGTCATTCTGCCACTGACTGCCAAGAAAGAAAGTCGGGCGACAAGCAGGGCTACTAACATCGTAGTTTGGCATGCGAGAGTAAAATGGTTCCGTAAAAGAACGAAGAATGTCGTTGTATGCGTCCGAGTGGGGGACGAGGCCTGCTAAAGACGGCATGAGATGACGGGAGCAGGGAGGAGCCACGTAAAAGACTAAAGTTGGATGAGCGTGAGCACCCGGAAGCCCGGAAAGGGCGACAAACTCCTGCGTCCAAGAGCCCAGATACTTTGTTAGAGGGTGGTATGATGGGCTCAAGAAGTGCCAGAATATAAACCTCGAAGCTTCTTCTCTCGAAACGAGGGTGGAGGAAGCAGCACCGGTTTTGTCATTTGCTTTCTGCCAGAAGGCAGTAGGAAACGAAACAAAGACCTTTTCAAGGGCACCATACCCGATGCTATCGATTGCTTGTTCGAGTCGGAGGGGCAGAGAAGGCTTGAAGGCAGACTTGTGTCGTTTCAGCCAGCCGAGAGGGCATGTAATGACGACTTCATCGAAAGTCTTGACTTGGCCACCCGCCAATTCAACGGCAACGGCTTTGTTGTCTGAGTTCCGAGAGAACGTTTGCACCTTGACGACCTCTTGGCCAAGCTGTATGGCAGCAGCACTTCTCGCAGTTTTGCTAATGAGCTGAAGAATATTCTTGTATGTCGACGCGACGAAAGCATCGTCGCCATCCATGCCATCTTCGAGATGAAAGTATTTCAGGCTCTGGGATTCAATGCAATCTCCAATCTCCGAGTTGTACATGTGTATCATTTGTTCACAGATAATCTTGGACTCGGCATCGAGAGGCGATCGTCTCACTATCTCTAGCACATAGTCTAAGACGTTTCTCCGAGGGTCGATGGATGGCGAGAGGTTTTTACTGTGTTGGATGGCTTTGTCAAAAGCATCCGCGACAAGTTGGACGCAGTGCTCTGCCTTATTCGCAGGTATTCTCTCACCCACGGAATCAAAAAATATAGCGTCGGGTTCGTCGGGTACAAGATCCGCGTCAGTCATGGAGGCAAGGAGTGCAATAGGGTTGTTCTTCGTGCCGTGAATCCAGTTGGCGCCCCTTCATAGTCAGCATATGGCACCTCGATATCAGGACAAAACAACTCACATGTCCACTGCATGGCCACCTATGTCCTGTTGAAAGACCTGCTATACTTAGTAAAGAATCAGCCAAATTGACAAGTACGATGCTTACCCGCCCCCCAATCCTCTCTCTGGCCTCAAGAATGGTGACCTGGAATCCATTGCGGATCAGGGTATCTGCACACCTGAGTCCGGAAACACCAGCTCCTACGATGCCAACATGGGGGAGTTTGTTCTGCGCCTTCAGCTCACGAAGGGCGGATTTCCTGGCGTCAGACATGGCTCTCCTCAAGCACTGTCTGGATTTTCTGCCGAGTTCTGGAATACTTGGTATGTGACGCCGGTGAGTTTTATCACTTTATGGACCGGTATCAATGCGTGCTCAGCCACCAACTACCGGGTGTCCGGCCATGTTGGACTAGGGTGTAGACAACAGCAAAAGAAAATCGCCGCGGTGAGTCATCGGCCTGTGACGTAGTCTGTTCGTGGTAGCTCCATGTCTCCTCCCTCAACAGGGATATACCCTTAACCCCCTGGATGCTCCCTGGTGGGAGCGATAGATATGGACTGCCTACAGCTTCCATCTCGTTTTTAACATGGACCTCAAATGTAGCCTGAGCCACAATGGTAGTTGTCAACGCCTCGGGTCTCAACGCCGGTGGGTGAGGCCGACCGGAGTCCGCCTTGATGATTTGCAAATTATCCTTCAAATACGGCATCGCTACCTCCATAAACAAAGTAACATCTGCGGTGAACCTGTACATTTGCTGTAAGGCAGCATTTCGAGACTACATACCCACAGCTTTATGATATGAAGTAGATTAGACGACGAGCCACAGAAGTTGTGGACATGGACAAACGTGATGCGGAACAACGTGCCTTTTTCGCAGTCTAATAATACTTTTCCATTTCTTCTCTAGAAAATTTTATACTTTCAATCAACGTACTACACTTCGTCACGGGTGTCAGGAAATGGCCGCTTCTACATAGGAGCTTACAAACGGCTGCATACCTAGAGGCGACAAAGGATGTACAAGTGAGAGATGAAAGACTGCAATAAGGAGTTCGCCGTGAGAATATATAACACTCGTTAAATTAATCGCTAACCGTCTGTAGATACTCCAGTATACCATGTAAGGCATGATGGCTTGGCGTATCTGACTAGCTTCAAGATAACTTGGCACACGACGGCGGCAGCTTCATCATCCGCAGTACGTCTCGAGCCTCTTCAAGAGAGTCAGGCTTGACATGCACAGGAACCGACGGTCTCTGTCCAGGCGCAACCCCGTCTGGCCATAGCACCTGGCTCTCATCTCCCCAACTCCACCAACCAACGGCGCCTCTCCTGTACATCTTTTCCCTCTTCTCCCATGAATTCTCCATGTAAGCTCTTTCCCGCGATTGCCGCGCAGCTTCTTGTTCCTCTAGCAGCATATTTGTAGAAATCCACGTGTCTTCCCAGGGTTTTTGCAAGATGGCAACAGAATCCAACCGGCATCTGTCCCACATAACATAACCCCATCGGCGTAGATTATCGCGATCCTCGACATACACCCAGTGTGCCCTGGATTCTTCCAGATGTGCCCATTTCCAGGCATCTTTTGGACCCGAATCCGGATCTCTGAAAAACGAATGCTTTAACAGGAGAGCCTCCTCCACTGGCGACAAGCTTTCGAGGAAGACATTGTCGTTGTGTCCGTTTGCGCTTTCTAATCCCTCGTAGAGAAAGTTATCTGTGGCGGGTGGAAAACCACGAGAATAGAGAAGTCGATGTCGTTCTAGATATGTTTCTGCTAGGATGACGCTAAGTAGCTTCTTTAATCCACGTGAAAGAAGGTGTTGGATGAAGGGGGAATCAATCTTGTCATCGTATTCTACCTGGAATGCGCCCCAAGCGATATCATGTTCTGCGATATCATTGAATGCTAGTGTATTGTGATGAGCTTTAGATCCATAATCGTACACGTTATTCCTAGGAACTTACCTGGCGAAACAGCTCGAACAAGAAAATCGTGAATGCAGCCTAGCTGCTCATTCTCCCAGGGAGCAAAGCAAGCAAAGAAGAGTCGTTTTTGCTCCATGTGTGCAGGGGGCTCTGCACATATATTTGGAAGCATGCGGAACAGGTTGCAATATATTTCGAAGTGGTAGAATGCCCGTTCGATGCGACACCTCTCTAGTCGCGTAGCAGTGCATTCACCTTGAGTCATGGGATATGTGGTCAGGGTGGCATGGACAAACTTTTGAGTTAGCTCGCTCACACAGAGATGAAGTCTTTCAAGTTGAAGCGCTTTCTGTAACGACCAGGAGCTGGGTGGAGTCGGCCTTTGGCGAAGATTTTGAGTGATGAAGTCGACGAGGCCGTGCTGACATTCGGGTTCCGGACCATGGTGCAAGCTTGAGGATAGAAATGCGAGCTCGGCCTCGGGCAGTACGCTGTCATCAATCTGCTTGAGCAATACTTGCGTCGTGATGGTAGTCTCTGCATCCAGAAATACCTCGTAAAGCAGCGGGCATGACAAAGCGGCTGCCCGCAACGATGACACGTCTGGTAGTTCCAAGAGCACCATTTGCAGGAGCTCGACGGACAGGCGTTCGATCGAAGCCGGCTGCAGTCCTTGGTCTTGACACATGGCAGCGGTTCTGTTGAAATTCGCGCAGAATGTTTGTTCGCCGGGAAACCAAGTAGATGCAGTCCTGGCGAGAAGGAAACGTGGACTGGATGCTTTGACGTTCCGTGGCGGAGAACCTGTGTCATATGGTTAGCACACAATAAAGGGCGTTGGGCCAACAAAGGTTGCATGTATTGATGTATTGACTCAACCAGACAACAAAGGGAACAGTCACGAGGCCCGAGGCCGGTCATAAGCAAGGGCTGCCTCAGGCACAAGCCCTCACCAACTTCCTGTATTTATAAAGATCTTCCGTCCCTCAAGGCCTCGTGGAAAATTAAGGACTTTTAATGGCTCAAAGTCGATTATTATAGTTTGAACTGAACAATCCGTTCCAAGCCCACCTTCTCCTGCGCTTGTCACAACCTGGGGGTTAGACCATAGACACTGGAGCATCTCACGTGACTAACAACGCTGATGCAGGAGCCTTACAAGAGTCAATAATCTGAAGTCAGCCGGCAAAGTTTCAACGAAAAAGCCCAGAATTCTTGCGGCCGTATGGCTACGGACTCATCGGCTACGATTGCCAGGCGGGCGCTGCTGGCCACAAGGGAGGGGAAGACTCCTGCGAGGTAGAGGGGAAAGGATAAGTAAAGAGTCCGGTACAATACGCGTAAATGAAGTTAAAGCTAGATATTTATACCATGACTTCGGCTATGGAACTTCGGCTATAGAATAAAATTGGCAGCGAATCTCTTATGGACATATGATTTCAGCTGTCTTTTTTTAGTTATAATAGTTGAAATCTATACGGTCATTTCTTGGATATAATCAAAGGTTCAATGAAATCAGTCTGCAAATATCTTGTCATTAAAAATGTATAAAAAAGATCCATTGCTACTTGTGAAGGCCATCTCCCCATCTCGATGAGCTTAGACTCAAAGATGGTCCGGGAATTGACGGAAATAGATTCATGACAGAACTCTTTCTAGAGGCGTCATCCTGATTTGTCGGCGTAGGACCTCTCGACACAACCTGGATATCCTCCGTGCTCCTACTTGGAGTAATTCGTCCATTCCTGAGCCGATATCTTTGGCCAACTACAGGGACACGGAACCCCTTTTCCGTATGGGTATCAGCAAGTGGCAATGGCCAGAGCGAATCAACCGATTGCCTTTGTCGACGACGTCGATAAAAAAACAGGCCTAGTCCAAAGGCCATTAGAGAAAGGACCGCTGAGAGATGTTAACGACGAGATATCAGTGCTGAATTAATGCACTTTACCTATTACAACTCCGGCTATCCCTGCCATTTCGGCCCTGCTAAGACCTCCACGTTCCATAGCGGACACTATGCCAGTCTCGGTCATGTTCTCGGGCACAATAGGCGGCAGTGAAGTAGATGTCGCCAGGGTAGTTGGCCTCGCGGAAGTATTGGAGCGGGAGGTTGAGAAAGGCTCCATATTTAGCATACTTGTTTCTGTGGATGGCGTTACCGTCGAGAGAGGAGACGAAAAACTCTTTCCCTCTGCCGGTAGTGTTGTCATTGGAGAGGATGAGCTGGCTGGTGTCGCCATTTGTGAACTCCCCAATTGCAATACCGCATAGACCTTGCCATTGCTTGTGTAGATGGAGACGAAGCCGGGGACGATGGAAGGTACAGCCATAGACGCAGCATCGACGGTTGTCATCTGCATTTGCGCACTAGTTTGAGATATAGTGGAGAACATTATATCGGACTTGACAACGATGACAAAAATTTTAGAGCAGTAAGATCGCCTATGGCGTCACGGCAGAGGTTCAACGTCTTTGGCGAGAGCCTTTCTGGGCCCCGTTGCAGTATGGTAATGCCTAAAGAAAATTATGTCTAGACAATTGTTCAAGTATCCAAACTTGAAGTTTACATGTTCAGTATTTAAGTAGAAAGAACGAGGCAACAATGTCAAACTGAGGGGGCGTATATTCCAACTAATCACCCTTCATCAACTGTTACACTGCAAATGGGACTGTGTCATTTGTATCAAATATCGTCAGATAGATAGCTTGAAAAGGTCACATTTGCTTTCTGATAGGTCTGATCCAACAAACCAAAGAAAGCTGCAGGACCTTGTCGCTGCACAAAGTTGGTTGCCGTCTGCCTGCTGCAGGTTCTCATAGAGTTCCATATATGTGAGGGTTGGCACCATGATTCCACATGGAACTCTGAGGCTGAAGCATTTGTTACGCCAAGAATTTGGTCCGCAGCGCCACTCCTGCATAGATGCTGTCGCGCCAATATTCTGAAACGGATCATGAGGCTCATGCAGGGGTTGTGTCTGGTGCTTCAGATTTGGCTTCAGTCTTGATTCCACATTGCCCACAAGCTTGTTTGTTCCGGGATGGGACGTTTGCGCATATGATTGGCCAGGTCTGAAATAATGTCGCACGTTGACTGGAATCCAAAGCTTTTGATGAAGAGATTAGACGGCTACAGGATGAAATGTGAAACGAGGCATGGGCCGAAGCGTGAAGGTATTAGCTCCATGCATGCCCGTCGGCCGAGCCACTATCGACAACAGCTAGTTAGTATATAATTTAATGTTGAAATAGTCGACATGTTATCATCTCGCATCCCGTGGCAATTCCGGCCCTTGGACTTCCTGCTTTGTCGGCTCACACAGACGCGATCAGGGGAAAAATGACTTAAGGGGCACAAGGTAGTGTGGAACTTCTTTTCTAAGTTTTATCAACTGAAATGTACAAAGAAAGCAAGACAAAGGATGCACACATGGCTCAAAAAGAATAGGTTTTGCATAGGGTATTAATGCAACCAATACGGGGCGGTCGAAGGAGATAATCAGACTTGTCAGACGCGAATCAAGCAAAAATGGAAATTGCAAGTAAAATGTAAATTTGGCAAAAAGATTATTGGATTGGGCTGTCGGGGATAAAATAAGGAAAGCCGTTTCTGAATAAGCACTTTATTGATCTACGAAACAGGTCTGGACAAACCGCCATGGCGCAGATCCTTTTAACAGGAGATGCAACCGGAGTTCCCGTGCCGCTTTTCTCTAAGGCGAGGCGTATCTTATCCGCAGCTTCAGCTACAAAGTACTCGTGCATCAAAGTTCACAACTGCCTAGGCAAGGCTATCGGCGCTTGAGCCCACAGATCTGAACTGGCTGTCCTGCCAATCAGCCTTGATATTGTATGCTTAAGATACTTTATCGTTTTCCACCTAGCCGATGGCTGATTGAAACTAAACACGGCGGCTACTCCTCACGCGCACTTTAGAACGGACCGCATCTTTCGGACGTGTGCCCCGTTCCGGATGAATGCTCCATTGCATAATTTCTTCTCACAATCAGGGTATATGAAGGGAGTAACGGTTCTACTGGGCCGAATACCATATCTTTACAAAATCCCGTGCTTTGCCTCGGTTATGCCGGTCCATGTGGCGCAGGTCGGTTGGGGTATTCTGTGGACGTTGGACTCAAACGGTCCCGATGTAACCTGACCTGCCCGTGCAGCGGCCGTGCCGTCACCTCAATATCGGAGAGAGCGAGCGCTCAGGCATGAACACCGGGACGTGGACCCGCCGAGAAGTCCTCTCTGGCCCAGTATAAGTTTACACATGTGCCACCAGACATCAAGGAATTACTAATGTTGGGATACCAAGGACAAAACCGTGTACCAGGAGATTTCATGTCGCGAACCGGTTCATCTACCTACAACTCCTTTTCTATTGCCGCAAGTCCCCCCTTTGCTCTATACGGACAGTGAGGTCTTGTCGTCGACCAACTGGTTCTAATGCAATTGCCGCAGGTAGTAGCAATTTTCAACAAAAGCACAAGGCACTTACAGCAAGGCATTCGTTAATCCGGCCATAATACCCACCAGTACAGCCATGGCTGCCCGCGATAATTACATCTTGTCCCGAGATTTGGATGCCTCACTCCGGTAGGCATCCCCATCCCACACTCGCTCCGTTGCATTAGTACGTCGTCTTGTTAATGCCGCATCAGGTTGGATTGCCAGCATCTCCTGGCCAGGATGTATACTGGATACACGCTGCATCCGCAGATACCCGTGGTCCCCAGTATGAAGATTGCCGAAATTGGCACCGGAACCGGGTTTGTGTCCCAAACTCAAACAGAAGCCGCCTCGTTACTAATTACCACAGAATATGGCTGTTGGATCTGGCATCTCAGCTTCCCTCTACTGTTGTTCTCGACGGCTTTGACATATCCGACGGCCAGTTCCCCCACGAATCAAACCTGCCGAGTAATGTCAAGCTGTCCATTATGGACTCGTTTGACCAAGTGCCCCCGGAGCTCGTTGGAAAGTACGACGTAGTGCATTTACGCTTCTGGGTCTGCATTGTGCGCGGGAACAATGTAGAAAAACTGATTAACCATGCGAAAGCGCTACTGAGTAAGTTTCTCTAATCGCCCATTTTGCCCCAACAGCAATGCTGATATAGGGGCTGCAGAGCCGGGGGGCTGGATTCAATGGGAAGAAGCCAATCTCGGGAGAATTCTTACAAACGGCGATGAAGCTAAGAAATTTCTGCAAGCTGCAAAGTTGGTATTGAAGTCGCTCGAATTTGATTTTGGGTAAGCTTAAATTGTTGGGAATGCTCTTTACAACCAGACACGATATTAACTCGCTTGGCATAGATGGATCGAGGCGCTGCCCAATACCCTCGAGGGTCACGGACTCGAAGTTGTGGATTTTAAAACGGGCCGGATTCCACCATCACTTGTACCTCTGATAATAAAGACTGGACTGGCCGGTTGGGTTGAGATACTTGACGCCGCTTACAAGACTCAGTGCCAGTCTTTGCCGCCTGAAAAGGAGACCAAAGATATTTTGCTTAGGGTGGTGGAGGCACTTAAAGATGGAGCGGCGTATTATTGGACTCCCCTGAGCCTCCTTGCTCGCAAGACCGCTGGAACTGCGCTTGAGGCGTGATGAAGATTAGGCCGTGAGGTGTTACGGTATTGAAGAAGATGAGCAGAAGGGGATTGTTACTTACTTGGGAGTTAATTAAGCGAATTATAAATACTAAAAGATGGAGAGTTAAGATATGCTACTTTAGATTTAAATAAAATGTAAACTGATGTCTCTTAAAGTTATTCTTAAATGCCTTATTATTTAACCCCTAATAATCATGAGCTGCGAAACTTCATGAATGCTTGCCGGCAACTCCGACACTTGCTTAACATCTTTGCGATAGGATACCAATGTTTGTTGGATCTCTTGGGTTTGCCAGACATGCGGTCGTGTGCTAGCAGTAATCGTGGTCGAGTTTCGTTCGGTATGCCTAAGTGTGATCTCGGTGTGAAACCTGGTACACAATCCTTGTGACAAGGGTTCAACATAGAAGGCTTGGAGCAAAAAGGGCTCAATTCAATAAGAATCTCGAAGGGTCTCTAAGGTCTTAAGTTACTACAAGAAAGAAAGGGGAGGGTAATCGTCTTATATACATAAAAGAAACGCCCAGGCCTAGGGTCCTTACCCAGGCACGTGTTCTAGCTGTATAACTAATAATTCCTGTATCGGCGAAGCCCCTTTGTTGGGCTTCACGACCTGTTGGGCCTTTTCCGTGTAACAATCCTTCTTGCCTTGGAAAAGGTATTCCGGTAATCCCCTCCAAGACCAAGCCCTTCCCCGTCGATTAGTCTGGCAAATAACTAATTCGGGCAATACTCCTAGGTTGGCCACTCCATTGGCTCGTATCTTCTCAATTTAACTGGCACGGTAGCTGCATATGGCAGTTATAAGGTGGTTAACTTCCCGTCCAAGGGTTCTGTGTGGCTACCTGCGGATATAGTCTTGGTTTCTTAGGGTTATAATTAAACACTAGCTCGTTTCTTTTTCGATTAAAAACGGTTGTTAGAAACGATTGTTCTTTAATAAATGTGCTGTTTATATTACCATTGCGAACAAGACTAGAGCACTTGTGATTACTCCTGACATGAGTTTCCGGATCTGTCGATGTCGCACGGAAATGGCCGGTTACACGAGGGCTACAGTCCCTCACCGACTTCTTGTATTTAAAGACCCCTTTAGTCAACGAGGCTTTGTGAAAAACCAAGGACCTTTGATACCAAAGACTGTTATTAGATGAATTGAGTCATTGCTCCAAGCCTAGCCCTTGTCACAGTCGACGAAAAAGAAGCACCTGCACAATGTTCCCAGTCTTCACTTCTAAGCGGGCATTCCTGGTTTCCTTCTGTTTCCTGAACTGTTTTAGGTAGTGGCATTAACAGAAAAACATGTCTGCTACATGTTTGCTTCCGGACCTAATTGCCGTCTCAAGTAGCTTTAATGTTGAATTCTAAGTCGGTTATAAGTGCCTATCGAGATGACCTGAACACTGCGACCCATGTCATTGATTGCAATGACAAGTCGATTAGCACCGTCCAGCCTGATACTATTATACCCATGTCCACGTAAAAGTTCCCAGTATGAGTCGCCAATCGCTTCAGCAGTCTCCTTCGGATGCATCCTGTGCTTCGTTACCAGGTCACGCACCTGATAGTATTTCCTCCACGAGGCCCCCGCACCCGTTTGAGGCAGATCGACATGTTTCCGAGGCCCTCCTTCCCATTTCCAACGAGGTCGTTGATTGATGGTCGCAATCCACTCATTGTATCGGCCCAACATACCCTTCTCCGCCTCGCTCAACCGTCTTCTTTTGGCCGAATTCTCCAAAACAGATACCACTCTCTCCATGCGCGTTTCCGTGGGAACTCGAGCACTACGACGTGCTGTCCCCCTCGCAAGTTGCAACGCCCGTGATGATTGTGAGCCCCAGGGTAATGACGAGGAACCACTTGCGCCGCCTAGCAATACGCAGTTCGCGGTAGCCCAACCCTCAATCATCCATGTGTTGATGGGATTGCCGCACCAAAAGACGCTTACGCCAAAGCCGATGATGCACGCCGAGACGGTGAGGAACATGAAGATGCACACGGCCCAAGTCTGCCACCGTGACGTATTGCCAATGATGCGCAAGATTGTGAGGCCAGTGGCCATCTTGCCGAGCCCCGTGAGGAAGATGCCCGCGGCGAGCACAGTCACACAGAGCTCCACGGCCTATTCGACTGCCGGAATAGCACGGGCGAGCTGACACACTCAAGAATCAAGAGTCAAGGTTGAGGAGCGTGTTCCTATCTGTGCCACGCCCCTCCCCAGATTGACAGATTTGGCACCGGCCCACTTGACCCCACCGTCCCGTTGGTTGGCGGTCGGCGGCCCGAACGCCCAGGGTCTGACGGATACCGTACCTCGGGTGGGGAGTATTTGTGATATCAACGGGGGTGGTCGAATTAATCCCAACCATGCAGCCAGCGACGAGTAAAGGCGCAGGATTGATTTTTTATATACGCACGTTGCCACTTTATAGCAAATGAGCCATGGCCATGTATAGTACTTCCCATAGAAACTTAGCAATCTGCCTTGCTGTAAGCTTGGTACCCTTGCTTTTGCTTCTTACAGCCTGATGACCGTGAAATCCCTTACTTGGTGGTGTTACACGGAAATCGCCCTGTTGCACCAGGGCTACGGTCACGGGATTAGGGCAGAAGGCCCTCACCGACTTCTTGTATAAATAGATGTCTTCGGTCCCTCAAGGTCTTAAGGAAAACCAAGGACCTTTGATACCAAACACTGTTATTAGATGAATTGAGCTAAATTGCTGCAAGCCCTCTTTCCGAGCCCTTGTCACAGGTGGGTACAGATCTGTCAAGTAGTAATCACCTTCCAAATGCCTGCCTAAACCCTAGTGCTAGTCGCAGATAGCCTAGTTTGGCAGACTATCTGGTCTCGGTTTCACGTACACGAAGAGGTCCTCTATTTTAATAAAAACCCTTTAACAAGTCAGCCACATTTGCACTTAATAGTGGTAGGTTCTGTATATTCGAATTACCATGCGACTTCTCTCGTGTCTTTGCTCGGATCGCAGAACTCAACTTCGTAATCGTGGAACAATGTTGGCATAAGCTATTGACATGTTGTTAGTTTTGCCCCAGAGAGGAAAAGGCAGCTTCCACTTGCCTTGGACATCTCAAGCCAGCCCACGTCTACAATAGGTGTCAGCCATATTTAGTGGCATGTTAAGGCTTCAGTACTTACTTCGTCCAATACAGTATCGAGATCCAGCACCAAAACTAAGGAAGTTGCGCCCTGTCTTGACGTTAGAAAATACTAGTGGGGGGTAGCGTACAGATCAAAATTGCGTACTCATGGTGGCAACGCGCTCGGGCTCTTCCATCCACCTCTCTGGACGGAAGTTGTGTGCGTCTTGACCAAATATGTCCTCGTTTTGATGGATAACCCAGGCATTTGCGCTAATGCCAGACTGCACAGTATTAGTATGCATAATACTCATCAAGAGGAGCTAGACGTACTCCTCCAGGTATGAATTGTTCACCAATTTGCAGTCCAGATGGGGGCACGACTCGGCCGAGGGAGACTCCCACAGCTGGATGGCAGCGAAGAGCCTCATACATGCACGCTTGCAAGAATGGCATGTTGTTAATAATTTCCAGATCAAAGACGGCACCACGTGGAATGTTGTTCTTTGCTGCATGTTCATCGATCTCGTCCATCAGTTTCTTCTTAACCTCGGGGTTTCGAAGGGTGTGGTAGAGGAAGGCCGAGATGGACACGGATGTTGAGTCGCTTCCAGCAAAGATGTTGCTGGCAGCCATCGACGCAACACAAATGTCGTCCAATTTGTCTGGCTTTTCCCGCTGAACTTCAAAGAGCTGTTCAAGCATGTCGTTGCGGTCGGTTCCTCGTTTCTTGCGCTCCCTGATATTCTGTTGGGACATGTGCAGAAGCTTGCCCTGGCGTTGGGTAATGGCGAGGTGATTGCCGATTATAGGAGCAAGCCATATGCTGAGGTAGTAGAACCAGGGGATGTGTCCTACCCAATTCGCGCACTGCAGGATGTTGTCGATCATGGTGAAGGCGCCATCGTCTATGCCCTTGTCCATAAATCCGAAACGATTAGAAAACGTGACTTCACCAATGACATCTGTAGAAATTAGACTTGTTTGTCTCACAATGCCAGCGGATTTACTGACCGTAGGCAAACAGCCTAGTCCATCTGCCCACATCAATCTCTTGGCCTTGCATGGAAGCCAGTTTTTTGAGCAAGAATACGATGGCGCTGTCGACATAGGGCTCCAATTTCTTCATATTGGATAGTGAATAGATGTGGCTAACTAATCGCCGTTGTGCTCGATGAATGCTCTCGTTGCGTTCCGCAAATAAGTCCCACTTGCGGTTGCCTTGCCATGGCATGTACCAGTCACTTTTACGGAAATCGTTGCCTGGCCCTTTTGGATTGTTAGTGTCACGAACTCCGCAAGTAGAATCGAGTTACGAACCATAGATGGTTCTGAGAGAATCTATGTCGGCAGTGCTGATTTCGTGCGGTCCGAGTCGAACCAGCGGTCCATACTTGCCGTGCAGCTCAATCATCTTACGGTGCATTCTCCCCTGGCGAGTATGATAGACGAGCCATAGGTTCGAAAACCTGGCCCAAAATGGACCAGGGACACTCCTCAGAGGATTTCGAAAATAATTAATCACTAGAATTGACAAAAGGGCAATCCCTACAAACGGAGCATATCGAAGTATATCTTGCCTGTCGGCACGGAGCACGGTAGAGATCAGCTTCTCTCCCATGGCCATGACTACTGATGCTTGAATCGACAAAGCCAACACCGTTGATGAGAAGTGTTGACAAAGGGAATAATGTAGGTAATATATCCGAGAAGTAATAAATAATGTCCCTGGGCACCACATATGTCATAGATTGGGGGCTGCACAGGGATGTGTAAGCTCAATGCTGCCGCCGAAGCCACTTTCAGCATGCATGTAGTTGGTGGCGTGTTGCGGCTGTAGTTTGAAGAGGTCATGAAACCGGTACTATTGGCCGACGAGACTTCAAGTATGTCGATCCCCATGGTGACAAGGGCTTGTGATCAAGGGCTTGGAGCAAAAGACTCAATTCAATAATAACCTCGTAGCATGTTACAGGTCCTTTACTCCTGAGGAACTAGAGGGGCCAAAGGAACTCTATCAAAGAAATAAAGCCGCCCTCGTCATCTCCTTGTGCAACATCATGTTGGCCTCGTTTGTTGGGCTCCCACCTGCGTAACACTTGGCGCATTCTGCCTGCTTAATCCTACGCAGAAGAACGGCATGGAGTAGGGAGGAAGCAGACGCCGACGTGACACGCACAGATGCTAGCCGTACGCCCCTCGGTATAACCACACATGGTCCAATCTCCTGAGCCTACCTGCAGACCAAACGCTGATCTTCTCGTCATGGGCCCTTTCCCCGTCATCAGCGCCCCGCCATAGAGCATCTTAGCTGCCAGACTAGACGTGCATGGACGCCTACCTTGTCGTCTCAGGCCATGTTTCCCAATATTTTGGACTTGTAGATGCCGTTGAGGGGCTTCAGGTACGCCGTATTAAAGCCCAACAGCGTTTACAACTCATATTGGTCAACTTGTTGATTGTGCGTTGTAAAGATACTCCGGAAAGAGGCCGACAATCCATGTGCCTATCGGACCAAATTCAAATATCCCGTAATCACGGCAGTAGCCTTGAATTTCGGTGGTTTTTCGTAGCAAGTATTCCGGCCAACTCCAAGATTGGCATTATCCGAATAAGTACCTCGCTGTAGGAAAGCCTTGGCTAGGGAGGGCCAGGATAGGTGCCTGTTTTCCCTTAAGCGTTGCTGGTTGCGTGGCGTTTGTCGTACAGGATCTCACCTGCAGACTCAGCACTCGTTATACAAGCTCCTACCGAGATTCTTGGAAGCGGCACGGGTAAGAATGGAACAGCACTTTGCGGCAAAGCTTTGCCGACGTGTGCCTGGAGGCTGAAAATGTGGACGTTCCCGCCCGGGGCTGGTGGCTATTGTTCTGACGACCATCTCGTGTTCGAGGATGTAGGGTTTTATACAACTGCGATATGCTTCGGCTTCATTTTACGCCGTCGGAAAGAAATACATCATACCAAAATACATTACTCCGTATACTAGGACGCCAAGCGGTCAACTCTCTGGAATGATTGACCATCTGATTCTGCCTGATGGACAAGATTTTCAAAGTCTGGCTGCTGGTGGCAGTGATCGGAATGGTCTGGTCTGAGGATTTCTCGAGACCATGGTCCGACCGGTCGGACTATTACGCTATCGATTAGGGTGGCTGATTTTTCGACTAAACGGTTAAAGCCGTCTTTTGAGGCTCTTTTCCCCGGGTCGGCTTAATACAGGTAGTAAAAATGATTCGACACAACATGTACAGCCTTATACGTTGTTGAGCCTGCGGTTCTAGATTATTTCTCTCTATGGATAATAATATTACACGTTAAATCTCTTATTTTGTCTGTCATCCCGACACATTTCCTCCTTTTACGAGGAATTCCCATTTAACTCGTCAATTATCTTGAAGCCATTCTTCTCTGTTTTATCTAACCACGTTTTGTTCATTCGTTAACCCTAACCCTAAGAAGATGTCATTGGGAGCGATAAACGATATATACCTGTCCCATAGGGACGCTATTGCTGCAAAGCTCAAAGGGCATTCTGCCAATCAAGCAATTGACGGAAAGAGCCTTGACTTGGCCACGGTAATCGCCATTGCCAGGTACGGCAGTCTTGCTCCGAGTATTGACGCCAATATATTGACTCAAGCCCAGATATGGAATATCGTCACATTTGTCTGATGGCAGCATTGAGGCTGTCGCCAAGAGCGCCGAAATGGTCCAAGCGAGTATTGACAAAGGAGAGGTCGTATATGGTGAGACGCGTCTTTCTCAGACTCGGACTTTGAACCTTACCATTATCCCAGGTGTCAACACTGGTTTCGGTGGCAGCGCCAACACACGGACAAATCAAGTCGAGCAACTTCAGTCAAACCTTTTACGCATGCTTCAATACGGCGTTATCGCAGAAGAACGAGCAGTCACGGCTCCCGAGTCGCGGCATGACACAGATTTAAACGACATCATCAGCCAGTCAGCACTCCCTCTTGATAACCCGCTGGCCTCAACCTCGATGCCGGAATCTTGGGTCCGAGCCGCCATGTTGATCAGGCTCAATTCTCTCGCTTCTGGCTTCTCAGGCATAAAAGAGACGACCATTCGCACTTTGCACCAGATGCTCGAAGAGGGCATCACGCCGCTAGTGCCCGTCAAGGGAAGCATATCGGCATCTGGGGATCTCAGCCCTCTGTCCTACATTGCCGGTGTGGTCGAGGGAAAGCCCGGCTTGAATGTTTGGACACGCAATACCAAGGGCGAGCGTTGCCTCAAGAGGGCCGACGTGGCACTTGCAGAGAAGGACATCAAACCTGTCTCTCTGGGCGCCAAGGAAGGTCTTGCGCTCGTCAACGGCACTGCCGTCTCTTGCGCAGTCGCATCGCTGGCGCTGCACGACGCCATGGGACAAGCCACTCTTTCACAGATTTTGACTGCCATGAGTGTCGAGGCCCTGCTCGGCACTGATGAGAGTTTTGACTCCTTCTTTGGAGAGGTGCGGCCCCATCCCGGCCAGGTTGAAACGGCCCGGAATATCCACGCTTTTCTCTCAAAGTCGTCGCTTGTCCAGCACAGCGACACGGAGGAGGGAGAGCTACGCCAAGACCGGTACTCGGTTCGAACGGCATCACAATGGATTGGGCCTGTCTTGGAGGATTTGCACTTGGCTCACCAGCAAATCGGCATTGAGATGAACTCGGTGACGGACAATCCTCTTATTGACCCGGCCCGGGACGGCAAGATGCTGCACGGAGGGAATTTTCAGGCTCGTGCCGTCACCAGTGCCATGGAGAAGACGCGCCAGTCCCTTCAGACCATCGGTCGCATGCTCTTCTCCCAGTGCACAGAACTCATTAACCCTGCCACCAATCGTGGACTTGCACCAAATCTCGTCGCCGAGGAACCGAGTGAATCCTTTATATGGAAAGGTACCGATATCATGATCGCTGCCCTTCAGGCCGAACTTGGGTTTTTGGCAAATCCGGTGGGCAGCCATGTTCAGACGGCAGAAATGAGCAACCAATCCATCAACTCTCTAGCCCTCATCTCCGGCCGATATACCTTGGAGGCCGTCCAGACGCTTTCACAGCTATCCGCCGCCCACCTCGTTGCCTGCTGTCAGGCCTTGGATCTTCGCGCAATGTCCTGCAAGTACTTGGAGACCATGGCCCCGATCTTCAAGGATATGACCAGCGAGGCCTTGTCGGGGTACCTGCTGACGCCCGAGACTGGCGACGTCTTCTTGCCCGCCACCTGGGCAGCCTTTCAAAAGGCGCTCGACACGTACACGCACTTTGACTCGCCAAGACGGTTTGCCATGACGTTCGAATCCCTGCAGCCACTCGTCCTCAAACACATAAGGACCACGGCAGAAGCGGTGCGGGCTCTGCAGGCATGGACAGAGAAATGCTGTGCCGTCGCCCTTGATCATTTCAAGATGAATCGAGAGGCATACTATGCCAACCCAGAAGCCACTCCCTATATTGGAAGTGCATCTAGCCGCATGTACAAGTTTGTCCGCCACCAACTTGGGGTGCCATTCATGAGTAACAAATTCATCTCGACCCCAAGGGAGGAGGGAGGCGACTTTACTTGGGGCGAGCCTGACGGTGACTCCAACAGAGGTGTGACCATGGGCGGAATGATTGCCAAAGTATACGAGAGCATGCGAACCGGCCAACTCTACCACCACGTCGCACTTTGTATATCCGACGTACATGAATACAGCAGTGCCGCCAACAAAGACGACGAGATGCAATTCTCCTACGCCTTGAACAAGGCTGGGGAATTGACCGGCTGGGGCGGCAACAGCCCTGGATCGCTCAGTGGTGACGAGAAGAATGATGCTACTCAAGCCCAAAATATCAGCTCAAGTGCCACCGTCGTGGACGATACTTTGTATCTATTGGAGACGGATGCAGGGACCAACCAGAAGCTCAAAGAGGACATGGTCTACTTGACTTTACATGTTGAAAGTACCCGACGGCAAGGACAGCTGTCACCACACTGGGGGTGAGATTGGTAATATGCGCCATGCTGCTGACCAGACATCATTCAATCAATGATGTTCCTTGTCCTGGAGTGCATACATGTACGGAAGGTGCCGCTTACCTACCTAGGTAGGCGCAGCTTACCTACATGTATGAATTGATCTGAGCTCCCTTTGTCATTTCGCCCAACCTCAACTCTCCTCTCCTCTCCTCACCAGCAAAGTCCTGCAAAATGGATTTCAAGGAACAACAGCACGATTCCGAACCTTTGACGCTCCGTCAAGACAGCAACGCGCTACAGGCCTCGCCTCCAGAGAAGCAACAACATGATTCACAGCCCCCTACACCGCCAAACGGGGGTTTTATGGCCTGGCTACAGGTTGCTGGCGCCTGGACCATCATGTTCAACGTCCTTGGCTTGCTCAACGCGTATGGCCAGTTTCAAAGCATCTACGAGACGCATCTTCTCAGGAATGAGTCTGCTTCGACAATCGCATGGATTGGCTCGGCCCAGTTCCTCGTGTGCTACCTCGTCTGCATCTTCACCGGTCCGCTTCTGGATACGGGACACCTCCACCTCTTGCTCGGCACTGGGACAGTAGTCACCGTCTTTGGCTTAATGATGGTCAGCTTGTGCCATTCCTACTACCAGTTCTTTTTGGCCCAGACCATTGCGACTGGCATTGGCTTTGGCCTCATCTTCTTGCCGGCTTCGTCAGTCGTGTCGCAGTGGTTTTCTACTCGCACTCCTCTCGCAATTGGAATCGCGGTCAGCGGATCAAGTATTGGTAAGTTGATGGTCCTCTGGGAAAGGAACACGCACCTAAGTCTTCTTCAGGTGCTGTCATATACCCCATAATGCTTCAACGCCTTACAGAACAGATTGGATTTCCGTGGACGGTACGCATCATGGGCTTCATGGTCCTCGGTACCATGCTCTTCGCCGCTGCCGTGATGCGAGTACGGGTTGGAAAGAATCCGCCAAAGAGAAAAGTCATTGAGCTCAGACAGTTCAAGGACAAGCTCTACCTTGTTGCTTGTCTGAGCTTCTTTGTCAATTTCCTGGGACTCTATGTCTTCTATTACTATATTTCCCTCTACGCCACCGAAGTGGCCGGTACCGACCAGAGTCTTGCCAAGTACCTCCTCGCCATCCTCAACGCCGGATCCTTTTTCGGCCGTCTCATCCCCAGCTGGATGGCCGGGCGCTATGGACTCATGAATGTGCAGATTATATTCGGAGTCATTTCTGGTGCCTTGGCTTTTGCTCTCTTGGGCATCAAGACCACAGGTGGCGTCGTTGCATTCACCGTCGTCTACGGTTTCGTCTCGGCCCCTTACGTCGCTCTTCCTATCCCGATAGTGACGAGCCTATCGCCCGATAAGAGTGTCTGGGCAACACGATTGGGAATGAGTTTTGCCATTATTGGGCTCGGCGCACTCATCGGCAGCCCTGTAGCGGGTGCTATTCTCGGGGACAGCGATAATAGGAACTGGACTGGTCTGATCGTTTGGTGTGGAGTCATGTTCTTTGCTTCCACCGCCATTCTCACGACTGTGCGTACTATGAAGGTGGGCTTCAAGCTCTTTGTGAAAGCCTGAACCAGGGGACGGAATGTTTACCCGTCGGCTGTCATACTGCCTTATGTTTTAGCATTTCCGTAGCGATCTTTTCACGGTTAATCAGGCTGCTTGCATCGAGTCCGAGTCTTTTACGGTAGCGCCCTATAAGCATAGATTTAGTTGAAAGTAAAAGTTGACTAAAAACGGTCCACGCCGCTGCGTCCGCTACTTGGTGGATACACATCTTGTCCTGTTTTCTCTTTCTTGTTTAGCGTTTAGATTCTCGTAGTAATCGCCTAGCTAGCTGTCAATATACTCGCTTGGACTGTAACAGTGTCCGTACATCAAGAGTATAGAACCACCCCTGCCGGACTTGGCCTACACGTGTCGGAAGTGCTGACTTGTTCAAGGCTGTGCTGGACTGTAGTGTAACCCGGAGTGTACTACCATTTGGAATCATTAAATGAATTCAGCACCTACCAACAGCGCCCGGGGCGCGGAATGGTCTTGTGTAATCAAGCAGCATGTACACAACTGCGAAGGATGTACATATGATTGGCTCTGGAGAGTCGAGTAGCACGAGTAAGCTGGGGCCTTGGTTTTTGATTTCTAAGCTTCAAAGGAAAGACGTAACTCATAACTGCCCCTCTTTCCGGTTGAGGTATTCCTGGCCCCTATTATACTTGTACAACGTTCCCCTTTCAAAGCTACGTAGAGACAGCTGTTGGTCGCTTCAAGACTTGTATCCCCGATTCTAGGCTGCGGCGGAAGCTTTTCGGGCCGATTACGTCTGGTACTCATGATGCCCATGCTGACACGGAGTAACACGGCAGCAGGATCCAATCAGCAATCTCTGCTTCATAAGAGATGAATTGCGTTGTATTAAAACATGCCAACTCGACGGTTCAGAGGAGCAAAACAATGAGACGGTGCTTGTGTGAGCGGAAGACGAGGCTCAGGCTCAATAGACGCCTTACTTTGAAGATGGCTAATCCACCGACGTGATACGGCCGGGATTGACGTTTGATAGGCCTGTATATACGGTTTTTGACATAGGCGAAGCAGAGAGGCAAGAGAGCACCACTCTCGGGCTGAGTTTGAACATTCATCTCCGTCGTACCAAGTGAGCCAGATTGCCATGACGTACGCAGTTTGACTGGCTGCATCGTGCAATGTAGTAGTAGTCTCAAACAAAGAAATATGTATGCAGATATACTACACTGCATGTCTCGTTGCATCCATTGATGACTAAAAAACCACACCATCACCGCCCGTCACAAGCCACCAGCGGGTACTTGCAACCCTCCAAAGACATTACCCCAGCGCCACGACATTGTCACACAATCAGCCCATAGCCAACTACATGGTGGATAGGACACACTTGGAGGAGCCTTCGGGCTGCTGCCACCATATTCTTGCCGACATTTATGACGGCAACTTTTGTCTCTGGCAATATTATCAGCATCAGCTTCATGACCCCGTTTTCATGCAAGTTCCAAAGACTCACTTGGAATGTATGATGGGTCATTTATTGCGCACGTCTATTGAGACCAGTCAGTCTAGATTCTACCATCCTGATGAAATTCGCCAAGTACGGAGTAACACTCGGTAGTCTTGCGTGGCTGGCGATGACGGCCTTTTGCAGACATGACAGCGTCACATTCCGCCTCGTCTCAATACCCGACACTGGTACGGCCCGTCCACGATGGTTGCCGTGTCACAAAGCTCGACTATGCGTGGGCAACTGTTGCACGGAGAAAGCCCAGCAAGATCGCGAGGCCAACAGAGAGCCCCCCCGATCGGGGACTTGGTTACACAACTAGAACACGTGGCTGGGCATAGGCCCTAGGCACGAGCGTTTCTTTCATGTATATATAGTGGTTACTAGTCCCTTGCTTCCTCTTGGAGAACCAAGGACCTTTGGGACCCTACGATGGTATTATTGAATCTAGCGATTTGCTTCAAGCCCTCTATATGAGCCCTTGTTACTCCGTACAGCAACGGCAGTCTGTAAATATTGACATCTATCAATTATCCGGACTCTATTCCTCTATGCAAATCATGAGGTATCCAAGACGACATGGCCACGGTTCGACGGCAGGTATATTGGGCGCAGATCCGAAAGTCGTTGGGCGGAAATCACACGTGGCGTATGCGTCTTCAATTAATAGAGGCGGTGTTGGCTGACACACACGTATTGACAGATCATATATACGGGCCGGCAACTGGTTAAAACATGATGACACCATTCCTGCTGGCACCACCTTGAAACCCCCATGCAGAGTCTCAGAGACGAGACAGCTAGGCGGAGAGAAGAGAAGATTGTCACGTTACGTAGAAGCGGGAGCACTAAACACGCATCCCTCATTTGTTGATCATGCGTCGCGCGTTAGCTAAATGGACGCTCTTCCTGTATAAATTCAGTGTGGCTTACGTCTATTTAATTTTATGGCCTTATTAATGCTTGCCTTGACATGTGATTTACGGTGAAAAGTGTGTTTTTAAGATATACTATTATTTAAAGCCAGCTATTAATATTACTGTGCCGGCGGTTTATAGTTGCGTTATGTACTAACGACAAGGTTAAACTTTTCTTGGTACTTTTGTAGCAAAAACTATATGTGAAGGTACCTCGTGCGGGATACATGATTGAAAAGTGACGGATGCGTGTTTAGTGGTCTGTAGAAGCGTATCACCATAACTGCATAATATGTCAATTGATGTATGTGCTTCATGTCATGGAATTGCAAAGATCCTTGATATTCATCATATTCAATCCCCGCATAAATGCCGGTGTAGTACATCCCTTATTGCGGGGACTGTCTCATTACACCAGACGGCATACTCGCGGGATGAAGCCGGGGGTCTTAGCCGTACATATGTATGCAAAGACGAGGCTGCGCAGCTAGCCACAATCCGGCGACAGTGACCGCATTTACTAGCTGCATGTGATATGTTGTAAATGCTATCATTCGGATGCTTTGAATTGGCGCGAGACGAGATGGTTCGAGCGAGGGATTGGCATGTCTGCCACCCTGGGCTCCAATGGACAAGCATGTACTTATACGAAGTAAGCTTTTGGATATGCGGCTTAGCTCTCATGTGAGAATGACGTATTTCCTGACATGTCGAGATGCACAGTATGTCGCTTGATGACCATAACACTGACTGGTCAATAAAGTGTGCTGTGGACGAAATGCCTCTTGGACTCTGTAAAGGGTTGCGCGTAGGATCAATGCTTTAAACAGACAGAGTCTCAAGCATAAAAGGCATCCGTCTCCCACTCGAGAGCTCAACTCGCCCTCTCTTTCACAGTATCAGTCATCCAACAAGAAACATTCAACGTACGCAAATATCATCACCAACAAAGGGTTTAATCTTCACCCTCGGCCCACCATGAGTCAGACTGCCTACGGATCACTCATCCGAGAGAGTGGCAATAGGCTCACTGCCAGCTTCACAATTGATGGGCGCGCATACAACTTCCCCGCGACAGTCAGCCCATCCCTCCCGGCCTTCACCACAAATAATACCAAGCTCGCATACAATGACCTAGACGAGCTCACGTCAACCCGTACTTTCAGCGGCCAGATAGGCACCACTACATTCAAACTCACTTTTAATAACGGCCCCATTATCGACGGTGACCTGAACCAACCTGGCATTGTACCAGCTGCTTCCGTCAACGGCAACGGCGTTTGGGAGGGCTCCTAAGGCATGAGGGTAACGGTTGAAGAAAGCTCGTCGCTGACACGTAATGCGCCGGCTTCTGGAGACGCGAGTAGCTTGAAGGGCCAGTGGAAGTTAAATGAAAACCAGAATCAAGCAGAGGAGAACACTTTGGTTTTGATCGGCGGAGAGTTTGGTGTTCCTGTTGCTGCCTCTTTTTCAACAATTGCGGCACGCATGTTGGGGGCAGAATTACTTTCAAGATGACGGCAGTATTCAATTTCCGTACCGATACTCTTATTCAAGCAGGAAATTAATAGTCTTGTTGCCCGGTTCACGGGCGATTTCTGATCGTTGCCCAATTGTCCAATGTGTTGTGTGATAATTACTCGTCACTAGGTGTATATGGGAGAGCTGTCAGCCAGAATTAAAGAGAAGCAAGTTTCATCGCAACACTTCTTTTCCATCAAAAATTCGGAATAATAGTAGTTCACTGTTCCGTGTTTTGTTGGCCACTTGTGCTTCTGTGGTTGGCATGATGCCCGCACGTGACAGTGTAGTCCAGTCAATCTACATGACGTTAAAAGAGAGATCCCCCAACGTCTCTTCCCGTCCTCCAGCCACTTAACCACTTAACCCCACACGTTGATCCTTTCGAAAACAGTCATCACTTCTCATCACTTTGGTCATCGATCCGCCACCATGCTGAGTGTAGCGGACTACCAGAAAAAATACGACGAGATTACAGCCATCCGTCAGGCTGCGAAGGGCGATTGGACCATTCCGAACGCTAGGAAGAGGGAGATAGCCCACGAGTACAGGGCCGCTTACAAAGAGCTCCGAGCTGCTTCTGCTGCGGCAATGGCCGCTGCAGCCCAGCCGTCTTCCACCGCCCCCAAGAAGCAAGAATAATTACATGTCGGTAGCCCTCCCAAATCTACAGCTATGCATTTAGCATATTGACACCATTCACCAGCCCACATTGCCCGCACCGTCGTACCGAACAAGCCAAGCAAAAACGCCGTATGGCGCAACTAGAGCGGGGACGGGTTTGAGGGCCGTGCCGCCATGTATCTCCTCAGCTGAGAACTACCGCTCACTATGCCATCCTAAATATCTGTGACGGAGCTTGTGAGGATCCGCCTCTTGTGACGCGACCATAAACCGAGCTCGAGGGCACCTGGTCCACTCGAATGCGTCTGCGGCGAAAGGTGGAAGTAGCACGAGCCACAATCCCCTTTGTTGTGATATTTGACTGCCTCAAAGACCAAACATGCAAATACCCCCCCAACTTAATACACTGCGCTGTAATTTCTTTTCCTTTTGTCATTGGTAGCGCCGCTTGGGGACCGTGAGATGGCATCCTCAACACTTGAAGGAATGACGCTAGGCTACTGGGCGAATACCAAGGGAGAATTCCAAGCAAAACGGGAAGACGACGACAAATAAGCCGAATCTGCGAGTAACGACATCTGCACTTGAATGAGGCAGAGACGTTTCAAGATCTGTGCATCTGCAACAGGTTGATAGTTGTACTCATGAATCCTATCAAGTGGCGTAATGTATTGACAATGCACTCTCAATTGAAGAAGCGATGAGCGATGAGCGTGCTTTTATTACCCAGTGCCAGTTTTTGCTAACCTTGGAACTCGCCTGGATATTTGACGGATGTGCATGTTCACTCGTTATTACGTGCGCTCAGCATGGCTTGTTTATTGAACAAAACACCACGGATATTACTAGGAGGGGAATTGTTACCGAACATCGCGGACGGGATCTCATCCTCTGGCTTGCGGGAAATCGGTTGAATTGCATGCCGAATTGTATCGAGCCATGATTCCGTCAGAGACCTCAGGGGCGCACAGCAAGACATCCCGGTCAGCTTCATCGCCTGCCTTCGGACAAATGGACCAGAACAAGATGAATAACGCCGAGTGCGCTTTTATTGGCGGCAAGACGCCGCTCGTTTATTAGTGTGAGCTGCGACCCATGTTATTGCTGAGAATGACGAGCCAGTCCTTCACAGCATCATGCACTGTCTCAGGTGCGAACCTTTTTCGCTGGCAAATGCTTTCCATAGTCCGCTGATCCCGGAGCCATAGTCTATGTTATCAAGGGGACTCCCAGAAGAACCAGCAGTTTGACTCACATCCTTCTTGAACTATTATGTTTCCCAGCTGTTGTGTTGTCGCTCATTACATGCGAGGCTAGAGACGTTTGCGGATTGAGTTTCGGCTGGCATGGATCTGCGGGAGGAGCCATGCAAGTGAACTACCTACAGCCCGCAAGAGAACAAAAAGGCCATGGAGATGATAATCTGTCTAATCAATATTGTGCAGAGCCCTCCAAGCGCTAATCCGTCTCATGGTTGCCACAATCTACGTGGTAACGGAAACTGGCAACGTGCTCTTGTATGACTTTCCAGATCGTAGCTGGGTCTCATTACAATATCAACACATGAATACGGGACGAACTACTTGGTTTGTTCCGAAACGGGAAGCGGAAATTAAAACAAGGCGGGGATGGAAATCCGCAGTCATCGGAAATGACAAGGGACCGTGCTGCTGCGTGACTTGAGAAGCCGTCTTCATAGAATCCGATTTCCTGGATGGCTTGCTACTTGACACTGCTCTCAGAAAAGAAAACCCGTCTACCGCGCTCTATACTTGCATTTCGTCTATGAAAAGTAACATCATCAAGCACATCTACCCCCCGTCATCATCTATAATAACCACAAGCGCATGTCAAGAACCGGCTAATGTCCAAATCTAAAATTCAACCTCTTACTGCCCTCGTCCTTGGTGGTATTCAAATAGTGAACCCGTTCCTCCCGCGTCATGGACAGCCAAATCTTGTCGCGGCGCTCATTGACCAGCACGTAGTAGGCCTTGATGCCGATGATCAGCACCACGTTCCAGGCCAGAACACCCAGCAGGATCTTGTTCCCCCTGTAGTAGTAGGGCTTGTCGTCGTCCCTGTAAATCTGCGAGGCAAAGATATTCGACATTTGCACCGACATGTTATACAGGGACGAGCCGACGGTGCGGGTGCGGACGGAGCCCGAGTTGCGCGAGGTGAGGGCGACCAGGACGGCGTGACAATACGGGTAGCCGACGAGGAGCGTCGACAAGACCCATTTGGACCAGTTGCTGTTGGGAAAGACAGTGGGCAGGGCGACGAGGGCGATGAGCAGGGGCAGCGCCCAGAACTGGGTGACGAGGCCGATGAGCACGCGCTGGTTGGCCTTCTCCGAGACCCAGGTCCAGAAGAGCAGCTGCAGGATGAAGATGGTGTAGGCGGGGATGGTGAGCAGGTTGGTCTCGAAGGTGTTGAAGCCGAGCGCCTTGCAGGTCAGGGTGATGTAGGCCTGGGGCGGCGTCACGGGGATGCTCCAGGTCAGGCCGAGCAGGTAGATGGGCCACAGGTGATAGTCGAGGAGGGCGTCCTTGAAGAGGGACCAGCTGAGGCCCTGGCGGTTGTGCATGGTGGCCTTGCCCGGGTCGTCGCGCAGGATCCTCGTCACCATGATGACCTCCTCGCGGGCCGTGAACCAGCCCTCCCGCGGCCGGAGCAGGCCCTTGTACTTGCCGCGGGCGGTCTGGGTCGGCGACGCGGGGAGGTACAGCCAGGTCCAGACGCCGATGAGGCCGGTGAAGATGCCCTCGATGAGGAACATGTAGCGCCAGCCCTCGCCGAGCGCGCCCCGGCCGCGGAGGTGCAGGATGCCGTAGGCGAGAAAGGCGCCCACGATCTGGGTCGACTGGTACGACGTCCAGAACCAGCTGAGGCGCCGCGGCAGCTCCGGGTTGGTGAAGAAGTAGCTCAGGTAGAGGATCACGTCGGGGATGAAGCCGCCTTCGATGAGGCCCAGCAGGAAGCGGCACACGTAGAAGCTCGACCGGCCGTTGAGGGCAGCCTGCGCGGCGGCGACGACGCTCCACGACACCATCTGGATGGGAATCCAGGTGTCGGGCCCGAGTTTCTTGCTGATGAGCTGCGAGGGCAGCTCGGCAAAGAGGAAGGAGCAGAAGAAGATGGTCTGGCCATTGTTGTAGTCGTTTGTGTTCATTCCGAGATCGCCTAGAGGGAGCGTCAGTTTCTACCATTGATGGTTTGTCTCAATGAGAAGCAAAGTCGGGAGCATACCCAGCATGTTGTCGGACAATGCTTGCGAGATGTTGCCGCGGTCGAGCTGCAAGGCAAAGAACATGATGCATGCCGGGAGGGCGATTTTCCAATTGAGCTAGCCTGCGAGTCAGCACGACGATATCAGAGAGTCCGGACGAGTCCATGTACCTTTTTCACGAGCTGCTCCTCTTCCTCGTATGACCATGTGGCCGAGGGATCGAATCGGTGCGTGCCTTCAAAACCCTCGACGGGCCGGTACACCTCCAACGCCTCTGGCGCAACAAAGACACCCTCGTTTTTATTACCGTCTTCCAAGGAAGATGACGAGGCCGACGACGGAGCCGTCTCGTAGCCAGCGTCGATGGACACATGGCTCACGTCCTTGCCGCCCAGCTGCCACCATTTCTGCCGTCGGTAGGGAACCGCACTTGCAACTGCAACTGCGCCGCCCTTGGAGGCCGGGAACGCCTCCGCGTTGTCTCGCTCAGACATTTTTTATTTTTATTCTTTATTAAAAAGAAAAGAAAAAAAAGAAAAAATCGTCTGGCAGAGGGGCGCATGTGCTCATTGCGAGTGTATTCCAAAAGGGCAGCATCGGTATAAATATGTAAACCGGCACCGCACCACCTCGGAGCCCTGGCCGGGATGGGAACAAAAACCACAAGCACCTCCCGGCTTGACTGCTGCAGAATCTGGTGCGAGATTGGTCTGCATCTTCTCATGCACCGCACGTATGAGACATTGTGGGGGATTGACGTGATGGCAAGGCTCACCAAGCTAGACCCGGCGTCGTGATGGTTGCCGTCGATTGCGTGACCGAGGCGACCGCAACGCGCATTGAACCCGCGAGATGCCGGTGGATCACCAAGTGCGACTCGCTGCATGACACGCCCATGTTTCCGTGCTTTGCCCTACGCGAATGAACCCTGCAGGCTTTAAAACGTTTTGCTTCCGCTTTGATTGGCCGAAAATGATGTCAGATCTCGATAGCTTCGTGGGCAAAGGACGCTGTTGAATGAGCGTGCGATTTCGGACGCATCTATTGGCCGTGAGGACAGCGGGATGCGGAATCAAGATATCAAGATATCAAATGCAGGTCGTTGCCACAATGAATAGACTTGTCTTGCGCGGCACCCGCAGCAATGGCTGTTGTTCGGATGGAGAATCTGTAGGTTTTCGATATTGGCATCTATCCGACGGCCTTGGTCGGCAGAGTCATGGTGAGAATGATACGACATCCGAGCTCGGGATGGTATTATGAAATAAACCGACATTCTTGCACTCCTGGTCATTTGTCATATTCTGGTGAGAAGCCGTCGAGCCATGATGCTGGGACTCTAAAGAGCGAAACTTGGATCAGAAAATGAGGAGAGCAATGCACCCGCAAGCACGCCATCTGGAGGGGTCACCAGAATATAAGTACATCCTCCGCTTTTGACTCGGTCTTATCTGCGTCAAACTGGCAAATAAAGGTATTGCGTCCTTGGTCCTGTTGCACCACATTGCAGTCTGCATCCAACACTGAGTTGTGGAAAGGCAGCTCTGGTGTCGACTGCACCTCATGACTACGCAGATTGGGTTACTTTGTGCCTCTGATCGGGACAAAATATATAATCGAGAGAAATAACCCGCCCATCGTCACCTGTGGGCATGGCAACTTGTCTGGCTAGCTAGGTAGCTTAATCCGATCCGTTTTGCATCCCGTGGTACCTACGACATTCCCGACAGACGTCCACCCCAAAGAAACTGTCCTGAATGGAAAGTATGTACGGATGAGACAATTCTTGACGTAGTTTAGTCATCAAAGGTGCTCCTTGTACGGCTATCCAATGTAGTATACGAAATATACACGCCTTGTCACAGTGGTTATCAGGTTTGACCACTGCGTCACGGCGCAAAAAGATCTACCAATGGCAGCCCATGGCCGAATACCCGATACCTAGCTTACAAGTGTGCACACCTTGGCTTTCTATTTCCCTTTCTCCCCATGGCCTCTGACGCTCCTCAAGGAAACCAAGGGGACCTAAAACCGGCAACCACCAGTCAAGACCATCACCGGGGATGTACCCTCGCAGCGGAAACATTACTCACAATTTCCTTGTACGCACTCAACCATGACATCAGTCTTTGCGTCTCTTTTGTTCCAAATAACCAAGTGCCCACTCCACTATGTAGCCAGCAGTCAGCACAATCCAAAATCCAAAAACACGGACAACTCATACGTACGCCGGGCATCAGATTTATCCCCACAGCACAATCGCAATGACTTGTTAACCCTTCCGCCTCTATCGGCATCTTGATCATCATCGCAGCAGTAGCAAAACTCAAACGTGCTCGGCATAGGCGACAAGTGAGGTGTCGCCAAATTACCTAGATCCGGTGCGTCCAGCCCTGGTGGGTGGTTTTCCAGGCTCTCATCGTCGAATAACAGGTGTTTATCGCCCAACAAGACAATTTCACACTCAATCCACGCACCGGTATGGCGAAGGTCGCTTTCAGGTCTCATCGTCGGCTTCGAGTCGGAAGGAGTACCGCTGCAGCCCAGCTCTGGACATGTCGAACGCCATCTGCCTCGCGTAAATGGCGAAGCGGCATTGTGGTCCTCTGTAGAGCATACGGTGCTCGCATTGCTCCAATTACACTCTGATTCAGACATGTAGGCGAAATCATCTCCGTCCCAGGAGCGCGAGAAGCGTGTATGTGTTGAAGCATGCTCCACCATCGGCTGGCTGCCGCCTCTGAGGTCATCTGAGCGTGGAGACTGCCTCAAATCTACATTTCGACTTTTTGAATTTCGTTTCGATGCTCTTGCGGGGTACTTTTCGTCGTTTTCCTTCCATGGCTGCCTCCTGGTACGCTTCAATGGTGGCCTTGTGCTCCCCTTTTCGGACACATTCTGACACTGCGCCATGGATACAGGACCAGTGTGTAAAAGACGATGTCGGTAATTCAATTCCTAAACTGTTTAATTTGGACTCATGTGCAACACGATAGACGGCAGGAAGTATAACGAATAAGCTGTTGGGTCGGGAATATACGTGACTGCGCGGTATAAGGGTCTGAGCAAGGGTTATATGGCTTCAGCTCGTCATCGATGGTCCCTGTGGTTGATATCAAGAGATGTCAAGCTCCTGTCCACTTCGACAGAGGGATTCTTGAAAAAGAGATAAAAGGGAGATGAAGGGGGGAAATGAAAAGAAGAACGGTGAGAGGGGGGAAGCGGTCTTTATGGCCCTGCGCGCCCGCCGACGCCCCTCGAATCGGACCAATCACATCCTGCCCTGTCCAACCTCATCCCGTCCTAGACCCCTTCCACGTCATGGTTTTACGCACGTGTATTATCTTTTTCCCTCATCCCTTTGCTATTTTTGAACCCTTCATCATTTTGTATCAGTTTTGACCTTGAAATGGTTGAAAAAAGCTTCTGGAAGCCGTTTCGACCTCGGTGGCCTACCTGTACGACATCTCTGGTCAGCTAGCACGACGTCTGGGCATTACACAGCAATGGTGCGATTTAGGGTGTACAAGGTCTGCTGTAGACGTTATATCAAGGCCTGTCGTGCTCTTGAGACTTGATGCATCACAAATTTGCCGTCTTGGACACTGCTGCTGGTGCCCGAACCCGTTTCTCCGTGTCATACTCGTCACGGCCAGGCGGACTCGTATCTAGAGCAATTAAACGGTTTTCTAGGTCTTTTTTTTAGCTGGTGATTAATCTTGGACGTCTTCTAGGCATTGTTGTTGAGCTGGCAAGGTTGTGTTCTGTGTAGATGGTGGAAATGAAGGAGTGAGGCAGGGCCGTCTGATAGATGCTTGCGGGGCACGACCCAATGCTCACAGCTACTGTTCTTGATCCCCCGGATAACACAGTCCAAATGCCACACAAGTTGTGTTTTTCCGCCACGGGGACTTTTCTGTGAATAAGGGTTGGTGGCAAACGGCTTGCGAGCAGGTCCATTGCAGACGGCAGTGCATCTACAGCGATACACCGGCGGAGGGCACCGACATTTGGTCAGGCCGATATGTGTTCCACAGGTGTCACTTGTGTCCTCGTCGGTGCATGTCGCTGTCCACTGCAGGCAACCAGATACTTGCAATTCAAGTCTGAAGAAGCGCTGGTTCTGAATCTGTCCGAGGGCGTGTAAGTGCAGGAAATTGCCCGATTGGGCAGTCAGATGTGGCCCGGCCAATGTGATGTGATTAGTCACGTCAAGTTTGATGTGGCTGGCTGGCAGGCGCGCCGCCGTTCGGGTCGGGCAATTGGCGTATTGCAAGGCAAGCCACAGGTGACAGATTTATGCGTGGCTGTCTGTCATATTGACATGATATTGTATAGTGGTGCTGCTTGCACGTTGCGTGCTACGAAGCCTCGACTGATACATGCAGTTAAAACGCCCTTGGGGCCGGGGAACCCTAGTTCGTTCGAGGCGTGCCATGTGCGACCTGACATTCTCTCTCACACGGCGGTGATTATTGGCATCAAACACGACGACGTCTGGTTGGTCGCGCAACTCCCACTCGCCCCACTTCTTGGCACCGGCTGAGGTCTCACGGTTCCGGTTCACCTTGATCCCTTCAAAACAGGAGCACACGTATCGCGCCAAGGCGTCCTGGTGCATTGCGTCCTGTCTACCCAGAGATCCGGCAGTGCGTTTTGAGTAAATCCCCGGCTCTGTCACCAGTCTCTGAGCACCAGGCATACACCATGGCACCGAGAAAACGAGCTGCCTCAGGCATTGAGACCAATGGCGAACCCGTTCCCAAGAGACGCTCAGCTCGTCAAGCAACAGCCTCTGTCTCCAATTCGTCTTCTGGCCCAGTCTCTACTCAAAACATCCAAGTGCCTCGGAATGCTGGGACCAAGGCGAGCTCCAAGCAATCCAAGACGGACACCGAGGCCGCGGCCAAAAAGCCCACCAAGCAGTCAACAGGCGGCGCAAAGGCCAGCAAGGCGGCCTCGCCAATCGCAAGTAAGAAGGATGCCGGCGCCAAGAGCAATGAAAGAGCCGCATCAGAAGACGTCGACGTAGATTCTATACCCACAACTAATCCCGAGGCGCCCCGACATGAAGGCGAGTGGTACTGGCTGATGAAGGCGGAGCCGGAGACGCGCTATGAGAACGGCATCGACGTGAGGTTTTCCATCGACGACTTGCGGGCCAAGACGAAACCCGAGGGCTGGGATGGTAAGCCTTCCATTGTCGTCTCAGAAGAAATCGTGAGCGCTAACTCCCATCAGGAATCAGAGCATATGCCGGTACGTCTCGCTCGCCTCATCCGCGACACATGAACCCTGCCCTAACTATCGCAGCCCGCAACCACATGCGGAACATGAATGCCGGCGACAAAGCCTTCTTCTACCACTCCAACTGCAAAGAACCCGGCATAGCGGGCACAATGGAGGTGGTCAAGGAATTCTCCGAAGACGGTTGGCCTCTCCTTGACTATTGCCCAGAGTGTGACTGACCAAGAGCGTAGTGAGCGCCCGTCGGCCGGGCACACCCTACTACGACTCCCAATCGACAAAGGACAAGCCGCGCTGGAGTCTTGTCCACGTCGAGTTTCGCAAAAAGTTCGCCGTGCCGATTCCCCTCAAGGAACTACGCGAGATGGGGAAGCCAGGCGGCCCGCTGGAGAACATGCAGATGCTGAAGCAGAGCCGGCTGAGTGTGAGCCGGGTCAGCAGCGAGGAGTGGGCGGCCTTGTGTAAGGTTGCGGACGAGAAGGCGAAGGAGGCGGGATTGGAGCATGAGACGGGCAAGTTGAAGAAGTGACGGCGGTGAGGCGCCTAAGTGGACGCGTATATGCCCGTTGACGGTCTGGATAATTGTATCGGGAGTCAAATAGGAACGACCGCCGTATTCCATGCTTCAGTCGGCTTGCGGCACTGACGCTCCATGCAATCCACCAGGTCTCCGTGCGTACGTCTAACCTGCACAAGAAGGGGACGGCGACTCATCTTGTTGTTCCCGCGTGGTCGTCCGGCTCCGCCCATTTCTCACGATCCTTGGACGCAACGACCTGCAAGCATGACACGGCATCTCATGGCCCGGTCTCGGCCGGATAGTTATCCATCTACCTAACCGTGTTTATCAACTTTGTCTGGTCCCGTGCCTCTATCTAAATAGCAACGACCGCTTTCGCTCCACCACACGGTCATCCAAGTGGCCCTGTCGAGATTCATTCTCGCGCGGACAGAAAAACCAACGGCACAAAGTCCATCATCTCGGAACCACGAGCCGGATTCCACGCCCTTCCGACGACGGCACTTGTCCCCATCGTGGGCCGTGGTAGATGCCGAATCTAGTTACGTACTCTAAAATAAAACTCCCCATTCTTTCTGGGACCGTGGATCTCACGCCCAACCATGACGACAGCCGATATCGGTCACGGAAAGAATATAAAGAAATGGCCATGAATACGTCTGAAAAAAACAAAAGTCGACTTCCACCAGATATCGCTTCCCTTTTGTCTATTCTCCGAGATGTCTTCGGTGGAGGCGACACGCAATGCCACCGATGGGCGTCGTCCGCCGTCCCCAATCCCCCTGCGTGAGGGCGATACCCAAGGCTCATCGACACCCCATAGCGAATGGGACGATGGCGCCATGGCCAATATTGCGACTGCAGAGCCCGTCCCTCCCAACGGGGGGTATGCGTGGGTTTGCACATTCGCCGTGTTTCTCATCAACGCCAACACCTGGGGTATAAACTCGGTTCGTGGCCCTGCTTCCGCTTCCAGCTGAAAACCAACACGTGCTCACCAAAACAAACAGTCGTGGGCGGTCATCATGGCCCAATACTCGACCAACAAGGAGGCCATCCAGGCCTCGCACCTCGAGTTCGGCCTCGTAGGCGGCCTCTCCATCTCGCAGGCGCTCCTCGTCTCGCCCCTCGTCACCGTGGTCCGCAGACGCATCGGCGCCCGGTGGACCATTCTCATCGGCACCGCGCTGATATTCGTGTCCCTCCTCACGTCCTCCTTCGCCTCCAAGATCTGGCACCTGGTCCTCGCGCAGGGCTTCTGCTTCGGCTGGGGCATGGGCTTCGCCTACGTCACGGCCTCGGCGCTCCTGCCGCCCTGGTTCTCCTCGCGCCGCAGTCTGGCCGTGGGCGTGGCGACGGCGGGCTCTGGCATCGGCGGCCTGGTGTACAGCATCGTCACGGACCGCGTCCTGCACGCCTGGGACCTGGGCTGGGCGTACCGCGTGCTCGCCGTCTCCGCGCTGTCCGCCAACCTGCTCGCCGCGTTCCTGCTGCGGGACCTCAACGACAAGCCGCGCGCCGCTGGGCCGGGCGAGATGCGCCCGAGCAGCTTCAGCCCGCGCGACTTTGGGCGCGTCGAGGTCCTCCTCATTGTCGTCTGGGGGGTCGCCACGGAGCTGGGGTACATCATCCTGCTGTACTCGCTGCCCATCTACGCGGCGTCCATCGGCCTCACGCCCGCCCAGGGCTCCGTGGCAAACGCCCTGCTCAACCTGGGCCTCGCCGTCGGCCGCCCGCCCCTGGGCTACTTCAGCGACGTCTTTGGCCGCATCAGCGTGGCCGGGGCGACGACCTTGCTCTGCGCTGTGTTTTGCTTCGCGCTCTGGATCCCCGCGCAGTCGTTTGCGCCTCTTTTGGTCTTTGCTCTCGTTGCCGGCATGCTCTGCGGCACCTTTTGGTGCACAATCACGCCGGTGCTGGCTGAGGTTGTGGGCATTGCAAAGTTTGCCAATACCTTTGGCGTCATTTGCATCGGGCTCGTTCTGCCCACGACCTTTGCGGAGCCCATTGCCATGAAGCTGGTGGAGGGGGATTCCAACAGCAATACGGCGTTTATCCACGCGCAGCTGTTTACGGGCTTCATGTTCCTCATTGGGTCGGTGTGCGTGTGGCTATTGCGGTGTTGGAAGATCTTTAGCGATGTTGAGAAGCGAGAGGAGTCGATGACTACCCTGGAGAGACAGCATCGGTATTGGGTCTCCTGGATCACGCCTCAAATGATGTTTAGCACGCAGCGGGTGTAGGTGTGAAGAAACACGGGACCTATCGCCTGCCATGCTGAGGGCGGACGTTGGATGCTGGGAAAATTATGATACAAAAGTCTGGAACGCACTGTAATTACGGTGCCGTTTTGCGTTTGGTGTTCATTTCTGTTTGGCCAACATGTTTTAGCGATTGGTTGGCACAAGACTGAGCGATTTTGTTGACGCGATTACATGGCGACGCAACGAGTGGTCAATTGTTTTGACAAGAATTTGCATGCTAGCCCCTTTAATGGATGTCTTTACACATAGAATAGATACTACTTTGTTTCCCATTTCATTTACTTGGAATATATCTTCTACATCATCTCACTCCGCTTCAGCAACCACCTCTTGGCAACACCATTTTGTCCTCTACGCCCAGGTCCTCGTAAATGCATAATGCTGAACGTCATAGCGGAACGCGGATGAAAGGAGTGCGTTGATTCTATTATTGGAGATGCCGTCAAAGTAGGCCGGACCCTGTACGTGATGTCGTTCCATGTTCAACATTGCATCCACTCTCGAAGAGGCTTCATGCGGGGTAAAAGCTCAAGGGTAATACTATTCTCTAGACATGTTACCGGGTTCGATAGGTTTGCGGCAAATATAACGAGTAACCAAGCTACATGACTACGAATTGAACCAGTTGTAGCACCAGACTATCACCCACCTTCAAATAAGATTTTCAACTCTAACCCTGATTGCGACGCCACAATAAACGTACGAAGAGGTAATTCTACCAATCACTAGTTGATACAAAATCCTCCGTGCATAAATCCAGGTTGGAGTACCAAACTTTTCTTTTAAAGCATTTTAGTGCCTGTGCTTTCTGAATCAGTCACATCTCTCGATGGCTCTGGTCTTGCAACAGCGAGTGCTCTTTTATCGGCTGTCTTAATAGATTTAAGAAGCGAATAGATGTTTCAAAGCTCCGCCCACGATGCACTCTGGTCTATGTGGTTGCGTTCTGGGCAAGGTAGCATCAACCAAACTCAACCTTGCAAACACGGGCATGTCACACAAAGTCAAGTACACGAGTTACGATCAACAGTCATCACCAATAGCAAGTCTGCATTAAAGTAAGATTAAGATAGTACTCACCACCCCTACCTAATCCCCTAATCCTGGATGTAATTGAGGGATGACGTCAAGCTTCCGAACGTCCCGCAACCTGCCGCGTCCCGAGTTTAGCTTTTATACCCTACCTCAAGAAGCGTGAAACCTAAATAAGAAGTAAGTTTAAGGGAAAGAATGTTAAATAAAAATCAAGAGGACAAGATAGTGAAATGTTCCATGTATTTCCGATGGAATGTACACGGAAACGTTTTAGTGTAGGCAACGAAAAGCGGCGAGGGCGCCTCATGCGATTTGGACAAAAGACATCAGCTATAAATATTCGCCTAATCCCCTGACATTATTCTCCAAGATCTTATACAGCTTACATCACCAATTCTAATCTATCACGCTACCTTACAAATCGTGAGCTATCAGGTCAAAACCATGCTCGTCGCAAACTTGCTGCTCCTTGCAACTACCGCTTTAGGCGCCGTCGTTCCATATGACGGCGCAGGGCATGAGGGCATTCAATATGACGACACTCAATACACCCAAGCGCCATTAGTAAGTCATCTCACCCCTCTCAAAGGTAGTGCTGGTTGGTCCAGTCTCACACAACGCAGGCCAAGCTCTTTCGGTCTCCAGGCTGTAAGAACGAACTTGCCACGATTAGTAGTGTTGAGAGGTGTTTGCAGCTAAGGCCAGGTTCTGAGTAAGTTTATAAAAACCCTAATAAATTAATTTGCCACTTTTCTTTTGCTAATAATGATAATAATACATAACAGCCCCATCGAGTCAATCGGGGTTTATCCGTATAGAATTTGCAAACTATATCAGTAGGTCCCTTACTTCACACTCAGTATGGATGTTATTAATATCATACAGTGACCTGAACTGCAAGGATGAGCATCCTTGGACATCCGGCCAAGGCTGTCACAATGTACCACGCAACCCCATGTTCCACTCTATCAAGTGCTCTTACATACGCCGTTAACACACTTATCATGGGGATACGATTCTCGCCGGAAGCTAAGGGGTTGGCTAAAGCTTGTGTTGGAAGTGGTGAGTGGCGGATATTCTACGACGCTTTGGTACAGGTTTTCTCCCCTTCAAGTATATGTTGTTGGGGTTTTTCCTATACTATAATGCAAATGCAAAGGCTCGTTTGTCTATTAGGGTATGTATATCTGGTAGTAATGTCATCACGAAAGCTCCCTGTATAGGGGAAAATTCAGGCCTCAACACACTTCTCATACATGTGGCCAACCAGACTAATTACGGAACGCAACAAAACCCAGTGCAGCAGGCACCGCTTTGGGAGGCTAGATTGGAAGCTTACACTAAGGGCCGGGCGGCCAATTTGGCAACTTGAAGCCAGGCTCAGTTGAGGCCACTGGATTTGACAAGCTTCCTGTGGCCAGACTCGGTGCTCGCGCGCTTGTTGCCGTCCTTGCCACCATCTTTCTTTAGCTCTCAAGTCACCATCTTGTATGAAGCCTCGATGTCACGCAGGCCTGAAACCTGCTCTTCAAGCTCCTGGCAGAAGTTTTGCTGACTCTGATACCAAACTTGGAGCCCTGGGTATATTCATGGTATCGAGGGCAAATTAGGAAAAGCTTCTAGAGATGCTGGAATGCCTGCTTTCAAACTACCCGTCAGATAAGGTTGGCGTGTCGCCAGCAAGCCTTGCGGTATAACTAGACAAGGAGTTCTGCAGCAACCCGCCAGATGAAAGCTGCTGAAGCATATGTAGCTATTAGTAAATTCGGCCGGATTGAACGAAAAACCAAGGCTTAGCTGTGGCAGCTATCGAATTTGAAGATTCAAGCGGGCCGGAAGAAATCCTGGTGCTCGTGTATACTATGCAGTCTTTTAGCCTACCACTCTCAATAAAAGGTCGAAACTAACCACAATGCTGCCACAAGATCCAGCGTAGCTGGCTTCTATTGGGATACAAGCTGCAACAGCAAGTCCGTAGGACCTAGCGAATCGCTGCCGGATCGAATGTAAAGCTTGGATCAACGCGATCGATAGAAGCTGCTTTTGGATTGCAGGCACGGTAGACTGAAGGTGCCGATCGAAGGAGACTGCCGAACGAGACCTATTGAAAAGAGACGGCTTTGGCTGGCTGCGGGATGAAGACATTGTCAGATTTGGTAGGTCCGAATCGCATAGTATATGACGAGTTGATAACAGTTAGCAAAACAGAATTATTAGATGCTTGGTCTTATCCCCCAGCCTCTGCATCTAGAAAGTTTTATGTGAAGAGGCCAAATCCGCCTGCTAGCTGCCTGGATGACCCGGCTGATCAATTCCGAGGCGTAGCACGAAATTTTGGCATAATATGCTTCTATCACATGCGATAGACGAGGTGTGCACTTCGTTTGTTATGCCTACCAATTGTATTACCGCGCTCCTACCGAACGCCCTTGTTGCTTGAGATTCTGTGTGCAACCACAGGCTGGTTTCCGTCTTCTCTAGAACCTTCTAAGCTTCGGATGGCCCTCAGGAGTCAAGATCGTCTAAATTTTCGACGATTAACGGGATCGTCAGAATGCCATGCCAATCTTGTGGGCCATGGAGCACAACTATTCACCTTGCTTTCCGCGTGTGCGATGGAGGCATCATGCCGGTGGCAAAATAACCACCAATCTGTCGTCACCAGAGTAGCTAGTGCTGGATGGAGAGTTCCCTACGATAAGTCATAGGCGCCGATGTTGATGACGGGATATAGCAAGGTAAATAATGACGTCAAAACCGATGTTGAGCATGTATCTGGCGGGTGAAGAGCCAGTTTGGCCAACTTTGGCTTGGGCCGTCCAAGAGGAGGACCCTGGTTCTGCGAAGGTGCAGCGTCCAAGAGCGCCTTGGTACGTGACACGTGGGCATCTCTTCGGGCCGCATGACCCTGATGGCTCTGTACGCCCTTGGTGCTGTATCATTGCATGCATTACGAGTTGTATAGCTCGGACGTTATATCTATGAGGGGTTAAAAGTCCCGAATATTATTCATTCCGAACATCGGTCCGGTATGTGGGCGAGAAAATCTTCGGCGCGGAAAGTGAAACTTCATCTTGACCGGCTGCCAGATATCGACAGCGCATTAACACCGTCGAAGGCCTGCTTATCCTGGGTCCGCAACTTCGTATCGCATCTGGTCCTCCTTCATTGCCATCACGATTGTACACTGCCGGGGCGAGAGGGTCAATGCCCCAGGGGTGACCAAGACTCCGTGTGTCAGCAAAGACTGGACAGGTTTGCAAAGAGCTGGACGAACTTGCCGCTTGCTCGAACTCATTGGATAACTTCGACGTCGATCTGTCGATGCCCTGCAGAAATAAATAGCTAGGGCCCAATCAAAACTACTCTAACCCCTCCTTTCAACAGAATTGTCACGTCCCACGACATTGGCAACTGCATCACTACCTGCCCTTGCCAGCGTAATCGCCTTGATACGTCTGTCTCCTAAGGCGTCAAGATCTCCTTCGATGGATGCGAAAATTGTCGGTACTCCAATTGACGGACGCGGGGACAGCTCAACTGGGCAATAATTTTTGCCTTTTCGCTCCATGGCTGAGTATCAGTGGAACATGACAACGTTTGTAAGGACCAGGAGACGTAATTCTAGACTGTACGCCACTAGTCCGCTTTATATGACACGAGATCCTTACCGTTTGTAAATTTCGTTAGTGCGTAATAGAAATCTCAGTTTTCCCATGAGATCGGGGTTTTGGGTCGAGTTGCGTGCTGCGGCGGCCCGGCTTCGGTGTTCTAGCCTTCATCGGGCCTTTTGACGACGGAGAGAACCTTAGAGACGGCGAAGTTTCAAGTCTCTGCGTCTTATCATGTCGTTGGGCGATGGCCCGACCTAGTCATATGACAGCTCTGAGCCAACGAGGAGTAACACGCGACGAAAGACCCTTTTCGGAACCCATAGATAGCTTAATGTTGGGCACCTCTTGCCACTCCATGATGTTATACCACCGTGCGGAACCGCAAGGCCTTTAGGTACGTAATTACGTCCTATTGCAACGTCAACGAAGAGCCTGTCAAAATCACAAACCCTGGAGAGCATTCGATATGTTTCTTTCACGTTCCTTTATCGGCCGGTTATGGCCACCGGATGATTCAATTCGCACGGAAGTAACCTTGTTTCTGAGCACTACAGGCACTACAGGCACCGTTTCGTGCCCTTGGTCGCACTACAGCTTGCCTCAAGCAGTTTAGTTGAGAGACAATAGCCGATTAGACGCATTGCAAGCCTAGCCCCACATGCCGTACTTCTTCGATCCATTCGAGATGTCTAGAGGCGATGGCAGAGCAACCTCAAATCATATCCGAAGACGTCGGCCACTCATGTTACCCGAGAAAAATAAGGTATGCAGTGTTTTCTGTTCAAGGCGCCACCGGAGGAATCCGCCGATACTAAAGGCGACGAGTTTGGAAAAGTCGGATAGAGTATGCCGTTACATTTTCTTTTCGCCCGTTACCCGTGGACTATTTTATACTCGACATGCCCCCCGATCTCCGACGACTCACGGATATGGATAAAAACCACTTGCATAGTTCCTGACTTCGATCTTATTAGCATTAAAAACGATTGTACCTCTTTAACATGGCTTCACTTACAGTCGATGCTGTGCGTACAAGCACTCCATTCTTTCCAAGAACGGTGCGGTCCCTGCTGCCGATGGCTAGGAACTCTATTCAACCTACCCACAAAACAACCATGCCGCCAGGTTTCTCAGCCGCCGTAGCGCAGCTGGAAACATTTGTCCTGCCTGAAAGACTGTCGGGGTCACTTTCTGACAGGGCCATGGCCAAGGCCATGGTGCGAGCCTGGAGACGGCACGGCATTCTGCAAATTGCCATGTCGCCGTCACAGCAACAAATATATGCCCAAGCCAATGCCGCCAGTAGAGACTTTTTCAAGGCAACGCCGCTGCAGAAGCAAGCCTGCGTGAACGAATGTAGTTATGCAGGCTATGTTGCCTCCGGAGAAGAAATTACTGCGGGCGTTGCCGACTATTCGGAGATTTTCACCGTAACAAAAGACCTACACCCCGAGGACCCCAGAGTTTTGGAGAAGTGGCCATGCCATGGCCCTTGTCCCTGGTTAGACAACCGTATGAAGAGCCCTATGCTCAACTACATGGCAGACATGGGGTCCAGTGGCGACAAGGTCCTCCAGCTAATCGAGCTGGGGCTTGATGTGCCGCAGGGATCCTTGACCAAGTACACCGACGACGGGTGGCACCACATGCGAGTTCTCAGGTACGTTAGTAGACATGGTTTGAACTGCATTCGCAACAGGTGTGATGATACTAAAGCTCTCATTTTCTCGGCATCAGGTTCCCTGCGAGACACCGAACCAACGGGAAAGGCAAGGCTGGTCGTGGCATTGGATCTCATACAGACTATGGTTTGCTAGTAATAGCAGCTCAAGACGAGGTCGGGGGTATGGATACGGCTTCTCCGAGTCTGATGAAGAAATAGGCCCCGCTAACTACCATCTCACCAGGTCTTTTTGTGCGACCTCCCCAGCAAGGCGAATCGTTCGCCAACTGGAAGCAAAGTGTAGCTGGGATGAAGGAAGATGAGCCAGGTTGGTTGTATGTGCCGCCGACTCCGGGCGTATTCACTGCATTCCCTGGTAAGTCATGCTCGTGATTTCGACTCCATCTCTCCCCTCGTAGCTCTCGGCTAACCGTGGGCATGTATAGGGGACATGATGCAATACATGACCAACAGCTTTCTCCAGTCCACACCTCACAAGGTCGGTCTGAATGTTCGAGAGCGCTTTGCGTTTGCCTATTTCCACGAGCCGAACTTTCGGGCCATGGTCAAACCACTGCCTGGATTCAATGGTTCCCAGGAGCCAGCTGATGGTATTCACTACGGAACACACTTCACAAATATGGCCCTGCGGAATTACCCGACCCGCATCACCACGACAAAGTTGTTAGAGGAAGGGCGTTGCGAAATGCTAAGCAAGGAAAGACTTCGAGACGAAATGGTATGATGGGTTCCAAAGACAAAGGAGAAAGCGGTTTCCGCCGGGGATCTCACATAGTTTGATGTTGCGCCTTCATACAAACTCTGCGAATGGGGAATCCTGGGTAAGATGTTTTTTTGGCTGAAGCAACGATGTGGGTGGGGAACGTTTTAAGCCTCGTGCGCCTGACCTGTATAAGTCGCATAGACGACTCCGTAAGCGTTCTGCCAACCCGACCCGGTTTACTAAGGGTACAGAGTAGACAGTCTCAGTATTCGAAGATGACAGCCCAGCAATGCTAGTATTAGTTTAGACAGATGACAATGGGCACTATTAAAGAGCTGCGCCACACAAGGCCACGCGGTGGCACCATGTTGCATATCTCAGTGCGAGGTTCGGAGCCCTATGTCCAAATGTTATCTACTGCCTCGTCGAGATTGGGTCCATGGACTTTCCGATTCAGAGAGCAGGACCGAGGAAACATGGGTCGACTGGCTGGCTACGCTCGTAGCTCAGACACTGTCAATGTAGAAGAGCAATAAGCACCCAGGCACTGCCCATCCTCTGGATCAATCACATTGGGCCACCCGATTAAATGCGGAAAACTCCGTACTCCATAGTTGAGTTCTATGCACCTCTGAACCGTTCCGAGTTGTCAGAGGTGGGGTGAATGAACGTGGGCGTTGGATGTTGCAAAAATGGCCACATTGTACAAGCGACGGACGCATTGGCCATTGCTAACAAAAGAAAAAACACATGGCTTCCCATTATGCTTGTTACCAGGCTCAGTATTGCTCAATATGGCATGGCCGACTGTGATGGGTTGATGAAGAGCTGCTAACAGACCCGCTTCAGCCATGGCCATTGACAAAGCGGTAACAGTGACTTCTGCCACCCGCAAGGCATCAATTTCCTCTATACCAACTGGTATTTCTGCCGATTCTGCCAACAGCTGTTCGATGACGATAAATTGGATGACATTTCCAAAGTGGATGCTTTAGGGATGGAGCAGGCCAACATCAGAAGCGAGGTGGGGGGAAGCATCGAGACAGAATTGAACTGCGTATTACTCTGCAATACTTGTAGGATGTAATGGAAGCCTCGACGCCATCCAGGGCCATCTATGCGCCCACAACCTCGATGGTGGAAGAGCCCCGTGGCTGAGCAATGGGGTGGGTGTGGACGGGGCCCTTTGTTTCGCCTGTGGTTGAACTGTCAGTGACACGTTTGACTATGGAGTACGCAGTGCTATAGTTACTGCAATAAGCAGTTATACGCAGTACGCACATACGACGCGCTCATGAGATAATGAACAAACTGGGTCGAGAGGTCTGGCATGACATGGGTGGAGGGTGAAGGGCAATTTCAAGCGAACACCGGGCAATCCAAGCGTAGGGGGGGCAAACTAACGAGCTTTGGTAAACTGGCCAGCCTTGACCGCCTGCTACATCTGGGAGTGATTGTCGGCCAATTTGCGGCAAAAATCGCATCGAGCTGCCCAACTAGCTCGATCTGTGAGGATTTTTTTCCCCTTCTGCCGCATATTAGCAATTTCGGCACCAGGCGTGTCCGCGGCCCGATAAGGGGAAGTTGTCTGGTCTTGGGTGGATTTGGCCCAGGCTGCATGCTGCTGCAGGTTCAAAAGGGTCAAGTCCATGTCGCATGACATGATTGTGATCAATCGATGCCAAGTCCTGCGCCAGCCACGCAGCGCTCCATACAATACTCCGTGGGCATTTTGGAATCATGGCCACTGGATTGTTCACTTGGTCTGTTGCGTTGTGTTTGAAGCGAGTTGAAGCCAACGCCGGAATGATGTGCCAAGTGCATCACCGACCGGACGTTCAGTGTCATCCAGATGTTGTCAAGTCAATCACTTGACGGGGTTTCCAGCACTGTTTCTTCACCGAGCTCAATGTCTGGTTCCAAATGTCCATATGTCAACATTGAATGTTCGAATAGCCCTAACCCATCTACAGTGGCGTGCCCAGGTACTCCGTGCTCCGTAGTTGCACTGTAAGCCGCCTACTCCGTGCTCCGTGCTCTACAAACAGGCGCCCCTGACCAATCTCTAGCTTGAGTTGTTCGGACAGGGACTCATAAAGTTGCTGACCCGGTCCAGTCCAGCCCGTTCCATATTCATTTCCTTGATTTTCACCTTCACTTCCAATCTCCCGTCCATCCCTCTATTCCCCTCTTCCCACGCCCTTCATTGCTGTGTTGTGGTCTGCTGCCAATTGGCTCGTCCGTTGCTATTGTTCTCTGCCTTGTCTATTCAGGGTCCAGCTTTCTCCCGGACTTCGCGCACCTGCATTGGCCCCGCGCTCCCTCCTTTCACCACCACAATAGTTTTTTTGGACCGCCACCACATCATCCGCCATCAGTCAATCCAAGCCGACAGCAACAGCCCTCCTCCATCCTTGTCGTGCCGTCGACGGCTGACCTGCATCAATCGAGGTAAGTAAATAGCATTGCATTTCCTTGTTCGGGTTCGTTTGGACTAGTCAAATCTTCTCCGTTGAGCGAATACCCAGCAAGCTCCTAGTCCCAGCCCGTTACAGCTTCTCGCTCAGATGCTCGTGTCCCTCGCTGGTGCATCATGGCCACTTCGACTCTTGTTATCCGCAGGATGACGCGGGGTCAACACCTGCTGGACCAACGAGACTCTCCGTCGTCAACGTCGTTTTCATCTGCTTACAGAAAACCCGCTCTCTGTGTAGACCGAGCTGTTGCCGAGAATTCACCCAAGAACAAATGTCGTAAACCGAACCTCCGAGTCACCTTCTCCGATCGCGTCGACATGATATCTTCCTCATTTCTGCCGACCCGATTTCGAGGGGAGCCTGACCGCTCTCAGAGCTCAGCTGCCCCCTCCCGTATTGGCAAGAAGCTTGCGCCCCTGCTGCAGCTTCTGTCCAGAGTCGCATGTTCCCATCCCATCCATACCGTCGTCATTGTTGCCGTCCTAGCCAGCACGTCCTACGTCGGTTTGATCCAAGACAGTCTCTTTGAGGGCCCCGTGAGTCTGGGCAAAGCCGACTGGTCATCTCTGGTTGAAGGCAGTAGGGACCTCATCGCTGGCCCCGACACCCAGTGGAAATGGCAAGGGATCGAACAAGACGTTGCCTCCGTGGCTGACGCCAACCACTTGGCACTCCTCACCTTTGTCTTCCCCGATACCTCCTCGACTGATTCCTCCAGCTCCGCTCCTCGATCCCATGTCGTTCCCACGCCTCAGAACCTCTCGATTACACCTCTCCCTGTTACCGAGAACTCCTTCAACACTTACACCTTGGACAGCATCCTCGCCTACTCTGTTCCCAAGAAGCAGGCGCCTGAGTTTGTTTCAGCCGCAAAGGAAATCCCCGATGAGCAAGCAGAAGAAATTGTTACACATCATGGCCGCGAAAAGAAGATGTGGATTATGAAGGCAGCCAAGGTCAACACCCGCAATACCATTGTCCAGTGGCTTAGCAACGCTTGGGTGGAATTCATCGATCTGCTCAAAAATGCCGAGACTCTTGACATTGTCATCATGGTCCTCGGATATCTCTCTATGCATCTAACCTTTGTGTCCCTCTTTCTCTCCATGAGACGGATGGGCTCTAACTTTTGGTTGGGCATGAGCACTCTCTTCTCATCCGTGTTTGCCTTCCTCTTTGGCCTGGCTGTCACTACGAAGCTCGGAGTTCCTATTAGTGTCATTCTCTTGTCTGAGGGATTGCCATTCTTGGTTGTGACCATCGGCTTTGAGAAGAATATTGTTCTCACAAGAGCAGTTTTGAGTCATGCTGTCGAGCATCGCCGTACCCAAGCTCGTGATGCCAAGCCTGGCAGGAAATCCGATGAACGCACTCAGTCTCAAAATGTCATTTCATATGCCATTCAAGCCGCTATCAAGGACAAGGGCTACGAGATTCTGCGTGACTATGCCATTGAAATAGCAATCCTCACCATTGGTGCTGCGTCGGGAGTTCAGGGCGGTCTCCAACAGTTCTGCTTCCTGGCTGCCTGGATTTTGTTCTTTGATTGCATCTTGCTTTTCACTTTCTATACCGCTATTCTCAGCATTAAGCTTGAAATCAACCGCATCAAGCGACACTACGATATGCGCATGGCCCTGGAAGCTGATGGTGTCAGCCGCCGTATTGCCGAAAACGTGGCCCAGAGCAATGACGACTGGGCCCAGTCCAATAGCTCTGGATCCAAAGACACCACGTTGTTTGGCCGCATGAGGAGCAGCACCGTTCCCAAGTTCAAGGTGCTCATGGTTTCGGGATTTTTTCTCATCAACGTCATCAATATTTGCACTATTCCTTTCCGTAGTTCAGCCTCGCTATCCACCCTGCGATCTTGGGCTGGCGGTCTCGGAGGAGTTGTTTCAACTCTACCAGTTGACCCCTACAAGGTTGCAAAGAATGGTTTGGACGCCATTTTGAGTGCTGCACAAGCTAGTAATACGCCGACTCGCGTTACTATCCTGACCCCGATCAAGTACGAGCTGGAGTATCCTTCGGTTCACTATGCTCTGTCGTCGTCGTTCGGCGAGAGCGGCCTCGGCTCTAATGATTCTTCTGTTCAGTTTGGCGACTATGGCGTTGGAGGCCGCATGGTTGGTAGTCTCCTGAAGAGTCTTGAAGACCCTGTGTTGTCAAAGTGGATCGTGGTTGCTTTGGCACTGAGTGTCGGCCTCAACGGATATCTCTTCAACGTGGCCAGATGGAGTATCAAGGATCCCAATTTGCCCGATCACAGTATTGACCGCAAGGAACTTGCCCGAGCTCAGCGATTTAATGACACGGAGTCTGCCACTCTGCCCCTCGGAGAATATGTGCCTCCCACACCCATGCGTACCGAACCCGCGACCCCTGCCTTGACCGATGACGAAGGTGATGGCCTCCAGATGCGCAAGGTCAAGCCTGCAAGGTCCGAGTCCCAGTCAGAGCATCGATCAATTGAAGAACTGCAGAAACTTATTGCCGAGAAACGAACCCACGAGCTTAATGATGAAGAAGTTGTCACCATGTCCATGCGCGGCAAGATCCCAGGTTATGCACTTGAAAAGACGTTGAGGGACTTCACCCGTGCCGTCAAGATCCGGCGGACTATTATTTCCCGCACCAAGGCTACCTCGGGGCTCACCAACGGATTAGATTCGTCTTTACTGCCTTACGAGCACTACAACTGGGAGCGGGTGTTTGGAGCCTGCTGCGAAAACGTTATTGGTTATTTGCCCCTCCCTGTAGGTGTTGCCGGTCCTCTCGTTATTGATGGACAGAGCTACTTTATTCCCATGGCTACGACCGAAGGTGTGTTAGTTGCTAGTACGAGCCGTGGATGCAAGGCCATCAACTCTGGTGGCGGTGCCATTACTGTTCTTACTAGCGATGGCATGACCCGTGGTCCTTGTGTCAGCTTTGAAACCCTCGAGCGGGCTGGTGCCGCTAAACTCTGGCTGGATTCCGAGATTGGCCAAAAGACAATGAAAGATGCCTTTGACTCAACGAGTGGCTATGCTCGACTGCAACACATGAAGACTGCCTTGGCCGGAACAAACTTGTATATTCGGTTTAAAACTACGACTGGCGACGCCATGGGCATGAATATGATTTCTAAGGGCGTTGAACACTCACTTAATGTCATGTCTACTGAGGGTGGATTTGAGGACATGAATATTGTCACGGTGTCGGGCAATTTTTGCATTGATAAGAAGCCGGCTGCCATGAACTGGATCGACGGTCGCGGCAAGGGAATTGTTGCTGAGGCCATCATTCCTGCCGATATCGTCAAGTCCGTCTTGAAGAGTGATGTCGATGCTTTGGTTGAGCTCAATGTTGCTAAGAACCTGATCGGATCTGCCATGGCTGGTTCCATTGGTGGTTTCAACGCGCACGCTGCTAATATTGTCGCTGCAATCTTCCTTGCCACTGGCCAAGACCCTGCCCAAGTGGTGGAGAGTGCCAACTGCATTACCACAATGAAGAAGTGAGTTTTCAATTTCTTAAAACTTGTGGCGTTTTCGTTCTAACATGTGCATCTTTCTAGTCTTCATGGGTCCCTCCAGATCGCCGTTTCCATGCCCTCGCTCGAAGTCGGCACCCTGGGCGGCGGAACAATCCTGGAGCCTCAGAGTGCTATGCTCGACATGCTTGGTGTCAGGGGTCCACACCCAACAAACCCTGGCGACAATGCTCGACGACTTGCACGAATTATCGGTGCTGCGGTCTTGGCCGGTGAATTATCCCTTTGCAGCGCACTCCAGGCCGGTCACCTTGTCAAGGCGCACATGCAGCACAACAGAAGCGCCGCCCCCTCGAGAACTGGCACGCCTGCTCCTCCTCCCATGACCCCTGTTTCCCTAGCCATGACAAATGCTCAGGATAAGTCTAAGAGCGCTGCTGCACAGCAGAGAGCGAAGCGATAGTTGCAAATTTTCGCCATCGACCCCACCAGAGGAGATCTCCAAGAGAGGCCTGGTACAGTGCAAAAATGGGCATCAGCATGGTATTGGCAGGAGTTTAATATTTCGCATCTCGGGAGTTTTTTTCGTTGTCTTTGAACAGGCTGAAAGCAGGCTCAAAGAGTAAAAAAGCACCCACATAGAATTACGTATATACATATATATAATACCGAGTGGTGATGGACATTCTCTGGGCAGCCATTGTAGTCTCTCTTGTAAGCCGTCAGCTGGTTGAATTCAAACCAAGGCGTTTGCACTTTGCTTGTATTCTCCCTATAGCGCCTTTACTCTGGCAACGTCGTCCCCGTGAATGGAAATCATCTTGACCCCCTTTGCCAAAATTCCCTCCCTGCAAGTCTCCCACGCATCGGGCGCCACGGGCTTCGTCGCCTCTTCCACGATGTACGTCTCGTACCCCTCGGCAACGGCATCTTCGGCCGTGGCCTTTACGCAAAAGTCGGCCGCCAAACCGACGACGTACACGTGCGTCACGTGCTCCTCCCTCAACTTCTTGGCCAGCCCGCTGTCGCTCACGTGAAAGGGGTCATGGAACGCAGAGTACATTTCTACGCGGTCATCCTGCCCCTTGTCGATGACTTGGTGGACCTGCGAGAGGTCGAGTTCGGGGACGAGCTGCGCCCCGGGGGTGTTTTGGACGCAGTGGACGGGCCAGAGGGTCGTCGTGTAGGAGCGGGACGGGTCCGAGGGGTGGCGTATCGTCGCGCGGGAGGTGAATGGCTCCGAGGACGGGTGGTTGCTCGCGAAGGAGACGTGGGTGCGGGGGTGCCAGTCGCGGGTGGCGATTTTGAGGGGGAACGGCAGCGCGAGGAGCGTGTTGACGGCGGGGGCGATGGTGCGGCCGGCGGGGACGGCGAGGGCGCCGTTCTGCGAGCGGTCAGAGGGCGGATAGGTGCGGGGGCGCGGGGGGACGGACGGGCGGGCAGAAGTCTTCTTGGAAGTCGACTACGATGAGGGCTGGTTTGAATTGTTTTTCGGCCATGGTGGTGGTTAGGGTGAGGGTGAGGGGGGAGTTGGTGAGTGGGAGTGAGTGGCGATGGTGGTTTTGTGGTGGGTGTTGATGGGTGGGGGGTCCGTCGGAAGGATGTGTATATATTTTGATTGCCGTTTGATATTGTCAGTCTAACTTGTGAATTGTTCTTTTGGCGAAATAAAAAGGTGGTTTAGTACTGTAGTTGGAAACTTTCATCTCATGCGTGAAACTGAGAAAGGGGCAGTTTCAAGGAACCCTTTGGGAGTTCTGAGACACTGACGAATATAGATTCAATGTTTCTATAGGAATCAGTGTAAACTAGCTACTAAAATGCTTGGGTTGGTTTTTTCTCTCCAAATGACATATGTCTTACTCGGCATGCTCTCCAAAATGAAACTTGACAGAACAATTCAGATTGCACCAGGAAATCAGCAACAGCCTGACAAGCAGATCCATCCCAAACCACAACACAGAAATAAGCCGTCGACAACAAGTCATGCCTGTTGCCACATCATTGTCGCAGAATACTGCCGAGTGTAAACCGGCAGCCCGTCAGTCGATAGAAAATCGTGGCCGGTCACCACGGTCGTTTTCTGGCTTTGTCCTCTCCTTGTTGAGTTGAGTTCGTCGAAGCATGTAAGAAATGTTGGTGACACCTTGGGCGCGAGCCAAAACGTCCTCTACGGCCGAACGAGGGACCGACTGTGGGCATATTTTATGCCAGTAAGTAACCACGTCGATGCAGAAATGCTGGCAGTTGTTGGTCAAGAGATTGTACGATTTGCGTTTGAAAACCTCCTCGGCGGCTCGACGCAGCTCAGACTCAGTGGAATAGGCATTGGCAATGGGGAAGCAAGACTGGGCACCACTTCCCATCATTCGGAATTCGTGACATCTGAGGACGTACTTTTCCACCTTGCCAGTGCTCTTGGATGTGCGATTGGATCCGCAGCTGGCTGCCTTCTCTACTCCAATATGGACCAGAGTGCCTTCGTGGCTTCCAATTTCTTCCGGGATGAACAGAGCCCAGTGAGCTGTTCGTTCGCCCTCAAATGCAACTCTACACAGCGGAAGACGGTCGTCTTGCATCTCTTGGAGAGGTTTCGAAGACGAGTGCCCGACTGATATGTTGATAAGAGTTGAGACCGTGGTTCTGAAAGGCAAAGTAAAGTAGATGGAACAAAAGAGCGCTTATTGGATACGAGTTGCTTTGACAGCGTTGACTAGGAATGGTTCATGGGGTTTAAAGATATTGATTGATTCATGACTTCACTCCGAGACTGGCTCGGGATTTTATACATTTCTCCTCCATCAAGTCGCCATAGGTTGGCGACAGCAAAACGGCACCCAGCAAAGTGAACATGTCTAGTCGTGTACCACCAGGCTCAGGATACGCGGATAACATTGGAAGACAGGCCATGCTGCTGGTCATATTGTACGGCGTTTACGCGACCATGTCTCAGGCCCTTTGCTGTTGGTTCCGGAAGACGTTTATATTTGCCATCGCAACGGGGCTTGGTGCGTAATGTGTTATTCTGGTCATTTGCGGCAGCAATGCTTCCGCGAAACTCGGCAACCCGTCTGGATTTGTTAGCTCAGACGTTTTCAAAAAAGAGTCGGCCACAGTCGAGGGCCATGGTTTACGTGAAGCGGGCGGCAAAGGCCTGGAAAGGACGCCGCCTTGGAAGCACGAAATCTGTTGGTCGGGCACTTCTGGTCGTTTGTCGTTTGTATTGACGAGACATCAATTGATGGATTGTCAGATGGCACAAGCAACGACGGGCCGTTCAGGGGTCAGCGCTTAATCCCGGCGGCAGAGGGAGCCACGTGACACCTGCCAATGTGTTGGTCGTCTGGTGAGGCCGAAGCTGTGCATCACATCATATCCTCTCCTTTCCCAACTACCCGCGAAACTCTGAGTCTCGAGAAGACGCTGGTTCTGACTGGGGCGCATTACCGGAACAACATGGCCGAGTCCATAGATGAAGATGTCGCCGCAATCAGCAAGCTCACCTATGCAGATGCTGTCGACAAGAACCTCCCATTACTCTATTACTTTGTGGGCCCACGCGTCTTCGAACATACCACGTCAAACGGAGATATCCTAGCCCTCAAAATCGGGTGTAAAGACTCGCTCGCGCGCTCTGAAGCAGACATGATGCAGTATGCTGCAACGCACGGCATCCTGGCGCCCAAAGTCCGCGGGTGTTACGACGTCGTGACCATGAAGCCCAAAAGGCCGCTGGCACGCATCATGGTGGCCGAAAGGGTACCCGGACAGTCATTGGACACCGTATGGGACAAGCTCAGCAAGGCGGAAAGGAAATCCATCAAGAAACAGCTGCATGAGCAATTCACCATCATGAGAAGCTGCACCCAGCCGTACATCGGACGGGTTGACAAACAGCCCACGTACAATGTCTACGATCGACTGCAACAAAACTACATAGGCCCGTTTGAGGATGAAGAAGCCTTTGACACGTGGTGTTTGGATCGGGCCAAGGAGTCCGACTTCACAATGCGGAGAATGCGCCGGTTCCTGGAGAAGTCGCGCGAAAAGGCAAAGGCTGCCGGCACAGCAAACAGATTTGTCCTCACGCACGGCGACTTGTCACCGCGCAACATCATGGTTGAGAATGGACGGCTGACTGGCATTGTGGATTGGGGGAGGAGCGGCTTCTTCCCGGAGTATGCAGAGTACGCCTTTGCGATGAAGCTTGGCCACGGGATTGAGAAGTGGTGGCGTCCCATGCTGAAGAAGCTGCTCGTGCCTTGTGAGAGCAAGAGGCTAAACTGGACGCAGATGGTGGAGGATCGGGGCTGGTAGCTCCGATTCAACAACTTGGGACTGTCATGGTGGTGATTTTTTCTTCCTTTCTTCCTTTTTTAATTGGTATATTTTATATTTCCAGAGCAAGCAAGCGATAGGTTGCGGCAACCCAATCGACCAGTGTACTTGGCCACCGCAGGCGTCAGCCGATTATGTGAGAAGGAGCGAAAATGGCGACTCGTTTGTTCGTGCTACATTGTTGACATAATCAAATCGTTCAAATTGCAGGGACGCAACATGGTTTCCCAGGACAGGGAGTGTTGGTGCAACCCGAGATATCGGCCCAGTGTATTGGTTCACGGCAATTATTGGTTTCGCAGCCGCCCGACGGCCCAGTCCATCGCATCAGATGATCAATGCGCAACGCATGTCACGGAGCCGGGTCAAACTCTGGAATTCGGCCTCGCCAAAAGTTGGTCGACGGCGAGGATGCATCCATCCATCCATTGGACACAAGGTGCAGGTTGCTCCTCGTTCAACTGGCTTGGCCCACCTTGCATTCAGCATCCGCCAAAAAGAACGAGATGACGATGAAAACGCAGGTGAAAAAATCGCCACTACGTGCGAGCACAACAGACAAACGAAGCGAACCCACCGCACTATACATGACGTCAAGGCATCATCGTGCATGGCCTCGCCGACGGCGACGTGCGGCATGCGACTGTCATCCCGGGCCCCTCTTAAATACCTGCCCTCCGGCCACCCTCTTCACCACCTCAACATCGTCGACTTTTGACGTATATAGCTGAGCGAGCGCGCGAGGCTTGGCTCTGTGCACTGAGATGGTTCCATCAGCTTCACTTTTGCGCGGACTTTGTGAGAATGGATTCACAGGAGGACTGGATGAGCGATGAGAGGGCCGCCGAGGAACCTGAAGTCGACCTGCTTGAGCCCGACGAGTGTGAGCCCGAGTCTGTTTACGTGACACTCCATCGGTACGACAGGCCCCTCCTTTTTCTTTTCTTCTTCTTCTTCTTCCCTCTCAGTTGGGTCATAATTAGCTAAGTGTGCTGTTATAGAGTGAGACGCCTGGTTCTCGCCAGTATAGGTACGCTCACTGTCTGGTGCTGTCGTGATGTCGTCCCATCTCACACAACTTGGCAGATGATCCGTACACGCTGGACCACTTCCGCCAGCCAAGTCTCAACGCACTCATTGTCAGGCCCCTCGTCGACCGACTCTACGAAACGCAGAATATATCCATTGGTAAGAGCCGTCCGCCTCGTCGCCCAAGGGAAAAAGAAAACTGAGTGTCTCCCTCCTTCCAGTGTACTGCCTCCTCGCCAACCGCGTCTTCTTCCTCAAGTCGCAGTCCGGACTCGCCACACAAAGCGTCAACCGAGCCCGCGCCACCCTCTGCGAGCTCGTGGCGACCCGTGTCATTCGACGCTTCCACGAGGACAACCCCGGAAACGAGGGCCTCTTGCTCCTGGCCCAAATCCTCGTTGAGGGGTTTGATCCCTTTGACGGCGCGCCGTACGAGGTTGAGCGCGAGGGCCGCTACCTCCAATGGCCCATCCAGCGACGCGGCGGCCACGAGAGGAAGCTCACGGCGCTCGAGCTGGCCATTCTCTCCGAGAGCAAGGCCTTCATCAGCTCGGCCGCCTGCCAGCGGCTGGTCGAGGCCGTCCACATGGGCAAGGTCGTCTACACGCCGCTGTCCTTCATGGACATCCTCCCCGACCACTACAAGCACCGTCCGATCCAGCTCTACGACCCGCGGGAGTCGCGCATCCTCAACCACCGGCGCCTCATCGTGCCCCGGGTCCGCGCCCTCATCGAAATGGTGCAGTTCATGGTCCTCGTCCTGCTGTACGTCATGACCATGACGAACCAGCAGGCCGCCTCGAGCCAGTGGGAGCTCGCCTTTGCCGTCTACACGGCGGGCTGGGTGCTGCAGGAGTTTGCGTCCGTCATCGAGCACGGCTGGGAGCTGCACTCGCAGAGCCTCTGGTCCTTCCTCGACGTCACCTTTGTCGCCATCTACGCCGCCTACGTCCTGGGCCGCGCCTACGACGTCCTGGCCGGCCGCCTGCCCAACGGCTACGGCCTGCACATTCTCTGCGTGGCGGCGCCCGTCCTGCTCACGCGCATCGCCTTCAACGTCATGCCGCACAACATTGTCTTCATCTCGCTCCACGCCATGATGAGGGACTTTACGCTGCTGACCTTCCTGGCCGTGTGGTGCTTCCTGGGCTTCCTCCTCGCGCTGCTGTGGCTCTACGACGCCGGGCAGACGGACCAGACGTCGACGGCAGCGCCGCCGCCGGCGTGGCCAACCGTCGGCAAGTGGCTGCTCTGGATCTGGTTCGGCCTCGACGGCACGGGCATCGCCGAGTCGGTGCGCTTCAACATTGTGCTCGGCCCCGCGCTCATGATCGCCTTTGCCTTCCTCGGCAACACGCTCTTCCTGACCATCCTCGTGGCCATCCTGACAAACACCTTTTCGCACATTGTCGCCAACGAGGCCGCCGAGATTCGCTTCCGCCGCACCGTCCTCACCTTCGAGGGCGTCAAGAGCGACTCGCTCTTCGCCTACCCGCCGCCCTTCAACATGCTGGCCGTGCTGGCCGTGCTGCCGCTCAAGTTCTTCGTCTCGCCGCGCGTCTTCCACACCATCAACGTCGCCGTCATACGTGTGCTCAACGGGCCGCTCCTCGTGGCCATTAGCATCTTTGAGCGCCGCCGCCTGTGGGCCGCCGAGAACAAGCGCCACCGCCGGCGCTCGCCCGGCCTCTTGTTCGGCTGGCGCTTCACCGGCTTCTCGCCCCACGGCGACATCCAGGGCGTCTTCACCGCGCCGCTGCCCGACGACGTCTCCGCGCGCATCCACCTGCTCGACCCCGTCGACGACGTGCCCGTCTTGGAGGACGACGTCATGTCCACCCTGTCCGGGGACGTGCCGAGGTCGCGGCTGCGGAGGCCCAAGCTGTGGGCCGGCCGGAGGGAGTATCCGCGCGCGAGGCCGAGGAGGAGGTCGCCGTTGCGGTTTCAGGTGTGAGCTGGGCTGTGTGTATACATGTATTTTTTGCTTGTATTTATTGGGGGGGTTTTTTTTTTCGGTTTGCCGGTGCATTAGAAAAGGGGATCTAGACGAGCTAGGGTTCAGTAATAGGTGCACACGACGGTAGATGGACAGCCTCATCTTTCTCTGCAACTTGTCATGACACCCCGTCTGTCAATGTGATGTGTGATTCAATTGGTCAAGGAATCCGTCTGACAAAGCGTGTCTGCACCGCCCGCCCTCATTGCCGCAATCGCCAAGCTGCCCTGTGGAAAGAACAAAATTCGCTGGCCGTGACTTCGCCGCCGTGTCGCCTTGTAAATGGAAAGCAGGCATTTCCGCCTCACCTTTCGGGCATGGCCTCGATGAGATTCCATTGCCCAATTGGGCTTCTGCACACGTCCTTTTGCCCTTTAAACCATTTGGTTCCCCTCCATGTGTAATTCCTGCCAAAGACTTTGGGCATACCATGTCTGCGTGCTGCGCAGAGCATCACCATGTCTGGATACACTCCTCTTGCAAAGTGCACACTCGGCATCAGCTGGGCCTTGACATCTCTCGGATTCGCATCGACTGCCCTGCCGGTCCTCGTCCTCGGCGAATTCAAAACCGACGACGGCCTCGTCGCGGCGTCGTTCCTACTGTCCGCGGCTCTTGTCTCGCTGTCGACGTGGGCCATTGTAGACGAGGGCCAGGGCAGCCACGAAACAGACATGTCCGCCACGCAGCTGGAACACATGGCCAAGGTACGTATGACGATGCAGCCTCGTCCGCAACGGGCATGACGCTAACCCATCTACGTAGTCGCTGCTCGTCGCCGAGGCGCTCTGGAGCGTTGCCAACAGCCTCGTCCGCATCTCGGCCTGCCTGCTGCTCAGCAGGCTTTTCGGGGTGTTCAGAGCCGCCAGACGCGGGCTGGTTATGCTCATGGTCCTGTGTGCCCTGCTGGCCGGGGCCTCGGTGCTCCAGGTGTTCCTGATGTGCACGCCGCTGGCGGCCACCTGGGACAAGAACATGGCAGGCACATGCGGGGACCAGGCCGCGTCCTTTATGGCGTTTGAGTCTCTCGGCCTGGCGTTGGACGTTGCCGTACTAGCCGTTCCGGCCGTGTACGTGATGCGGTTGAAGCTGCCTCTGCAGGGCCGTCTGGCTGCCATTGTCGTCTTGGACGCGGGGGCAATGTATGTTCTTCACTGGCGCCCGGGAACAAAAAGGCTCGCGGATGCTGATGGGAGCAGCGTGCTCGCAGTGTCCGCCTTTCGGATGAAGGCGCTGCACGACGCGGTCGGCCCCGACTTCGCCTACTCCAGCAGCTACATGTCTTTGCTGTCGGCCGTGGGCACCATGACGGGCATCATCTGCTGCGGGATCCCGGGTCTCAGGGCCATCGTGGTCCGTCGGCAGCGCGGGAGACACGGACGAGGGGACCGTGTTGACGAGGTGGTTGATGGTTCGGACATTTCTGCCAAGCAGATGGCAGCGGCGAAATCCACAAGTCTGCGAGATTTGGCAATGCAAACTTCAGAGGATGGGGGGGCGGACATGGACAGGCAAGACGTGTAGGTCGATCCAGGGGCCAAGTTTGTGGCAGATCGTGTCACTGCCAAACGTGGAAAACCCTTCACTCGTGCAGGTTGATATTTTTCTTCATCGCGGAATCACACACACAAAGGCAAAAAATTAATCAAAAAGATGATCAAAAAAAGAGATCACAGGACCACCGTCTCAATCAAATTCATATAGGAAAAGCCCGATGCGGGGGTCGAACCCGCAACCTTGAGATTTCGTGTACTCGTAAGAGTCTCACGCTCTACCGATTGAGCTAACCGGGCCGGATCAGTCCAACTGTCCGGGTGCGTCCCGTCATCCGATGTTGAAACACGGCATCCTTATTACCCCTTAACAAGGCTTGTCAAGATGCAGAACTTGAGAGAGGAAAATTTTGACAAAATGTGGACCAAGTTGGATGTGTGGCCGCCGTCATGACTCAAGCAAGGTTTTGGCACCGCCAAGGAAAGAAGACGGAAACAAGGTTCAAAAGTGTGTGGGCGAGGCGGCCATGCAAGGGGCCTCCCCTCCCGGAGACCGAGGATGGACGGGCGGGAGACAGAGACGGCCTGCGGATGGATTAGGCTCTAATGAGTCGGGCGGGTGTGCTTCCTATTCGTCGGCCATGTAATACATGCGTCTTGCATGCCCTACAACATGGCGGGCGGGATGACTTGCGTTGTCCATGTGTGCCACCGCTCTACATGCCCGGCCATGCTGCATCATTGGCATCGTCACTGAGGAGCACTTGATCAAGACAACTGGCAAAATTCCCTACAAGAAACATCGTGTCATCAACGCCCCAAGAGACCCCGTGTAGCTAAGATAGCAGTATGAAACCCTCCCCCCTCCATTTCTTCCTCCCAGTTCCAAAAGGTCGTCAACTAAACAACCCCACACACATATGGACGAGGAGATGCGTCGTTATCCTGTTACAACTATGAGTTTTAATGCCCTTGCAGACAGTTCCATTCCAGTGGTGCGCTTACCATCGCCTGCCAGACGACGTGCCCTCTGATGCTTATTCACTCGACCGTGCTTTGTCTTTACCGTAGCCGCCCTGTTATACCCCCGCTTCTTTGTTAGCAAAAACGCTTGCTGCGTACAACCACGTCAAGGACCGGCACTTTCTTACCGGTGGTACAGCTGGATGCTATTCGTGCCATCTCCTAGGCCAGCCAGTCCTGCCTCTTGTAACTGGCGGTGAAGGGATTCATAGCGAAGAGAATTTGAGCAAGGGGCATATGATGGGTCGAGGAGGGAATGGCTAGAAGAATGTGTTGACGATGATGATGATGAGCCGGTCAAAGGGGCGCAGGACAATGTAGACCAAGAGTCAAGTGATGTGACTTCATTTCTTTCCATGCCACTCAAGTCATCCGTCGTGGTGGTGGTGGCTGCTTCATAGCCCCTCGCGCTCGCCAATCCCGCATAGTCCACTTCAATATACTCCGAGTCAAAAAAGCCAGTGTTTGTTGCCGGGTCGGCGACTGCAACTGGTGAGGGACGGTGCGTGTCAAGTTGCGAGGCTTGTTGGCCAGCCTGGCGCTCTTGAGAGCTTGAGCATCGGTCTTGCCCAGGCATGCCTGCTATGCACCGCTCCAAACCGTTCTCATCATTGAGATACTCTTGAAGAGAAAATGGGACTGTAGGTGACGACTTAAAAATGTCGGGCCTAGGGACCGGGAATGGCGTTTCTACCCATAGACTCTGCGTTCCACTACCTCCAGAGAGAAGCTGCGTCTCCTGGGGATTCATGATTAACAGCGGAGACTTTGGACAGACGTCACTCTGGTTTCTGCCAGCAAGTCTTTCGACACCTACTTTGGAGCTTCTGAGTTGTCATTGCAATTAGTCCCGCACCGCCACATTAAAAGCAAATCGTACGGATAGACAACTTACACTTGGTCGTGATTGTTTCTAAGGGACTTACCATTGCCGCCAGAACCCGCAGCCATGTTAAGTCGAATGGGAAACAGGACAATGAGGTGTCGGGGTTTTATAAGCAGAAAAGGGGGCTGATAGTGGAGGCCGTGTTAATGTGAGAGATGGCGAGGATGCTAGTAAACAACTAGCCAAAGGTGAAATAAAGAACGCTCAGCCGTTGATACACGAGCCTGAAGCGTAAATCTCCAACTTCGGGGTTTGAATGGGCAAGAAAAAGTAGACGGTAAGAGGCACAAGCTGTTATTTTGTAGGGTTTTCGCCCATCCCAAACGCACCTTTCGATTTCCTATACTCCGAGGAAACGAGTAACCAGCACGGAGAAAACAATCCGCAAGGAGCATATGGATCCATTGTCTCTGACACCAGTCAGCTTGTGGCACCATTCGCACATATGCATACATATGCAGAGAACCAAAGCGCCGGGTCATGACCACCAGGTGCCTGGACCATTCATTGGTCATATTGTGGCATGTTTTCTCTACCAGTCCGTTCCAACAGACTGGAACCAACCCCTGTAGGCATACGAACCAACAGAGTGGTAGACCACACAAACCATGGAAAGACTCCCAACACCCGAAGCTCCGAGAATCGAGGTAAGGAAGGCGTCCCAAGCAGTGTGGCCTTGGTATGGACGCCTGCCACGACACCAGGATGGCCTTTCTAAGTCAAGAAATTGAACGACAGCGAGGAGTAATTACTACCAGTATCACGGTTAGCTGTGGGCCGTATGATGCAAAAAAAAACCACCTCATTTGGTCTGTTGCAGGCGCCATGGGTAGCCCTCGCAACCCGAAACCCTTGCTTCTTTGGAGATAGGCGCCTGGGCGAAGCCCAAGTGAAGGTGTTTTTGTTGTCTCTCGGCTGCAGGAAACTGAGCCGAGGACCTTGTTGTCTCATACAATAGCGAATCAGCACCTCCGGAGGTCTTCGGAGTGACATAATTTCGTTGGTGCAGTTACGGCCAGGCTGTGCCAGCATCTCACAGGGGTGAGACGGCCGCATGCAACAGAGCTCGGCGATGCTAGTGCCCCAAGACACAATTAGCGTCCCGACCTGTCGGTAGAGGGCAGTGATAGCTCATAAGCAACGAACATGAGAGGTGGCCATGGTTTGCCCGTTGCCCAAGGCCCAAGTTCCCGGGACGAGAAGGCTGTCTGTCTCGGTCTGTGTGGAGATGAGCTGGGGGTTGTTGCCAACAAAAGCTTGGCAGCGCCCCCAATACTCGCTCTCCCAAGCCAATGGGCCATATCAACTTGTGCTACTGTACTCCGTATTGTTATCGGAAGGAAAGAATGCAGCTGCGAAGCTGTGCAACCCTTTGGTCATGGACAAGTGAAGTTGAGACGTCCGACGCTGTTGAACCATTACCAGGATATGTACGTCGTGGGTGCAGTTGGCATTGTGTAGTTCAAGTAACCAAGTCTCCTACCTGCGAGCCACTGTCCAGGATGATGGCTTGAATTGGCGTGGGCATGATATGGGCAGGGCGATCTGGACGTGGGGAGGCAAAGGCAAAGCTGAAAATCAGCAGTCAAGAGTGGCGGCCTTGGAGCGGGATATCAGGCTGCTTGTCAATGTTGAATAGATCAAGTTGCAATGAAGCCTTCGGGACCTTGGAGCGCAGAGGGATAACGCCAGACGGGCGCCGATCAAGTGAGCTGCGCTGAACAAAGCAAACAGAAACGGAGCCAAGAATCGAATGAGAGTTGCAGGTACGGAGTAATCATGGCTTCATGGGTGCACGACCTGCGTTTAAGCGGATGCAGGGGCTTGGCCTGGGAAATTTGACAGGTCGTCTGCAAAGGCTTCGGTTAGCAACCCATCGACGACTTGCCAGTCCTTATTTGAGCACCGAGAAATTGGACCTATGTCATGTATAATAATTTGTGCATCGCAAATAAATACCAAACACTGCGGTAATCTAATCCGTGCGGCAGGGACAGCGCTTGTTGGTAGTGACTTAGTAGTACCTACTACTGCAATGCCAAAGCAGGAACATTTGAAGAGCCCAATCTTCATTCTGTTGTAAGACGGATACTTTGCGGGCTTGGCGTTTTGACTCTGCTGTTGCTGGACGTTTGCTATTTGTAGACACTCCTTCTGGCCGTTATTATTGGCATGCCAAGGAGATCCATTGCTCCAGTCGATGTTGCCGAAAGCTCTACTCCGTACGCTCCTGTTACCAGTGGCGTTGCTGACTCTCGCCCGCAAGTTTTCGGGGTCTCCCAAAAAAACAGGAAGCAAAGCAAAACACCGGCAGCAGCAGTCAGACGCACCTCATGCTCGCAACGCCATTCTGGACAGACGGCAGCAAGCCTCTTAACCAAGGGGCGAAATAGTTGAGGCGTGATGGGGTGTTTGTATGCCTAGGCAAAACAGTAGTATCTAGTCGTAAGAAGCCTGACGAATCTCTCAAGGTCTGCGCAAGGACTCAAGAATACCATAAGTCGGGGAAGAGCTTTGAGCAAGGGGAATCACATTTCGTTTGCAATAAATGCGACACACAAGGCGAATTCTGAAGCTACCGAGTCCAAGACGAGCTCACCACGTAGTCAGTAGATAAAACCCTGTGGCAGGCTGCGCGAGTAACAGAGAGAATGGACCGCAACTGTCTCTGGCGCTGCGTGGCTACACGATTTCCGGTGTGGTTGGCATATTCGATTGAAGCGCTGATGCTGTGGCATCGTATAGATGTCACCAGTCATCTTGACCACCCTTCATCCTGAACTCCCAGAAGGGGCCGGCACTCACAAACAAACGATCGAGTTGCAGCATTCAACGTCGGGACCAGAGAGGCGTGGAACAAGACCTCAAGTGGCTGTGAACTTCAACAAACTGCCACGCTCCAAGTACAGATGAACTGGGCAATTTGTATGTTGTCTGACATATCAATGACGCGATCTCTGCGCTACAAGGTCATTTCGTTGTATCCGCAGCATGGGGTTTCTTATAATACCAATCGTCCCACGAGTTCCTAAACCATAGCGTGGCTGCAAATATTAGGACCATTAAGAATCAGCCCTTGCCGGGAATTGGAGGTTTCATTTGAAGAATATCACTTCAGCATGGAGAAAATCCGAAACCGATGGCAAAGCGCTTTCTCGAAGGGTTGTCCTGGTCCTAGGCAGTCAGATCAAGCCGTTTTGAGGTAGGCTCCGGAAGACTTGGTAGTCTGTGATACCGTCAGGCCATCAGTCAACATGAGAGTGGCCGTGACGGCCGAAGAGACCAAAAGCCTCCTCTCCATTTGAAATGGGGAGGCCGAACACCCGTCCATGGCGCAAACGGCCCCAGCTTTCTGAGTTTCCAATGGGCAGCAACGTCTGGGATCCACAGCCCAGGGGTCGGCACAGGCCAGGGGCAAGCTGATGGAGGATTGGTGCACTATCTCCAGATGTCCACGGACCGTCCGGCAAGGGCGGAACGACGTCATGAGGAAGACTGGATGCGATAAGGCGATCCAAGGCCCTCGGTAGCTTGGTGAGCTTGTGCTGGACGCTACTTAAGAACCAGCACCCCTCGAATGAAGGCGCGATATTTTTCTCGATTGTGCCAAATTTAGTCAGTGGGGCCAGAATAAAAACCAGGAAACAAAACCTGATAGACGAAGATGGCTTCCAAAGGAAACGAGCTGCCGGACTTCACAGTCAGCGACTATGTCAAGTTCTTCTGCGCAGGCGCGCTTGCTGCTACATCAACTCATGCGGTACGATGCCAATGATGCTTCAAATAACCGGCTCGCTCAGTGCGCGAAGATGCTGGGGACACCGCCATGATCCGATACTGACTACGAAACACTGCAGGCCGCGACGCCGATTGATGTTGTCAAGACGCGAATTCAGGTCGACGATGCCATGAAGGGACTCAATATGGTTCGAGCAGCTCGGACAATTGTTGCAAAAGAGGGTTCATCGGCATTGTTGACCGGCTTCGGTCCAACCGCCGTCGGTTATCTGGTCCAAGGCGGCGCCAAGTTTGCCGGATACGAATTCTTCAAAAAGCAGTACATTGCGTTGGCAGGAGGACCAGACAAAGCCGTCAGCAGCCGCATGGGCATATACCTGGGTGCCAGTGCTACAGCAGAGTGTTTTGCAGATATTCTGCTTTGCCCCCTTGAGGCAACTCGAATCCGACTAGTCTCGCAGAGAGGCTACGCGAGTGGGCTGACGTCGGGATTTATGCGAATGGCCCGAGAAGAAGGCTTTCGAGGATTCTACTCGGGTTTCGTGCCGCTGCTGTTCAAGCAGGTGCCGTTCGCCGTCGGGCAGTTCTCAGTCCATGAAGCCGTCAACGAGATCATTTTTCGGTCAATGGGCCCAGAACGAAAGGCCAAGCTCACCAGCCTGGAGTCAACGGGAGTGGAGCTCACGTCGGGTCTGGCTGCTGGTGCCGCCGCTGCCGTGCTGTCACACCCAGCAGACACGTTGCTCTCTGCCATCAACAAGGGAGCTGGGGACGGGAGCCAGAGTGCCACAAGTAGAATGTTTCAACTGGCCAAGGAATTCGGCCCCAAGAGGTTGTTGTTGACCGGGTTAGGGCCACGTCTGGTCATGACCTGTGCACTGGTTTCCGGGCAATTTGTCATATATGCGCGATGCAAGGAGCTGACTGGCGCACCGCCAAGTATCGAAATTCACAAGGAGAAGGCCTTGTAGACACGGGTAGCCAGAACGGGGCGTGGCCGCGGCGCAAGGGAAAATGGCTGGATTCGGCGTTTATCGACATTTGGTATGGGGAGTTGTTGAAATTCGATGCGACTGCACCAATAGCGTTCTCATCGGTGTCAAGACAGACAGACGAGACAAATTTTAGAACCTAGAGCTGGTTAGACGAGCAGAGCTAGAAGTGGGACATGGAGGGTTTAGCATCTATCGACAGTGTCATATCGATTCAAAAAGCGGTTTGACGGCAACGCGCTGAGGGTCGCATTTGCAGTGGTGAGAGAAAGGTGACCATACCAGACTCGACATCCTATTCATTCGTATTTGTCAATTGGAAGGGGCGCCTGTGGCGTCAGCCATTCCATCGTGCAAATAGGGAAGGCGCTCTACACACCTACCTTTTTGGACCAAAGCGACTCCAATACTCCGGCGTTACTTCTTGGGTGCCTATGCAAGGTGGAATGCCTCCAAAGGCTCGAACAATGCAAACGGACCTGAAATTTTAACCGTCTCGCACAATATTCGAGGACGCGTTTATTTTTGTTGCAATCCTCAAGTTGCGCATGGATCACGCTGAAGTGGCCAGGCCTGAGGGAACTGAAGGGGCGTGTGCACTCCGCATGTCCAGGATACAAAGGCACTTAGGTAGGCGCGCGTGCAACGAGCCGACTGGCAACTTCCAGATGTCAAGCCCTGCTCTTCGGACTCTTGGGACAGAAGGCACATGCCGCGTACCCTCTACTTCTGTAGCCCCCAATACAACCACTTGTCCGAGTGTAGCGGAAACTTGGACACTGTCGTTCCTTCTGTAATAGCGTCTGGTCCACTTCAGCGCATGCACCGTATGCTTCTAATCTCTAATCTTGCCAAGTAAGTACTTAGACTTAAGTACTATGAACTGCTCGCTCAACTGTACTTAAGTACTTAGGTAGCGGTACGATGGTAGGCCCAAGTACTGGGAACCCGCCTGCCCCACCACCCCAGTGCCCACTTGCCCAAGTAGTACTCCGTGGCGTTGCAGGCTTTGGTTAGGGGTCGCCCCCGATTGCCATAGGCCTGGTCTGGACGTGAAAGACCACGACGCTTCAAATCCGACGTCTCTCCTTCATCTGGCCGAAAGTGTCACCTATATACACCCTTCATCATCCACAGGCCGGACAAAGCCATCGCACACGAGGCCTGTGGCCCGGCACGCAAGCGCACTTGTAAAGATACACTTCAACGACACGAGGTCTTTTTTCCGCGCTCTCCGGACGGGAAATTCGCCACTTCCATCTCGACTTGGGGACGACTCTTGTTTCGCTGGCGACGGAAGTTTCAATCCCTACACACAAGCTCCAGACCTTGATGCGGGCTCATGTGTGTGTCTACCTGGGTATTTAAAGATACGCCATAGAGCTTCCAGATGTATTGAAACCTTTGGTATTTGTATCCGCTCTTCGCCTTCACCGGGCGGCCATCGCCTCCGTTTCGTGCACGCCGCGTTATCCTTCGATATGAGAGCTGCGCTTTTCGCTGGCCTTGTTGGCCTCGCCTCCCTCTCCTATGCTGGCCATGCACCAAGGGACTACAAAGACAATGACTACTACGTTATACAGATTGACTCCTCTGTTCCTCCAGAAGAAATCGCGTCTCGCCTACATCTTCGACACGAAGGTACCGTCGGTGCACTGTCCGACCATCATGTTTTCCGCTCTCGAAAAACTGAGCACGACGTCGTACGAAGAGAACTACTAGAAAGTAAGAGGAAGAAGCGCACACTAGAGGAGTACGATGTGCTAGACAATATACGGTTCTCGGCTAAGCAGGAGCTGCGTCGACATTTGCATAAACGTGTGATCCCGCCACCTCCTCCCGGGGCTCATATACCGCGTGCTGTCGCAGATCCTGCCCTCTCGGCCGTCAAGAAACAGCAAACAATCATGGATACCCTCAGCATTAAGGATCCGATTTTTACGGCGCAGTGGCATCTGTTTAATTCTGTCGAGGTCGGCAATGACGTCAACGTGACTGGTGTGTGGATGGAGGGCATTACTGGCAAGAATGCTACCGTTGCCATCGTCGATGATGGCTTAGACATGCATAGTGAGGATCTTAGAGAGAATTATTTCGCTGAAGGCTCCTACGACTTCAACGACCACGATCCAGAACCCGCCCCTGTGCTTTCAGATGATCACCATGGCACGCGATGCGCTGGAGAAGTCGCCGCTGTCCGCAACGATGTATGTGGTATCGGTGTTGCGTATGAGTCCAAGGTCGCAGGCATCCGTATTCTGAGCGCCGTCATCTCCGACGAAGATGAGGCCGAGGCTCTCATGTACAAGAACGACAAGAACCAAATCTATTCATGCTCTTGGGGCCCTTCTGATGATGGTCGCACTATGGAGGCCCCCAGTGTTCTGATCAGAAGGGCCATGCTCAAGTCTATTCAAGAAGGTCGAAATAAGCTCGGCTCTATCTTTGTCTTTGCCAGCGGTAACGGAGCGAAGAGTGGAGATAACTGCAACTTCGATGGCTATACCAACTCCATCTTCAGCATCACAGTCGGCGCTGTTAGCAGGGATAATCAACAGACATATTACTCAGAACCTTGCTCCGCTCAGCTCGCGGTCACTTACAGCAGCGGTGGCAGCACTTCCGACGGCTTCATCGTAAGTACTAACTAATAACCTCACTCATCGGGAACACATTGGCTCACAACACCTAGCACACGACAGATGTCGGGTCAAACAGATGCACAGATCGTCACGGAGGAACTTCGGCGGCAGCTCCACTTGCCGCTGGTATCTTTGCCCTGGTTTTGGAAGTTGACCCGGAGCTCAGCTGGAGAGACATGCAATATCTCGTCATGGACACAGCCAAGCCCTTTTCGGCCCCGGGTGTTGTCTGGAACCAGACAGGTATTGGAAAGCAATTCAGCCACGCGTTTGGTTATGGCAAAATTGACACCTACGACCTTGTGCAGAAAGCCAAGACTTGGAAGAAGGTGAAGCCTCAAGCATGGTTCTTTTCTCCTCGGCTTGAGGTCAATGGGGCGATTCCTGAAGGGCCAACCGGCATTAGTGCCAATTTTACTGTCACGAAGGACATGCTAAAGGAGGCAAATCTGGAACGATTGGAGCATGTGACAGTCTTCATGAATGTCAACCATACTCGACGGGGTGACATTAGCGTCGACTTGATCAGCCCATCCAACATGGTCAGTCAGATCGCAACTACTCGCAGCGGTGACGAGCACTATGCCGGCTATGTTAACTGGACCTTCATGAGCGTTGCTCACTGGTAAGGAATATCTCCACTGCTCACGCCGTTTCAAATGACTAACACACATACAGGGGTGAATCCGGTGTTGGAAAGTGGACTTTGGTTGTTAGAGATACAGAGCAAAACAAACACAACGGTTCATTTGTCGACTGGCGCTTAAAGCTATGGGGTGAGTCTATCGATGCCAAAAAAGCCACCGAACTGGGTATGCCTACAGAGGATGAGTATGTCGATCTTCCTGTTACGCAAAGTCCTACGCCAACAGCCAGCCCCACGCCTACAGCCACTGCTTCACCTACTACTACTGCTACTGCTACTTCCACCGTTCCGCCATCCTGGTTCCCCGGCTTTGGGTCCAAGACAGCAATGCTGTGGGTTATTGGTGCTGCTGTTCTTATTGTGCTCTTCTGTATTGGCTTGTGTATTTACCTCTTCATCGCTCGAAAGCGTCGTAACACGCCCCGTGACGACTATGAGTTTGAGCTACTTGATGAAGAAGAGGCCGATGGTCTGAATAGCAATGAGAAGGGCGGTGAAGGCCGCCGAACCCGCGGTGGCGAGCTATATGATGCATTTGCCGGGGCCAGTGATGACGAGGAAGAATTTGATGAATACAGAGATCCGTCAACGGAAAGATTGGCTGGTAATGGGTATGAAGAGGATCAATATGTCGTGGGTGAGGAGAGCGATGACGAGGGCAGTTCAGGCGCGGCCGAAACAATGCCCCTTGGCGGAGGAAGCCGATCATAACCACCTTGGCGTTTAGGTACATGGAACAAGACTCCATTTGGATGTGGTGTATATTTTTGAGGGCCAAGGCCGTGATGACAGTTGACGGGTTGTCTTTTTTCCCCAGTTTTGGAATATGCTTCCTGTTCAAATAAATGCCTTGCTCATCTGCATGGGATCAAAAGGAGTTTTGAATGTATTATCAAAGGATCATGCCTAGCCCAGCATTACGAATAGATTTACTTAGTACTTGAACACACTGGACATGAGACATGGTTTCTCGGACCGAATAGTGCCTGGGGCTGTTCAATAACCGGTCTATTTACAGCGAGCGCATTACGTTCTGTATGACGCTTAAAAGGTTGCTATCGTAACTACTTAATCTTATTCGCCAACGCCGAGCCAGAAGAGAGAGAAAAGGAACAGAATCAGCCGCAACGCCAGTGTTTAACTTGTAGCAATATCAATTACGCGGCTAGCACGCTCTCCTGGTCCATTTCTTTGATGTACCTCTCCCAAAGGTCAACCACCTCTCCGTAAAACCCGACGTGTGCATCCGCCAGCCCACCCAGCTGTGTCTTGAACTCGGCCCTCTTGATGCGCTCGAAATCGGCGACTTCCCGGACGACCTCGTCGTCGAACATGTCGCTCGTGGCACGGGCCCGCTCTACCTCGGTGGTGAGCTCCTCGACGCGCAGCTCGAGCTTGCGCTGGCGCTCGCGGCGGGCCTGCTCGTGGTCGACGCCGCGGACGTCTTCGATCTTGGCGCGGATGAAGGAGCCGGCGCCCGAGGACGCGTAGCCCGACTGGAGGGAGTCGCGCTCCGCGGTGGACTTGTTGAGGTACTCAGTGAGCTGTTCGTAGTCGAGCTGCTTCTGCTCCCGCGCGCGGAGGAGGTTCTTGAGCGAGAGGGAGTAGGCCTGCATGTCGCGCAGGGAGCCGAGGTAGTCCTGGTCGGTGACGTCGCGCAGGGTGTGCAGGTGCGCGGCGGTGTCTTGGATGGAGGCGGCGAAGGCGTGGACCTCGGGCTCGACGCCGGGCTCGAGGGTGATGAGCTTTTGGAACTGCTCCGCGAGGTCCTTGAGGTCCGTTTCGAGATCGGCCTCGCGGCGGACGACGCGGGCGACAATCTTTTCAATGTTGCCCAGGTCCTCGTCGAGCTTGTCGCTCTTGTCTTTGACTTCGATGAAGCGCCTGTCCGGCTTGTGCAGCTTGGTGAAGGCGTTGATGAAGGTGTCTGCGAAGTTGTCGAAGACGCCGCTCGAGTTGCTGGGGTCGGTGGAGAGGCTGGTGCGGGCGCTGCGGCTGCGCATGGTCGCGTTCCAGTCGGGGCTCTCGAGGAAGCTGTGCAGGATGGGTGCCCGGCGGAGGATGGGGTGCAGTGATAGACGGGTGAGGAAGCGCTGGAACGAGTGTGCCCGTCGCAAGGTGAAGTCTGGGCCGAAGCGGTCGCCGCGCACGTATTCCATGCGCTGCTTGTCCGGGAGCGGGGGCACGGCGGTGGCGGGATAGTCTCGCATGAGCTGCTTGTATAGGAAGACAAAGTCTGTGAAGCGTCGCCGGACAGTCGTTGTTTCTTTCTGGAACGACTGGAAGGTGGACTGGTGTGGAACATGTCCATGTTAGCTGTTTGTGTCTCACTGACGATGAGGGGACTTTGCAGTCAACAGCCAGCATTGCCTCCTCGGCGCCGGAGGGAAGGGCCGACGCTATGTCGCATAGGTGCTCATACGTACGTGAGTGGTAATCAGATATGAAATGAATGCATCCTTGCTGCCGTCATTCTCCTTGAGCGGACTACCAACTGTACACTCGAGCTTCTCGCTGCCTAGCCCGTGAGGATCGAGCTCGCGGCCGCTACGTCTGGCTCCTGAGGCCTCGCCATCATGGTGCCCGTGCTGTCCTGCGACTGAATTTACTGCGGTGTCGTGTTCCGTCCATGATATGCTGGAGAAGTTGTCTTGGTCGTGGTCTTGGTCAGTGACGGCCATGGTGTTGCTATTCAATGTGCAGCACGGCGTTGTACGGATTCGGCGAGCGGGGCCAACGAGCTTGACTGCTTTCGCGCTGAGATGCAGGTGTTCTTTGCAGAGAGGGATGGCCCGAAGGAATCAGTTTCGTCGACCGTGAGGAGCACGGAAAGGAAAGAGGGAGCAGCCGAGGGGAAATATGCTCCTGAATGGGTGAAGGTTGCAAGTGCGAACAGTAGGAACAGCTGGTGGGAGCTCGGATCAATGCTGTGGCGTGGGATGATGATGTGGGGGCTGAAGAACCCCGGGGGTGTTTGTTGCGGAATACAAAGACAAGAACAAGCAAAGAACAAGATTCAAGTGTCGCAAGCTAGAATGAAGCAGTTTATGGGCCCAGTAAAATTGACCAGCGGCTAAATCAACTACGCATATTCGCATTTTGTGTCAAGTGAAGCATCAAGGTCGTTTGTCATCTCAGCCATGCCACACATGTACCCCTTAACAACATCATGAGAGCAGCCCCTACGACGATGACGCACGCCTCCGGAGCCTTCAATTCAATCTTCACAACCACTGTATTATATGGAAAAGGGTATCAGTGAACTTAGCCCGACACACCATCGTAATGCAGCCGAAAGCTAGTACATACAAAATTCAATGCAGTCTATTTCCTATCCTGTTGGTGGCAAAAAGTCTATGTGATGTATATATGTCGCCTTCACCGTGATCCCACCATGAGATGGGCCATGTGCACCGCCCGCTGAGTTTTCTGTTGTGCATGTCAATACACCCAGCCCCTATCCCGAAAAAAAAAATGCCTACTCCGCCACATTTCAAATCATACATATGAAAATAAAATAATATTCGTTGAATGATAGAGTGGCTTGGAATTTGTTCTGCCCAGCATGTGGCAATGAGTAGGGGAGATGTACTTTGACGCCGACGTTGCGTGTCGCTTTTTTAATGCGAGTCTTGGTCGATTCATCAAGATCTGCGCTTTTTTTGTCATTTATATTGTTCACTTTTGCTCCGCGTTGGACTGGGTCTTGGCCTGTCGCTCGGTTACTTGAGCCTGTTCGCGCTCAGCATCGACCATTTCGCTGGCAGCCTTCTTGTCAGCACCCTCAGCTTCAGCATGCATGATTCTCTCCTCCTTTTCGTCAATGTCTTCAACGTCACGGGGTGTGGCCATGCCAGTGCTCTGGCTTTCTTCGTTCTGTTCGTTCTCCTCCTCGATAAGCTCCTGCTGCTCCTTGACAACCTCGAGACGCTGTTTGTTGGTGGCGGCGCCTTCGGCGTTGTGGACTTCGAGCTCGATCTCGTGGAACAACTCCTCGGGGATGGAGGAAAGTACGCCGATGAGAGCGTCAATCTGGCTTGAGCCTTCGCCAGAACCCTGACCATACATGTACGCATTGCTGAGGACGAGCAAGGTAGACGGAACGCCCTCCTTCAGACGCAGATCCAACCACGACTGCAGGTCGGTTCGCATGCGAGCAGGAGACACGCTGTGAGTCCTGATACCACGAGCAGCGCAAGCCATCTGCAGTTCCAGGACGGTAAGACTGTCAACACCTTCGAAGCTGATGGCCTTGTCGTCTCGCTTGATTTGTCTCATGCGATGGCGAACCTGATATCGCAGCATCATATCCGTACCAAAGGTGTTGAGGTTCATGTATCGGCACATGGAAACCAACTGGGGGCGAGACAGGTTGTCAAGGGTCATGTCATCTCGGAAGACCTTGCAGACCTTGATGACATCCTGGTGGGTGGGAGCTTCGCCAGTGGAGCGGACCTTGCGAAAGAAGTTGGCGAACTCCTCCTTCTGGGCCGTTGCCTGGCTTAGAGGAAGACCAGTCTCCTTGAGAGTCTGTCGCAAAAAGCTGCTCACTTCTTTTCGCGTGGATCGCAAGACGGTGGCCTTGGCTTCCTTGGACTTTTGGCCCTCGAATGTGCTCGGCAGCATGTTGGGGAACAGCTTCAACGCCAACGGCAGAAGTGCCTCACCAAGTGGAACAATGATGAAGACGCTGAATGGGACAAGGCGGCCCAGATCCTGGACTGTTCGTCGCAGCTGCTTGTGTTCTCTGCGGGTGAGGTCGTAGCCAGCAGCCATCTTGAGCGCTAGTCTCCAGCTAATTTTGACTTCTGTAGCAAGCAGCTTACTTCCATCCCAATAGTGCTGGGCCTCTTTTTTAACCTTTTGCCATATAGTGAGCTTCTTCTCTTCCTTCTCCGCCTTGGTCACCTCCTTCTGCTGTGCCAAATCATCTTTTTTGGCGGCCAAGTCAGTCATGGCGGCCTCGGCCTGGGTTGTGTCAGGTTGGCCAGCGGTTGCGGTTGGGCTCTGGGCGTCTACGTCCTTGGCCTCGACGGCGGGGTTCTCTTTCGGCAACGGTTTCTTAGCCTGGTCGACGTTGAAACCCGGTGGCAGGCCAGAATGTTGTGAGTCAGGTCGGTGATGCTCGGTGCTGACCTGTCGCATGGGAATCAGCAGTGCCAGTGCCGAAACCTGTGACTGACGGCCGATATGCCTGGCCATCAAGCTGGGTGTAACGCCGCGCGACAAGGCCTGGGCTATGTAAGGTCAGTACTGGAGATGCAACAAGACGGTTTGAGCAATGCTGACCGTTTCTTAACAAGGGGGTTCTCGTGGCTGCCCGGCGGGCAACTGTGGCCGATGCACTCATGATGGAGCAACGAAGTCGCCGTTGGGCGAAGTTGAGAGGGTTTCAAGAGAGTGACTGGAATCTGCCGTATTACAATGACGTGTGCGCCCGCGCTGTAACTGATTTGTGTTGTTGTGCGATGAAAACGAGGGTTTGGGGATGGTGATGAATGGTGTTAGGGAACAAAGTGCCAGAAATGCAAATGCGAATCGCCAGAGGGTCCTGATCGTGGCCAAGCCGGGGCGTCCACATGCTTGGTTGAGCACCAATGACGGGACGGGCGGGACTATCGGGCCCCGTGCATCGACGTATCCAGCCCAGCAAAAAGGATCCGCCGATGTGGCCCGAGCGGCGATTGGTTGAGGCACGTGACACCGGTCCCTCAACGGTTACGCCGATGTCCGCAAGCCTTTTCTGACAGCTACCCGGCAGCCAGGAACTGAGATTACGTCAGTCTTTTTCACGAAGGAAAATAATACTACTGCCTTACTGTGGTTTGCGCCAAGGACGTCTTTTTCATTCGTCTCTCCATGTCTCTCACTTTTTTTTTTTTTTTAGAGGGTTGGAGGGGATGCGTTTAGACTGTATCCTCCCATCGTACTTTCACCATTTGCACTCAATGAGGAAAGTTGCTCACACAACTCTGTATGAACACTGGATCCATGCAGTACGAGAAGTGATGTCGCCACGATTCGAAATGCAGACTCAAAATTTCTCACCGAACGTCTCCATAGTTAAAGTCTAGACATCTGTGGTTTAGCATACATCCAGTTCCGTACAAAAAACACGACTTCAACCCATTTACTTGCAACCAACAGAAGCAAGGGTGAAGATTCCGCCCAAAATACCATTGAGAGCACCAGCCATGGCACCACCGACCTTGGTAATATCGGCACAGACACCACCGCCGACATCAGGAACTTCAATAGTGACGTGTACGTTCATGTCGGCCTTCTGATCGCCACTCTTGCCCTCGACGCGGACCACAATCATGTCAGTGAGGTGGTACTGGTCAACGTGCTCGGTTTTGCCCGCTGTGACCAAGTCCAAGTCAGCATGTGTTTTCCCGTTGGACACCAGGGAAACAAGGGTTCGAGGGAAAACTCACGATCGCAGGGCGTCGGACCTGCGGCCCCAGGAATACAGCCATTGCCAACCTGGTAAGGGACGCCCTTCTTCACATCATAGGGGGAGTGGGCGGCAACATTCTTGACAATCTCAACCAACTGGTCGAGGCTACCCTCCTGGCCAGGGTCTTTGAAGGAGCCGCCAACAGCAATCTTGATCTTGGCGCCGATGAGCTGGTCATCCTTGACGACATTGGTGTCAATCTCGAATTTGCTGTCGCTGCTGCAGCCGTTGGAGAGGCAGTGGTCCTTGATCTTGTCGAGAGCGTCCCAGGGGGGAGTGCTTCCGTAGTTGACCTTGTGGTCAGCCAGGTCTGCCTTGGTGTTGCCGCCGTCGGGGTTGCTCCAGGAGCTGGCCCGGCGGTAGTTCCAGGTGGTTGCGGCGGCGGCGCCGAGGGTAAGAGTTGCAACTTAGAGAGTCATACTTGGACCACTCCTCAATAACTTTGAAACTTACAAGGCTCAAAGTACTCATCATTCCTTCGCATTTACCTAAGGGCACTGCCAGGAGCATCTGTGCTCGGGTTAGGATGGACATGATTCAGCTACAAATGTGAGGGCCAGCAACGGAGACACTGCAAAACGCCCTCGCCAACAAGGGGTAAAAGTAAAAAATAGAGTATAGAAAACTCAAACTAGGCTACTCATTCATTCGTTGAAGATACTTCTCGTGTGCAGCGTAGTAGTAGGGAAATGCTAATTTAGTGGAATATTCGCCTTCATGTGTCAAGTAGTAAGCCCAGCTATGATTACTGGGACCCAAAATATGTTCAAGTACGATTAGGAAATATTGGAAACGCTTTAGCAATTGTGCATATTGATCGCCCTAACCCCTGCCCTGGCATGCTTCTCACGTTCTCTGGGAGACGCCGAAAGTCTCTTCTTGCTTTCCCGGAGATTTGGATCCGTACGATAAGGAAGAAACGGCGCCCCGGCATTAGATCTCTTTCCATGTCGGGGCCTCATTTCTCGACATCCAGATACTAGGCATCTTCCTCGCGTGACTTGGAGTTGGGGAGGCGTACCTCAGTACCGTAGTGCTTTATTAAATACTCAACCACCTCGATGTCATCTTCCCTCATAGCCTCCTGAATTAAATGACTCACTGCACTGGTATTTAATGTCTCGCCAGCGTCTGGAGAATCTCGACAACACAGCTCGCTCTCCAGCTCTTTGTTGATCCTGGCTCTGCCCACCAAACGCTGGATCATGGGCAGACAGCACTTCGCGGTAGCCGCACAAAAGAGCTTGTTTGCCCACTTTTCTCGTATCATGACGTCCAGGACGTCATAAATAAAGTCAAAGACTCCATCCCAATTTTGACGCCGTAGGTCAGTCTTGCGACCAAACCACTGGTGAATGACTAGCCGGAAGAACTCCAAAGTAAGAAGCCGATGCTTCGCCTTCTCGTCGAGAGGCAGCATCCTCAGCCTACATATGTCACCCCACTGGATGAGTTGATCAGCAGCCTTCATGATTGACTTGGGCAAGAACTTTGCGCTGCCAAAGTCGGAACTCTCAACCACGTGGCGAAACATGTCGGGCGAGCTAAACAGCGCGGCAATACCAAGGGGGTCATACAAACTAGGGTCAAATACGACCCTCGGCAAAATAACGCACCCAGGTCGGCGGTTCTGCTCAATCCAGTTGTGAATCCTGGTAGAACCGGGCTCACATAGCTTTTCGATGCTCGCCAACTCTACTAGGGACGGCGTAGTGATGACGCTCCAGTGCTCAACCCAGTAGCACGAAGCGTAAACGAACAACTCCCCAAAGCCGCGCTCCGTCGGGTCGTAGCGAATCATGGTCTCCTCCCACTCGTCCCAGCTGCAGTTGGCAGTGTAGTTATTAGGCTCGCTGTCGTCGTTGAACAGGTCAACTTCTTGCGGTAGAGCCTCGATAGCGAGCTGCTCGTCAGAAAAGAGATGCCTCTGGCCAACCTCGTCGAGCAGGAGATACCTGACGCAGGTATTCATCAACTCGGCCTCCAACATCTCCGCGCAGCACTCGGCCGATGGTGTATGCGGCATGCCCGACGAAGCTAGTGACTGGGTGACGAAGTCCTTTACCGACAGGTGCAGCAGCCGGACCTGACGCTTCTTCACGTCTCCAAAATCGATGTGGGCAACAAACGGTCGGATCAGGCTCATGACGCGGCCACTGTCTACAAGATCGGCTAGAGATTCGATGCTTGTTATACCATCTCCGGCCAGGGCCAGCGTCACTGCCCATGAGAGTTCCAATATGCTAAGCGGCCTGCGGACGACGGAGAGGAATTTCAAAGCCGTGACGGCAATGGGTTTATTTTCAGGCCGGTTTGATGTACATTTCGTTATGCATTGGCTGTACAGGGTGTGAAGCCTATCGGGAAGTGGTATGTCTTCCAAAAACGTCTTCATAGGACCGAGGGCTCTTATCTCGAGCCCTTCGATTAGCTGAACGACGGTATTCGTCCAGATGGCGCTCCCGTTGGCACGTTCGGATAGCGTGCGGATAATGAGCCCTTTGACATCTGGCGACAGGTGATTCAACCTGTCGTTTACAATCTTTTTGACAATGATGCCATCTCTCCCCGCGTGAGAGCTCACGTAAATTTTTGGCGTCTCGCCCAGAAGCTCTAGAATTTCGTCTTCGGGACGGGTAGACAGGACAACTTTTAGTTTGGACGTCACCTGCATCGATGTATCCAGGAACTCGACCAGCTGTTTGCGCGACCGCCTATCAAACTCATCCAGGCCGTCGATTGCGATGAAAAGCAAACGGTCGACGTCTCCCAGGAAGCCTTTGAGGATGCGTTCTAGAAAGGTCTTGTTCTTTCCCGGATTCCGGTCCCCCTGTGTTCTGGCTTGGTTGTATAGCTCGACAAAGGCCTTCTTCTTGGCGGGAAAGTCTTCGAGGAGCTGCAGGATCCAGGTCGACAGGAAGGAGGCGTAGTTATCAGTCTTGCCAGGTTGGCAGTAGTAGTAGTAAACCTTGGCCCGGGGTAGCTGGAACTGACTCTTTTTGACCAACTCGTCGACAAGAAACGCCATAGAGACGCTTTTGCCACTGCCCATGTCGCCAACCATGATTAGCTTTTGGGAGCCAGTGGCGTCGGTTCCACAGTACCAGTTGAGGAAGTGGGCGTGCTTTAATAGAAATTCACAGGCCTCATCGGCACGAATAGCTTGAAGTGAGTCATGGTGTTCGCTTTGAACCAGTTCACTTTCACGGCCTAGCCAAGCGGCAACTGAGAGAATGAGAATCCTGGCACTTGTAGGCAATGATGCTGGAAGAAATGGGGACTTACTTTGTTGATCGTAGAGCATGACCTGGATCTCTTGGACAACCTCTAATGTGGTTGTATGAATAAGATTTCGAAGATTGCTAGCGCGCGTTATAAACTCGCTGATAATAGCAGGCAGTTTATCGTTTTCCAAGATGATTTTCAAGACTAATTTTACTTTTCTCCTAGTTAATATGTCGTATGCAGCTTGATAAAACTCCAGGATCTTTTGATATACGGATACCAAGGCCTGCCAATAGTTAGATGAGCTGCAAAGCGGCCAAGGACGGAGACTACCTTGTGTATATTCTTATTCTCGGATTTCTGGCCCAGCGTGTCGCACTCATCAATGTATGACATTTGCTCCAACATTTCGCCAATCTTCTTGGCAAACTCGACGTCGGCGGCGGCGAAGCTTATGGCAATCTGCATCAATAGCTTTTAGATAGGTGCTCTGCGAGATGGTAATCGACTGGTCGGTTCAATCATAGTACGTACCGCTGTGACGCCCTTGACCACCCCAAAGACAGCAGCGGAAACCGGTTGCATATCAGTGAGAGGAGTAGCAAGATCCAAGGCAAGTTTGAATTTCTCCAATGGTACCTTGATACGTTGTAAATATTCCACGCCCGCCAGGAAGGCAGACTGCTCGGTCAGCTCCGTGTTGAGTTCTTCGAGCTGATGGAATAACTGCTCAATGCCTTTGCCTTTCAAGATCGCCACGTCTATGTCTTCGCCTAGACTTTCCACGGCCTCGCGATATGCCGCGCTCCAAAGGTCTGAAGCTGGCGCATCGTCCACAACCGCCTGGGAGGGTTCATCGATGGTAGTGTGGTGTGATGTGCTTATGGAGTGACTGTCCACAGGTGAAATTTGATCGTGGCCGTCATCCACGGCGGGCTGTCGGCCCAGTTTGCCATGTATCGAGATGGAGGAAAGCGAAATGGGCTCGACCGATGTGTCTTGGTCTTCTTTAGGCAGCCTGTGTGAATGATGAGTATATTTCTGTCATTTGATATCCACTACTGACTTAGGTCTTAAACGGGCTTTGAACCTGCGCCGAAATTGGCTCAGGCATTTGAAAATGCGATGATGGCGGAATCTACATGGAGCGTTTGCATTCTTTGTTGACGAAGACATGTCTGCACCGATGCCACGATGTTTGAAGGCAGGACATGAACAATCTCGCCGAGTTATATGCGATAAATATTCAAGGGAGACAAACCAAGTTGGAAAAAGTCAATGCCATCTGCATTCAGGGCGACAAAGGGCGGAGAAGGTCGGCCAGTCAGCCTGCAGAACAGCCACATGCACGTACATGGGCACTAATGATGCGGCTAGGCTGCAGGTTGACCTTTTGTTACACAAGGCCCAGCCTGGTTTTCGCCCAACCTGTGGAGCTTCTGTTACAAATCTCCATGTATGGACGGTGTAGATCAGGGGCCGGGCTGCGTTGATGGTCACCGGCATCGCCCATTAGCCGCCCAACCTGGTGGCCGCCGGGACGCTCTGCCCAATGACAGCATTGAATTGACCTCTGGCATTTCAACATTGTGTCGACGTTGAAGCTATAATTAGTTTACAAGCGCCTGGCTTTAGTTGGGCTTGCTGTTGGCCCCAGAGCATTGGCCAGGCCAGGCATGAAGAATCCAAGCCCCATAGACAGTTGACATGGACGTTGCTGACAAACACTGAAGTCTGGTGAAATGTCTCAGGTTTGATCAGGACATTACACACCTCAACTGCATAAGTGCCACCAGTCCGCCGGGTGAATTGTCTTCCTACGAGTGGACATACATGACCGGCGACCGCATGCGACTGGACGTGAACGGTCGAAAGAACGAATCAAGCATGTTGAAGAGGAATCAACTGGTTGTTTAGTACCAGCGAAATTCTAAACGCCATCTATCCTACACGCAGCTTCGACCTCTCTCAGTCCCGCCGGAGGAGTTGTTCTTCCATCTCTACACAATGAGCATCGCTCACGGAGCCGTCAACTTGCTCTTCACCCCCAGCATCGGCCCACCCATATATATACAAACTCCAATACACAAAGACACCAAGCACACTCAACCCGCCCTACAAGCTGCATCCTTTCGCAACCCCCATATTCACATACAGCGGCCGCCCGTACAAAATGGCACCACTGGCGAATGCACTCCTCAACGCATCGTCTGCAGCGAACAAACTCGCCGCATATTGCGGGTGACTAGTCGGCAAGTGAATAAAGATGCCCGGCCCGACCGCAAACGAACACCCGCAGTACATAATGTGGCCCAGCGCTGGAACTTGCCAAGGCACAGACTCTTTGGAGGTCCATCCTAAGAGAAATATGCCCACCGGCACGCCCAGCACACTAAGGAGCCCGGGCCGGAGGAAAGTTTCCTGCGTGTTAAAAGTGCCGAGTTTGCGGACTCTGGCCTTGGTCGTGAGGTGGTACTAAGCGTAATACCATATTGTGCATAGGATGCAGGAGACGAGGACGCAGATGAAGACGGCACTGGTGAGACCTGGGCTTATGTGGTAGATTTTGGGATAGACTAGGGGGAAGACCAGACTTTAAAGAAGGAGTAGTAAATGCTATAAACGAGGAACATCTACACGCTGTTAGTGGATAATGCCCCCTATAGGGCTGGGTAGGTTACGTGCGTAAACGTTGATAAGGCAACTGCAGGAGCTTTGACGGATACCCCAAACGGCTTAACGAGCGCGAGTTTCACGGTCTGGGCCGCACTCTGATGCTTCTTCCACAGGGATCCCGTGGGAACAAATGCCAAACATCCGGTTCTTTGTCGAAGTCGTTTGGCCTTGTAATACAGGAGCGTTGGCGCCGCCGTTTCGGGGAGGAAGACGACGAGCACGACAAACACGAAACCCGAGAGCCGTACGATTTCCCCCAGAGACCGGTGCCTACTAAAGAATTGTTATCTAAAACCTCCCCGAATTGGCCTAGTATCGGGTAGACATACCCTTTAGCTTCTACGGCAAAAGCAGAAAGAATCGGAGCTAGAGCCGGTTCCGCATACATGGCACTAGACCACGCAGCTAGAGGATACGGCAAATACACGATAGAAAACTGCTCGCGTTAGCCTGGTTCATTATAAAGAATCCTTGAAAGCATACCACGTCGCCGAGTGTGGCTGCCCCAGTAGCCAAGCTAGGGCTGCCGAAGAAACCCTGCAGAAACCGCAGGACGACCAGCCCTGAAAACGAGCCGCAAAGAGCCGCGCCGACAGAGAGCACGGCGAAGATGAAGAATGCGACAACGTATACTGGGTTGCGGCCAATAAAGGCAATCTCACCCAGGGATGAGAACAAGAGCGGCCCAAGACCATCTTCTCCTTATTAGCACGGTGGTGTAACGTTGAAAGGATAAAGACGCACAGCCTAAAATATAGGGGGAAAGACCAAGAGAGGCAGCCGCTTCCGAGACATGAAGGCGTCTCAGTATTTGGCTTGAATCAATATATTAGCTTTGTGGTCCTGGCTTCTGGCGAAGATGCCGTCTTACTCTTCGCTCGGCGCGAATATCGACGACCCGCAGTGCATGGCAACCGTGTAAACACTTACAAGTTAGTAGTTGGCCCTCTTACCGGCCCAGATTAGCGACTCACCAGATTACACTTGAAACCAACATCTTTCTCCATTGTGCCCAGTTCTGTGGATTTACAGGGTTGTCGTGGGATTCACTGCTCAGATTAGCCGCCTCCTTTATCAACCTTGTGATAAACCACCAATTCACTTTAACCTCTGTCGCTGCATCTTTATCATCACTCAATGGGTCAATCAACCCCCCGTATGGAACAGATTAATCTATATTCCTACGCTGATACTTGTTTGAGTCGACCGGGAAACAGAGACATTTGTTGCGGGAGAGGAGGCGTACGGCAGTGCCGAGGGCGGTATTGCGGACAATATGTGCCATTTTGACAAGCCTTTGCATCTTGGACACATTTTCACAGGTATACCAGCTGCACAATGGGTTGGTTTTATAAAATGTACATTGACATTGACTTGCAAGGCACTCCAAGTGCGCAACGGGGCATGCCACGGCGTCAAACGGTTCCGCTTAGGCTATTCGGGAGCGGAGGATCGGCCCCACATCGGCCGAGGGGGACATCGGACTGACTATTTGGTCAGGGGCGAGCGTCGTATGTCCGAGCATTCAGGTGCTTTGTATTACTAACCCAGGCACCGTCATGTTGTTTCGCAATGGCCTTTCCATTGTTGCGCGGCGCTCCGCTCAGCTACGGCGTACAGAAGCCGCGGGGTTTGAACGATCGCAGGCATGTTGTACAGAGGAATCAATTGGCATCTACGCACATACAAATCATGACTCGTAATATAATACACGCGAGCATTTTGCCCGGTCGACTCCAGAATCCTCACGCTGCGCTCGCCTCAAACGCCTGTAACCAGTCCCTGTCGAAAAAGTTGGCAAACATGGCGTCCTGCTCCGCCAGCATCTCAAAGTCGGCAATTGGCGTCTGGGCCACAGCGCCAGCCTGAAGGACAGCGTGGGCAATCTTCTTTAGCTGTGTTAGAATCTTTCTTGCCTTGGGCCAAATATCTTCGTAGTGCTTGAGGGTGCCCATGGAGACTCGGATGCGGCATCGTGCAATCTCGGCCTCGTCTGGCGCAAACGCCTCCTTGCAGGCCACCAGGTGGGCAATCGTGCAGCAAGCGACGGTGCAGATGAGAAACGGAGACAGTTGGGCGGCGCGCATGGGGAGCAGAATGAGACACTGGTTCTGCTTTCGAATGGCGTCGAAGAGCTTGTCTGCGTGCTTCTGATGATCCATGATGCTGCCGATGCTGGCTTCGGGACGCAGAGGCGGGGGAGGGCTGCCGCAGTCTGACAGGGCCTCGGCGGCGTTGTAACTTAGGTTTGAAAGTGGGCGGTGTAGGAATACAAGAGCGCTGGATATTTGTTAGCCAATGTATAAGTACAATGATGGTGGAATCCTTGCTTTACTCACGTATACATCATTATGTGCGCTTGGAACATGAGCTGATTCATGGCATCCTGCTGGACTGGGAGGTCACGCTTTGAAGGTGGCAGCATGATGAACCAGGAGGCTATTTCGGCTTCCATATTGCCGCATATCATCTCTGCCTGGGAAATGCCCGAATACTGTGTCGAGGAGCGTATGGCCCTGACGTATATGCGATTTGCATCGATCAGATAGGTAAAGGAAGAGAATGACTTGTCGTCCAGTGCATACTCGCGGCACTGGTAATCCGACATGGTTGACGCAGTGGGCGGTATTGTCTGAGTTTGTAGGTCAGTGTGAGTTGGCGCACCAAGTCCGTACTGTTGGGCTCACCAATTGGTCGTAAGATTCATCCTCACAAGGCAGGTCCACGCTGTTCTCGCCACCTAGTAGAGCCGTTTTGTAGTCTTGACGGATGATGCAGTAATTGGCATCAGCCACGTAGACCATCCACCACGTCCGACGCCAACTCTCGGCAAGAACTGGATCAAATCCCGCCTCTGCGTCCGCAAAGCTCTTCTTATTCATGCCAATGAGTCGTGCTTGCGCCAATGCCCTGACGAATAATTTTTCGGCTTCAGTTACCTCGTCACACATGCTCTCAGCCAAGGACATGAGCAGAGTGGACTGGACAGTGAAGCCGTCGACAGCAGCGTCCGAAGTGTAAATGCTTGCTCGGAGATGATGTTGACGAGCGACCGGGTCCCTGTAGCAGGAACCAATGTACTGCATGACATTGACTAGTAGCCGAAGACTTGGTAGGTCATCCAAGAGGCTCAGCTTGGCCTGAAGGGCTCGCCGAGGCAGTACAAACGGGTGACTCGGATGAAAATATTCATAGTACAAGTCTAAAAGTGAAGTGTCTCTATCTGACCAAGATCTCACGGTCAATGCCGAGGGTGACTGTGAAGAATCGGAGCCCAGGGAAGCGTCGCTGCCGACGTTTGAAGCTGTATTTGTATTTGTTGGCGTGAGGACTTGAAGCTGACGAGGAGTCGACGCATTGGCGGCGGTGACGGCAGCATCGGTTGTAGCGGTGCGCTTCTGCATTCTGAATTTTGTGCTTCTTCTCGACTCGGGATACGAGCAAGCTCTTGAGAGGGAGCGGCATCGACCACAAACGGGATGTTGAGCATCACAACGGAGGTGTTGGTTTCGGCATGCGCTGCAGGCCACCGAGACTCGGGGAATGGCTCGATGCTCCATGGCGGGAAAGAAATGTGCGTTACGAGGACAGCGGCAAGCGGCAGTGCTGTATGCAACCCATGCGGGCGTCGACTGGTGATCCTGGCCTGCAAGTGAGTGAGTGACTGAGTGACTGCGGGTGTGAGTGAAAGGATGGAGGAGCCAAGTCAAGCTGCGCATCAATCAACGGGCTCCAGGTCAAGTGCCGCAGAGCGGGGCCCCGTCGGGCTGATCGAATGGACATGGATGGAAGGTGCGGCTCGGGGTGCGCCTGCTTTCATTGTGGACAACCTGGAACTTTAAACTTCGGAATCACGAGCACTCGAGCGCACATAATCAATGGATGGCATCCGCATTTGCCTATTTACGGCCGGCGTGCGCCCGGCGTATCTATTATGTGCCGCCACCAACTACAGATATTGTGCCTCTTGAGACAAGACAGATTCCTTCAGCGTCCGGCATATCGTCGCCAACTCCTCTTCCGTGACCGTGTAGGGTGGCGCCAACAACACATGATCGCCCTTGACGCCATCCACCGTCCCAGCACCCGGGTACACAGCAACTCCCCTTTCGAAAGAAGCCTGCGTCACCTTGGCGCCGAACCCGATGGAAGGATCAAAGCACTCCTTGGTGGCACCGTCCTTGACAAATTCCACGGCCCAGAACAGCCCGCGGCCCCGGACATCGCCGACAGATTTGCACTCGGCCAGCTCTGACCGAAGCAGCTTCTCCAAAACAACACCCATCTCCCGACACCTGTTGACGAGGCCGTCCCTCCTCAGGATCTTCTGCACGGCCAAGGCGGCGGCGCAAGACACCGGGTGAGCTTGGTACGTGTGGCCGTGGTTGAGGGCCTGGCTTCCCTGTCGGAGAGCATCAACGACCCTGCCGTGGACATACAAGCCGGCAATTGCGGCGTAACCGCCTCCCAGACCCTTGGCGGCCGTGACAATGTCCGGCACGACATGTTCCTGCTCAAACGCAAAGAAGGTGCCTGTCCTCCCCGTGCCGCACATGACCTCATCCAAGATCAAGAGGATGCCGTACTTGTCGCACACCTCTCGCACGCCGGCGAGATATCCCGCCGGCGGGACGATGCAGCCGGCCGTCGCGCCAATAATGGGCTCGGCAATGAAAGCAATCACCTTGCCGGGACCGACCCTCAGAAACTCGTCCTCCAATTCCCGCAACAGCCGGTCCGTAAACTGCCCGTCTGTCTCGCCGTCCGTCTTGTACCGGTACGCATACGGCGGCGTGACATGCGACACATGCGGATACTCGAACCCCTTGTAGGGCACTTTTCTCGCCAAATTCGACGACACGGACATGGAGGCCATTGTGTTCCCGTGGTAGCTCTGCCTCCGAGAAACAAAGTGCATCCTGTCCGTGTCGTTCCTCTCAAAGTGGTATTGGCGCGCCAACTTCATCGCAGCCTCGACGGCCTCGCTCCCGCTCCCCAGGAAAAGCGCCTTCTCGAGCCCGTACGGCGTCCCGTCCAGAATAAGGTCGGCCAGCTCCTCGGCGACGGGTGTGCTGTACGACTGCGTATGGACGTAGCCGACTTTCTGGGCCTGCTTGGCCATGGCGATTTGCACTTCTTGGTTGCCGTGGCCGATGATTGCGACGGCGGCACCTCCGCAGGCGTCCACCACCGCCCGGCCGTTGGAGAGGTGCAAGGTGCATCCGGACGCGGATTCCACCATGTGCGGGGGGTTCGCCAGCGACCTATGCAAAAGGTGACCGTTGTGTTGTGCAGCGGTGGCCGCTTCGCCGGTGGTTGGTGTTGCCGTGCAATGAGGCGCCATGGTACAGGTACAACACGCAAAATCTATAAGGCTTCAACTGTATTTTTTTTAGGCCATCTCCCGAATTTTGACTTTATGCAAGGCTTTCCCAAAACGGCGTCGACAATGCATGCCGTGTAACGCCATCTCGCAGTTTATATTCACACTCTAATCCGAGGAAACACCCCCTTCCAGAGCCGAAATCCGACGTCAACCAAAGGGCGTGTGTCAATTGACAGAAATGTCAAACCAGTTCTCCATATGACTGACGATGAAACTGGGTAGGATTTCGCCCTGGTCCCGGTATCGGCTTCACCACTAGCCTTGCCCATCTCAAAGCCGAGGCGACGGCCCGAGATGGATCTCGCAAGGCCGCTTTCACAGGGGAATACATCCATAGCAACAACGCCCCACCATCACCGACTTCCACGACAATAGTATCCACACGATGGAAGAGCAAGACGTGAAAAAATGGACCAGAAATGGAGTCAAATAGCTGTAAACGCATCGGATTAGAAGCACAAACCCGACCAAATAAAATATAATAAACAGCCGACTTCTTCCCTTTCTTCCCTTTCGAAAAATAAAGTCCAACTTTGCCATACTGCACGTCCAAGACAGACAGCAAACATGGCATCGGCATCCGAGAAGCCGCCAACCACACCCGGATCGTCGGCCTCTGATACCGGCGAGGAATCAGGCCCCGAGCAGTGTATCCCGCCCAAGGACGACGCTCACCTCGACACCTGGCGGGGATGGGTGGTGGTGGCCGCCGCGTCCATGTCTCTCTTCATGTACATGGGCGTCATATACAGCTGGGGCATACTGCAGGCGAAAATGGCCGACGCAAAGGGCTACTCGCTGACGACGCTGACATTTGTCGGATCGCTAGCCACGTCCTTCATGGTGTCGCTGTGTATATTGGTGGGAAAGCTGGTCAGGAAGTTTGGCTACAGGAGGACGGCCCTGGTGGGCGCCGTGTTTCTGGGACTGGGCGAGTTTCTGTCGAGTTGGGTCGTGGGCCATTTGTGGGCCTTGTTTATCACGCACGGCATACTATTTGGTGTCGGGGGAGGTTTGACGATTTTGGTACGTTGGTTGTTTTTATATGAAGGTGGTTGTTCTTACTAACCGCTTGCCAGCCCTGCTCGACCGCGCCGCTGCAGTGGTTCCGCAGGTATCGTGGTCTTGCGACGGGCATTGTCTTTGGGGGAGGGAGCCTTGGTGCCGCCGTCATGGGCGTTGCCGCCAACGAACTTGTTAACAAGGTTGGGATTGAGTGGACGTTTAGAATCCTGGGCTTTATGCTGTGGGCGGTTTGTCTTCCGGCCGCGTACTGCATCAAGCAGCCCTTGCTGTCCAAGTCTGCCGTTCCGCAGCTCCAGTGGTACGCTAGACTCCCGCGTTGAAAAACATGACTACTTCTTCATTCAACTAACATGGTGGCCAGGTATCGATGGCGGGAGCCCAAGTTCGTCCTTCTCATCCTCGGCGGCGCCATTGCGTGCTTCCCTCTCTTCGTCCCGCCGTACTTTATTCCCATTTTCGCCCGATCAATCGGCAGCTCTGGCTCAACCGCCATCATTGCCCTCACGATATGGAATCTCGCATCCACCTTTGGTCGTGTGTTTGCTGGGTATTCTGCCGATGCATTCCTCGGACCACTTAACAGTCTCAACATTTCGCTCTTGTTCTGCGGTGTGAGCGCATTGGCAATTTGGCCGTTTGTGACAAACATGGGCTTGTTGGTCTTCTTCACCATCATCAACGGCGTTGGCTGCGGCTCCTTTTTTAGTCTGTTCCCCCTGGCGGTGGGAACTACTTTTGGGGCTCCTAATACCATGGGCATTTTGCCCATTCTGTGGCAAGCCTGGATCTTTGGCTATTTTATGGTAAATACAAACCCGAATCATGAACAAGGAACCTCTTCCTTTTACGCAGAATGCTAACACCGGCAACAGGGCACTCCGATTGCTGCGAGGCTGTACTCCCTGGCGGGAACTGGGACCGATGTCAGCCTCTACCGACCTGCTGCGTATTATGCCGGTGCTGCGTCCTTTGTCGGCATATTCTTCATGGTTGCTATTCGCCTGATGAACTCGAAGAAGATTTTCACAAAAGTGTGATGTTTGCAAGGGGAGATAATGACTCTGATGACTTGACATGGACGCATTTGTTAGCGGTGATGAGAGCCGTCATTGTATAAAAGTTGCATTATTCGGCGCATTGGTTTCTAGATAGACATAGCGATGAAAAAAGAAGAACTTACTCATTCAGGGCGCCATTGGCATTGAATGCCCAGTTGATTGAAGATCGACCTGTTCAATTGCCGGCCACCATTGAGACCACGCCCCCTGCTCTTCCAGATTGTTACTAACTTCGGCGAACAGCTGATTGAGCAAGGTATTGGTGTCGAGCTCATGTTCTGGAATCGCCCCCGGCGTGTAAGGAGACGTCGCCGGCGCCAAGGGTCGTTCTGCGCCACGTATCTCCCGACTATGTTCGTCGGATCTATCCACAACACGGAACTCGTGGACCGACTGATGAAGCGTGTCAAAGTCTGCCCGAGTCCGTCCCTGGTATCGTGTACGGTCTTCCGTGGCCCGTTCATAAAGCACAGACGCATGATGTATCGTCTTGATCTAAAAGCCCCCAATGTCAGCGCGCCAATGGCTACATGTGTGGTGCGAGAGCCGTACCCATCCGTCTGCGATTTTCCAGACGTGTCGAAACTTTTCCAAATAGTCCAGACACATTTTGAGACATTCCTTTGCTCGCGGGCTACGGTCGAGGTTCATGCGGGGATACTTGGACACGTAGAGATTGAGGTAGCCGGCCGAGAATGCACAAAACCCAGTAAAGGGCGTCATGAGATGCACGCCGCACTCAGACGCCTCGTGCAACACGGTGGCAATGTGCTCTGCTGCGCCAAAGAGAAGTCGTGAGCTCTCGTTCCACCAGCCTTCCGGGGCGGGCGCTTCCAACATGGGTTGGTCCACGGGACCGCGCGGCTCCGACTCCGGGGTCGGCAGGAAGGGGAAGTATTCGCGATGAAGCATGAGGGTGCTGCGGTGGTGTAAGCCTGGAGGACATTTCGATGTCATCTACCGTTATTGGAAAGGATAACATACCTCACGTAGTACAGGAGATTTAGGTAGACAAACGTCTCGCCAAACCCGAGGGTCATGTGAACGGCCACCGAGTTGCTGGGATAATGAAGCTTGCGGTGCTGGCCTGCCCGCCAAGCCTCCAACTGACTTCGAGATTGTGACCACGGCGACCCGGGGACCCAGGGACAATTCTGCGGCGCACACATGCCCGGTGCGCGGCGCCCGTCGTTGAAGATGAAGGTCATGACCTGCGCCCATATATCGAAGCCGCCTACGAGAATCTCAAAGCTCTGCGTCACATCGAGCATGCCCGTCGACTGGCCTGCCAGTGAGTGATGGCCGCCCACGGCCTGCGGCGGTGCGTCGGGCCCAAAGGCAAATTCCACAGCGCTCAGCGGCCGGGCAATCCTCATCTTTTCCATTTCCGACATGGGAAGCATGGGAGGCGTATACGTGCCCGAGTTGACCATGCAGTCCATGATGAAACAAGCCCAGTAGGTTCTGGTTTCCACAGCCAACGAAACAGAGTCGTGCCGTCGCTCGGACGTCATGTCGAGCGGGTAGGGTGCCGCTCGCAAGCTGTGCAGTGCTTGCATTATGCGAATAGCAATTCCTGATTTTGGCTCAGCACCCGTGAAACTTGGCAAAGGAAAACCGGAAAGGCGGCGCATTACTCACCACAGTACACCCATGCCTTGTGAAAGTCTCTGGTCCCCCATTCGTGAAGAGTGATGATCAACAAGGCTTGAACAATCTGCACTTTGGGTGGCTGCAGAATGAAGTCGGATAGCACGTCCTTTGCATACAGAGCATAGTGCTCCCGCGACAACAGTTCATCGGCCCACGAGGCGCTTTGCACGGATAACTGCGCCTTGGTCACTGCCAAGACGGCACCGAGCAGAACCTTGCTTTCGGGCTCGCGCTCCGCATGGAGCTCCGCGATGAAGGTGGGAAGATGCAAGATGGCGAGCTCCGGAAATGTATTGATGAAAAGATTGACGGCCTGGAGAATCACGCTATTGGAAAGATTGTCAATGTGAGAGCTCACAAATTGCTTCGTGTAGTCGGACGGGGGCAACGGCTGCTGCTTCGCCTGGGCTCGATACCGCGTGGGAGACTCGCTTTGCGTGTGTTGGCGACGGGCGGCATCAGGAGCGGCGCGAGGCGCGGCGAGGATGGAATCATCAATTTGTCGGGGAGTTTCCGTTGCCCTTGCTGAATCTCCAACATCTTTACGTCTCGCCTTGCTACTACGCGGTGTTCTTGACACCGGTCGGGTCAGGGCGCAATCTCTGTTTCCCAGCTTGCGGCATCTTTGGCATGGCGCGGTTCCCTCGTGTATGCACTTGAGCTTGGATCGCCTGCATATCACACTGTTAAATGAATTGACCTATTCCGCGTTGATGAGATAGACTTGCCTGCATGCATCGCACGAGAGGCTGGATCGCATGGCTGGCTCGTCACGGGTCGGGTCTGGGATGCGGCTGAAAGTTCACTGTTGAGCCTCAGGGTTCGGGAATGGGAGAAGGAAGAATCAAATCCGAGGAGCCGGTTCTGGAGTTTGATCAACTGATGGGTACGGTGACAAATGCACAGAAGCCCCACATTTCGCATTTCGGCTATATTTGAGGCTCGATGAACGAGGATAAATAATGTCAAGTCAAGTGCCAAGACTTTTGCTTGAACCCTTATGAAGGAGTGCCTTTTGGGCTGACCTTGCATCATGCACGGCGGCAGACAAGCCAGCGTGGCCTTCACTACTACTTCCGAGTGTCTGGAATCACTATAAACGGTGGCCCCTACTTGCGGTGAATACTGGCAGTGCTCTTCCATGCCAGTTGTCGTCGGAAATTGTCATACCAGACTCATCCATTTGTGCCTTGGAAGGCTGGAGGGCCCAAACACTGTCCGCACTAGGCCACCCGAGCATCGCCGGCAATACGGCGCCCGTTATTCTCAAACCCCGCGCCTGGCTTGACGCGGTGATGAAAGAAACTCAGTTTCCGAGTCGAACATCGAAGTCCGAATGGGAGGAGCCAGTGACGGCTGGTGGGTGTGGCTAGTTTGTGCATGTAGCGTCAACGGTCAGCTCTCGTCCCTCAGTGCTCCTCGGACCTTCTGCAGCCATGTCGAGACAATTTAAGCTACGAGTAAAGACAGTGCAGTGCAGGCTCCGAATTGTTGCTGTATTTTGCGTTTCCGAATGGCGGCTGTCGGACGGCGCTTACACTTGGGTATCAATGAATTCCCTGATCATGCTGAGCCAAGAAGACTATTTGTGCATGTACATAAGCTCTGTCAATCTTCTTTTTTTCTTTTCACCATTCATAATAAACACGTACTCACTTCTCTACTACACGTCCCATAATGAATGTTCAACAGCCCGCGAACCCCATCTCAACATGATGTCTACGTGCCGCGTACAAAGGCACGTTCACGTGAATGCTGAATCACAAGGCCACGTGTCTGAAACGGAGGAACATGCGCGTTTCTTTGTTTGACTTATGAATATGTCTCTCTTGTGACGCTTTTGAATCCTTTGTTCGTCTTAGACAAAGGGTGCCGGTTCTTGCTGAAAGGTGTATTTGTAATGGCAATAACGACACTGTACTCGGTTCCAATTGCTTCCGCGACCTATCCTCTAAAGTGCACGGGCAACTACCGGACTCCTTTTCCATGAGAATGAGACAGTAGAAAATGGCATATGGAATTGAAGAAAAACGCATCTACACCTACGCCATGCAGGGGGTGAGTCCGTCAGACGAATGGTCTCAGCGCCAGCATAGCGCAATTGAGCACAACCCCAGAAATGTTGAAAGATGGTGTGCTTCCCTTTGAGGCGCGGTACGTGTCATTCATAGCTAGGACCCATGAACTCGGTCTCTTTCGAGGTGTGTGCTTGTTTGCTTGAACAGACGCCGGACGCCGACACAACTCGGCGTGCTCTCCTACTATGTGAGTGTAGAACACGTTCATATATGCGCGTGAATTGTCAATGGGTGCACATTATAAATGGCTCGTCACTCTTCTCCATGACATACCCCGACTTGACTTGGTTTGCTACTCCAACAGAACCGCCTCACCCTCTTTATGGTTCTTCAACATCTCTAGCACCCTTCAGCTCCCGTCAAAAGCCAATAGAAGACATGACGGAAGACTTGCAAATATTCAACCTCGGTGCAGTGCCGGCACATCTTCGAGAGGGCATTTGGAGCCTTGCCCTGCCAGATCGAACCGTCGAATTCGTCTTTACGTATAGTGACGACAAACCGGCAGAGGACAATTCGGTATGGGAAGCCCGCGTGCATCACACAAAACCGCCTTCATGGTACAAAGCTTCAAAAGAATCGTACGAAGTCGCCTCAAAATATGGTTTCACCAACAAGAAACCGAATCCATTGTTCGTCATTGCCACCCGAAACCGTCCGTTGACGCCGCCGGATACGTGGCTCATCACCTGGGACCTCAAATCAATGGGAAGAGAAAATTTACTATCCAGTCCATTGGATGACTTTTTTAAAGTAGTCACGGACAAAATCTCAAAATCTAGTCCAGAAGCAGTCAAGGAAGGAAAAGATTCAGAATCTACTCCATCAGATGGCCTTTTCGAAACACCAACGACAACCGACATTTCAGATTTGAATCAACTGCTCGTTTGTTGCAACGCAGTTGTGAAAAGAAAAGAAATAATCACGTTCCCAACACAGTTGTTGCCAGAATTTCCAGTTGATGAAGATGTGCCGCGGAGCTGGAAACAGGGAGGACTTGGACTTGTGAGTCCGCTTTTCAACCGCTTCGATATTCTAGCCCTAGCCAAGAATCACGATATAACCGACCGTTGGGCAATTTTCACGATTACGCTGCACGGCAAAGAACCTCGCAAACTGGATCCGGAGCTATTTGGAGACTCTGGAAGAAACCCAGTTCAAATTGTCCATCTTGATGACGATCAGCGTCATCATAAGATACAAGAGTTCTGCAAGATGTGGTTCAAGGAATCGCCCGCTCAAGACGACCGAACTTGGGCCATTTTTAGAGGCTTGATGGACCCGGACGATTACATGACGAATTGGTGGGCGGACAATTTGAACATGCGATTTCATGCGGCGATTTGGGCTGAGGATCGAGCTCTGGGTGACGAGGACACTAGGGACGTGTGGAAACCTGCCGTCGACGCCGACAAACTGCCAGACCCGGACATTAATAAAATATCAGACACGACTAAGTGGTACACCAAGACTCATTCCAAACTCACACTTTGCCACTTGTACAAGAAGTCCGTGGTGTTCCGGGCGTGTTACGGAGGGCACTGTTGGGAGCCCAGCAACGGAGGTGAGTGAAACTAATTCCCATATGAACGGTATTGTATTCTAACAGGAAGAAGAAAAATGCGGCGCTGCTCAATAAGCCGAAAATTAGTCCATGGAACCTCAATCCAGGAAGCGGATCGACAGCCTACCAATGAATCACATGGTCAGTCAATGATCAAAGAGCTGTCCGGCCCGAAACTGTTATTGCTTAGTTATCTGCCTTGTCGGGTCCCCTGTTGCATACATATCCTGAGTAGTTTTGGGTGTGGAATGGGGAATAAAATTTGTTTTTTGCGTTGTTTAAGCCATTTTATTACGCTATTGTCTTGACGGCTTTACTTTTATAGTCACTTGCGCCTAAGACGATCACGTCAGGAGAAACGTCAGAGGTCTTACGACTTTTTACATAGCACCACTCATCGTTACTACTAGGTTTCAAAGGCATGTGATGGCTTATATCTAGAATACCTTTGCTCAAAATATGTTTATGTTTTTGTTTAGTTAGATACTTTACTTGTTTTGAATCTAGCCTGCTATTAAACTTCGGTTTTGCGTCAACATCAAGCACCTGTTTACTGTTCCGTCACAACCCAGGATCAGAACGATTTTACACTAGAGTCTGGTGTTTGAACTACTTCTGAAGCTCGTTATTCTCCTTGTCTTGCCGCTGTGAGTGTTTTTATTTGAAACCTGCTTGAATTTTGGGAGACTAGTTTTTGAAAGCGCCTGGCAATGGCACCAGGTAGATTTGAAGGCTAATTCGTCGCCACAACCTCAAGTGCCAGGCTTGAAAAGCTTATAATGCAATTACCTGTGGTCTAAAAATCTCTAAATTTCTATGACTATTCAAGTACATACGTAGTTTAATAGTTCATGTTTGCGGCCGACTCGGGATATACTGCTGCTTTGGGGCAAGCGGAACATGAAGAAAGACTGGTGCACGTGGGTTCGCCGCGCCCGTAACAAATCTAATTGGAGCGGTCTATTCCAAGCTCCAGTTTCCTAAAAGGGTAAACTGGTAAAATAAATCCTTGGTAGCAAAAGTTCCAAAGGAACTGCACCTCAACTCCGACGGTCGTTGCAAATTTGCTAATTTCGTAGCTCTGAGCCTTGGATGTCCATGCAAAACTCTTATAAAAACCGAATAGCGTTCAAGACACCTTGACTGGTGAGTACTTGTAAACTCTCGCCGAGTCGCTATAGCCTCTACGCCTCTGCGTACACTCTCGAGTATCCGCCCGCCGGAGCTGACAAGGACTCCGTGAGGGCTTGGAGCAATAACTTCATTTTAACGGCATGTTAATTCTAGTATTTTCGGTTCTTTTAGTTTTAATTTGCATATCCATCTCTTTTTTGCATAACTTTCACTCCTCAGCTTTCCACACACAGTGGCCTTCAGGGAACTACATCTCCACCATCTCCGACTACAACTCACGCCACGATCCATCATCCATCTATTGGACCCCGTTTACAATTTCGCAACGATCTTTCGGTACGTTGTAGCCATGGATATGGTAGTCTGTGAGCATGTTTTGAATTTCACGCGCGTGGATCACAGTATCCAGAATTCTGTGGCTGTATCGTGGCACTTGGAGACTGATAAACTCCTCTCTCTCGAAATTCTTCGTACTAATTTTTCGCATATTTTTAATCCTGGCACTCTAGGAGCTGAGATTCACTTATAGACTCCCAATTCAACAGACACTGAAGTTTGCATCCAGTCATCACACTATCATCTGCGTGAGTCAACACATGACAATATGTCGAAGAAGAAAGAGTACGAGGATTGATCCCATCCCTCAAACAAACCGACAAAATATTAGTATTGAGTCGTTCAACCTTGAGGAGAGCTCTTTCAAGTTGAATTTGGTTTGGTTGACGAGCCGGGCTGACAATCTCTCGATTGACGCCTGCACCATGACCTTGAACTCTCCACAACCACTTCACTTTGTGTTTCATTGCCTCCGGGCGGTCGCGTAGAGTATCCTCCTGGAAGCTCTCCTAGCTTCTTTGCGCTTCTGAAGGTCGATTCGTCGATTAAATTATTCTCACGTAAATGGTCAAGAAAGTAAAAGTCTGGCCGGATGTCCGCAGCCGTCATTCCTTCCTTGAAGTGAGTAGCAGTATGATACATTCTCTGACGAAAAGATTCTAGTTTCTCGTCTTTTTGATTTGAACCGGACCTAAAGACACTTTCATCGCAGAACCAGCAAATGCTGACGCGGGGACAGCGCCCGTGTAGATGCTCGTCGATTATATGATCGATCCACGAGTCTTTATCGTGGAGGTCAAATTGTTTTTGGCAGCCAGAAAATTTTCTGAACTCGCAAGGTAAGAGAATCCGACGATGCTCATACACCTTGGAAATCTGACTTCCCACTGGCTTGGGACCATACTTTGCCGGATGAGCCGTATACATGGGATGTACCGATGAATGGTCAGAAGCCGACGAACGGAATCGTTCTTGCCATGTTGATTGGGCGCGCGCCTGCGAGGCAAGGTGTAATCCCTGGGTTAACTCAAAGGAGCCACCATCCCTTTCAGCATGATCCGCTGGTTGCTGAACGTCTTGTCGGTCAACGCGACGTGGAACCAGAGTCCCAGGAACGGCCATCTTATGGCCAAAAGTAAGGGGCGTTACCATGGTATTGTGTTGGCTCCGGGGCGGTACAACAAATATTTCCTGATCTTTATCGTCCCACTCGATCGCTGCATCGTCGTCGGATGATATTAGACAGCGTTCATGGCGTCTTTCCATGTCCTTGATGCGTAGAGCAGATTTCGCAAGCTTGGGAAATACGTGGCGAGCAGCCATTACGTAGGCGAACCCGGTGCTTCGACAACCTGCTACTATATGACCAAAGAGTTCACCAGTATCAGCTCCGAAAATAGCCGATCCACAGTCACCGTCCGCAAGAGGTCCATCGAGGTGGACTGCAAATACCTCTTGAAACGATTTGCCTCGTGGTAGACGAGCGTACGACGGCATACCAAGTATGGAGCCAGTCATTTGGCCGCCGGAGGCTGTGTGTGTAATAACTCTAGCGCCATCCTTTGGGAGAACTGCAATTCGAGCTGCAGAAAGATCAAGAGGATTAAATACGAATGATGAGAGGAATGCAGAAATATTTGGATCTGTGCCCTCAATGACTTTTACAAGAGCCCAGTCCTGGTCTACACACCAGTCGAATAGAAGGCCTAGCTGTCTAAGGGACGCCCATGGCGGCGTTGTAATTTCTCGTGGAGGGTGCGCGATCTGCTCTTTGGCAAATGATGATTTACTCAATCGCCTAGGCCCTGGGGAGGAGGCCATGATGTTGCTTGATTGGGGCGAATCGAGGGTCGTTTTGGAATGCAGTTCATCGTCGGATAAGTCATCTTGATCAGACAAAGCTTCTGTGCTTTGACTGCCCATGCTTGTAATAGAAGCTTCTGCCGCATCGTCATATTCGCTTTCGCTTTCGCTATCGATCTCAAAATCATCGTCCACTTGGGAAGTCTGCGAGTTATCGAGCCTGTCGAAGAAGACGTGGCTGGGTGCAAGGTAAAACAAATGGCCATGTAATCGTATGCCATTCGCAGTTGCGACGCGTGTGGACGAGCCATGGCGGACGTAGATGGTCATGGTCGGATGCAAGCGTTTTGAATACTCGTAGAAAACTGGCGTTTCTGGGCCGCCCGTCGGATTTTCGATGCTCCCCTTTGTTTCCTGGCATAACCCCAACTGTTCTAGCGGTCCCCCCCATCCGGGATCTCTCGATATGTGGGCAGTCTTGAATCCAGGGTGCTGCTTAAGTATGCCACTCTCCTTGATGACTTTCCGAGCCTCCTTCCGGTAGTGATCGTTCTCAGATATAAATAGAACCGTAGGGGATGCTGTCTTCTCTGTTCTTCCAATCATGTATACTGTTAACGTGACCCAATCCTGACTTGACACAGATCCAAACCAACCGTCCAGGTGGCTTAATATCTGTGGCTTCAACTCAGTGTCAAATTGGTCTCGAACGGAACCTCTAGCCGCCCAGCAATGATTTGCGAAATTTATTGTGCCAATGTACCTTCCGATACAGGATGGATGTTGACGTGGGCTGCCCCTGGCAATCAAAGTTTCCAAGAATTGGCTAGTCATGGCATCGGCGTGACGAAACGAAATATCACTGAGGACCTGAGAAAGGGGGCGACATGGTGGAGAATTGGGAGCAGGTATGAAATGAAGTCGAGAGGGGGGAAAGCCTATCCATATCAATGTAAGCCTCGTCTGACCACCTGCAGACGATTGAGGCGCAGCCATGGGTATCACAAATACCTAAGCCCAAGAACAGGGTTGTGACGGTGACGAATAATTGCTTGCAAGCAAAGACACTCCCACAATCCCCGGTCCAGTCATGGACGCTTCTTCCACCGAAACTGCAGGTCAGCAATGCAAGGCATCCGCCCAGATTCAGCTCTATTGACTACTCCGCATATAGCAAAGAAAGGCATGGCCTGGAGAAGCGGAGTGCCCGAGATCCAACCTTGCAAATATGACTTCCCAAGCCGCCGCACGAGGCTCCACGGTACCTAGTATGCCATTACGAACATCAAGAAACAACGATTCGGTACAGAAAGCGTCGTCTATTATACATATGCAGTATCTCGAGACCATTACCAAGCATATATTGCCTGATTGCGCTCGTGTACAGCTTCGTCGTCTCTCCCATTCCACAACACCATGGCTACGCTCAACAGCCCTCTCAATAAAACCCCGATTGACGATGCTACCAGAAGCGAGATTATCGAGAGCTTTTGGCCCGCAAACAGATACACAAAACTCCGATATGACGATTTGGACTGGGAGTCTTACTTTAGGTTCTACACCAAGCAATGCCACGATGCCTTGATCGATCAAGGTCGGCATGTCCTGGCAAGAACCCACCAAGACATTTTTGATATAGTGCGCCGATTCGAAGACCTCACTCCTCGAGACGAAATTAAAAAAGGCCTCAGATCAAGGCTTAATACGCCCCATCGACACAACGAAGACGACATATTAGACCGCACGATCGATCTTGCAGCCCGATTACATCTCATGGTCAACATTGCTGTCGACAAACCTGTAATTTCCGGCCAGGTGCAGCTAAGATGGGTATCTGGAATACTTAAAGAACATCTCAACCATCATTTTAGCGAGCCGCAGGTACTTGGAAATGATGGTATCAAGCTAGAACAAATGTTCACAGCGGTGAACCTAGAGCGCATTGCGGGAATTAGGATAAAGCCCACGGATAACTTGGCAGACCACCTGCGGATGATTGATAAAGAGGACAAGGTTGTTGCGATATTCCACCATACTGCATTCCTGAGGCGGCAGACTAGGTGCGTCCAACGACAAGATTTTAAAACCTCCTGCTGACCGGAACAGTTGCTTGTATCCGGATGGTCTCCGGGAAGAGACACTGCGGACATTGTCGCTTCTCTTCCCTCGACACGATGAACAAACTCGGAAGTGGTTAAGGAGACACCCCGAATCATATCGGATTGACATGGCACTTCTGAAATGTGACCCGATGCGACTCGACCATCGACAAATTGAGAAATTCCACTTCTGGCACGACCGCCTGATTATCTTGAAGCAGGCTTTCGACCAGTCTCGACCTGCAACAATATCTCAGTGGTGGTGGGATCGACGGAATGGTGTCCAATGGTATACCTTCTGGGTCGCTATTGTTGTTCTTTTCTTGACCATCTTCTTTGGCATGGTGCAGAGCGTTGAAGGGGCATTGCAGGTCTACAAGGCGTTTCATCCGTCGTAGCCATCTTGACACAACTGGACTCGCTAGTGATTGCCAGCTGAGGGGAGATCTTTGTGTTTAGCTGCGGCTGGTTCAAATCTACGGTGAAACTCGAATTGCTCCTTAAACCGAACTCTGTCGATTTACAGTCCACCCATTAGCCATACTCAAGTGCTCAATTTTGGCAGGACGAAAGCTATTTTGTGAATCCTTGTCTGAAGCTTGAGCTTTCACATGCCTATTTAGTCCACGCAATCGGTAATAGATTTACGCGTTGTTAGTTTATAGGAATAGGGGAATAGCAATAAATGATAATACTAATTAGAGAACCTAATTAAAATAAGAAAAAAATACCTTTACCCAGGTATTTATTATGACACTTCAAAGCTATAGGTCACATTAAATGTGGACTTGGTCCTTGGTTGAATCTATCTATCGAAGGAATCGAGGTCTTTTCATAGCTACAATCGGAAGGCATCGAGAAGGCCACGGTTCAATGGAAAAGACCCGGGTGCCCTCATTCAAGGTTTTGAACTAGCTAGTCTAGCCAGACTTCCTGCATGACGAGTCTTTGCTAGTTACGCACTTAATGACCCCAAATGCTAAATTACGTATTCGTTGACATCTGTTTTTACACCCTAATCGGCACCGTCGAATTCTTACATCATCTCAGAAATGGTTCGTGAACGCACTACGATTAGTTCCTAAGTCTAATTACGTGACGGGATAAAGTCAAATGCAACTCAAAAATAAGGCTTATGGCCTAACGAGGCCTTGTTGAGCATTGTCACGTGCTGAGTTGCAGTATAAGAAAAAGCAGATCTACCAAATTAAATTGGCAGTTAAAACACCTACCACATCACACACTCCTGGCTTTGCTGCCCAATATTGTTTTCTAGCCTACAGTGGGTGGCCGTGAGTATTCGACCTTTCTGAAGCCAATCTACGCCTCAGGGTGATCGAATACTTCATTCCACAAGCGGTAGCCAACAGCAATTTCGTCAGCCTTGTCTCGTCTTGCAACCTCCATTTCCCAACTCCTACCTTGCAGCCATGGCGGCGATCCACAACGATGTGGCTGCTGCAAGGGATATACACAATCCAACAACGTACTGCAAGCACAAGCCTCTTGAGTGAGTCTTTATTCAGAGGTCCAAAATGCTGTGTCAGTCTAACAGTACCGCAGGCTGCGTGGCCGAACAATCGAGGGTATAGTAGGATCCGACCCCCCAACGACGTTTACCGTTCACGAGCACTTGATATGCTCATCTTCCGAGTTTTTTAAAAGCGCAATGAATGGTCGCTGGGAGCCATCAATCAACGGGTCCGTGAACTTAGGCGAGGAAGACCCAGAACTGTTCGATTTATACCTCCACTGGCTGTATAGTCAAACGCTCCTGGCTCAAAACGACAGCCCAGGGTATGCAGGAAATACCGAGTACCTACAGCTCGCAAAAGCATACGTGCTGGGAGACATGATGCAGGATGCGAAATTTAAAGACGCAGTCCTAGATGCAATGCTGATCAAGTCACGATCTTTAGCATCTGATGGCAAATACTGGTATCCTGTTGGACCAGTCATCCGTTACATATATGACAGGACGTTGGAATCGTCCAAGGCTCGGCGCCTTTTGGTCGACATGTATACTTATCACGGCCAGGGAAATTGGCTAACAACATGGGCTAGTGAAGACGACCTGCCCAAGCAATTTCTGTTCGATCTCGCGGCTTCAATGCTAGACATTAGGCCTTGCCTAAAGAAATTGGCTCATACAGCAGGGCGTTGCGAGTATCATGAACATGCTCAGGATTCGAATACTTGCCACATAAACCCCTTGGTATCAAGACCCATGGATCTAGCACAACCAAAACCTGCGGAGGCTAGAGATGTTTGGGGAGCAATACGTGATTTCCCTTACGAAAACTGTCTGGTCTCTATACTATTCCTTCTAGGATTCGTTTTATGTGTTCTTTTATGCGTTCTTTCATGCTTGCTGCTTTTTCAATGTATATTTGATATAGTAGACCCTGATGACAATAAATGAGTTGTCCTATCAAATTTACCCTTAAATAGTTTCTAGTGTGTTACCGCGCTTCGCTAACCCGACCTTTGTAATCGTAGAATGGCGCAACAATTGACACCGGCATCGGACGTATCCCGAGAAGGAAATACTGCTATTTGGTTATTGGAAATACGGTGGCACTATTATAGCAGAATTCTATCTTGTCCGTAATAATAATATAATATGTTCTTTGGTTTGTTTTTTTGAATATAATATAATATCACGGTCTAGCTAGCGCCTTCTATAAATATTGTACCTTAGTTGTACCTCGATCTTATATAATCAAGGCACTCCTTTTATCTCAAGACTATATGTGTTCAGCTGCGACGTTCAACATGTTTTGTGGTATTGTCTAGCTTGAAGAACTCAGATGCTTTTTGCCACCACTCCTTGACTACCTGAATTTATTTTCGTGGTTAGCAAGCTTTTTAGATTTTATGTCAGACAATTGGGGGTCACAAAAGATCCAGTATAATAGCAAAGGCACACAATTATATTAAATAGTAATTATCTAAGGAGAAAGAACTTCTTTAAGAGCTGCACGGTTCCCCTGCAGTTCTTTATACATAAAAGAAACCTTTGATAGATAACGCAGTTGCTGTAATGCCCCACGTGAGGTACAATCAGGGTAGGCCTGATATGCGATATTTGATCTAAAATACTTTGAACACCCGTTAAGTTGCCAAGCCTTGGCTTTCATCTTTCGCGGTAACAAGCTCTGGAGATGATCCAAGAAGCCAACATTGAATGAGACATCTCACAGCATGATTGTTTGGACGGCTTTAGACAAATGACAGTCTATTGACTTTCCAGACAAAAGAGTAGAATTGTATAGAAACTAAGTACTTTAGAACACTCCTACTTCTAAGAGTAGGATAGTAATTGCTCTTTTCTGAATAAGCGAATTGATCTTGACAGCCGATAAGCACCCTATTAGCTCGAACCGAATTTGACTGAACAACTAAGTATCTTTTCAGGGGACTGTAGACAACTATAGATATTTTTGGCCTCGCGGCTGCGTCAATTGTCAACGGCATTCCCCAGCTCACCTTGTACCGAACCTCGCCGCCACGTGGATGATTTGCCCGCCAGATATACGTTATTTCAAATCGACTTGAACTTAAATTTTGACGGGAGCAAGTACCACAGCATACTCTTTTGGATACTGTTGACCTAGTTCACAAAGCATCGAATCGAACCAGGATGATGCCACTGTTTCAAAGGATGAATTCCCTTTTTTGTTGTAATCGGATGGCTAGAACCGGTGCAGTCTCGATTTCTATCAATTTATAGCTCAGCTTTGAACGTGGTCAATAAATTCTCTAAAGCAGCATACCTAAAGAGCACACATTTACCTCCTTCGTATATGGCAACGCATCTATTATTACGCAGGTTAGCAAGATCGCCGATCGAAATATTGTGACTCAGAAGAATAAGTTTATACCTTGAATTATGAGTATCAACGCATTGTGTATCATGAATAGGATCATAAATACGAGTCCGACAATATGGGTCTGGATGGCGATTGCCCTAGTTATTTATGTTAGCATTTCTACCAAATATCCGACATAATTTACTTAACATACAATGACTTTTTGACCCTCTGCAAACGTGAAAGAGATTGCAAGAAGGGCAAAGATGCTAAAGTATTGCATGATGAGGCGGCCTTGGGGTCTTGGGTAGCAGAATATCTCAAATGGAAGTTCTGGAGTAGGAGATTGATACTAATAATAAGGAATAAGTAGTAGATTTACATGGACCAGGCGCTAGATTTATATTTCGTGGAAATATAATAGGTTGCAATCAAATACTAGGAATGTGTAAAGCTTTTACCGCTAACTCTAAGCCACATGTGCAGGTCATTTCTATTAGGCGGGGACGTAGATCAAAGCCAGCAACGCCAACATTCCAGCCACGTAACCTAATATTATATTATGTACGTGATTTGCGTTAATAATATTAATACAAACTTTGCCCGTGTCGTCATAATTATAGTTCACTCTACGTGAGGGGGCGAAAAGTATATAACCGCTTTTACTGGCTAGGCCCGCAAGAGCTCGTCAAATACTTATCCTTATATTAGTATATACAGCGACCATCTTTTGGGTTTAGATTGCTAGTCGTTCGATTTTGTGCTTTGAGTTTTCTGCATGTGTAAAACAACACGAAGAAGAAGAATTTTATCAAGAAGTTTAGTTAACACAAGTCTTATAACGTGACAAGGTAGGCACTAACCTATTTTACTTTGTGTGGATAACCGCCACTTATGTGGACTGACCAATATTATTAATAAAAGTGTCAAGTACTTGGCTAAGTTACCACGGCTTGGTGTTTGGCGAATAAAGTCTTTCCTTAAAGATGGGGAGATGACACAAGTGGCTTGAAGCTTTAATTGCGGCGTTGCTATTAAATGCTATAAGTAAATACTACAATTAACCTTGGCATTTTAGGTTTATTATAAAAACCTAGGAATTAGGCTACTAAGACTATAATAAGAGATGACATGCGGTTTCGGATAGCTGTGTTTGGATTTATTGCACTGCATAACTCTGTATTTGTTCTGATAAGGTTGTCTTATCCGGAGATAGAGTTCGCCGAGGATAGAATGTGACGAGGACTCCGGAAAGCATAGCGTACATACCTGGCTGTATAGCACGAAGACCTGGCCCCTTTGGTCTGGCAAATAGTTATAGAACTAGTGGCTAATTGAGAACGTGATTCTTAAAGACACAAGAACTTCCTGTGCTGTAACCTCCTGTGATGCGTTATATTGGATATCACATTCCTGGAATAGCCAGAATCCCGGAATAGATAGCCGTCTCCAGGAGGTGATACACAGAACTTGAAAGTCGCAGAAATTATTTTACATGTAGGTACCTCAGTACACTGTATACATATCATGCAGAGCCTAATTTTATCCTTATACTGGTCATAAAGCATCCAGTCCCGCCTTGGCCCACCAGCATATAAGTAGCTTCCCGCAGTGGTGTAACAGTGCATGTGTTCATAACGTACTTGCTTAGGCCGCAGGAATTCACGCTTAACTCTAAGCAGAGATTTGGGTTCAAACCTTGTCATATCTATATGCGAATCCAGGTTGCTCGCGAAGATCCGTATATGTCAGAAATAGGGTACTAGCCAACTCCAGTAGCCCGGACGAGCAACCAACAAGCAAGATCGCCCTACCAGTAAGCCATTACATCACCTTCTGTCTTTCAGTACATGGTACGAACCGAATAGGTGGCAGGCTGCGCTTTCATGATGCTACAAGCGCAGCGAACCTGTTATCATGGTTACATCGCGCCACGCCGTAATCCATTACATTACTCAGCGTGAATCAAGATATCCATGGTGTATCCAACACCTATCTAGCTGCCAGCGTTTTGACTAATACATAGGCCAGTTTTGTACAAGTAAATAAATGTCATCAACATTTTTTCTCTCTCCTTCTTTCCACACATGGCCGCGCCAAGGGCCACAAATTGAACACATTGATCGAAACAGATGCGTGGATATCTACCAACTGGACCTATTACGGACAATCTGTAGATTGACTACTCGGGTTAGAAAATACGCACTGCCCCGAACAGTATTACTCAAGTATAAAAGGTCGCTCCAAAGTTGTATTATATAGCGTGCTTGTCTCGTGGCCACAGAAAAGGACCTAGCAACCCTGTCTCATCACCACGAAACAAATACGCTGAGTATTTCCATCAGAGCCATGAAATCTTTTGTAGCCCCGCACTCTCACTGCCAGACTCAGGCTCGGGTTCGGCTTAGAGGCACGCTCATCGCTCACAGATAGCTCACCATCGGTGTCCTCTGCATCACCCATTTCTTCGGTAAGAAATCCGCCTTTTGGGGGAGTCCGTTTGCGCCAAAAAATTGCCACAGCAGACGGAGACTGACTTGTTATCGCAGCAATCTTGCTAATCGGATGTCAAAAGATCAGATCGCTACTTATATTTTAGGCAGCTACGTGGCTAAACTTTTAAACTTTAAGCCTACCTGCCTCTTGAATTTGTCTTTGAACTTATGTATTAAAAAGTGCAAGCTTTGCTTCTGTATCTATTAGAATTTCTGCTAAGGTGCATCTTATTTACATGATCTAAGAGTATCTAGACTTAGGGGACAGCTAAGAAGAACATCCTGGAACTTAGTTTTAGAAAATTTAGATCTTTTGATTTTTCTTAACCTTAATTTACAGATAGGCTTTCTTTTCTAGATTTTCGTAAAGCTTAAAAAATTATTACTACGCTATATTATATATATAGTATACCAAGATATATCCAGAGTATATTATTTATACTTAAATACATATTTATTCCACAATCAAACATCTAGACCTATACTTTATATTCGGCTCTAGAAAAGTAGGTGGAGCCTTAGCTTTGAAAGAAAAACTCTCTATAGTCTCTTTGTATTTGACCGCAGTTGAGCCCGAGAAACCGACCGTCTCCTCTTGCACGCTGTAGCCTCAAGTGACCTCCTAGTAATGCAGGTATTATCTAGGCTTTTCGTATATAGTTTCTAACAAGATTACGTAACTTTAAGGAGCAGGAGATACACTTAGTTACGAGAGACTATCTGTTGTAAGAAATTCCCTTCCTCACACTTGAGGCATATAACGTTCCGGGCAACTCGGCTCTATACGTTAGGACAGAGTAAGTGGCTGTGGCTCTACAGCCAGCCGCAACTAGGGAGCCACCTTTTAGGTTTTGTCCTGTGATATTATTCAAAATTATTTTCTTACCCAAGCTTATATATTAGTTATAACTTCAAGCGTTTCTTCGCTACCATGCCACACACTTGGGAGGGAGACATATAAGCAGCACGTCAACATCCAACCTATTCGTGCCTCCACGTTTCCGAATATTTTCTCATGAATGTCTCATTTCTAACCTCGTATCTAAATAGAAAGCCCTCAACAATCATGCATCCAGACTATAGCGATATTGTCAAGGAGCTCCGTGACGAGCTGCTTTGGGAGGAAAATGACCTTGAGCAGGCCGTCAAGAACGCTCGCAAATGGGACATCCCCGAGCTAGACAAGTACGGCATCATCTCAGCTAAAGGATTCCTCGACTTTGCCGACTGGTTGGTCAAAGGCTGGGTCCCTACCGAATCGACCCAGGGCCGGGACATCTACTACATTCTTTGTATTTTTTATTTTGTCCTTTCCCAGAAGCCATTAGGCGGCCGTCAGACCAAAATCCACCCGCTTAGCATCGACCAGCCAATGAAACCTCTCTCTGAATGGGTAGTAAACTTCTCCAAGGTGGTCGGACAGAGAATGGACGAAGAAGGATCTATCAACGAGGCTTCTATAACAACATTTCGGAATTCTCCGCTTTTCCGTGTTTTTGAGTCCGAGAAGCACGCCAAGGGCTGGACGACTTTCAACAAGTTCTTCTACCGAGAACTTAACGAGGGTCGTAAAATTGATGGGCCCGAGGACGATAAGATCGTCGTGTTCCCTGCTGATTCCACTTTCACTGGCGCATATGGCATCAACGAGGACTCCGAGGTTGTTCTCAAGGAGGAAGAGTGGAGAGAGGTGAAAGAAGAGGTGATTCTAAAGAATGTACCATGGAAAGTGGCAGATCTTCTGGGAAAACATGGCAGCGAGTCGGTTCCTTCTGAACCAGGTTCTAAAAGCCCCCCACCCACCTATGGAGATCTCTTTAAAGGCGGAATCTGGACTCACGCCTACTTGAATGTGTTTGACTACCATCGTCAGCATGCCCCTGTGTCGGGGACAGTGGAAGTCGTCGATGTCATTCCTGGCACAGCCTACCTCGAGGTGCTGGTCAAGACAGACGAGCAGGTTGGCCACAATTATTTGGAGCCCTCTCGCCGGATTGCTGAGGGACAAAAGAATCCCTCCGGCATTAACACGCTTGATATGCCAGACACTCCAGGCTATCAGTTTCTTCAAACGCGAGGATTGGTAATCATCAAAAATGACAACCTAGGCAGAGTTGCCGTCTTGCCTATTGGTATGGCTACAGTCTCTTCTGTTGTTATGAAGGAGGGTCTGAAGCCTGGCGCCAAGATCAAAAAGGGAGATGAGATTTCTCACTTTCAATTTGGCGGCTCGGACTGTGTTGTCATGTTTGAGAAAAAGGCGAGAGTTTCAGGTTTTCCCGACTCTGACCCGGCTTCTCGTGAGCATTTCTTCTATGGCGAAAAATTATGCAGAGCTTACTACAAAAAGCTGCAGCCTATTTAAAGCTTTGAATCTTGATGAGGAACTTTTATTTCTCTTTGGACAATTCGCTAGGTAGATTTAGGAGAGAATAAGGGCTGGACTGCAAAGAAGTCCCACTAGCTGTTCAACACTAACTAGTGCTACTTAAATAAGTACCAGACTTGACAGTTTATTGTTTTTGGACATGTGAATAACGTATTCGTTCAAGATCAAGTTGCTCATTCAGAGGCCCAACAATGGGGCCTCACCGTCAGAACCGTCCAGTCTGGTCGACCTAATTCCCCACGTGAATTGCTCGGCGGGCTCCCTGTTTTGGCTAGGCGCGCTAACCCCCCTCAGTAGATAAGTATTTATTATATTTAAACTCTTCTTATATTTTAAAGAGATAATTAAGAATAAAATATATTTACGTAATATAAAATATATTTATATATTATAAAATATATTTATTTAATATAAAATATATTTATATATTATAAAATATATTTATTTAATGTAAAATATATTTATATATTACAAAATATATTTACTTATTATAAAATATATAATAATATATTATAATATATAACCTAATATTTAGGTACCTGGTGGTGCGTGAGCGCGCCTATCAAAACAGCTGAGCCCGTGCGCCGAGCAATCCCCCACCGCCCTCCTGGACCTATTGACACCAGACAGGACCAATCGATCAGCGTTAGCGCGCGGTTACTGCCTAAACTACTACATATGTAGGTAGTGAGATGCAATTCCTGCATTCCAGTTTCATGACGCTTCCATGTCTCTACCATCCATTCGATTGTTTGCAGAGGGCATCTATATCAGACTTACCGCCGCACCGAAAAAGCAAGCCCCTGGTTTCATCAGCCGCTGTGATGGACGAACTGGAAAAGGACGCGACAAATGCCAACGGTATAAAACGTCAGTGTCTGGATGATCGAAATACTATCGACCACCGAATCGCCCACTGGGTGAAGGAGGGCTCTTGGCCAAAAGAAGACCCTGTACAGGAAGTACAAGGGCAGGGAGACAACACGAACCGGCACCGGCTTGAACGTGTGCGCGCAAGGCCAAGGTCGACTAGCCGCAAACGATCCGAGCCGGGTGCTTCCACGTCGTCCATAGCGGCGAGCGAGCCTAAGTCGAGAGACGAGAAGAGCGCGCCATACAGAGACGTTCGCTATGAGTTCAATCTTGAGAAAGTGGGAGTATTAATGAAGGACTCTGAACAAGGCATAACCCAGAAAAGCCGTGAACTCTGCAAAAAGCTGCTCGAGCAAAAGCAGCTACCACCAATAGATTCGCTCTTCCGCGATGATTTATTCGACGAGACGTGTCGGGACCTGCAGACAAGGAACGAGGCAAGAGTACTTCGTGACATTGGTATGTTGCTGGTTCCATCGGCAGAGACGCTAAGAACACTCGGAGACAAATCGCTTGGCAGCTTGATCGAGAGCGTTAATGAGAGCTGGAGCAACTGCATCCCTCTTGACGCCACTCGACTCACTCCCGCTCGGCCACGGCCGGACTATTCTCTCGGGTTCAGACGCGAGGCTTTTACAGAGGAGCAATTACAAAGACTGGAACCATTCATTGGCGATGTCTTCTCCCAGTCATACTTTGCGGCTACATACCGAATGTATTTCCCGTTCTTCGCTAGCGAGGCCAAGTGTGGGCGAGAAGGACTCGACGTCGCCGACCGACAGAATGCCCATAGCATGGCAATTGCGGTAACAGCCGTCGTGGAGCTTTTCAAGGCAGTTGGGCGCGAAAAGGAACTCGATGGCGAGATCCTTGTCTTTTCAGTCTCTCACGATAATGAATCGGTCAGGATTTATGGGTGGTATCCGGCCGTCAGTGTATCCAAAACCACAATGCATCGGCACACGATTCGCAAGTTTAACTTTACCGAGCTCGACGGCCGAGATAAGTGGGCAACAGACACTTTTACCAAGAATGTCTATCGGGTGTATATGCCCGGCTTTCTGGACCTGATTCAATCTGCTGTAGATCAATTGCCGCATGAGTCGGCATGACCTACTCTACAGTATTCGAAGTTGTGTCACACGGAAATGGCCTGTTACACAAGGGCTACGATCACGGGACCTAGGGCAAAGTCCCTCACCGGCGTCTTATATTTATCGACGTCTTCGGTCAATAAGGCCTTAAGGAAAACCAAGGACCTTTGATACCAAAGACTGTTATTAGTTGAACTGAGCTATTGCTCCAAGCCCTCTGTCTGAGCCCTTGTCACATAAGTGGTGTTGAGATGACCCCATAGGAACAGACCCGGGCCCAGCGAGAAGTCACGTCGTTCATCGACCATCTCTCCGTCTATATAATCGCTCACGTCCCAAGCATATGCGCACATGGCCAAACTGGTAAAGCTGGCGCCTTGTTCGGCCGGAAAGGTGCAGTTGTCCGTCAGACAGTCTAGGGTCGACGGTATGCTGACGGAACTGTTGTCCGGCGGCTCCAGGACACCCCAGTAGATAGCTAGCTGCATGCCGGCATCGGGAGCATTGGCGTGTGTCCCCGTAAGCGCTATATTACGCGTGTAGCTGTTTGTTCGTGGGATGCTGGCGACATGGCCAGTGACATGTTCGCAGTGTTTCATCGAGACACTGGCTTGGGGGAATGGGTCGACGGCCAGCGTGGTGAGCGCGAGGAGAGCGCCGAAGCTAGCCAGGTGACTGTCAAAGTACATGCTTTAGCATTAAAATATCATACCGCGGTCGGTATGTAACTTGCGGCTTGGGACCTCCTGTGAAATGCCTACACAGCATCAAAATGGAGCCCTATACTTCTCTACTTGCCTTGTCGAACAAATCTAAGTCAGCGAGGCTGTGTAGCTTCCTATAGAGCTATATCCATTTCAACTGGCTTATTTTTATAATCAATATTAGTAAAACTTGTCACTGCATCAGAAACCATACAGCTCCGGTAGAGTTTGACGGGCAGGGCGAGAGAACCTTTAAACAGCGCCGACAGTATCGACACTATGGCGTTGATTGAAACTGGCATCTTACAGTCCGATAGTAGGGAGTCCTTGTATGCGATCAATATAGACTATGGCTAAAAAGCTGGCTATGCTTATGATCAGAGACAATACCTCCCATTCCATAGGGCGAACTGGTTGTCTGCTCTTGGTTGACTACTGCCAACCTTCTTAGCCGACCCGGTACAGTCGTCGCCATCTTCGGCACTGACGGCTGCGTATTGGCCGCGGTTATCTCGTGTACTTGTGTTGGAAGCAGTCTCGGATTCTGTCGGTATAGGCTTGCGCCGTATGATAGACGGAACTCTAGCTGAAGCCGACGATGTATGGCTGGGCAAGTGGCTCATGATGGTAAAAATGATAGCCGGGCATGGTCAAGCTGGAATGCGACACGTCCTAGCTTCTTTTTCTTCTTTCTTTCTCTCTCCCCGGGCTTTTGTAAGCGGTTGGCTGAGAAGCAGCTACGAGTGCACCACAGGGCACACCAGTCAGCCTCACGCGGCATGGATGCTGCTCTGCTCTACCGAACTGCTGTTTCTAAGAGTACATAGTGCCCCGTGTTACTAATTTGTGCTAGCCAGCTATCAAAATATGCAAGGAAATGGCAGCGGTTACTCAGGATAAAAGCGGCGCTGTGAGGCGCATGGGTACTTCTGAGGCCTCGGACAGCCAAGTACGAATAGTGTCTAGGCAGAATGTGCACTTGCTCGGACGGTATAACCGTAGAGGAAATGGCCAATAAGATATAATACTAGTTGGCTAATGAGCAAGTAATCGCTTATCATGCTGCGATCTGTACATGTGGCCAGGGGTTCTCGGCGGCGGCCAAATGACCGGCTATGCCATGATTTTGGACTATTTTGAAGCTCGTAGGATGATGACTTCATGAAGCTTAGATTACTAATTAAATCTTTTTTTGCGGCTTCGTGTGGCTTATCTTGCCCCGATTGAGTCCTTTCTTTAACCTGGGCATGCCGTTTTGTGATGTGTAGGTACTGCAGGCACGCATCTATTATGAAGAGATGCCCGTTTAAAAGAGGTTTGTTAAACGACTTGGGTCTAATATCAACCCCATTGCCTCCGATAAAGAATACACGTACGGAGTCGTGCATACCTTGGGCGTCTTTTTCACAAATGAGGGATCCGGCTCCAGCACCAGCAGCTTTGCTTACATTTACGACAAGGGCTCAGGTTGGCATCGTATCTAGTTGGACAGGATTGGTATACATAGGTACGCTTTTCACAGCAAAAACTGCGGCTAAACTAGAAGGTATGTAGATCAATAAAAGCAGCCTTATCCCGCACATGTAGCCATCAGAGAGTATGGCCCTTATAGATCTTTCTTGGCGCACTGAGCAAGCGCGTCGAGGTCCCAGAAAGTCACCTCCGCTTTTCCAACACACGCCTTTGCATTCTCTATGCATTGGTTCAGTTTGCCCGGCTCATCTTGGCTAGCACAGACTTGCATTCTGTCAACGCATCGAAGGAGCTCGTCGGTTGTCTTGTAGGGTTCGGCTGCAGCTATACAGGGAGGCGCTGCAGCCATACAGGCATCCGCATCGTTCATGAAACGGGTACAATGCAACTCAACCTGCTCCTTGGCCTTGGCTATTCTCTGGGCTTCAGGGCTCAGAGGCTCGGGAATAGTATAACCAGATTCTCCAAGGTTTTCGTTGATAAAGGTGATGTAACGGCTGACTCTGGTATACACCGAGGGGGACAGGTTGCAATAGTAGAAGTGTTTTTCAGTTGCATCCTTGATAACAAATGACGCAACGCCGATGAGTTGTCCTGTTTCTCGGTCGATAAGAGGACCGCCGCTGTCGCCTTTACATACATTCTTACCATCACCACCGGCGCATACTATGGTATCTACACCCGCACGCGGGTTCAAGTTTGAACAGTGCTGGCGTGCGCGGATAGGAATCACAACCTTGCTTAGTCGATCAGCGCCAATACCAGCCAGGTGGTACTTGGGAGCTGTTTGCGTACCCCTTGTCCTATACGTCAGCGTTGTTCCGACCATGTCCTGCTATACGAAGCACTTACCAGCCCGCGGCAGTTGCGGTGGAATTGATGGCGGGATCTGAGCCGTTCACCGGCAGTTTTGCATAGCTTATAATTGCGCTCGGATCGATTGGATCTAACAACTTCAATATGCCAATATCATGCCAAGGAGATTCGCCATCTGTGTAGTCGGGGTGAATCTTGGCAGATGCAACCTTTGCATCCACTCCGCCCGTGTAGCTGTTCTGGATCCGTGTAATTAGCTCTGCATCACTCCTAGCAGCCAAGGCAGTAGTTTGCCAAGTGGAAGCAACATTGAAAGTACGTACCAGTGTTCCTGCCTTTACCGAGTATGCTCCGGTGATGCAATGGGCAGCGGTAAGAACAGTAGTGCTATCTAGCAAACTTCCTCCGCAGAACGGATGATCCCTGTTACTGAGGATGCTGACGATGAATGGAAATTCACCATATTCTGCGTCTTTTCCGCCAATAATCCTCTTGTTAATATTCGCTGCCGATGCTGAAGCAGCACAAAGCGCGATTGTTAACGTAGTAGCAACCTTGCGTACCATTGTCAGTCTGGAGTTGTTGCTGGATTGGAAATAATAGATTTATAGAAGAGAAACACGCGAGATGGCACAGGCAAGCAGTTACTACCGAGGAACCGGAACGCAGCGATTTGGACGGGCAGCCTTGCCTATTTATCCTCGGCAGATATGTACATGGAGATGGTAAGGATAGAAGCAGCTTTCGCGATGCGCAAATTGGCCAAGAATTGGCGACTCATGAGCGTGATCCATGATTCCCACGCGTCGCTGGCTCGGACTTGAGCGTCTCGTAAACAAGCAAGACGTCTTTCTGTAATCTTGAGGGGAATGCTGATAGATACGTGGGCAGCCGAAGGGACCAAATCCCCGAGTCATACAATCACGACTCCCCCCCTGAATGATAAAACACATTAGTATAACGTAGGTGTATGGCGAGTTAGCTACGCCATCATCTGGGTGGGACCATCTTCATTTAATTATTGACTTGTTTCTCCACCAAAAATTATGCAATCTTTTAATAAAGAGAGTCGAACCATCTCGGCCGCTCGGGCTATTTAACAAAACCACCAACCTCGTATCCAAGCCGCTACAACGCTCTATATGGTGAAGGTATTCATTAGATGATACGATTACATAATCCTTTCACACTCCTATAACCGTCCCGACCAATACATGAAAGGTTCTCCAGTCTCCAGAGCCATAGCCAACTCTATATTTTAGCGCCAGTTTGATTGCACTCTCTGGCCAATTCATCACGTAGTTAAAGGAATAGAGGATGACGCCTTTGTGACAGTATTCACACCGTACCTGTAGCGGACCTCAAGACCACAACCCTGGTATTAAATCAAGTGGCACGGGGACACTGTGAAATTGAATAATCCCTGTACGCTATAATGAACTGTTTCCACAAGGGAATAAGGCGCAGATGCGACATTCCGCGGCTTATGGGCCTGGTGTTACCTTCAGGGGTATTGGTCCTATATACACCGGATTTATAAGCATTGAATGCCGCCAGGACTCCAACAACATCCCTGACAAGGGCCTGCAAATTAGAAACCGTTTCTTGAAAGAAGGCGGTTGCGCTCGCCTATTGGCACCACGGTAATGCCGGATTCCCAAGTAGCCAAAGACAAGTTTGATTCGCAGACGCCTCAAAATTCCAACAACGACTATGCATTCTCGGAAATCACAACTATTTAAGGCAGACCTTGTCACTTTACTCGACCCGATGCTCACGGCAATTTTGTGAGACTTTGGATCGTTATTTCCAGTAAGCCGGCCTATCTTGACACGGTTGGCTTGCAATGTCCGAGCATGCTCACCAGAGCCTCGTGTTAAAAAAAGATGGGTACAGCCTTGATATGGCGTCTCCATGAAATAAAAATAACTGCAGAGGTGGAATTCACGACGTCTTGTAGGGTCGATGGTTACGACGACGTCGACGACCTCGCGCCTGACTCAGAATTGTAATTGGAACAGGCCTCTATATTTCCGGAGAGTGCACCTGTGTCTGCCATGAGTTCCTGATTACTGGCGTCGCCGACGACTTGCTTATTAGATGAAGCTGAACTTGATCCAAGATCTAATAAGCTATAATTCATTCTTTCCAACTGAAAGATCAGACTAACTGGTTTTATAGCCGCAATAACGCTGTACAGCTTGAAATTGAAACCGCGGCGTATTATGAATTTATGCCCTGATGAGGCATATACGGAGGCACTTCTAGCATGAGATGCTTTGCGTGCATGGGTTAGATGAGCTTTACTGTGGCGGCTACATATGTAGCCCTTATGGCATTAAACCAGACGAAAAACGCTTGCTGTGCGAGAGCCCTGGGGCTTCATCGGCGGTCTTGTTTCTGGAAGAGTTACTCTGTATGTCTTGCAAATCAGTCGAAGCATCATGCGGACCCGATAAGGCTGCATTTAGCAGGGCTGGTAGGCTTCGGGTCCTTGTAGATTGGGCAGCAGAAACTGTTCACCAGTTGTGGTGGATTATCGAACTTTGCTAGGGAAGAAGGCCCTGCAGACCAGGATTTGAATCTTTTGACGATACTTCGTACTAGATGTGAGCTAGCTGAGTATTCCCGGCGCCGTATTAGGAAAACCCTGAGAGGAACTTGTTGGCGGATGTGCACTCAAGTACGCCCCTTCAAAACCCCCCACCACATCCCATTTACAGTCTGGTGCGGATATGAGTATTCGACCACCCAGCGGCGTTGATTGACTTCCAAAGGGCCCACCTTGCGCACCATTTCGTCGATATACTCGGCTCGGGCCGCAAGCGGAGATTTCAAGGGTCCAACTCATTGGGGATTACCGGACATGTGTGAGAAGTTTCGATCGGCACAGGTCTCCCAAGACGTCTTCCTTGACACAAAGGCTACCCATCCGACACTTCAAACATAACATGGCCCTTTTATTCTCGGTCAGCTTGCAGGTGGCATTGCGTGTTAGCCGCAAGGCGGATTTGTAGCGGGGGGTGGTAGTTATCATTAACATGAAGAAAGTGTAGAGCGAATGCGCCTGTCGCGGAGTTGACCTTTAAGGTGGTGATGAGCCTGCAAGCCAGGGTGTCGTGGCCCTGCCATCGTAGCTGAGGAGTGAGACAGAGCCCGATCAGGGAGGGAAGCACAGCCCAGATAGTAGCCGCGGGATTGTCAAGAAGATGGCGAGTCTCAGACAAAAGGTGGCCGAGCGTACGAGGTTTGGGTATCCGGCCCAATAACAGAAATAACCGGGCTTAGCCAAGCCACACTCACCATCATCACAATTGAGCTGTCAGACACTGCTGCCCTATCGGCAAATGCAACAAGGCAGCACAATAGAAGCAAGGCTGTAGAAAGGCTCGGCACCTGTCTGGACCGACTCTTGGAACGTCCAATGTGATGATGCTGTTGCCCTGTCAGAGTCACATTTCTGATATATATAGGACACGATTCGACTCTGCTTCTTGTTTTCCTCTTGTTTTTTTATTTATTTTCCTACTATCTTGTTTTCTCTTCTTTCTCTTTAAAGGAATCTGTATGGCTTACACCTCCGGCGTGTAAATATTCCAGTCCAATTTAATGCCCCTGCTGAGCTGCCATGGCAGGCCCCAAAGACGGTGACACGGTTGATGTCGCGTATACAACATGTCCTATGACGGCAACAGAGAAGACTCAGAGCCCGGCTGCACATGATTCCGCCGTTGTCAAGAAGCCAGTCTCTCCGTGGACCCGGCTGGGGATGGCCAGCATGCTCCTGGACCTTGTCTCCCCGGCCGCCATATCCGTGGGTGAGGCGCAGCATGTCCGCACAATCGGAAGCAACGATACCGCTGGTAGTCCGTGGACCATGGTCGGTAACGGGACTGATGCCCCCGTCCTACGGGTGACGGCCTGCATGGCCAACCTCGGCGTGGACACCTTCATCGCGGACCTGCACAGCAACTGGGACGGGCTGGAGCCCCCCGTGTCCTGGGACTTGTCCGCGGAGCGCTACAACCAGCACCACGGCCGCGCGCGCTCAGCTGGGTGCCGTCCTTCCCCGACAGCCGCTAGACCGCCGGGGCGTGATGGCTCTCAGGCCTCGTTCGGACTGGCAATCCTTCCTCCCTAAATACGAGCTGCCGTCCAACATCTCTTCCATCGTCAACTTCACCGTGCTCCCCCCAGGCGGCGTCTGGACCTTCACGCGGGCTCTTGCCAGCAGCTTACAGAACCCGCAAAGCACCGACTTCACTTCGGTGCATAGCAACCAGACCGCAGACCGGGGTGTTATCCTTTACCGGTACGAAAACAACGCCCACGAGGCGCATTCCAGTTTGTTTCAGGATACTCTAAACCAGACGCAGAGCCCCGCCGTGGCCCTGCAGGCGCTTCTCACACGCATCTGCCAGATGGTCTATTATGAGAAGCTACCGCGACTCAACGAGAGCGGGCATGCCGAAACTGCCTTTTCACACGTTACCGTGCTTCCCACTCGTTGGACCGGGTTTGGGGTCGGCATGGGCTTGCACTAACAGCTAAATATCCCGCTTGAAATATACCAAGTTCTATATTATTTAGTTTGATTGCATCTCTTTCCGTGGCCAGGTTAGTCTGTTGTGCGCAATTCGCGCTTGATTAGAGCAGGCACACCAGGGTATGAGTCTTGAAGTGACCTGAGAAGTAGTTGGTGGTTCTGTGATATTCTACTCAACATCTTGGTGTCCTTGTATATATTTTCCTTCTTTCTCTCCATTATTAGACATCATGTCCTCTGTTGTAATGCCCAGCGTCGTCATCACACACATGACTGGCAAAAGTCTTGGAGAACAGACATCTAGGACACTGACTATTGTTGGCCATGGTTTCTTCAGACACTGTGGCAAAATGATGAATAATGCGAGATTCCGAATCGCCACCGCAGATAGAACACGCATGTAATATTGCCATAAAGGCACGAGCCGGACCTTAAACATGACGATAGTTACACGAAGGCTTGAGATCTCTAGTAGAGGGTTTGACCTCTAAGCTTACTTGCTTCCTGGTATTTAATATAAATAAGGGTCATCTGCCCTTAAGCTACGGGTAGTATATAAATAGTCCACGAAGAATCTTGATGGGTTAAAAACAAAGTTGCAACGTCTATCAAGAGTCATTCGTATCGGCTCATTCACATTGGTATATCCGTGGTCTGGTAACCACGAGGCTATGTTGTCCGACTATATTCTCAGTAAAGCGTGTGGTAGCTGCTGGCTTTATAAGCCGGCTAGATACTCATCGTCGAGCAAAGGTTATATTCTATTCGCTGTACCGGCAATAGCGGTTAAACGAGCAGCTTCTCGTGGCAGGTAGCGCCTGCAAAACATGTGAACCAGCAAGTCAAGGCCAATGATCGACCCCATGCGGCTGCATGTCCTCCTTCCAAGTCTTGGAGCTTGTTGAGAAAAACTGATCGGTATAATTGCCTAGAAGCAAGTGGTCAGATGGTAGATCTGAAGAATAAGTTTTGCAGGCTTTAAGAGCTAAACATTCCAAAAAAAAAAAAAGGCTGGAAGTGCAAAGTACGCGCAAGACATCCCGTTTTGAAACTCCGGTCGGTACAAGAGTGTAGGAAATGGAGTCAATGGAGACTTGCGCCAAAAATCACGCACCATCTCTAGCCAATGGTCCAATTCTTGAAAATCCAGAACCAGGTTAGATTAATAACTGGCCGGAAGTCATGTCATGTGCTAATGGGTACTCTTGAAGGTCTAGTATTTTCGGACCCTGTGAATAAAACGCAGGCAATGTAGGAATATTTCCAACTATATACAGGGGTGTGTATAACAAGCTAGCCACGCCACCATCTTCATAAACAATTAAGCATAGTATTTTTGCCTCTGACTGTGGGTGTCAATTACCGGTAAAACCGGTAACACCGCGTGGCCACTGGTTCTAGCTCGCCGGCAAGTTCGGGGCCCATATTCGGTGGGGTCAAGACGCAGATCCTAATTACGGATGAGCCATCTTGACTGTATTAGTAAACCACGTCGGGTAGAATGTCATGGAGAGATGACGAGTCTATTTGCCTAGTATATATCACAAAGATCAGAGCTTCGTCCTACTGTGGCGGCTATCATGCTACTTTGCATTTTTCCTTGTCGCATTTATTCTTAGTCACCATGCAGCTATCCAGACTCATCATCACCGCCTCGATACCTGCCGTCGTTGCGGACATTACGCCTGGTTCTCACCCCATCGTCGATCTTGGCTATGTGAAATACAGGGGATCATACAATGACACCTCAGGGCATGTACCTCTTATACTCTCGGCATGTGGCGTCTGCTGACATGAATAGAATCAACGCCTGGTACGGGATACGTTACGCCGAAGCTCCAGTCGGAAACCTTCGATGGCAAGCCCCACGAGATATTGAAATCAACGGCACTGGTAGCGGGGGCCAAGTCATCGACGCGGTAGATGCGCCGTTGCCGTGTCCCCAAGGCTACCCTGGCTGGTGGTTCAACAGTACCGCCGGAGCTTCAACAGACCTATCTAAGACTCCAACGGGCACCGAGGACTGTCTCAATCTTGACATTTTGGCCCCTGCAAAACCAGTCAACACTTCCCTTCCAGTCATAGTCCAGATTCACGGTGGTGGTATGATGATTCGGTGATTTGGTCTGTTCCCCACGCTTACTGATGGATAACACTGCCTCGTAGGATATACTCTTGGTTCATCTTCGTCGATAGGTCCCGGCTACGAACTAGCCGGCAACTCATTAGTGTACCAGTCGAGCGGCGGCATCGTCTACGTCTCCATCCAATACCGGCTCGGTGCGTACGGATTTCTCGGCGGTGCAGAGGTGGCCGAGAAGGGTGTTGCCAATGCCGGTCTGCTCGATCAACGGGCAGCGCTTGGCTGGGTGCAACGCCATATCAGCAAATTCGGCGGCGACCCAGCAAAGGTGACCATCATGGGCGGCAGCGCAGGCGGGGGCTCAGTAACACATCAGTTGACTCTTCATGGCGGTGTCAGTAATCCGCCATTCCGTGGAGCAATAGCCGGTAGGTGGCATTTCTTGCACCCATCAAAACGACGCCAATGTTCCTAAACCTCATATAGAGTACCCTTGGCTGCAACCTTTGCACAGCCAGTCGACCATACAGCGGCAGTATGAGCTGCTCCTCACAGCGGCAGGATGCCCAGACATCCAGTGTCTACGCGCCCTGCCCGAGTCAGATCTCGCCGTGGCCACTCAAAAGACGTACGACACAGGCTACGCTCTTCTTGAGTATGGCTTCGGTGACTTCTACTACGGACCCTATGTTGACGGCGACATCATCCGCGGCCTTCCCAGCCACGAGTTCAGCCAGGGCCATTTTGCAAAAGTGCCTCTTTTAACAAACCGCGAGGGCTATGAGGGTGTCATATTCTCGAACAGCAGTCAGACTACTTCTGCGGAACTCGTGACGGACCTCAAGACCTTGTTCCCGGGCGCGACGCAATCTTTTGTCAGTCGCCTGCTTCAGCTGTATCCGCGCGACGCCTTCAACTCGACGTTTTTCCAGCGCCAGCAAATCTTTGGCGATTTCATCATATCCTGCTTTTCGCAGTACATGGCGGCTGCTGTTTCAGACCACGGCGAGCCCGTGTACAAGATGATTTTTGATGCGGGCGGTGGGCTGCACGGTAGCTTGGTTCCTTTCACGGAAACTGTGAATCTAAATGGTAACAAGGCATCCGTTCCTTTTGCTGTAAAGATGTTGGGGGTTTGTGACTAAACTTGCGCGTTGATCTTAGGCACATCGAATAACGCGACGCTTGCTTCGATTATACGAAGCTACTATATTTCGTTTGCCACCCAGCTCGATCCTAATGCGGTTTCATACACGGACAGCAATCGTCCGCACTGGCCGACTTACCAGACTGGTGGGAATGCCAACTTTACCGTGTTGAGTATTACAGATTCTGGTATTGAAGCTAGAGAGGACCCAGACAACTCTGCTCAATGTGATTTTTTCCACGGACAGAGCTACGTAGTTAGAAATTAGCAGTCTATCTGGTAACACAGTTGGGTGTGAAATAGGTGTGTGGAGATGGAGGGTGTGTGCTTAAACTTAAAAGTAATTGCTAGGTTCTGGTTCGGGTTGTATGTCGCAAATATTGCATGATATTTGATAAGCGACATAAAACAACCGTGTTAGTAATTCACCACCTGTATCCAATACATTTGTACCTTGAGACACATTGCTGCCCGTTTTCAGCATGTGCAGGGGGACGCTTATGCCTAAAAATAGACGATCTGGACCTATTGACTCTGACAAATCGTGTATTATAAATCAGCATGTCGTAGACCCGTCACTTTCATGCCTGACGCCCAACCCCGACAGACCATGATTAAGTGGGCCATTATAGGCGAGAAGAAATAAACAAAGTTGGGTGGCAATTTGATGAGTGGGAATGTCCGATATGCACAACTCAACTCAGGGGCAGCATTGTTGCCCTAACACGGGAAAAGTCAAGGAAGAGAGGGACAGGAATCTTGCTGAAAGCCGCAGCCCGAGGACACTTTACATCAAGCCGTTCGCACTCACTCAAGTCCATTTGTTAGCCAGAGGGACGGCGATTATGAAAGAGCTGTGGATGACGCTATTCAGTGTTAACTTCTGAGCAGATGCCAATCACCTACGTGTGTCACGGACATGACCGATTGCTTCTCTGTTTCCGTCGCGTCTGCCTAGCTGGTAAGCGTTACTATACTCTTACCGGATATAAACTCCACTAGAGACGTTGCCTTCAAGTTGAGGCGGCTCAACTCGTCCTGTCACGTTGTGAGGCTCATTGTTAACTGGCTTGTCTCACAAATTTGATATTCTTCTGTCCTGCCCTCCGTTACACGGCGGAAACTCGTGGTATTTAAAACTTTGCTTCTACTGCTGCCATTTGCCACGATGTAAGCCTTCTTGTCAACTAAGTTTTGTCACAAATTCATTCTTCTTTTTCTTCTTGTTACTGTCTTGCCAGAAGGGTCCATCCATGTCATTTATCTTGGTGTCTAAGGCTTCCCAGCCTTGCAAACTTCTCATGTCTATGATTTTATGACATGCAGCAAGTCAAGTCTGCTTATTCCATCAACAGAGGCAGTCTTATCGTACGTGCACGTGTGTGGCGAACAGAGCTAAATGCTAGCCACACAGCGTCCATAGCAAAACAGTTCGGCGCGCGTATTCGCTTCCATAACAAGATCCTCGCTCGAGTCATGAAAGCGCCCTTTTGTTGAATACACACAGGCTAAGCTCTTTATATATACCAACTCCAGCTAACTGAATCCCATAACGCGATCGACAGAAACGCCCCTATTTCAAATATGTCTTCATAAAATTCACAACCTCCTTGGTGGCAACATCAACGAATGGCAGACGGTCGTACAAGTCCATATGAGTGCAACCAGGAACAATCACCTTCCTGGTCGCGCCACCAACAAGCTTGTCCAGCCTGTCGGTATGCCAAATGGAGCCGGCCTTTTCCCCCGCGATCAACAGCAGAGGCTGCGTCAAGTAAAGATCAGCGAGGTAGAAGGCATCAAACGTCATGACGCGCGGGACACTACGGAATAGCATCTTGTTGGCTGCTCTTGGATGCTGGCACCGGGGGCCAAGGTAGTAGTCATGAGCCTCCCTCAAGTCAAGGGGAGTCTTGTCATCAAGCTGCGGAGGGACATAGGGACAAGCTCCCAGATTGCCCGTCTTGTTCTCAGACTGCACCTGCTTCGCTATGTGCTCCAAGGTCTCGACTTTTTGGCCGCGTCTTCGTCTCCATCCCAGCCCAGGCGGGTGGCGTCGCCGATATTTACCATGCTGATTGCGGCGACGGACTTGAGTCGGTGGTCGGCTTTGGCAGCAGCAACGGCGTAGCCGCCACCAGCGCAAATTCCAAGAATACCCAGCTGCGATGGGTCAACAGTGTCGAGGGACTCGAGGTAATCGATAACGGCAAAGACATCGCTGACACGTTCGGCCGGATCTTCGAGAAAGTGTGGCTCGCCTTCACTTTCTCCCTGGTAAGAAGCATCGTAGGCAATGGCCGTCAGACCAGCCTCGGACAGCTTCTTGGCATACAAGCGGGCAGTCTGCTCTTTGACTCCGCCTCCAGGATGGACAACGACAATGCCGGGGGTCTTGCTAGTAGTTGAGGGCTTGTATAGCAAGCCGGAGAGTTGAATGGATCCCTTCTTGATAGAGATGGCGGACATGGTTGTGTTTGAAGCTAACTGGCGTCTCTGTGCTGTGTGTCGAGGGAGATATTGCGACATGTCAGAAAGGTTTTCATTGCCTAGGTAGGTATTGCAATGGTATGGGGTTTATATAGAATGTAGCGCATGCCCGGCTGCGAGGATCAGCCGTTAGCATGGCCCAAGTTCCACCCAAAGACACACAATTCATTTCGCCCGGTAGAGACTCCCTCGAAGTTCCACCGTAGATGTTTCAAGTCGTGGCTTGCAAGGCTTCGGGTCCAGTTTACCAGATTCGAAATTTACGGATTTTGAGCGGAGTTAAGCTTTGGAGCAGCAACGGTGGGGTCTTAGCGGACATCACGGACTCAGCAGTTATTATGTCCAGATGTCCAGCTTTAGGAGTTACAGATGACTCGCTATCTTTAATCTCAAAGGCTACATATGTAAGCTCTTATGCGGCGGTAAGCTTTCCATGGTAGTGACCTGACGCTGCGCTACTCATGCTGTTGCTCCAAAAATAGGCGTGGCCACGCCACTTATATTTGTGTGTTAGTACCCCTTATATCTTGCTATAATATTGCAGAAGGAGTATTTATACACCTTACCTATCTTGAATTACTCTTTCTGTAGGTGTAATATTACATAGCTCTTATTTGTAACTTAATAATATGTATACCGGTGAGTGAAATCCAGCGGTGAGATATGATTAGGGTTAGGGTTAATTTGAAGGGTAATGGACCATTATCATCACGAAACATAGATAAGTCTCGATTCTCAGTCACCACTAGGTCTCCATGAGAGATCCAGTCTGCACCCATCTGGTCTCAAGTGGTCTCAAGTGGTCTCCTGGGCGGGAGTCATGTTCCTGGGGTGAATCTGTGTGAGTCGGCGCAATTATGCTGCTTCCGCCGTGCCGGGGCGGTGACTGCCGGAATAGCAGACTGACGGGAAGAAGTCTTGTCTATTTTTAGTTTCTAGTCGGTAGGGATGAATGCCGTCCAGTTCGCCTTGCAGCCTTTTCTGGGAATACAAAGGGCCTCGACCATGCCCCTCTCTCACCGATTGTATCACCAATGGCGATTGGTTGCCTTGTACATCAAACTCTGAAGAGCCAACACACCCACTGCCTGATGGCATTGCTGGAGCACCTCGAGGCAACTTAAGATGGCCAATGCCATCCAAGATTGCCAAACATGAGGTGGTCAGACCCCAACGGCGGCAAAGTTATCCGATGTCTGTTGCGGCTGGCGGTCGACGTATAAGATCTGAGCTTGATGAGTTGGCCATGTCTTTCATTCACGATGCTATACGACGTGACTGGTCGGAAATGATGCAGAGTCCACGGCTCATTTGCTTTGGAAACGGCCAGGCTGTGCCATCTCTTGTCCCTGGCGAGTGAGTTGCACAAGACCTAGAGCAGGTAAGCCGAGAGGAGGATTGTGCCTGATCACTGCCTTATCTATTGTGTCCACTGACCTTCTGGCCTCAGCGCCACTGCTCTGCTCTGTTTTGCTCTTCCATGTAGGAATCAATCGGAGAAACAGGGATAGATTGACTTGACTTATGGCTCCTTCCACGTCTGCTCCCCCTACACCATCTCTGACCACATGAAGCCGAAGTGATGCCACGTATCATCTGCATGAGGGGTTGTATACTGATATGTGGAGAGACAACAAGGTCAATGGCTAAGAGGCTTCTCAAGTGCAGCTCAGCCGCAGCAGCTAGGGTTATTATGCGATAAGTGGTTCAGCCTGGTGATACTGCGCAAATGGATGGTGGTTGGACAAAGAATTGAGTCGAGAAGCATATAAATGAGCCTGTCTCCCGACTTGCCAACCCTCCAACGCTCACTTCTTCTCCTCTCTTCACCTTGAACATACACATACCAATATTGAACCTACCGCTGCCTGCCTGCTATAGCCACAGTTCTGGCTGCGCAAGGAACATATAACTCACGCACAATAAATAAACGTGTTTTAAAATGCCTGTAAGTATTACATCTCGGGTGTTTTGGGCAAACATGTTTAGTAAAACCCTTACTAGGAACCATGTCTTGTCGGCATGCAAACCAATTACTGCGGCGCTGTCTGGACAATTGTGGCCATTCTAGCTGGCGCCGGCCTCGACTCGGGGTATCAGTCTGTGTTCGGAAGTGGGCATAGGGGATCGGTGTATGAGTGTGTGCTCAGAAATGAACATGGGGAGGAGGTTGTAGCATCGGCTGAAGAGTTAGGATTAGTATTTTGATCACTCGAAGCCGTATGTATATGAAACGGGCTCCGCTTATTCTCGCCCCCCGTCCAGGTCTGCCAGGCCAGAGACTTCAGTTACAAGCGAGACGAATGGTATCGAGCTCAGGAAGTTGCGCGTCTTTTCTTAATTTGTTTTGTTTTCCTTTTACGGCGCTGGTTCTGTCGCTAGAATCAGTTAGTTAGTCGTCAATACACCCGCTCGGCCGTTGGCGTATATAATAGGCCCACCAGACGCGTCGTGATATCTAGCTTTATACCCAGGAGCATACATGTCTTGTCCGGGCACTTTCGCGCATCTTGCAATATCTCGATTGCCCTCCTCGAGCCCTTGGTCGGACCATGCGGACATTTCCGCGCCTTGTCGAGCGTACAACGATTGCGTTCAAGTTGACTAATTGACCAAATCAATACAAAAATGTACGGTAGCTTTTCATATATTAAACCCTTGAGGCTGTACAGCCGTGTCCAAATCATACTGGAGCAGGATTTCTCAAGATGGAAGATGCCTCAGGCCGTTTCACGTAACGAATCAATTCCGGAACAATATTTATTCCGATGCGAGTTTCTTTGTTGTCGGCACGGCATATCAAACACCCCAGCGCGGCCACGCCCATTGTTTGGTATTTTGTATCTTCCAAACATCTCATCATCTCCCGACCGAACATCAAGTCGAGCACATCCTCCTAGCTCTACTCAAACATGGAGACAGTAAGCTACATCATCTGGGCCTTGGTCATCATCGTTATACTCGGTCCGGTAAGTCCCTTGAATCTACAGCCTCACGAGTCACAACAGGCTGCACGCGCAGATGAGAAGCGCCAAGCAATGTCTCGGCCGCTCATTCATCACTTTGCCAACACTCATAAATTGTCCGCGAGATGCAGCGCACTGACAGGTAGTCGCCTCATAGGCCCTTTTTCGAGACCGCTCGCCTATCCCAGAAACGTCGGGCAACGTTTCTAAAATTAGCGAGCTTCCTGAGCTGGAGTCTCTCCTATCATCTACCACGTACGTCGTTGTCGACTTTTACGCCGACTGGTGTCCTCCCTGCCGCGCCATCGCTCCGCAGTTTTCCAAGCTGGCCGATGAATATGCGTCCAAGGGCCAGCTCGCTTTTGCCAAAGTCAACGTGGACCATTGTAAGGGTGCTGCCAAGCACCATAATGTTACCGCTATGCCGACCTTTTTATTTTTCAAAAATGGACAGCAGACGTCAGTTGTAGTGCAAAGCAGCAAGCACGGCACATCTGCAAAGATGCCCAAGGACGGCGTGGTTGAAAAAATTCAAGGCGCGGATGTAATGTTGCTGAGAAGTACGGTGCAGGCTTTGGCTGAGAATGCACAGCGCTAATTCATTGGCCTGAGTTTGTTTTCAGGGAGAGAGAGCAGCGGAACCTTCCGGCGAACCCTCTTCTAGTATTCCTTTGTTAAAAGACGGATGTGGTGTTGACCATCAAGGTCCTGAAGTCTCACAGGGCAGTAGTATTTCAGGCCTGTTTTTGTGTCTGGCGCTGTTTGCACCTCAGTTGGGCAGTGAGGTTTAGCGGCATTACATGCCACAGTCTCATTACATTAATATTTGCCATGCTTTTGTACTTTTCAATGGGTTGATTGCATTATTTATGCCCGACAGCCGCGTTGTTGCGTGTTTACGGCTGACTGGTGACGCCTTTGTCTGGCTACCGGATTTAGTGAACACGGCGCTGGGGTTAATTAGCCCCTGAATTATGCTGACTATATTGCACCCTCGTCATGCTTATTGTCATTCTCTGCATTCAAATATGCGAATTCTGTCAAGCAATGCTAACTGCGAAATCATGATGACAACTGCAGATACGCTCCGTGGTATGAATAGCGTAGCGGCTGCTCCCTCAACACAAAACGTCGTATCATTGACTATCTGAAGCCAAAGAATGCAGGACGTAAGGAGACCACGGGGCTCGCCTCGAGATTGTTTATAAGGATGTCTGGGAAACCGTTGACGATAAATGACTTGGCCAAGGAAAACTAAAGCAACGCCTCGGTATGGGGTTTACATGCATCAGACGAGATTGACGCACCAGACTCTTTCAACTCCGCCCCTGACAACCTCAATGTAGCTAACTCTACCGCCATTCACAGGCAACGACTACACCTTGTTGCTGTATGACACTCGAGGTTGAAAAGGGTCTGGCGGGTCAAATAATCTGTTGTGGAGTCAACCATGCGGGAGGAACGCCGAGAGACCGGCATGTCCTCGGCAATGGACTTCCGGAGCCGGGAGGTGCGGGGGCCCGGACTCGTGCCGGTTAAAACATGGTCGTGATTGGCCTTTAGACACGATAGCCTAGCGAACCGCCGATCTGTCATGGCAGACAGGCAGATACATCTTCATCTTTGGTGCCTTGCTGCCAAGACGGAACTCGACGTAGTCAAGAATACCAGCGGTACCATGTTTGAGAGTGCAAGGGGCGAGCTCTCTGGCACGCCTTGCTAGTGGCATCTTTCCGCCCGTCAAATGCCCAGAATATCTTGTATTAGTGATTCAAAGGCATATCCTGCTTGCTTCCAAGGGCAAGGTAGGAATTGAAGTGGTTGAACTACTGCATGTTTGTCTCAGGAATGTCCTCTAACATCAGCTTGAGGAACTCAGCAGCGGCATACGCACTGTAAGGATCTTGACGAGTTCCAGCTTGCGCACCAACAGGCTCGATAGAGAAGCAGACTGTGGCTGCTTTATGGCCTATATTTCAATCCCAACTCGGCTCTACCGGATTGCGGTCGTCTTTCATGAAGTCTTCCATAGCTCGGCTTCCGGCTCGTGGGCGACACCGGGCCTCGGTGCAATGGAACGCGCAGAGAAGTCGAGAATTCGGATTTATGACGCATACGAGTAGCCGGCGTTAAAGAGGAGAACACCCAAGGCGTGGGCAGACCGTTGCCACCATGGCTTGGGTCAAAACAAGACTCTAAGAGCAACTGTACACTACATGATGCAACATGATGACCACCCTTATCAGAAGGAGGTGAGCATCAATGGGCCAGGACATGTTAGTATCCATCTCAACCACATTTCCAAAGTGGTCATGGGTGACGAGACCGCCATGGTAGAGCTGACCTCGGGTGCCTTTGACGGACAACCTTCCACTGCGTACTTTACAACACTCAAGTCAGGTCATTCCCCCGGTGGTCCGGAATATACACTTGAATGGAGAATTGGAGGCATATTCCGGTCAGAATCAGACTACGTGCCATCAACATCAGTGTCCTCGGGCATGGTGAAGCGAGCCCATCCCGAAGGTAAGCAAATCAACGCCAGTGACCGACGGGGCGAAAAGGATGTTTGGGTCCGCTTCAAGAACGCACCATATCATGCCGCCCTGAGTATAACTGTCTATTTTTATATATGGGGGGAAGATACGGGCTGCTATAAAACCTTGACTCTGCAGCCCGGACAAGACGAGTCCGTGGAGCTCAACTATATTAGCAAGGTTGTCGTTGGGCAGAAGACTGCCGTGCTGGAGCTTTCCTCGATCGCGTTTGAAGGGCAGCCGAAGGTGGCATATTTTGCTACTTTTGCTTTTAGTCGTGGAACAAACACAGAGACCATGTATAATATTGAATGGAGCAGCGATAACAAATTCAGAAAAGGGTGGTAATACTACTAGCGTGCCTTGGGGGAGTATTTGCAGGCCGGGACTGATTCTGAGTACGAGCATGTGTCAGCAACGTGCATTCAACACCCAATGACTACCCGTGGCAGATAATTCAACACGTCACCAGTTTCTTTTCGATTTTTTGTTTGTGTAGGACATTTGATGACGTGCCAGGCTCCAATCTGCCGCGCTCACTGGCGGATTTCGGCATTCCTGGTTGTCTGGTGCTGGCATGTGAGATGTTTCGAGAATGCAATATGGAGCTAGTTATTTCCTAGTGTATTTAAAAGAGTGCGGGACTGCCACCGTTTTAGTATTCCGGCAAAGTCGGGACTATTGGGCGTCTATAATTTTTACCCTGTGGCTTGGTCGGTAATTTTCCCAACAATTCTAGCTAAAAGCAGCAATGTGATACGTCTTAATTCACGTCTAGTTACAATACGGTTCTATCAATTAACACAGATGGCCGCCGGAAGAAGGGGAGTATGCGGATCAAATATTATGCCGGAGTCTTAGGGGATCTGACTTGTGCGCGAATACCGTCAAATCGTTTCTGGAACTTGGTCGCCAAGCACTCCCATGTTGTGCCCCGGAAGATGTAAGAATGCTCATCCAGCATTTTACGCACTCTCTCCTTTTCTTGAGGATTCACAGCAACCACCCAAGCAAGGCATAGAGAGTTGCCGAGTAATGCGGTACTGAGCGGCTTGAACAGAGAGACTCTGTCTGCGGCCCTCAGCACCACTGACACAAAAGTGACAGCTTCTTCTAACAAGGCGCTATTCCCGGGATCTATGATCCGGAGTGTCATGTTTAATGCCATCGCCATTGTGAGAAGCCCAGAATTGCCGGCTTCTTGGCGTATATATTGTAGCGAAAGCAGTGAGTCCCGACTCGTTTTGACCTTGCCAAATACATCCGTCGCATTCTTTTCAAGAAGCGCCAAGTCGGTCGAAAGTCGTTGATAAGTCGTCGTAATATGGTCAAGATTCGAGGTCGGGTCTTCTAAATAAGATGAAATTTGAATCAAATCGCGCCATTGTTGACTGCATCGAGCAGTCCCGACGTTGCCGGGTGCTGTAGCTACAAGACCAGACTGGCGCTTCTTCCCGTCGTGAAGACGAGGGTTGAATCTCATTGTAGGATCCATAATGCTTGCGACTATCTACTTCTGATTAGACTGCGGCTGCACTTCAGGTACTACCAGGGCTTGGGTTCGAAAGTATATTACCACAAGACGCCGTAAGTTCGAGACTACTTCGTTGTCGAAAGCATTTTCCAACTCTTCATCGCCCAGCATATCCAGAAAGTATACTAGTCCTCTTAAAAGAACTTCAAATTCTCGCCGATTGCTGCCGCGCACATTCTGTACAAGTTTTAGCTTCAATCCCCTCGTTATTGTCGGGGGCTGACAGACATGGGACGCCAGAAGAATGCCAATGGCACACATTGTGTCAACGATTTGGGTTTTGCAATGCACTGCCCCGACACTACTTATAAGCACGCGCAGGGCCTCCCCGTAGTGGACCAAGGGCTTTGACGAAACTGAACCTGTGTAAAAACTAAACACACTTGCAGTAAGGGCTTTAGAAGCTGCAGTGAGCACCTTGTTGTGTTCCATCCTCTTAGGAATGTCTTTGAGGCGCTCCCCAAACGACAAGATACTGTACGCGGGGTCAACGACGTTGAGAATATAGACGAGAGAGCCGGTTGCACTCGTTAATTCGTTGCTTGGCGGCCGCGATGGCTTAATCTCGGTGAAACATAGGCTCATGGGACTCTGATGGTTTGGCAGCATGTGGTGACTCATTAATGCATCGCAAGGCACTTGATGTGTTTTTGAAATGGGCGTCTTCTGTGCGGCATTGTAAACGTAACCATCACAGCGTTTTCCAGCCAAGATGCACTTTTTGCAAGCCGGTTTTGCCTCGTCACACTTTATGTGGCGGGCTCTAGAACGAGTCAGCAATACTTTACAGGAGCCACATACCAAAAAGGTTGCTGCAAAGGCTTCACTGACCGACAGGTCTTACATCCGGTTTTCACTTTGGGGGCCCATCTTCTCTGTCGTGGGCTTCCTCTCCGCGATTGGAGAATAGGAATTGCCGCGCAACTTGCGCTTTCATTGTTCTTTCGCATGGTTCTCCCTGTTTCCGCTCTTCTCTTGATAGGTCCGGGAGAGGAGATTAGGGCTAGAAACAAAATGTGTTGAGGTGGAATATCCCGATCGTGTTCAGTCCCAGCAGCGAAATTGGCAAACAGCCGACAGCAGGGATCGTCCTGCACGGTTCCTTGAAGTCAAGACGCACCTTGCTGCCTAGTCGCATTGGGTGGGAGGAGTCTTGTGTAAAGGACATGGAGCTTTTGGTGGTCAGATTATATTATGTCATAACTTATAAGCACAACTTCCCCACGTTCCGCCTCACTTTTGAATCGCAGTCAATGCGGCTAGGATAAAATGGAGCTAGGGACGGACCTGTCCGATGGTTTATTTGGGGCCGTAGTTATTTTAAGAACAGTCTAGTACTCAACCTCTTCTTATCAACGTAAGACATAGTTATCCTATCTAGTAATCTCCATACACAAGAACTAGCGGTGCAGAGCGTAAAGCTACGAGTGATGTCAAGAATCAGATGCGAGAACCCAGTGCTACCCTATACCTGGTGCAACTAGCTCGCTATCAAACTACCACAAGCAACGACATGTTGGAGTCAATCTGTGATATAGCTTGGCTGCCTTTGCTATTCTAGGGCTTTTAATTATTGCCTCGCCTATTGGTTATCCTTGCATTCTGCAGTGGTTTCTACATGGAACTCGATCAGGGCTATTAAGGTTAAGACCCCCGTTAGCACTGGGTATTCTAGGTATACAGCTAGAAAATCAGAGTACCACTCCAGGTAAGTGTTGAGGCTATTCCATCCCAGGCTTCTGCCTTTTGGGGCATGAAAACGAGCTGGGCGACTACTTTGGCGACGAGTACATCTATTGGGAGCTGAAGGTTAGGGTTAGGGTTATATATGCACATGTACTCCACGATGATGCCTTGGCGGGGCAGCACCTCAACCACTTGGCCCAAGCGTCTTGATGAGCGCATATGTGCTTATATAAGCCGATGCTAGCAGGAATCACGAGCAAGTTGTTGAATTCAGGTCAACGCCGGCACCGGCATCTTCGTAAGGTCCGCCTGCCCGCAACCACGTTGAGTTCAAGTGCACCACCCACCATGACTTAGCGCAGCCATTTTGGTCTGCCTTACATGCACATCAATTGCTCCCGTTCGTCCGCCCGCCCGCCCGTTGGTCGTCTGTAATCATTTCATCTTCCTCACGATTGTGTCTCTGTCTTTGTTTTCCGTCGTCGCGACAACACACCAGGTCCCCGTCGCCTCTTCCCCCAACGAAAACGACCCAACGATATTCCTCGCCCGTCTGCGCAGCGGCGTCGCGTGCCAGACTCTGCCGCTTCCAATTCGCCCGCCCGCCCGACTGCTTGTTCAACCCTCCAATCGATCAATCGGCCCCCCGTAGAATCAAATGCAACTTAGAAGAGCCGCTAGAGTTATTCTTGTAGGCGCTCCCGGCGTCGGCAAGGGCACCCAGAGCGAACGACTGTTGGGGCGGTTCCCCCAACTCGCGTCCATCAGCACCGGCGACTTGCTCCGCAGCAATGTCAAGAACAGGACGCCGCTCGGTAAGCAACGCCCAGCATGCAAAACAAGCCCAGACACTCCCGTTAACGTCCGCACAGGCATCAAGGCCGAGAGCACCATGAAGGCCGGCGGCCTCGTCGCCGACGACCTCATGCTCCGCCTCATATCCAGCGAGCTCCGCAACCGCGGCTGGCTGCAGAGCCACGGACCCCCCGAGGTCATGACGCTCTCGTCCGAGGCTACCACCACCGCCGAGATGCAATCCCGCGACAGCATGGCATTCGGGGCCTTCGCCGCCGGCCGCCCCCCCTCGCCCGCGCAGGCCTCCGAGGACCCTGCGGCGTCCTTCATCCTCGACGGGTACCCCCGCAACGCGGCGCAGGCCGGCAGCCTCGAGGGCATCGTCCCCATCAACCTGGCCGTCTCGCTCAAGACCCCCTTCGAGGTCATCCTCGAGCGCATCGCCGGCCGCTGGGTCCACGAGCCCTCGGGCCGCGTCTACAACACGAGCTTCAACGCGCCCAGGGTCCCCGGCCGCGACGACATCACCGGCGACCCCCTGACGCAGCGGCCCGACGACACCGAGCAGGTCTACCGCGCGCGCTTCCAAAAGTTCCAGGAGACCAGCGAGCCCCTGCTCGAGCACTACGCCAGCAAGGGGGTTCTCGTCGAGGTCGAGGGCATGAGCAGCGACGAGATCAGCCCCAAGCTCTACCAGGTCTTTGAGCAGCGCTTCGTCATGTAAACGCGCCCACTAGTTCAACACCACGTATCAAAGCGGAGACGTCTTGAAGCTTTTGTCTTTTCGAGTTCTTATTTACTAGCTACGTTTAATGTTTGCGAGGCGGAAAATGTGATTGCCGGGTTTCTACCCATGTTCTGAGCGGAGTAAGCGGGTTCAAAGTGCCCTGCTAGCCTACATGATGGGCAGTTTCATGTTGTATTTTCTTCTTTTTCTTCCTCTTTTTTTTTATTTTGACCCTGGCGGACGGAAACAATTGCTATGGATTTGCAAGAGCTGCAGCCGTAGGGACGCAATGGCGGATGGGGAATTGCCGAGGAAAAGTAGCTCGGTTGGAGTATTGATCGGGCACCATGTACATACGGGTTGAAAGCCCAAATTCAGACCTCGGGCCTTTGAGGAACTTTTGCCGTCTGGTGACGTGATGCTCGCTTTCACATGATTCTGGAAATGGCCCGGTTTTGCTCCACCCATGCATGGCGGGAAGATCCGGGGAATTGCGGTTTCCTACTTGGGGTATCTCGTCGGAAGACGATTTGGCGCGCAGTGCCTAAGTACTAGTATACATATAAACACATGGCGCTTGTGCATGATTTGGCGTGACAGAATGTCGAGCTTGGATGTGGAGGCGGTTGCAAACAGAATATATGCCAGCTACTTAAGTACCTAAATACTAAACGAATTCCACAACTACCCAGGTACCTACAAAAGACCCCATTTCGCCTAAAGCTACATAATGTGTTCGTGCAGACTTTGAACCCTCGAAATAATGACCTGCAATTATCGGAAAAAGATATTATCAGCAGCCGCAACGCTGGCGAATTCGTTACTCTCGCCATTCGTCACCGCTACGCATGCCGCTGGGCGTATTGCCCCCGTTGCTCCCCTTTGATGATCCGGCTGAGGGATGGGCCTCATCCTCGTCATCGTCCAGAGCCTTTGCTAGCTCATCCGGGTCATGCATCTTGGCATCCGGATCAATATGGCCCCCATCCAAGCCCTCTTCTTGGTCGTGGTGGCGGTCCGCATCGAATACGCCCTCATCCGCACTGACGGAGATGCCTCGGGCTCCCCAGCCGGGTCGAGCAGCGCGTCGGGCCCCGTTTCCTTCGCCGCCCAGTGCGGGAGTGCTCTCTTCATCGTCAGCGGATTCCACGTGCTTGCCAAAGATGCGGCGGAGTAACCAGCCACGGCGCATGTCGTCTGCGTCGACGATGCCGCCACCGCGAAGCTTGACGCGCTGTCGGGTGTAGTATACCCATGCGAAGTCGACGTAGAGCGCTGTCTGGATCATGCCGAAGATGACGGCCACTGCCTCGGGCTTTCGGCCGGTTGTGTCGAACTCGCGGACGAACCAGTTGAGGATGTACAGGGCCCTGTAGGACCCAAGGGCAAGCAGGTAGAAGGAGTTGATGACGGTCGGGACCGTGGTTTGCCGAAGCAGGAGAAGCTGGGGCAGAATACAGCCTGATTCGAGAATCTCGGAAAACACCCACATCCACTGCGTTGTAATGTTTAGCAATCTCTTTATGTGATGGCGCACAGGGGATTTGCACGAACCGTTATAAAACCCCACTGGTCGTAGAAAATCATCATCATGAAGGGCGACAGGACTGCGGCAGCGGCGAGTACGCCTCCGCCTAGCTTCCACGAGAGCTCACGCTCCCTCGAGCGCGGGTACACCCACTGCATTATCCCGATGGTGTAAAACGATGACGAAATGTAGACAATCTTGAATAGCAGGTTCCATAGTATAGTTGTTCGAAAGATGTCGAGGTATCTGGTACAGAATACGAGGGCATACAGGACCTGCGTGATCAGGGAGACGCCTTCGGCGCTGCGGTTCGAATGTATTGCGAATATGAGAATACCCTTTGATGCGAGATGGGCTAGATCTCCCAAGATTCGAAAAACCTGGCGTGCATCAATCGAACTGGTCAGTGCTTGCGAATGGGGAGAAGGGCATTGGGCAGGGTGGTGGCGAGCTAGCTTACGTTCCAATTCACCATGGCTGCGGCTTCGAGCGAGGTGCTCGTCGAACTAGTCGGACTCAATCAGCAGAAAGAGGAGTGGAAACAGCGACGGGAGAGTTGCCCCGATAAAAGAAGAGCAGGCAAACTAGGGCGTAAGAACGTGGGAAGCAAGGCGACACGCAAGGTGTTGACGGTTTGCGGATGACTTGTCGTGTCGCAAAGCTATCGAAGTGATTCGCCTGTGGCTCCCGTGGGGATGAGGACACCTGAGCTCGGGCAGTGACAGTTGATTGGGCTGAGCTGGTTGAGTTGGTGGAGCTGCCTAGCCGAGAACGAAAGTACCCATAGTGAACGATTCCGGCGACAGTTGACATCTTGGCATCTTGACGTGGCTGGGAGCGCTTGAGCCGAACGGAGGCGGCCCCGGCCGTACTTGGCAAGATACAAACATATCCGTTCGCGGGCCTCCAGACCAGCTGACGGCGTCAGTGTTGTGTTGCTGGCCAGGGCGAGGCAATCCAAGCTTCGCACGTTCAAGAAAGTGCGTAGCCATCCGTAGAATACTACTACTGCCATGCCAGCGTATCAGCCACCCCACCCCCAGAGGAGGAGGTATTGTGTAACAAAGCTGGCACATCCTGCGACTCGATGACGCGGAGCATGATCGACAGCCGCCAGCCAGCTGATTGTCCGTGGAGAAGATGGGCAGCATCCAAACCCCTTGACATGACACATGTCCTCCCTTGTTTCTTTCAACGTGAATGGTATCAGTTTGCTGAAGCCGACTTTCTCTTTGACTTTTGCTTTGCATAGAGGGATTGCTCTACCAAAGATTCTCTTGCAGTGTCTGATGAGCCTGGTGTCTGGTTCGTGCCACAAAGGCGCGCATAGAAGCTTGTGTCGCCACGAACACGACATTGGATGACGGCCATTTCTTCTTCATAGGAGTCTACTATAGAAGGGCATCGGGGACAATAACTGACACCAAGAAACGTCAACCATGCACTTCGTGCGAGTGTTTGTATGGATGGTCGTAGGCTTCACCACGGCCGTGCCTGTTCGTGGCTTCGCCGATGGTCTCGCCGACCAGAAAGCCGTCTCGCATGATGATCAATCCCTCCGCGTTTCCAAACCCGACTGTAAGTGACCTGTCCTTCAAGAGTTTCTACCGCCAGTCACATCTCCCGAGGGTGGCTAACCATACTCTAGCATCCGAAACGTAAGCACACCCAATGCAGGTCCATGTTGCATCTACTTCCCAACCTGTTTACTCACCAACACGCAGACATCATGACACAAAATTCGCGTACGACTCACGATACATGAAGCAGTTGCTCAACAAAACCGCCCATCGCGACGCGGCTCGCACCCTCATCCAGTCATACCTCATCACATGTCGCGAACTCCAGGTGCAAACTTGGCTCATGAACGGGAGTCTCTTGGGATGGTGGTGGGGAAAGAAGGTAATCAAGAAAAAATTCGGGAATTCTCTATTTGATCCCGCTGACATATTTCAGATGTTGCCATGGGACTACCCCAGCAATGTTCAAATTACCGAGGCTGATCTCCATTTCTTGGCGGCCTACCACAACGCATCCGTTCACTTCCACAGACGGAAAGGCATGCCGAAAGGAAAGAGATTTCTGCTCGAAATAAGCCCAGATTTCACGAACAGGGCGCAAACAGGCGCTACGGATGTGATTGATGCTCGCTGGACTGATCTCGGCAGTGGGCTATATCTGAACATCACGGCCGTGCGATATAGCCCTGACCATCCGAGCGGCGAAGGGGTGCTTTACACAAAGGACGGTCAACAATTCCATGTAAGCGAAGACGCAGGCGTGCTGCCAGGAACGGCGGTCGAACGTCGACTAACGGCGGGTAGGACACCTTGTTGCACCCGTTAAGAGACACAACGTTCGAAGGAGAGCCGGTCAAAATCCCGTATCGGTATAAGACGATGCTAGCGGAGAGGTATGGCGAGGAGGCCTTGAAAAAAACGCACTATAATGGGTAAGTTGATCAAAACCTCTTGCAATCGTTTCCCCATCGTTGGGCTGATGACTGTAGACACAAGTTCGATACGCCTGAGATGCAATGGGTAATGCAAGGATGAATTACAAAGGAAAGTATCGAATGGCAGGCAGCGTCTATGCCACAGTGTAGAGAAGTTATGAAATATTTGAGGGATAATGGACAAGATTCTAAAAGAGATCAATGTTGAATGAAAAACCTTGGTGTGAACAATTGGTGCATGTTTCTTCGTCATTGTGGGGTCTGGTGCGAGCCAAGATTGCAAACCCCTGCGGACAAGCTTAAGCCGCCATGCCCCGCGACGTCACTGACAATGGATCTAGTAGACGCGTCTGACTCAACCACATTCGCGTCTCTGACCGTCGAGCCCAATTATCGCCACACCCACCCACCCTTGCGTGCGCTCACGATGGGTGCCGAAAAACATCCACAGGCACGGTATACTATTCTTCACATGTAACAGCACATTCAATTGTCTCCCGGAATGGCAACAGGTAAGCCCGCCGCAGCGCATTGCGCAGCTTCAGGACTACGTGGTAACCGAGCAAAACAGGAAGGGAACGTCGCGAGGGAAAGCTCAACGAGCGACTCCGTGGTGCTGGGTACGTGAATCATTCTGAACTCGCGCCTGCAACACGTTCCCGCTGATACCTCTACAGGCGAACAAACATCGACGACAACGATACCTTCAACCTCGACATCCCCGGCATCGCCACCGGACCAGCCGTCCAAAGCTCAAGCTCACCAGGCTCGCTACCCGCGCACCCCGCTGCCCAAACAAGTCTTCCTAGCAGGACAACCAGCAACGCACCGGACACCCGACAGGAGACAGAATCGCCGTATCAGCCTGCCGGAGACGCGGATCTTCCGGGCCCTCGCAGCTCAAGCGCACCGGTATCAGCACCGTCCGAACGCGATGACCCCGACCTGGATGAACCAGAGCCTGTTCAGCCGCCGTCAAGCGCCGTGTTTCGGGGAGGACCCCGAGTGGCCAGAACCATCACAGAAGAGATTACGGAAAGTCCAGCCGGAAAGCCTGGCAGCGGCCACAGGCAGCGCATCAATGAAGCAGTCAACATCGGCGGAGCACCGACGGGACGGACGCCGGACATAAGCGATGAGGATGACGCACAAACACAGCCATCATCGCCACTCGCAAACAAGACGCGTACGAGCAATGTCTCACGGCCATCAATTCCAGCAGTACCCGAAGAATCAGAAGGGGAGAGGGAGGAGGAACCAAGCGATGAAGCTCGCACTCGTCCACCTCAACAACGACCAGGAATAGCAAGGAAGGAGGCGGTGGTCGTGGAGGAAGAGGAGGAGGAGGAGGAGGAGGAGGAGGAGCCCGAAGAATCAGATCACTCCGATGAAGGGGCTGTAGAGATTGACGATCGAAGAGCAGCCCAGTCCATCGGTGTAAAGCGCCCTAGGCCCAACAAAACACGGTCTCCGGAACTAGGCTCGGAGCAATCCGAAGACAGCCAGCCCGAGGAACCGGTGCAAAAGAGGCACCGCAGAAGCCCGGCAGCCCAGAGGCAGCCTGCGAAGCGACCTAAGCCACAGCCAAAGCAGAAACGCCATAGTTCGGGAAGTGATCGCGACGACGACGCAGCGATTGAAATTACCGTCCAACGATTTGTCAACAACTTTGCCCAAGGCGCCGATGACGAGGATGAACTGCAGCAGGAGATTCCATTTGCGAACCGTGGTGGAGAGACAGTCGTAGATGTCTTCTCACAGGTCTGCGAAGAAATGATTTCTTCAACTTTGGAAAATCTCCAGAAGATGTTGCAGTCTTCTGATGATTTGGGGAAGAAGAAGGAGTTGAGAGTCAAGATTCGTGCTATCGGGGCGTATCGGGAAGAGCTTAACTCTCGGCTGCTCCAACATGTGAGTGCCCCCCATGTTGAATTTGAAGGGCTGTCACTGACGAGATTTAAGGCTATTCATTTGAATCACTGGCATTCGTTACGAAGACGTCTTCGTCATGTTCAGAAGGAGAAGTTGGCACTTCGAGATGAAATTATTCGGTTAAAGGGTGAACGGGAACAAGTGGCGCTTCGGATGGATGCTGTCCGTATCAAACACGAAGCTGACAGCAAAGAATCGACAGTGAGTTGTTGCGTTGCGATTTTGCATTGGTCATGGTCTAACACTTGAAATTTTTCTTTGTCTTAGTCACGTTTAAATGCGTCCTCTCTCATGCACGACATCGATTTGGCGGTCGAACAAGGTCGGGAAGCCCCAGAACTCTCTCGCAAAGCAGAGAAGGAAGCCGATCTGGGCAATCTCGACCTGGTCCTGGCTCAAATATCAGACCAAGTTAGCTCAACGAGCTCAACTGGCGGTCTGCTTCAACAAGTACAAGATTTCAACGCGTTTCTGGAACGAGCAGCCACAGCACTTGAATCAGGTTGAAACTGATGTTTTCAGTTGAAAGAATCTACTTTTCTGACGCTCCACCCAACATGCCCCCGCAGCTTTCCGCGCCACGGCTTATTGAATCTTGGCCTTGCTGAAGTCCATCTCCGGGTGCTGGTCCTGGAACTTCTTCAAGATGTCCATCTTCTTCTGCTCATCTGACGAAGGCAGCCCCTTCTCCTTCTGACGCTGGTCATACATCATCTTCTCAACCATGCCCCTCGTCTCACCGTCGAGGTCAGACAGTTTCGAAGAATCAGGCTGAATCTTCGTTACGTCAATGGTAGGAGCAGAAGTGATAACGTGCGCCCACCACTCCATCTTGTTGACCTTGTCGAGCTGGATTTCGACCGTCTTGGTACCGTCGGCGTTTGTGGATAGGGTCCATGTCGAGTCGTCGACGTGAATGGCATGGGGGAGATCTCCCTATGGCAGATCAGTATTCAAAAGTCTCTGAACTGGATATACTCCTATGGTCATGGAGCTTGGAGACCTAAACGATCATCTTAGGACCGTTGAATGTACCTTAATGACGGGCTCTTGGCCCTTGATACCCGCAGTCAGACTCTGCTTTTTAATGTCTATGATGAGATCTTTTGACTTCATGTTTCCGGGAACTGTGAAGGTAACGTTGAGTTCCGCAATAGTCTGTTGCCATTTGTAGGGCAAGGCAGCTTGCTCGTCAGCCTCTTTGGCGCGGGCGGCTGCCTCTTCAGCTGGAGACGGATCTGATGTGTTTGGTTAGCTCAACTTGGGTGACGTAAGGGTATATGTCTAGTTTTGAGCGTATGTGTTTGTAAGAAGATCAGATAACCACCTTTGACGTCAGCCATTTTCTGCTCTCTCGAATAAACGTGGTTGGGGCAATGCACGTTGCGTAGAAGAAGATCGATGTGGAATGAAGTGGCGTGCCCTTTGAAGCGTTGCGATGGCGGGGCAGTAGCTGTCGAGCAAACCCCTACGAAGAGCAAGTGGTGGCGCCCGCCGTCATTGGCTGACAAACCTGGCAGCTGGGACAGAGCTCCCTTCAGCTACAACTTCGCGCACCCCGTCAATTCGAGATCCGCAACGCACCATTGAATCACCGGCATCATCGCGCACCTCGCGCTCGGAGGCTTCTATCTCAAGCTCTCAAGCCTCCCGACCACGCCAAAATGACGCGAAACGGTACCAGCACCGTCTCAGTGCGCCATGGCGCAGCAACTGGCCTCGGTGCCCCCAACGACGAGGACGAGACATGTCCCGTGTGCAAAACGACCCGGTACTTCAACCGGGACATGGAATTCCTCATCAACCCAGAGTGCTACCACCGAATGTGCAAAACGTGCGTCGAGCGAATCTTCAAAGACGGGCCCAACCAATGCCCCTACGCCACATGCCACAAGACCCTGCGACTACGTGGTTTCAAGTCCGCCTTCTTCGCCGACCTGACCGTGGAGCGGGAGGTCGATATCCGCCGCCGCGTAGCCCAGATATTTAACAAGGTCGAGGACGACTTCGAATCACTTGACTCATACAACAAGTACCTAGAATACGTGGAAGACCTGACCTTCAAGCTCGTCAATGGCCCGCCCGAGGCTAAGGGCGAAGCAGAAGGCGAGCTGGCCGCATGGGAAGCACAGCACAAGGCCGAAATCGAGCGCAACAAGAAACTCGCGCGCGAGTCGGACGACTCGCGGAAAAGGCGGCTCGCGGCCGAACAAGATGCAGCCCGGCAACGACGCCTGCAGGACCTGCAACAAGACGCCGAGGAGAAGGCCAGCGCCGCGCGGTTCCGCGAAGAAATGCTCGACTCGCTGCAGAGCGCAGAGGTGGGACACGCCACCGAGACAGTGGACAAGATCATGCTCAAGAAGCGAGGGCAGCAGAAGAGGGATTCGGCGAGGGACGCTCTGTCCGGCCCCGCGGGGGGGCTGTCGATCCGCGGGTTGCGGGACAAGACTCGCGGTGCGGCAGACGACAACAAGCCGTATGATCCGTTTGGGGGCCTGGATCTGGCGCCGACCAGAGTTGATATGGGACACGATAGATTACAAGAGTATCACAGCGAGTGGATAGACGTGATGCGCTCCAAGAGCGAGTATCTCGTCGGCGGGTACAGTGCCGACGAGTACATCTCGAGAGCTCTGTACGAGTCGTTTTCGGGGCTGGGCGTGTTCATCGCAGAGGACAAGGTGGACAGGGCGGTTGCTACGGCCGGCGCCAGCGAGGCTGCTGTTGCCGGCGGGAAGATGGATACCGACGATGTGTTTTAGAGGACTACGAACTATGCGGGGAGGTTTTTTTTCTTCTTCTTTTCGGCAGGCGTGAAATGGCGTTTTGGTTGGGTTGGGCTGGCAAAAGGCGTTTATTTTTTGATAATGGCTCCACGCCATTCACGACTATAATTTGTTGCAAAAGATAGACTTGGCTATCATAGGGCACGCCCCCATGCAATACAATATATAATAGCGTACTCCGAGGGAGTGCCATATCTAACCATACGCTTTGTTCCTCTTGGCCCCGTGAGCAGGTACTAGTTCGATTAAGAACGTGGTGGGAGCAACATTATTTCTGACAACTGCCTAAGTGATACAACTTTGCCTATGTACTCGATAACACTACAGCCACTACGCTATGAAAATCCGTGCCTCCCTCCGTCCCTATCCAACAACGCCTTGCTGATGCGAATACCGGAATTCATAAGAATAGTCCACGGGGAAGACGAGCAAATTCGACAGTACTATCAAGGGAAAAACGATTGGAACTTAGTGGTGTAAAAAAAAAAAAAAAGTAGGGTCAAAGAATGCGATTTATTGCTGCCAGGGCGTTTGTTGCGCGGGACGAGGGAATACAGGGACAGTAGGGAGTTGATCCAGCCCGCCGCCGATACTGGCCTGGTTATGCTGCCACCCCATGCCGGTATTGTGGTTGACGAACGCGCTGTGGCGGAAGGGGTTTGTGGTCCCTGTTGGTTGGGGACCGAGAGGACCTGGATTAAGAGACTGGTCTGGAGGCGGGACTTGTTGCGGTTGTTGTTGCATTTTAGCAAAGGGGTTGGTTCCTGTAGGTTGGGCCTGGATAGGGATTGCGGACTGGAAAGGCGATGTGCTTTGTGTAGGAGATCGAGCGAACGGGTTCGTAGACTGGCGTTGCACTTGGGGCATTGGACCGGGTGAGGAGAATGGCGATGAGCTGCCTGGCATGCTGGCTAGTGGCATCATTGATTGCCTGAACGGGTTGGTCGTGCCTGTGGGTGCTGGCTGAAGAGGATTTAGCTGAAGGGGGTTTGCCTGACCGGCTTGCAAGGATTGAGGTTGTTGCGGCTGCTGCTGTTGTTGCCCATACTGGAAACCTTGGTTTGGGTTGAGGAATGTGGCCTCTAGATTCTGGGGAATTGACCCAAGAGTACCGGGCTGAAAGCTTGGCTGCGGTGTGAAGCCTCCGAATCCAGCGCCGGTGAAGTTGGGTTGCAGAGGCTGAGGCTGTTGCAGTTGCGGCTGCGGCTGCTGCTGCGGCATGAATCCACTCATATTCTGTTGCTGTTGGAACATGTTGTTGGGTACAAAACCGGTTTGCTGCGGCGCAAAGCCATTTTGAGGAAATGGCATACCCGTGGGCTGCGCCTGGAAGGGTGCTGCGGCAGGCATGATGCCAGTTGGCTGCGGGTTGACCTGCAAAGTTGTCTGCTTTTGCTCAATCGAGTCGAAAAAGTCGATAAGATCAGGATCCGGGCCCTTGTTGGCTTGTGGTTTGCCGTCGAATTTGGCATCCGGAACAGAGGGGAAGGGGTTGTTCAAATTTGGCGAAGCTGGCTTGGTAGGCGACTTGGGGAAGTCAACCTTCGCCGCTTTAGAAGACCCCCCCGTCTTCTTTGCATCCTGCTCAGCGAGATACTGTCGTCTGTGAACCTCAAAATCAGGGTCCTTGAGATAATCCTCTAGTTGACGAGCCAAAGTGACTGGGGCGTGCTTGAGCTTGGGGACTTCGACTCTCGTATGGTGTTCATGCATGCGAGCGGCACTGAGATACTGCACAACATGGTCGGTCACTCGCGTGAACGTGCGATAAATTTCCAAAGCTCTCTGGGCATCCGTCTTGGACATCTCAAAGAAGTGTCCTGCATTACAATATGTGAGCAAGGGTCTTGAGACAATTCGATCTGTTGTCGGCCCGACGAACCTAATACGTTTATGAGACCCTGATTGAGCACTTGAAACAAAGACAACAGGTCCAAGACCAACAACCGGAAGATTGCAATAGTGATTTCGTTTTCAGGTTCGGTTTCGAGGACCTAGGCGCATTTATTAGCAGCGATTAGTGTAATTCGACGTCATATTTACTCACATCACACTTGACCAGAGCCGACAATTGGTTCTCGACAACCTCAGTCTCCCGGAGCAGACCCTTATCAACAGCTAATTTCTCTAGTCGCGAATCATTCTCGCGGACCCAGTCGATCTTGGTGTCGCGAAATGCCCGTGCTCGCTCTGTCAAATAGTTTGCATAATGCCGAATGTTCCGACCTTGAGTTTGAGCTGGAGCGCCAACTAGTCAGCCCGATTCAAAATCGGTGTTATTCACGAATGACCAACCATCGGCAAAATGCCCCACGGTCAAAATGTTACGATGCTTGGCGAGGAACGATAGAGTCGCATTCTTCTCGCCCTCTCGCATCATAATGTGCGTGGTGAGCAAGCTCTTGAGCACCACTGTCCATGTCGAGTCGCGCAACCGGTATTGTAATGAACGAAAGACTTCACCTACGCCAGCATCGCCTGAGTGCGTGGCCACGAGGATGTGTTCGATATATTTCGTCTTGGGCGGTGCATTCTATAAGTCGCATCGGTCAGCATGTAATGGACTGGTGATCCTATCGTCTAGTAGCTCGGTGCTGAGGTGGTCATTGAGGGGAGGGGTGGTTGGAATTGGGACGCAATTCGCTCGTACTTTGATCTTGGTTGCGCCCTTGACGGACTTTTCGAAGGAGCCCGACATGGTGCAAGTTCTTGTCACCCTGATGTTTTCGGGTGAAGTTCCTCGCCACGAACCAGGGGTGAATAATAAAATAAAAACAAAAACGCTGATGGCCCAGGTGGATGACGAAAGGAAAAGGGCTGAATTATGGCTGGATGGCCGGGATGAGGTCGGGCTTGGTCTGGCTGCAATGGATCTCGGGTGGAGCGACTCGCAAAGCATGGGATGGACTGGGCTGGGGTCGACGAAGCCGAGTGGGGCCAACCAGACTTGTCCACGCAAAATTTGAAGGCTGTACGGCATGATGCCCAGAGGCCAGACAGATTTGCAGCAAGCCGCTCTGGAGCTGGCGGAATACATGTACATGCAAGCACATAATCAACAGCAATTGCATCAGGCCGGGCCCCTGAGACGACAGTTCATCTGAATACCAACTGCTCATGTACTCAGGTGCCGTACGGGTTCACCATCTTGACCAACCAAATAATGCTGCAACTCGATTCCAAAGTCATGCTTTATTACTGCTAATCGGCTATTCCAGTTCTTAGTACAGAACACTGTTGCAGAACTACTGCGAGTGTGGCCCCCGCGGTCATGCACATCTTGGCGATGGTTCCAAGGCTGTGCTGATCAAGGCCACTTGGCCAGTCAGTAAAGCCTTCGTCACATTGAGAGCATACGGACTACGCATGTTCATCAACTGATAAACAAAAAAAAAACTTCCGTCCAAAATCAATCGCCAAATCACGCGTCTAGCATTCCCAGTATTCGAAACAGAAGGAGTAGAAAACACTTCCATTCATAATAAATCAGAGCTTTTTTTCATCGCGTCCGAGATGTAACAAGGTCTGTGTGTCGAACGCCCATTTCAAAATACCAATTCTAGCCTCACCAGCAAACCACTTAAGCCCCAAAGGGAGAGTTTGAAGGGTCGGAAGAAAGGCATCTGCATCATATTACGCACGCGGTTCTCATCATCTGCAAGACATTGTTAGCAACGGTAGTCTGCTTGGTCAGATCTGGGGAATAAGTGGTGTACATACACTTATTTGAATGGAAGGGTTCATAAGGAGAAAAGAAGAAGAGAAAAAGGTGCCTGGTCGATGGCGCCGAAATTTAAAGCAGCTGTGGGTCGGTGGGGTCTTGGCGGATTTTCCCGGCAGAACGGATGACGCTGCTGGTTTGGCTGGAGCTTTGAGCTCACCAAGTTCACCATCATCTGATTACTCAAGTCAAACTGCACCTTGGCTGTGGCCGCACCGCAGCGTCAATTCTGACAGTAATGTCCCAGCTGGGTCGCTGCTGGGCTGTCTCACGCCGCGGTGCTTGCAATCGCTCCATACTGGCACCGATTTCTCGCAATGGCGCTTTGAGGTTCTATGCGCATCAGACTGCTGCGGCTGGCCCAAGGGCAGGACACCTGAACAAGGAAGAATTGCTCAAGGCTTGGAACCAGTGTAGGCTTAGATCGGTTCTATGTATCTGTATATTTACTAAATGTTCTCATAGTTCGAGGTTCCAATTCATTGACACAAACCGACCCCGACGTCATAACAGGATTTCTCGGAAAGCGACGCAATGTCGGAAAGCACCTGTCATTCGCGGACCTCACCACATCTTCAGGTGAAGTGATCCAAATATGCTCCCATGTCGATGGCGGGCTAGAATCCCACGAGAAATTTCGGCAAGTTCCTGCATTTGCGCCAGTCGTCGTCTGCGCGCGACCAGAGCCGCCAGCACAAGCAGCTGGAGAAGAGCAGAATAGTTCCTCGTCCAAGCGAACCCTATATCTTAGGGATATTCGATCATTAAACACGGTTCCAAAAGATCTTATTGTCACGTCTGATGTTCAATTCCCTCAAACAAAGCGACACTTGCAAATTCGATTCCACCCTGAGCTTCAAGCCAGACTAAAATTCAGATCTTGGCTAAAGGGTCAGTTGAATCAGAGCTTGTTGGAAAAGGGGTTCACAGATGTTGAGACGCCTACCCTTTTCAAATCTACGTCCGAGGGCGCCCGTGAGTTCTTAGTTCCGACAAGACAAAGGGGTACTGCATATGCACTCAGTCAGAGCCCTCAACAATACAAACAGGTCCTGATGGCGAGCGGTATTGGTCAGTACATGCAATGGGCAAGGTGCTATCGAGATGAGGATTTACGGACGGATAGACAGCCAGAATTCTCTCAGGTATGTCCCGCTCATCATCTCCATCACGGGAAGGTTATGCTCACAGAAGGTTAGCTCGATATGGAATGGGCATTTGCTGGTTCCGCCGAAGTGCAGGCCGATGTAAATGATATCCTGCTGGCTGCACTGTCACGACTCCGACCAGCTCGAAGTTACAGCGATATCCGTGGAGAGAGAATACCCATCCTATCTGATATACTCAATGAGCCCGCACCCGCCGACGAATCACCTGATCACAAGTTCACCACCCTCACCTTCGCCGAGAGTATCGCCGCTTATGGCTCTGACAAGCCGGACTTGCGAATTCCCAACCAAGTACGCCTAAAATAATGCCGTCCATCAAACTCGTCATGCTAATATGTTGCAGATACATGCGTTAGAAGATATTGAGCCTTATCGCAATTTTGTCAACATGATTACACATCTTTCGGATCCTCTCATTGAGGCATTCACCTTTCCACTGAAAGACTGTTCACCATCTGAAGCCCGAAAATTTGTCATTAAATTTATGGACAACCTCCCACCCGCATTAGCCAACAACCCCGATGGCAAACCACAAATACTCATTCACGACTCTCGACAGCCTTTATCTGGCTTCTCCTCTCTAGGCTTCGAGTATGAAAGCGTCCTGGACAAACTTTCCCAAGGCCAAGAAATCAGTGATGGCGATTTGGTGGTCTTCCAGGCCCGAGAAAAGCCCCAGGGTCAATACTGCCTTGGATCCACCAAAATCGGCGACATACGAAACGCCCTCTGGAAAAGTCTGGTGGAGGAAGGCTACATGGAAAAACCAAAGCTTGGAGATCCCGAGTCACTGCAATTTGTATGGGTCACGGAATTTCCCATGTTCAAGCCCGTTGAAGAAGGGGAACCCGGCCAGGGTGGCGCGGCTGGAATTTCCGCAGCCCATCACCCATTTACGGCACCACTGTCAGAGAATGACCTCGAAATCCTCTTCACCGATCCATTGCAAGCTCGGAGTGCCGCCTACGACCTCGTTCTAAACGGTATCGAGATTGGAGGTGGAAGCGAGCGTATTCACGTCGCAGATATTCAGGAATTCATCATGCGAGACGTCCTGAAAATGACTGATCAACGAATCAAAGACTTTTCACATCTGTTTGACGCGCTGAGGGCAGGATGTCCGCCTCACGCTGGCTTTGCCCTTGGGTTCGATAGACTTGTTGCGCTGCTCACAGATACGTCGACCGTCCGGGATGTGATTGCTTTCCCAAAGACCATGAGGGGTGAGGATCCGTTTGTGCGGTCACCAAGTAAGCTGAATAATGAGCAGCTTGCTCCATATGGGCTACAACTGATGTCGAAGTCTAAATGATCTCTACTTCTCTCGTTGCTAGTTGCGGCGGACCGTCCAGGATCAGGCTTCGGTTCAATGGAGCACCTGTACAAATATGTATCATATTGTAATATATACTCATAGACTTGGCGCGGAGAATCCGTGCCCAGGATTGCATATTCAGTATACCACACAGCAACCATTCCAACGCGATACTTCATTGTCCCCCCTCCTGATCCCTCCTCCCCTCATGAGCGCTTCGTACTTACACTGTGCGCAATATGGCATTTTTTCAGTGTTCTCTAACCGTCGACTGTCGTGACAGTTAGGGATTGCTTACAAGTAAAGTCCGCCTGTCGGCGGCCACTGACATGTTGCGAGGAAGCACGGGGCCGATATTTTCGTGGGCCAGAGTCATGGTCTCACGAGATATTATCATAATTACTGTATGAAATCTCCATTTCATTAAAAATATACATACATTCAATTATCTTCCAGAATTCAAGATATTCAAGCTAACTGTCCGACTAACCATGAACATGGGAAAGGGCAAGTGGGTCTAAGCGCCAAGGGACGAGCGACCCACGCACCGCCACCAGATGGAGCTCACCGCCAAAAATCTTGGAGAATTCTGCCGGACTCTGAACTTCACAGAATCATCACCAGCCTCATGCTGCCCGCAAGCAAATACACCCCTCACCACTCGACCCAGACTTGATAATTCGTTTCTCCCGGCAAACCCTCCACCACAAGAGAGTCTCTCTGCAGTAACCATGTCATCTATGCGCAACGCCGTGGCGCGGCGCCCGCACCGTGAGCGTGCCCAACCGCTGGAGCGTGGCCGACTGGGCCTGCTCGAAAAGCACAAGGTAAGAAGACGATGCGTAAAACGCCCCACGAGACGAACAATTTGCGTTTCTAACTCGAGACAGGACTACTCTCTCCGAGCCAAGGATTTCAACAAGAAAAAGACCCAGCTGAAATCGCTGCGACAAAAGGCCGCTGATCGAAATGAAGATGAATTCTACTTTGGCATGATGTCCCGCAAGGGCGCCGGATCCAAACTCAAGGACGGCAAGAGCTGGACAGGCAAGCTCGAGGGCGACCGCGGCAACAGGGCAATGGACGTCGATACTGTGCGGCTGCTCAAGACCCAGGACATAGGGTATATCCGGACGATGCGGCAGGTGGTTGTCAAGGAAATCGCAAGACTGGAACAACAAGTCGTCTTGACAAGAGGACTGGACCGTCTTGAAGACGAAGAGGACGAGGAAGACAAAGAAGACGATCTGGACTCTGACGACGACGAGACGCCCTTGCCTGCGAAACCCAAGGCACCGAGAAAAATTGTCTTCATGGATGACGAGGAGGAGCGAGAGGCTACTATGCTGGATAGGTTGGAGGCGGAGCAAAATGACGACGGCGACGAGGAAGAAGAAGAAAAAGGTAGAAATGCTGCCGCCGCAGATGGGGAAGGGGACGACGAGGAAGCCGATCCGGTCAAGTCGCTGCGGAGACTGAAGAGACAACTCGAAAATGCTAAGAAGCAGCTCAAGGCTTTCAATGATGCCGAGGCACATCTTGACGTGCAGCGCGCCAAGATGGCCAAGACGGCGACATCCGGAGGGAACACAAGGAGAGGGAGGAAAATCATGGTTCGCGCAAGGAAGCGTTAAAAGGGTTGAAATATGTCGGCTTGTGGTAATGATGGCATCTACCGGCGTTTGGGGGGATTCTTTACAATCACGAAATATACTTGGTTCCTTGTTCATCTGCGTAGGTGCGCTCATAAATAAATCGCCGTCCAAAACGGGACAGTCACATCACCAGAAAAAGAAGCGCACGCTCGCCCTGGTAAATATCCGACATGTCTCATTATTATAATCATCACATGGCCACGTTAATACTTCGACCCCACACACGAATACAAACACTTGAACACGCCCCCGACGGCCTTGAACAGCGCCGCCAGGACCCATATAGCCAACTTGAACACGCCCTTTGCCAGCTTCACCACGACCCGTATCAGAAACGGCGGCTTATCCCCCGCGGACCGGCGCCCGTGCGGCCCCTTGCCCAGGCTGTCATTTTGGCTCTCCACGTCCATTTCAAACGCCTCCATATGGCGCTTCTTCTTCCCGCCGTCCCGGCGTATACTCAGCTTGCTCCATCTCGCCGAGCCGCGCCTGGCGCCGAGAGCAGCCGCCGGCGGCGCCCGCGGCGGAGGCTCAAAGGTCTCCATCGGGGTCGGCGAGCTCCTGTCCTCGCCGGCCGCGACCAGCAGCAGCGCCGCGACGACAACGTCCAGGATGTAGAAGGAGTCGATCTGGGCGGCGACGCCCGTGTCCAGCTCGACCCAGCCGCCGCCGGTGCCGTCCCTCGTCAGCTTGGCGAGGTGCCGGGGCGACTCGTCGTGCTCGAGGGTGTACTCGACGCGCGAGTAGGCCGGGCTCCGGTCGACGGCGACGCGGAACGGCCTGGCCAGCGCGTTGTGCACGAGGAAGTGCGTCGCCGTGTCCTCGTCCCAGACCAGCCGGGCGCACTCGTTTTCCGCGGCGGCGACGGACGCGGCGTCGTCGGCCTTGTCGACGGCCATGCGCGCGGCCGCCGCCGGCATGAGGAGCGCCACGAGCCCGTCGTTGGGCGGGTGCTTGCGGGACTCTTCTTCCAGCGTCGAGCTGAGTGCTTCGTGGCGGTGCTTTGCGTCGGTCCGGCTGCCGCTGCTGCTCGCCGGGGCGCCGGGGGACGTGCCGGCCTCTGGGATCGGCGCCTTGCACGGCTTTGCCGGGTCGTGCCGCGTGAGGCTGATGTAGGCCGCGGCGGAGGTGGGATCCAGCCGGAGGCTCCAGAACGGCTGGGAGGACCGGGACGACAGCGTGTACACGGGCGCGTCTTTTTGCCGCGACAGCTTCAGGCAGAAGACCCTCGACTCGGACACGGACGCCTTCCACCCGTTGGCTACCTTCCACAGGCTCTTGAGGTCCTCGGTCGTGCAGGGCGTGGGGGTCTCCGGCGGCGGCTGCGTCTGTATCCTCAGTGGCCATCGGCCCCTTGCCGCAGGTCGTCGGGGGCTCGACGGCGGGCTGCGGCCCGGAGCGCTCTGTGTCCCCGGGGATTCCGGCTCCTCGTAGACGGATTGCCTGCTGATGATGGCGCGGGGGATGTGAGCGGGACCCATTTGCGTCGGCGCGTACTCCTGCTCGTTGAGCGACACATCCGGGTTATATGTCGGGAAGATGGACCTCAGCGGCTGCGAGGCAGAAGCCGGCGAGGGGTGGTCACGGAGAGGGTTTTTAGCAATCGAGTTCCTGGACCGTCCGCTGTTGCTGCGAACGAGCGTGTTGGCTTCCGAGAAGGCGGTTTCCGCCCGGCCGGGCACGTCGTGTATATTCCGGGGCTGTTGGACGGCAGCCGTGTCGGCGGTGGTCTCGAGGCCGTGGTGCCGCGCAGGGGCTTCAGAGTTCTGCGGTGTCTCGCTACTTAACGGCCAGTTGGAGGGCGTTTCTGCCCGCGCGGGCTCGAACTGCACAGGTGGTGTATATGATGGCTGCCCACGCGCCTGGGTGTGATCTGGTGTAGCCACCCTCTGGACCTGGGGTGTTTGCGGCGTCCTCTCCTGGGATTCGGACCGCCGCCCACGGTAAGACTGGAGACTTCGAGATGCCGGCGGTGGTTTGGAGGCGTTGGGGCTGGGAAACAGGGAGAAGCTGCCTGGCTGGGATTGCTGCGGCGAAGGCATGACTGCTATATATATCGCTGGTATCTCGCCCCCAGTGCGGAATTCCTGGATAGCAAGAAACCGGCAGGGACCCGGGGTATCACAAGTATAACAAAGAGAGAAAGGAAAAACTATAAGCCAGCTTCGGCTTACTGCATCGTGTCCCGCCTGATATTATTGCCAATACCAGCTCGAACCAAGACGGGCCAATCGTCAGGCCTCTGATGAATGAAGACGAGGCAGCACAGGAAATGGCAAAACAAAAGAACAGAGAAGCAGAAAAAATGGAGGCAGTGATAAACATATAATGTCGCACGGCATGCCATCTCTATTCCCCTATCCCTGCCCAGGGCCCCATGGCTATTTGCGGCAATGGCACCTTGGAAAGGGCTGCAGTATCTGCATTCTGCTAGTCTGGCGCCATATTTGCTCTTTGGCGCCCCGTTGGAGTGGTATCTCCTGCAGGATGCTGGGCGGACGCCAGGAACGCGGAGGGGGTCTACGCGCTTCGTTGAAGAATCGTCGTGTCACTGGTTGGGAGGAGTTGGTGGTAAAGATGCCGTGCCATGCGGGAGACTATATTTGGCCATGCAGCCAATGGTGTGGGATATCACACTGCATCAAAGCGGGGCCAAGAGGTGCGTCTAAGCGCCGAGCTGCGCGGGCGGCCAACCTGGGTGCGCCATGGACTCTGATTGGCCGGGTGGCATCTCATCTTGAGTCTGGTGGCACTTGTGGGAGGATGGAACGTGGGAAGACGAGATGGAGGACCTGCGGTGCGGTGATTGGGAGTCGGTACCGTCAACTGGCGTGAGAAATACCAGGTGACACTACCCGAGATAATCTGGTAGCTGAATGGGTCGTGCATGCCAACAATGACATAACATGGAGCCACTCAAGAGTGGCCGAGGGGTCGAATTAAATATTGACCCTAGCCGGTAGTTGCCAACGGGTCGACGGCCATGTACCTACGTACTTAAGTCTATAACGTCTCGTACTTACATCATTACATAAGTTCGGTATGACCAGACTAATGCACCAAAAATGGCCATGGCCACGCCCCATGTTTTTGATGTCAATGTTAAGACCAGTGCCTCTATTTACTGCGACACAGACCGCATACCGCAGCCGCCGCACCGATAGTATCAACCGCCCTCTAGCTACGTAAGTGCGGAAAAGGCAAAAAACGTCTGGTACCTATGTACGTGTATGAATACATCCTAAGCAAGCTACCTAGTACTAATTGTGGCGAGACCGAACAATTCTAAGAGCACACTTTAGCTACGCAGATAGAAGGTAGAGCGTTATTAGTGAATCTACATCCCTTAATTCACAACTGGCTACATCAGTACTCCAAAGCGTATCGCATGCGACGTACGTTGGCGAGGGTACACCGGCTGCCGCTGTGGATAGATGACGATGTGACCGAGGGCAGGATACGTACGCCGGTTGTTGAAGGTCTCCGGAGCCGTCAATTCGGAGATGAGGACATGCGCATGTCGGCATAGTGTGAGAACCAGGGAAGCGAATAGCGAAAACCTGCCGTTGTCTTGTCGTGCACGCTCCAAAGACGTTGGTCGGCTGCCGTGCCTGACCGCCTTGGTCATATTGATAGGATCATCGAAGGCGTGTACGGCTCCCAGCCAATCTATTAACCCTTCATCTCTTCCCCTCGTCACATCTTACTTCCGACTAGCGAGCAATGACTTCCAGCATAACCCTCAAAGGCGTTTATGTGGGCAACAAGCCTGTCATTGTGAAGAGGTATCTATATCGCCAATACAAGCAGATAACAGATGGTACCCAATGCTGGAGGGACAACTACCTTCTTGAGCGATGGGCGGATTCTCAACAGCCCGTGGTGTACTATGGACAGCATGTGAACGGATACAGGCTATTGAAGAGGCTGGGCGATTGGTGTTGGCTGGCCAGAAATACCAACAATAAGTGTGTGTATCTGTCCCCTTGGGCTGCAGAGAAGGCTAACGACCGGCGCCAGCGAGTTGTTGACCGTCAAGTTCATGGGGCGGAGCGAATCTCAGCAAGTCAAACGCGAATTAGCCATCAACCGATTTCTACGTTCGCGATGCCCCCAAAGTCCCCACCTATGCATCATCAAAGACAGCTTTGTCATAAAGCACCACCTGGCAAAATTGCACCCCTCATACAGGAAAGTCAGCTTTGACGCCATCGCCTACCCGCCGATGGGGACAGATCTTCAAGTGATAGATACTTCATCGGCCCGCAGCACCTCACTACTCCCTCTAAGCGTTGAAAGGCGAGTGCAATGCATCAAGGACATTGTTCGAGGGGTGGCCGAACTACACAGCCTGGGTATCGTGCATGCAGGTAATTCTACAGAGAGGGGTTCTTGAAGGAAGATTCTAACCAAACACAGATATCCATCCAGGGAATGTTGCACTACCACCGCCTCCAGTTGCAGACATGGAGGCCCTCCTTGAAGAGCCACATGTAGAACACTGGTTGGAACGTGAGGATGGAGCTCCAACACCTGGCTGCCTCCCCAAATCCGTCATCAAGCCAGTGGACTTGGGCTTCGGCGACGGGACATGCAGAGTCTTGGATTTCGGATACTCTTTCCGGCACAGAGAAGGTGCCGTGTACAAGGCAGACAGCTTCTCATATGGCGCGGAAAAAGCTATCGAGTTTGAGACGAGCGAAACGACAGACCAGCCCTTCAAGGTGGACAGTTGGTACATGGGGCAATTAGTATGTACACTCGACATACAACGCCGTCGCATATTGCCTGACATTCACTAGATCTATTTCATCTTGACCAATGGATGCGACTTTCTGGACAGGCGTCCCTCAAATCTCATGTCACACTGGGTAGACCGTATGGCTGTACTGGAGAATGGGGTGGACGAAATTTTTAATGAGGAGTTGCCATCACGCAGACATCAGCGCCATTTCCAGCCCATAATTCAACAGCTTATGCACGGCGACCCTAACCGCCGTCTTTCTGTTCAAGATGCCGTGGCTAGAATCGAGTCGTTTTGACTCGCTGAGTCTTCCGATGCGGAATTTAGATCATCTCTTTCTTGACCTTATTTGCACATTGTGATGCACTTGTCAGCTATTATAACTAGGGGAACATGGTTCTGAACAATCTCAATCTAATCACAGACACAAGAAAATATTAATATGCTGTACACATGGCATCTTACGCACCAGTATAAAGTATGCAGACGCGCTCAACTCCCGTGAGCCATACCGCATAAAGCAGCAAACCATGGCAATATATAACACACATTGACTTCTCAGAACTGCGGCTAAACGTACAGCGAAGCACAGCCTGACAAGGAAGAGAAACAATATATGAATGCAGCGATGTACTGTGCTGCCAAGAAACTAAAACGTCATTCCAGCGCAATCTACAAGGACATCCAAGTAATATTTCAAAACAGCAATATCAAGCTGACACTGGAATATATAGCGTCATTTAACTCCTGAATAATTCTTTTCTAGGCATCGCCATTGATCCCTCCATGATTGCCCGCCCAAATACAGTCGGTCTCGTGACCCTTTCGGTTCTATACGAATGACAAGTCAAATCAATAATGAAATACCGGCCAAGCTGACAAAACGAGTCGAGAACCTACCTCAACAATACCCCCGCCAAGCCGTCTCGAGGCCTCGTTTGCTCGGCAAACATTGTGGGACTGTACTAGATGTGTAGCAGCAACACCACAGTGTCCTTTGGCGCAACGATCCTGCGTTAGGAGACGCTCCGTTTCAGTTTAAATTTGCGCCTGCATATCTGGCTTTTTCTTCGTCTTTCTATCGGAGGGGCGTACCTTTTCCCAAATGCTATTCACGCCGTCTAATCCATCGTGTCGTGTTAGTTGATGCCTTGGTGCACGACCCCTCAAACGGCTTACATATGTGATCATACGGTGTGGCCCTTGCCGTCGAGACAAAGAAGATGGAGAGCATGCCTGCGCCTTGGTGGTCTTTCCTATCCGCGCTGATGCAGCTAGTCGGGCGCTCATCTTATGCTCGTGGTATGGCAGGCCAGGCGAATAGGGGTAGCAAATAAAACCCCACCAAATGCGTCTGGTTTACGAAGCACAGATGGCCTTATATTTCGAGCTGCCCTTGCTTATCTTCCTCTGGCTCTTCTTTCTTTTTTTCATACTCTCTAATCTCACAAGAATCTGTAACTTGATTTCATTCATGGCCAGTTATTTTTAGGATTGTTTTAGTGCGAATGTTCATCCCGTGCGACCTAATGAGCCGAAGCACGCTCTTCACAGCCCGATCAGGGCACAAACAGAGTCTATCGTGTTGCAAGGACCGGATCGGATTTCAAACGTCTCGGGCAGAGGCGGCCGGAATTTCTTCTGTCTACAGCGAATGTGGAGCCGCCATTTTGAAACCGGGTGATGGCTCAAATTGCAGCCATCTGATGACACTGTAATGCGGCTGCCGGGCCGTGCCGACCGGCACTTTTGTGGCACGACGCCAGCGATGCTGGGCCACTTGCCCTATTTGGAGTCGATAGCCTATTCGCCCTGTCTTTATCTGCCATCCCTTTAAGTGCGCTAAGGTGCTGTTCTTATAGAGAGTAAGGATATATATACACCAATTAAAAATCTTGAATCAAATGGCATAAATTTTCACTGTGTATTAGATTAATAATATAAATACAAGTTTTTTAAGTTTATATAAAGCTATATCACACTTATTATAGCCGTTGGTTAACTAAAAAGTACCTGTTAGGTATTGCATAAAAGGTGGGACAGTTACAAGAGCGGCACCTTTGTACTCAACGGGATAAGATGTCTCGAGTACTACCGAGCAACGTGAAACGCATCCTCGACAAAGCGTAATGGAAGGACTTCCATTCCAACAAGAGGAACGTGACGATGCGATACCGTCCGCACCTCATGCATACAGCTTCGGCGAAAAGGGGCCTTCAACTATCATGCCGGAGGAGAACAGCCTATCCCGAAGTTTGCTCAAGTAGTGATTTCTATTTTGACACGCGACAGCTTCCGCAACCCAGTCCTGCCGCCAGACTGTCGTGACCCCGCCTCATCCATCTTATCGTACAAAATTTTGACCTTGTCTTTGTCTAGTATACATTGCCCAACCCCGGCATCAAAAGAGTCGGCCGAAAACGCGGTCCAGCGATGCCACATCCAAAGCTCAAAACTAGAAAGAAACAACAACGCCAGAAACCATGCAAGTGTGCCCCGAATGTTGCAACCGCCCCGCTCTACTCATCGCGTCTTTCATCCACGGCCTGCCATTACCTTCGTTCGGACTGGACCAAAAGGAAAATCGCCTTGTCATCTGCCGCCGTCAGGGCCGTGCGGCCTGTCCTTGGCCGTCATCCCACCCACCCTCTCCGCCTGTCCCAGCTTCTCCAGCTCGCGCTGCCTCGACGCCCTCACCTCCTCCGGGAGCCCCCACCACTCGCGGAGGAACTCCTCCTGGGCCACGGCCATCTTGGCCTTGCGCTCGCGCTGCCGGTGCCGCTCCATCCGCATGGCGAACCACTCCTCGCGCGCGGCGTCGTGCTCCTCGGGCGTCGCGTGCAGCTTCATGCAGTTGTTCATGACGCGGTGTTCGGCCCGGCAGGCAAAGGACACGGTGAGGGTGCGGCCGAGGGCGCACGCGGCAAAGGCTAAAAATGTCAACCAGACGTTTAGTTGTTGTCTTTCAGCGAACCCCCTCCACCGGTGAGAAGGACTAATGCACGCACCTTTGATCTCTTCGGCACACTGGCTGCGAACCCGGGCGTAGTAAATGTCTCGTACTTGCGACTCTTGCGAGGCCGATAGCGGCAGGGGGTTTCTCGAGGGCACGCCGGCGCGTTGGTCCGGGACGTCGGGCTTGTCGGTGGCCATGGTCGTCATTTCGCTGCAATGTCTAGAGGAAGCCGGGGCGAGTTTTCGATGGTGGCTCTCTGACGCAGGGCGCAACCCTCGTCCCCGCAGTGAGGAAAGTCGGCTGAGCCCAGGTCCTGGGTGAGAATGGAGGTCCGGTGATTGGCAATGGGAGCCTGCCAGAGCGCAGACAGTCGACGGTCGGGCGATGGTCTGCTGGGTGGTGCAATCGCGCAGTGTTGGAGAAGCTTGATGCATCAGGCAATACTTTAACGAGCCGGCTCCACTAGAGGCTGGCAGAATCCACGCCACCGCCTTCCTATTATGATTGCCGACTTACACCGATTCGAGGCTGGCTGTCGACAAAGAACGTTGTGAAAGCTTATTTTAACTCGCGGACAAAAGACGTAGCGGTTTTTTGGAAAGATGTAATAATGGAGATGGAAAATTTATTTCCACGGTGCTCAAGTGTGGTGCCGTTAGGAGATGCTACGTATCGTGATTCGTTACATATTGCAATGTGAAATATTGCGGGGGATAACTGTGATCATTCATTATAGAAACATGGTATATAAAGCAAGACGCGAAGAATCCAATCCAATAGCCATCCAACTAACCAGGCCTCTTGGTCAGAAACGGCGCTACTGGACTGCTGCCGCAACTCGTCCAAATCACGCCCTCCAAACATGAACCATATTAAGTAAAAAGACACAAATGCCATGGTAACCTCTATAAACCTGAATTATCTAACCAACTACTGCGGATGCTGTTGCGGTTGGTGGTAATACTGCTGCTCCTGCTGAGGAGGCGGCGAGCTCGTCACCGGAGACGGAGAGTACGGCTGCTGGGGCAGCGGCGTGGCCGACAGCTCGCTCCCCTGCTGGACATGCTGCTGGTACGACGGATACGTCTGGCCGTACTGAGCATACTGCTGCGCGTCCTGGGGAGGCTGGTACGGCGGCTGCTGCTGGTACGGGCTCTGGGCAGGCTGGTACGGCGCCGGCGTCGGGTTCTGGCCCAGAGGAGACTGCTCGTGTTGGCCCGTCTGCTGCGGCTGAATGGGCTGCTGGTACGGTGTGTATTGCTGCTGCTGCTGCGGCTGCGTCACGGAAGCTCCCTGCTCAGCCTTGGGCTCCATCTGGTAGTTGTTGGAGCCGCCGCCGCCGCCGGGGGCGATGGGGAAGCGGCCTTCCTTGCGGCCGCGGAGGAACATGACAATGGTCCACACAAACGTGGCGATGAACATGAGCCTTGGAAGTCAGTATCCCGTGACGTCCGGGGCAAACAGGCGACACAACTCACCACAGGAGGGCGCCCAGCCCGGCAATGGAGCTCATCATCTCCCCGCCGCTCTTGAACAGAATGTCCCTCCGCTCCAGCTGGCGCCTCGTGAAGCAGGTCTTGCTGCCGATGATGCTGCCGTCGTCGATGCACCCGCCGACCTGGACGTTGAATTTGAAGGTGGCGCGGCGGGCGGCCACGGCGGCAAACGTAGCCAGCCACATGACGACGAGGAAGCCGTCGAGCACCATCACGGCCAGGACGTGGTACGCCGTCCGCCACGGGGGGATCTTTTCCGTAAACACGGCGTAGAAGAGAATACACCAGGTGAGGATGGCCTGCAAGGGATAGCGGTCAGGTTGCGCTTCGCTTTTCCCAACTGTGTGAGGACTCAGGGGGGGACGACTTACAGTAGCGACAGACAGCCCAAACTCGTCCAGGTACAGGTCGTGCATCAAGGCGCCCGCCAGGCCGAGGATGATGAGCGAAATGAGGAACTGGAGGCCCCGGACAATCATCATCCATATCGGCGTCTCGAGCACGTGGCTCGCCGGCTGTGGGTGGACTTGCTCCATGGCGAGCGAGACCGTGAGCAGTGCGACAAGAGTCAAGTACGATTCGGCAAGACGGTGCCTCCCAGACTTGAATCCCAGAATCGGGAGGAGAAAAATATCCAGCATACGCAGACTCTCGTCAGCCCGAGTGGCGTCCCTGTCCGCGACTTATATGCCCTCGTTGCTGCGTGCCCCAATCTCCCATTGTCAAGATGATCCTAGAATCCACCCCTGTTTTGTTTTTGAGCCTCAACAGCATACCGCTTGTTGCTGGCGCCTGAGAGAATCTGCCCCCTCAGGAAGGACGCCCAATGTCGGGAGAAATTTCAATATTGGTCAGCCCCGACATGGCTGCATGACTGCAAAAAGGATGCCAGGAAGCAAGCCCCTATCACTAGTTTGCCTCAGCCGCACCGCGCGCAAAGGGATGTGAGTGGACGCCGTGCGCCGGGCTGGCTCGTGCCGAAGCAGGCGTTATTTGGCTATTTATGTGCTCAATGTCATTTTTTTACGAGGCGCCGTTCTCTGCTTGGGCAGGGGGGCTTTTTCCGCACAAGTCGAGGCGAGGCGCGTTTTGGCGCAACACGCCATCGACACACAGTGCAGCCAACGGGGCGAGTTTATCGCGCCACGCGGAAGCGGACCACGGAATGGCGTCGGGTCTTTTTGCCTGACGGATACATATATACAACATGGCGCTGGGTGATGTTTTTTTTAACCTTGCTGGAATCTCGGCGCGAATTGGGCTGCGAGGCCGAGGTCCTTACGGGATCCTGTCACTTCAGTTTCGGCCAACACTTGGAGTAGGAAACAACAATGATTGCAAGGAAATGGACGCTGATAATGGCGGATCTCTTTCCGCAGTGCCTGACTCTAGTGCTGACGGGGACCCTGTCTCCAGCTCTGCTGCCGAAACGGAGCAGAGTGCACATGCATGTGCTGGCAGATGAGTCTCGCGACCCTGGTCCTGACTCCTGACTGACTCCTCACGAAGCTGAGCTCAATGCTGGGTCCGCATGCAATTAGGGTCAACTGGTGTGTGCGAGCTGCCGCTTGCTTTCTCGCCGTCACCGCTTACTCTGTACGCCGCATCTGTCTCCGGTAGTACTCTGTACAGAGTATGCCAAAACATTCTAGACCCCGTCCCTTTTCCCCTATTGTCCAGCATCCCGAGCCGGTAAGGCGAACCGCGGGTGTTGGGCTGACTCGGCAGTGGGCTGAGATGCAGGGCGCCATCAGCCCCAAGCTACCCCTGCTCTGCTCACGTCTCGTCCGCTTCTAAACCTCGTCAATCTTCTCATTGGGGCCGGCAATCAGGATCTTGATGACCTCGCCCTCCTTGACCTTCTTAAACGCCTCTTCCGCCCGATCAAACGGCACGACCTCGCTGACGAGCTGCTTGACGTCGACCTTGCCGCTGGCAACAAGCTCAACAGCCAGCTCGTAGTCGCCAGGGCCGTAGCGGAAGGACCCCCGCGCCGTAACCTCCTTCAGACACATAGCCATAATGGGGAAGTTGACGTCGGGCTTGCCCATGCCGCCCTGGACATAGGTGCCGCCGACGCGGACGGCATGCAGGCCCGTCTGGATAGAAGGCTCAGCGCCGCTGGCATCGATGACGGCGTCAGCGCCCCGCGGAATGCCCGCCAGCTCCCGGATATCCCGGGCGTTATCCTCGGGCGCGCCCCCCCGCGAGAGGAAGGTGTGCGTCGAGGCGAAGCGGCGCGCAAAGTCGAGCTTGGACGGGACGATGTCGACGCTGACGACCTTGGAGGCGCCGTAGGCCCGGGCGACAGCGGCGCACAGCAGGCCGACGGGCCCGGCGCCCATGGACCATGGCGTCGCAGAGGTTGTACCTGCCGGCGCGGCAGTCCGGGCACCGCCGGCACGCGGAGCCCGGCTCGATGGCGACGCGGTCCCCGGGCGCGAGGTGCGTCACTTGGCTGCCGGCCTCGACGACGGTGCCGGCCGACTCGTGGCCCAGCACCATGGGGTCCTTGACGACAAAGTGGCCGATGGCGCCGTGGCTCCAGTAGTGCACGTCGGAGCCGCAGATGCCCGTGTAGTTGACGGCGACGATGACATCGTGGGGTGAGGAGAGGGTCGGCTTGGGCCGCTCCGCGTACGAGACTTGGTATGGCTTGTCGAGGATGAAGGAGAGGTTCTGCTACGGTGTCAGTTGGGCTGCATGACGGGGGGGAGGCGTCGTACGCTGATTTCATCTCGGTTCAGTGCTTGCGTGGCCATGTTGACGGGCGTTGGCGCTCCGAAGGCCGGCTTGCTTGGGGGTCTGGTGTTGCAGCAGAAAAAGTGAGGGCGCTTGAATCCGAGGTGGCGGGGTAAAAAGAAGGACGGTGAGGAGCGTCGAGCAAGAATGGCGAATCGACACGGCGGTCGCACACACTACAGCCAGAAGTAAGAGCAGAAATCGACAAGAGTGAAATGCAATTTAAAAAAAAAAAACGTCAGGGCAAGTTTCTGAATAAATAGCCGCCTCGGGCCACGATGCGATGATGCCCCGACGTGGGCGCCTCCCCGCAAATCTGGGGCAGGGGAGCTCCAGAGCTGGTCCCTTTAGCCATCTTATCCGGCCCAATGAGGTGTCGCGTCCACTGGAAACGCCCGCCGTTGACATGAAGCTGTGGTGGATTCCGTCGGGGAATTCGGAGGCGCGGCCGGGGTCATGCGGGCAGCCTCAAGTCAATCGCCGTGCATGTACTCCGTATACTTGGCTATAATAATGGCTACTAGGTATTTGAGATGTGTCCATCATGGATCAGTTCATCTGCGCTGGAGTAGTACTTTTTTCTTCCTCTATTTTTTCCCGTCTACTGCCACCGGAGATATTCCAGATAAGCTTCATTGTTGGTATTTAACCGGCGGTTAAATGGCACCAGACGTAACCGGAGCCAGCCGAAGGCATCGGCAGACAAATGCTTAAAAAGACACCAGACATCAATACAATTAACCCTTTCCACTACTCGCGCCTACATTCACCGCATCACCACCAGCAGTGCCCAACGCCCAACGCAACCCAGACAGCATTGACCAGCGTGCCACCAAGAGCGCCACCGCAAGCACAGTCTGGACTCGACTCCCACCCACGATTCCACGAACCATGACTGGTCCGCTACGGTGGCAAAAAGTATACACGACAGGCCAGGTCACGTCACATGCCACACAGTCACACCAGGTATTTCGCCACGGTACAAAAACAAAGGTTCGTGAGTTTCGTCATTCATCCGAGGTAGCTAGCGTCGTCAAAACACAGTCATATAATACATTGATGGCTCTCACAGCCCCCATCCCCCGCATCCCCGCGCAATCCCCCTATCGCAAATAGTGCTGCTCCTGCGCACTGATCGAGTGCCTCCGCCACTTACTATCCCGGGGATACTTGTGCTCAATGGTCGGCGGGCCGAGGTGCTGGCTCAGCACCGACGGCGGCGAGTGCGCGGCGTCGAGGACGTCGTGCTTGGCGGGGGGGCTGGCGCCCGTCGATGGCGACGTCGATGTCGAGCTGGCAGCCGAGTCAGCGCGGGTCCTCGTCTCCGGCCATCTCACGTACCTTGAGCCCTTGAACTGCACGCGCGGCGAGGACTGGATCTCGCGCGGCGCCGAGCCGGACGCGGCCTCGGGGCGGGCGAGCGGGATCGCCGGCCGGGCGTCGTTGCCCAGCGTCTCCTTGAGCTTGCCCATGAGCTTGGAGGTCATTGTGCGTGTGCGGGTGAAATATGAGCTGCTTGCTGGCTTGTGTAGTGAATAACGGCCGTGTTTACAGATGGACGAGGTTGGACGTGGTGAGGTGATGGGTGACTTATACGAGGGAGGGTTGACACCCGGCTGCCTGGTCGCGTCTTATATACCCCAGCCCGTGGTTCGGATGGCTCCCGGACTCCGGGGGGCGCAGTCCCCATCAATCGTGGGAGCTATCCCAATCTGGCCAATACCTAGGTGGCGTAGACCACCGAGGAAAGGGTTTCAACTTGTGCGTGGCACCAGACTTGCTCGCCCGCTTTTCTCCCACGGCAAAGCCTCGACTCTCGGCCAAGGCTGGCAGTGCAGCTAGACGCTGTGTTGCCTATTCCTCCCTCTTGGTCGTTCAATATTCAGTCCTGGTCCTCACCAAGACCGGAGCGTCGTCGCGTCGTTGCTCCGTCGCTCTGGCCGATGTTGGAGGCCGTCGGAGCGGGTTGTGACACCTCGCGCCTCTGTCGATGGCATGTACTTCCATGATACAGTCCATTGATGCAGGTCTCGTGCGACCCTCCCCCCGTCATCCCGGCCTGCCGATGCTCCATGCTGTACGGAGTGCTGACCGTGCCATCCGGCCACTCTAAACATAAGGTTTGCCCGAATCTGGCGACTACGCCTCGCTGCGCGGGGCCCGTACGGTCCTGTCTGAGCAGACGGCAGGCTTGTTAAGTTGTTTCTGCCCGGTGCCGTCACATCGCTGGTACGTAATACAATGTGGCATTTGTTCGTTCTGGGTCCCTCGCCGCTTTTGGCGCCAGCCATCGTGGCTCTGCTCTGCTCGGGACAGCATGCGCAGGCCACGGCGGGAACTTTTTGTTGCCCCATCTAGCTTATCTACGCCCCGACGGCTCCTCTGCCCGTTCGTGTCGTTCGCTGCCTTGGGTCCTTGTTCGGCACTTGCACCAGATGAACATGGGGGGCCTGGGCTCGAGATGCGTCATGGGGGCGCGCTACGAGCTGACGTACCGCCGGTCTTGGCGTGATGAGTCGATTCCGCGATAGACGAGGCCGCGACATGTGGTTTCGGCGTCTTGGCGATGCGTGATGTGTCTCATTCCCTGTTTACGTGTGGGGTGCTCCTGGTGCCGAGGCGAACATCAGGGGTCCAACTTTGTCTCTGATCCTTTGTTCAATGTTTTTTTGAGTTTTGCAAAAGCCTCTGACGAGCGCCTAGGCACCGGGGGCTCGGTGTAAGTCCAGGTGACATCACTTCTTTGGCACAGCGTTCTGTTGAAGGTACCGAGGATGCGGTGTTGAACTGCCGCTTACAAATTACACGCCTGCTCTTGTCTAGTATACTGTCTGGTCAACTGGAATGAATTGAGCCGTTTGATAGAAAGGGGCTAGTATAACAAAAAAGAAACAAAAGGCACACCACGGGAGCTTCAACCCCCGCACGCATAGTATCCGCCGGAATATGCCGAGCACTCGAGACGTAGATTGAGCTTCAGCGGTACTTGGCACCACGTCCTTGAATTCAAAAGAGGAGGGGCATGCATGCGATGTGGCATACCGAGTACATCCCATGCAAATGGGCATTCTACTCTGCCCGACTTCTCCCATTTTCTTTTGTCAGCTACATGTAATTGGGACCAGCTCCCGTCCCGTGCCGGCAAGACGTCGGCATGGCGTCAACCTGAGGTTCCGGCAGGGCCAAATCTTGACAAAGAATGCCATCCCCCGGTGCGAGTAAAGCATCAGGCGCGCATATATAGACATGGCTGTCTATTCGACGTCCCGTGTCTGTGGCGGGCTTGCGTACGGGGTACAGCATTGCACGCAGACACGGATAAGACCGCGACGGCGTTTCCGCTGCAGAGCATGCATTGTGCTGAAATAGCCCAGTTGAGTAAATGATTGGCGGCGAATATCTAGAGCCCGCGCCCTGAACTATTCCACGCGCTGCCATTGCCAGCCACGCGGTTGAACGTATGCACCTTGCCCGGTTCACGACAGTCAGTAGACGATTTTAGGCTCGCTGTCAAACCGTATTCATTCGACGCGTGTCAAAGTTAGTCCCCTCGGCTCTAGTCCGTATGCTCGATGCCGTTTCCGGTGACGCCCAGGGTTAAGCCTCCCCGCCACCACGATACACTCTGGCCTCGTCGAACCCTCCTGTTCCTCACTCAGTCATTGCCCCGAATGCCATCATCACACGACACAGTTCCTGTCCGGGCGGAATCAAAACATGCTCCAGTCCGAGTTCGACCTCCCACAGCCACATTCTGCCCGCAGAGATACTCAGCCCTGCTGCCACCCCGATCTCGGCCACCCGCGGTAGCCGCGGCCGACCGATTATGAGAACTGACGTAGAGTCGCCGTCTCATATCATTCGCTCGCCACCAAAACAACCTGATTTGGCAAGTCGTGGCTATGCGGGACGTAGGACGGGGACTGGCCGGCGACGACGTCACGGCTGGGCCTCTTTCCGGCGCTTCAACCATCCCCACTTGGGAACCTAAAGCCGTCTTTACGTTGCGAGTTATATCAGGGAAAAGAGAATAGAAAAAGAAAAACTGCCTATCAAGCACGTTATCTCCTACGCATACTCTTCCATCTCTCCCCTTGCGGCTTCAATCTTCTCCTCTGGCACGGATGCCGTCAGACCCAGGGTAGCCGCGATACCAAACAGCCTCATCTTTTCTTCGTGGGCGGCCGTGTCTCCAAATGCGATATCCATATCTTCGAGACTCTTTCCCTTTGTTTCCGGGATGACAAAGTACGTGAACGCCAGGGCTATGAGGCAGAAGCACGCAAAGAAGATGTATGTCCCCCACGTGATCTTGTCCAGCATGTCCGGCGTCACGAGGCCGATGATAAAGTTGCACATCCACGTGGCGCTCGTTGTAATCGCCATGGCCTTGGACCGGCTGCCGAGGTTGAAAATCTCAGACGGCAGGACCCAGCCGATGGGCGCAAAGGAATACGAAAAGTTAATGTCGTAGATGTAGATGAATGCGATGCCCGTCCAGGCCGCTGCTTTGTGCGACTGGAGATCGGGGCCGTACGCGCCGACGACTGCGCCGACAATGACGAGAGACACAAATGTTCCAAAGGCTCCGCACATGAGTAGAGGTCGCCTACCCACCTTGTCGATAAGGAACACGGCCGGCAAAGTGGACAATGTGTTGACGATGCCGTAGACGCCCGTTGCCAGCAGCGAGGTCGTGTTCCCCGACAGTCCTAATTGCCCGAATATGGTGGGCGCGTAGTAAATCAACGCGTTGCAGCCCATGAATTGTTGAAGGAACATGGTCCCAGAGCCTACGAGCAGTCGCTTCAGGTTTGGCCATGTGGAAACAAGGGATGCGTATTGTGATAGGTAGAGAGAAACACCGTGCTGGCCGGGGAATTTGTCCCGTGCCACAGATTCATCAAAAAGAACCTCTGCCTTGATTGCCAGATATTCCTCACGTAGGGTATCCGAATCCGGGTGGACGCGTCGGAGCTGGCCCAGCGCACCGAGAGCCCTCTCTTCGCTCTTACGCATGAGGTAGAACCGAGGCGATTCCGGGAAGAAGATCATGCCCACGCCCAGGATGAAAGCAGGCACGATTTGCAGCGCAAACGGAACTCTCCATGCTGCTTCGCTTTGGCCGGTACACCCGTCTGGGCCGACGTCGTGTCTGGGGTCAAATGCGCGGTTCGACTCGGTGCCGCCCGTGTAAGGGATATCAGGCGCACATCGTGTCCCGCCAATGTACTGCGTGCCGTATTCCAGCCAGTAACTGACAAGAATACCAAGCGTGATGCTCACTGTAGACGCTCCATCAGCATTTCGCAACCAAGGTTCTCGAGAATACCGTCGTTGGACTTACACTGCTGGAGGACAACCAAGGTGCCTCGAATGCCTGGGGTTGAAACCTCCGACATGTACATGGGCACAATCATGGTCAGCATGCCTACTGAAAATCCTGCAATTGCACGACCTGTCCAAAAAAGTGGTCAGTGTCACATCATCCACATGACGACGAACCAATCATTCTCACCTGCAAACAAAACGCCAATGGATCGGGCACCGGCTTGGAGACCCGACCCCAAGACAAAGACAACCACGGCCGCCAGCATTGATCCCTTGCGGCCAAACCGGTCTGCAATCGGACCGTTGACCAATGACCCCAGCCACGCGGCAAGCAAAAGCGTGGACACGAACCAGCCCTTGAATCCACTATCAAGATATACTCGCGGGAATTCTGCGCCAAAAGATTCCATTTTCAGAACCCCAGAAACTACACCTTGGTCATAGCCGAAGAGGAACCCTCCCAACGAGGCGAACTAAGTCATTTATCAGTCAAGGAATCGCAAAAGTATCTCAAGGAAAAAAAAAGAAGCACTTACAGCAGACAAACCAAAAATGTATGGATTGTCGCGCAGTTGGCGCCAGACACCCGCCGAGGTGCTTGTGTCAACGAGCCGAGACATTATAGGCACAAGCAGTAGTCACCATGAACTGCGCCACGTGTTCTGGGGTATATCCCACAAGAGATGAAAAAAGAGAGAGATAATACCACGCAGGGAACTATATATTCAAATGTGTCACTCCAGTAGTCGGCCAAGAAGAGCCTGAACGTCACTGCTCCGGACGGGGTAATGCCGCTAGAATGCGCGGGGGACGAACTTTGCGGGGAAGTTCGGACAACTCTACTCCGGCCCGAAGAAGCAGCAAATCGTCATCGGGGGATTTGTGCCCTAGATGATCTCCAACGGCCCGGTGGAGAAGGTTTACTTGAACCCCCACGCATCTTCAACGCACACATGCAGTATTCTAAATATCAGCGAGTGCAGTGTCGGGCGTTTGCGATCCGACAGACGCAAGGGCAATAGTAGGCGAAGTAGCAAAGATGGTTGGGGACGTGCTGCGCTACACGCCCTGGCCAAAATCAGTCCATCCCAACGAATTGAAAACATCCGCAGGGTCCATTGGCCAGGAAGAAAAGTCGAGCTCGTCCCGGTACAAAAATTCGTCGCTAATGACGGGGCTTGCCGTCTGTTCTGGCTGCGGCGGCACAATCAGGCCTAGGATGTCGGCACACCGAGAAGCAAGGGGGTTGCTCGTCAACATGGTCCGAAAGGTGTGGTTCGCCGTGTCGACGTCTGCTTGCCATGCCGCGGTCTCGGGAGATTCCAAATCTCCCAGAATCGCAAGAGCGCTGATCAATGACGCGTGAAACAAAAAGTATCTGCCCACTAGATTAGCGCACAAGGCACTTTTTTTTTCGTGATTTCCTGAGAGGCTGATACTCACGTGGCATACCAGTTGATTAATCGAGTCATTGGTGTCTGCGTGAGAAACTGACTTATTGACACGATTGTCGAGTTGGCTGCCTGGACAGCCAAGTCCCTGCACCTATTATCGGGGTCGGTTGACGTCGTCACAAGATTGTCTCGCTTCCTTTTCATGGCGCGGCTCAAAACAATCTGTCTGAACAGAATGATTCTCAAATTCCATATGCGCCACCACAACCGAGACCTGGCGAATAGGTAAGACGGCTCCAAGCTGACAGGGTCCTGCGTCATCTTGAAATATGCAGGCAGAGTCTCGCACCACGTCTCAAGAGAGTGGTTCAGCCGCAAGGCCTCCTCCGGGGATATTCCAGAAGTCGCAAGGAGCCTGTTGGAAATGTGATTCGAATAAAGGTGGAAGTCGCTTTGGGACTTCATGCCAGAATACCTGGTTGGTTGGTTGGACTCCTCTGGCAGGTCCACGGTCCGGGGAGTTAATTGCTACGACTTGTCAGCTTCCAGCATAACCTCGTCAACGAGTTCTCCATTACCCACCTCATCATGAATGTTGAGAACATGTTTCACGTCCATGGCTTCGCCTTCGGGGAGAAGAATCGGCCTGCCAAAGGTTGTTGATGCGCCACTGTCAAAGAGAAATAGCCCCCACCAAACGCGGCGCCTCATTTCTCTCTGGAGAAGGCTAATGTTCCAGTCTGGCAACTCACGATGCAGCCCTAGACTCAGGGCCATTCGAGTCGCCAAGCCGAGAAAGTTTCCTCCTGTATTCGGCTTGTTCCGCTTTTGGCTCAAGTTGGACAACAACAGCAAGGCCTGGACCAGGGTCAGGTTTGCGCTTTCGAACAAGGACTCATCCTCACGGAACGAAAGAGCGCGGTGGTACAGATAGTCATCAACTTCACTTTCTTCATTGTCGAGACACCACGCTCCCAGGGCCAGAACGGTATGGAGTAGCATTTGCCAAGATTGCCGGTTCGGCCGGGAGATAAGTTGGTGATACTGGGCCATGAAAGTGGCTTCGTGGATAAAGGGGTATGAGACATGGTACACGGAGAAGTAGGCATCAAGAAGCTGGTTCGCCATGTGGCCAGAGTCGAGCGATTGTTGAATATGCGATGACGACGTTGGTGACGGCTTGAAGTGTTGGGGCGAAGATGTTGCAGGCTGGAAAGGGTCCGATACGGCTCGTCTACCAGCAATCCAAGACAGTAAAGCCCGGAGGAAGTACACTCCGGCAGTAGATCCTACGCAGACATGTGAGCTTCCGAGGGCATTTGTTTTTTTAACGCAAAATCACCCACCTAAATACCCGGTGCCAGTGGGCTCTACGGCCAACGCCGCCATGCCATCAACCAGGTCATTCGCCTCTTCTTGCCAGTCAAATCCATCCGCTTGCTCAGGGACAGCCTCCGATATCGACTCCTGCGCAGGCTGCTCCTTGCTACTTGAAACGAGTCCCGTAGTGCTGTGCTGGCGGTGATCCGACGGGAACGCGAGCGTCTTAACCTGCACCGGTGGCGTAGCCGGAGAGCTGGTGGCAATAGCAGCGAGTGCTTCATCAACATCCAAATCGGGTAGTTTCTGTGCCACCAGCTTCTCCAAATAGTTGAGCCGTCTTTCCACGGAAGTAAGATACCTAGGAGATTGTCAAAAAAAAAACACCATGGCTTCGGGAGTTGTGTCTGTGAGACCTACTGTCTGGTGAGTGGCGACCGTACCACTTTTCCACTGTAATGGCATTGTCTGCGGTTTTGCACGCAAGCCGTGCACGCCGGGCGATCTTTGGAACACTTTGAGATGCCTCAGCTACTCCATTACTCTCCCAATGTAGGCAGAGGCAGCAGAGTCTTATACGCACCTTCAACTTCTTGATCCGACAGACGTCGCACTGTGGAGGGGGTCAGCCGTTTGCGAGAGACATGCGGGCGTCTGGGTCAAACTCACAGCAAGGTTGCTGCCAGAAGCGGAGCTCGATTCCATCTAGAAGACAATTCATGAGTTCCGCAGCGCCTCACGCATTTGATGAGCTGGGCCTCAACGGGATTCGCGGCGAGGTTGTGAGATGGCCACATCAGGATGCGGCGGGGCGGCTTGACGAAAAACCATCACGTGGGACAAATTGCGCAGCGAAAAAACAAGCAAAGCAGCAGCGCATGAGTTTATAGTGTATTTCCGAGCAGACGCATTCCAGGCATTGCGTGAATGAACGGCCATGCTCCCGTATATCTGCGTAGGTGTATTTATTTCAAATGCCGAGATGAACGCCATGGCTGGATAGGCACATACAAACCACTTGCCGACTCGTCCCACGACCCTGAGCCTCGTCACAAAAAGGAACGCAAGAGATTCGTCCTGACGGTAAATCAACCAACCACTTCTCTGAGAAGCTCCCGGCCCCGATAAAAAAAATTAACAGAGTGATAACAAGTTGAATAAGCAAAAATTAAAGTTCATGACACCTGAGGGATTCGAACCCTCGCCTATTACTAGACCGCGAATAAGCCCAGTCGAACGAATCGACTCAACCTGAACACGGCGCCTTAGACCACTCGGCCAAAGTGCCTTGGATGCTTTGCTTGTGGATCGACGGCCTCGTTAACCATCTCAAGAATGCATCCCATCGAGCCACTTGCCATTTTTTGCGGTTGGTGGGTACGGGGAGTTGGAAGCTGCTGGTGGACGACAACGATGCACTAGCCTGGAAGTGGTTGTTGATGTGAGAAAATTCCCCACGGCTCCCCACCAATTTCCTTGTTGGGTACTTACACAGAGTATTTGCAGGTTTGCAGAATACAGGGTAGTAGAACGACGATGGAGATATTACCGCCCGTCGCCTCGGATAGAAATTCGGTCTTTCATGCTCATGGGCTTTTCTCTGGGGTTTTACCCAAGGCGGTATGGTAACTTGTATAAACTGCCCTTTTCTCGTCCTCTCAAAGCTTTGGCGGAGAGGGGAACGGCAATGAGAGACGGCATGTCAGTCAGTTCTGGAATAGATCCATAACCAGGTGAATATAAAAGATGCGGCGACGGCCAGTCTAGACACACAGAATAAATCTATTGTTGCACAGAAACGTAAATTTGTTCATCTGATACGACCAGTCATTCCCATCCCAGACGCTAGACACACACACACACAATGTCCTGCGACGAGCACAACGGCCCCTTCCCAACCGAGGCGGGCAAAACCCTTGCATCCGTCTACGCCAACGACCCGTCCACGACGGGCGCCCTTCTCCAGTCCATTATCGAGCGCGATGGCGCCGTCATAGTCAGGGGCCTCGTGCCGCAAGAGCTCTGCGAACGCATCAGAAAGGACCTCAAGCCCCAGTTCGACTCGGACCGCGTCGACGAGTCCGGTTTCTTCCCGACAACCACGAAGCGAGCTCACGGCATCTTGGCGTACTCGGATGCCACGGCAGAGCTGCTTGTGAATCCGTTGTTCCAGACCGTCGCCAGCGGCATGCTGACGAGCAGGTACACCTACTGGGAGGGCCAGGGAAAGAAGACCGTCTCGGCCAAGCCGCAGATTGCCAGCATCGTCGGGTTCCGCGTCCAGCCTGGCGGTACGCAGCAGGCCCTGCATCGAGACGACTCCGACTACCACACTCGGAACTGCGACATGCCCGTCATGCTGGGCTGCGTGACTGTAAGCGAAAACATCAAAACCTCGGGTAATCAGTTTGCTCTGTGTGGCCAGACCTGACCGTTGTTGCGTTGCAGGCCTTGACAAAGACAACCAAGGAAAACGGGGCGACCATCGTCATCCCCAAGAGTCACTTGTGGGGGCCGGACAGGATGCCCCTCAACGAAGAAGCCATCCCTGCGGAGCTTGAGGTAGGTGATGCCACAGTTTTCGTGGGAAATGTGTATCATGCCGGTGGGGCAAATGTGACCAAGTAAGCTTTTTTCTTGTTCTGAGACCCTTCCTTCGGCAAGGTCATCCGCCATGGATTCTGTGGTAGCTGACTCATTGTGTCTTTGAAACAGGGATGATGCGCGCGAAACCATCGGCATGTTTCTGTGCAAGGGCACCCTCCGCCAGGAAGAAAACTCCTACCTCGAAGTGCCGCCCGAGTTGGCAAAGAAGAGAGGTCTCTCGCCCCAGGTTTTGCGACTGCTGGGATACGGCATTGCCCCGCCGGCGCTTGGATTGTACAAATATCAGGATCCGATGAGGGTTATTTTCGGCGTGGAAGATGAGGAGACGGTGAGGAAGTAAAGCGTGTCGGTAATCGATGGGCGTTTCCCCCGTTGATAGAAGAAATAAAAAAAAAATTGTATCCTGCCATGCAGTGTTTTGTGCAATTCACACAGGAAGGACCTGGTATCCGTTTTCTTGGAATTGCTGAGCCAGCGGTCGCCAGTCTGGATTTGCGCCGCCCCAAAACACGCCCAAAAAGTTGAGAATGTCGGCGTGGTTCTTAAAGCCCGTCGTCTTGATAATCCCCGTCAGCAAATTGGTGACGGCTCGCTGCTTCACAACATCGTCGTGGCATTCGGCGCCGGCAATGAAGGCAGGCCAGGGTAGATTCTGGGCGCATAGCGCGGGATCCTCCAAGGTGCCGAGCTGCTCGAATAGCTTTTCCACCGATGCCCTCCAGTCCATGTTGCCGTCGTGTGCGTATCCCAAGCAGCGGTAAGAATACAAAACAGCCGTATGGTGATAAATGTCGACGAGCCGTACAAAGTCGCGCCGGAGAATGGCTGGTTCGATTCTTAGCTTCGCTGCGGCGAGAAGCGTTGTGCCTCGCGCCTGTTCGAACTGGCACCGAATGCGCGTGGCGTCGGGAAAGTTGCCCGGCGTCAAGGCATTGGCCTCCAGACCGAAGGCGGCGCGACGAGACAGAAGCGTGACAAAGTGTAGCAGAGAGAGGTATTGTGAGAAGAGACCACGCTCGGTGCCAGGCAGGGGGAGCACGGTCTCTTGGATGTCTTGGAGGTTGAAGGACGTGGTAGATGCCAGCACATCGTAGATGGCGAGTTGGGTGCGCAGAAAGCGGAAGAGGCCTCTGTTGCTCGCTTCCTTGGTAGTAAAGACGTTGACCAGAGTCCTCGCGGCGCGTCTGTGTCCTTCGGCCGCGGCAATCTGCGAATTGGTCATTTCGTAGCACGAAATCATCATAATGGAGGCCAAAATCCACTCGGCCTCGGCAATGTCGGTGCCAGTATTCAGCTCAGAACCGTCGGCCAGCCGCCCCGTCATGTTCTGAACGTGGCGAGTAATCAAGCCGAGACAAGCGTCCCTGGCAGCCTCGGGAAAGCGAGGCATGCCCAGGGAAAAGGACGTCGCACCGTGATGGGCGGCGATGGCAGCAACAGCGTATAGCACGGCCGGCGTGTTCGTGGCCAGGGGCAGCACACGTCGTCGGTAGTCGTTTTCCTCCGAGTCAAACCACACCATCAGCCCAGCCAGATTCTTGTCGAAGTAGTCGATGAATTTGGGCAACGAGCTGCGCAGGGTAAGATCCAGCAGCACGGGCACGCACACGGGCGACGAGCCGACATGGCGCTGAGCCTCGTCAACATCGCCAGCCTCGTCCTTTGACGCCGTCGCAGACACATGGCGCGTCGTCGGCTGCCGTGTATTCGTCGAGCCGCCGGTCTGGGGCAGCGGAATCATCTTGCCCTTCAACTTGCCTCGCACAGCAACGCCGCCTGCCCAACGCAGCCGCTGGCCGTAGCCGGGACACTCGAGTCCACGCTTCACGCATTTCTGGCAAACTGGCCGTGCCAAATCGCATCGGATGCGACGTTTGGTGCAGGTACCGCAGCCCTCTGATTGGTGGTCCCAGTGAGCATGCTGGCCTCGAAATCGACACGCAAAGACAAATGAACAAGAGGTTGAAAGACTTACTTTCAGGCGCGGCATTGGGGTCCCTCGACACCATTAGGGCGGTGAGACAGACATGTGCACCGATCGATGTGTACACCCGGGCTCAGGCGATGTCTCACCAGGTCACAGAGAAAAAGAAGCGCTGGCAATCAGCAGCGTCACAGGTGGTTTTAAAGGGCTCCGCAATGGTTGCCGCATTGTGAAGCCGCCGTCGGCCAACTTTCAGATGCGACATGGATCGACCGCTCAGGCGCGGCCATGAATAATCAAGTCCGGGTGGGTGGCGGCAGAATCCTTGGCATGACCCGACTCTGGGTTTAGCCTTGATATTGCGGTGAGACAGGCGCAAGAGAGTCCAAAAAAAAAAACCGACTTCACATCAAGTTTTGATCACGACTCTTCAACACAATACGGAGTACCTGCAGCCGCCGACTGACGTCGCCCAAAGAACCTCCTCCATGTGCTTCATCTCCGTCCGCTGTGCAACTTGAAAAGATGAGACGTCCCATTTTGTCAAGCGTTGCATTTGCCACGCTTGTTGCCGTATACGCCTGTCACGCAATCAATTCCTCGCCTGCCCATCTTCCCTCCTCCCGCTCAACACATATTGAACAAGCAGCATCGCCGTGGTTCACCAAACAATGTAGCTCAGCCCGTGAATAATAGCCTGCACATCCAACCCCCCCAATGATACACACCATCGTGCGCAATCAACCCGCTCCTGCTGCATCTCTGTCGACCATGCCCTCTCTGCATCTCCGGCAGTTCATCCTACGTTTGTACTTGCCTGCTGCTCGCGGTGGTGCACCGTAAATGTCTCCCTCTGGGCCGCTTCCTCACCAAGCCGTCAACACCAAGCGTGCTTCAAGACAACAGACGAGCAAAAGAAAAAGACAATGTCTACGAAAAAAACGGCAGATCCTCTGTCTATGGAAGAGGCTGCAGCCCCTCAGTCTACGGAACAAACTGCAGATCCTCTGTCTTTGACTTCAATTCTTTTGCCTACGGAAGATACTGTAGCCCCTCAGTCTACGGCACGAACTGCAGATCCTCTGTCTTTGGCTGCAATTCTTTCGCCTACGGAACAAACTGCAGATCCTCTGTCTTTGACTGGAATTCTTTTGTCTACGGAAGATACTGTAGCCCCTCAGTCTACGGCACGAACTGCAAATCCTCTCTTTTGGCTGCTCCAGCTGGAAGCTCTACTCTGTGAGCGCTTCAGAGAGCTCGGGCATCAATTCGCACAGGTCCGGGAGGAGATTGTCACCCATGTGGCAAACGTGATTGCGGATTCGGCCGAGCAGGACGCATGGGACGCCCGCAAGTTCACTTGGCTGATGCTCCGGGAATGGCAGGACAACGGTGAGTTGCCCCCAAGCTGTAGGGGTGACGTCGAGTTTGCGTCCCATGACAACCAACCCGGGGTGGCTGACGACAACGTCAAACAGCCCTCACCGACAAGGTATTCCCCGAAGAGCCGCCACCGCAGGACCTCTACCGTATAGACGTGTCCAGGATCGAGTCCCTCCGCTACCTGCCCAGAGATAGCTGCCTCCGCCCGTGGGACCACGCCTGCCTGTGCGCCGCGGAGCTCTGCAACACCATCCGCCTGGCCGTCGACACGAACGTCGTCCTGTTCCAAGACGTCCTCGAGGCGAAGCGGATAAGGCGTCCCGTCGGAGCTCCGCCCCGGGACGCCGCCGCCGTGGGCCAGTCGAGGGCCGAGGAGCCCCTGGTAGAGGGCGACTTTCTCTGCTGGTCCGACTATCTGGATCGGCTGGAGAGCGAGCTTCTCAGGGCGCGACAGGCGATTACGGCAGTCAAAAGGCAGAATCTCGAAATGGCTAGTAGATTGTCCGAGACGCAGGCTGAACTCAGCCAGGCCCGAAGATCCTTGGGTTTATGACCAACCTCGTGAGGAGCGAGAATATTCAGCAGCCTAGGCTGGGGCCGCTCGGTGCCTTGCTACTCTTATTTTTGTTGATTTTCTTCTTCTTGTCAGCGTTAGTTCAAACAGGACTTGAAAGCGATAGGCAAAGCCAGGTAGAGTGTAGGGTTAAAGAACAAAAGAGTTTTGTATCACCATAAAAAGCTCCTAATCTTGCCAGCATGTAATAAGACACAGTCGCCGAGCCCCCCGTCTGGTAGCACGTCGCATCTATATCCAACCGGCCATGTGATGGAATTGATTCATAATGGTCTCATTAAAGTATTATCAGAGCTAAATATCAGGTTATATACACCCCGCATTCTCGTGACATCATAGCAACATAGGAAATATGCAGTACAGCTCATTAGTCGCTTCCAAATCTCTTACAGTTTTCTTCTCTCCCAAAGACAAAAAAAAAGAAGGAGGGTCATTCAAACGAGAGAATTTCCAGCAGAATCAAAAGACATCTAATGTAACCGCTCCTTAATGTACACCGTTGCCGCCAGCCCGGCGCAGCACCTCGTGCTCATCTCATGCCTGCACCATGAACACTTGACTGCCGTCGACAAGGCGCCGGCATATCCGTACTTGTCGACGGGACTCAGAACACTCTCCGGGTTAGCCATGGCCTCGTACAAATTACTCGGCATGTCGTGGTAGTACTTGCAGTTGCAGCACTCGACAAACACCTTGGCGACGGGCTCCCTGTCGGACGTGCTCAGCAAGGGGGTGGATTTATGGCGCAGAGAGCGGCCGACAATGTCGGGGACAGAGGGCAGGCTCTTTTCGGTTACGGGCGAGTCGGAGTCGGAGTCTGGGAGGACAAAGGACACTGGTGGTCCGAGGCGTTGCTTGTGCGCGCGCTGCGTGGGGGCCGTTGGTGGCTGCCGGCGCGCTTCCTCGAGGTATGTTGCCGGGGAAGCGGGATTTTGAGACGACGAACCGGGCTGGTTGTACTTTGACCGAAGCCTGAGGGGCTTTTCCTGTAGTGGCTGGGGCATGCTTGCGTCCGTGGTGAGTGTAGATTGGGAGTTTGATCGTCGACAGAGACCGGGAGGTTGGACGGCGATGTCATTGTATACGTTGAGCACTTTTTCGGCGACTGCTTGGATGTGATCCATTTCGTCTTCTGAATTATCCGTGCTATGGAGAGGATATGTGGTGGTTGGTGGTGCGGGTAGTGATTTTTCTTTGCCGCGTTGCAGCTCCAGGGGTTCGGGTTTGCTAGGCTCCAGAGCCATGCTCTTTTCAGACTGCGGTCGTGAAGTAGCCGGCGTGCTGACGATGGAAGTGGAGTGAAAGTCTTCGGAGCCAGAGTCCTCGGACGAACTGCCTGGGAGCTGGAAGCCGGGTGAGGGTATATACGTGGCCGCCTGGCTAATGGACACGGGGGCTTCGATGGCCTTACCCTTAGCCGTGTCCTTGAACTGGAATCCTCCATCTCCGCATAGTGGAAAGGATCGCCGAGGTGGAGCGTCTTGGACAGGAGACGGCTGCGGGCTGCTGCTGTGCTTGGGAGACGGCAAAGGCGGTATTGATCCGTCCAGACTCAACGTCGAGTTTCTCTTGGAACTTCGCCTGGGTGGTTCGGGGGGAGGCGAGGACGGGGCCGTGTCAAAAGTATCGCCCGTTGAGCAGGACGAAATGGACACATTATTACTGTGGTCCAATTTCGGCTTCTTCTCTAGCATCTTCTCTCGTGGCGGCGGACTAGCAGGAAACACGACATGCAGCGGCTTTTGGGGGGATGCGGCGCTCGTTGGCCTCGTTGGCCTCGTTGGGTCAAAAAGAAGTGCATCTCTTGGCTCGGAAATCGTTTGCTTCAAGTCTACAGCCACTGTATCAGGCCCGTTGAGATGAGCATCATTGTCCAAACCCATGTGTGACCCGGGCCGAGAGAGAGTCCTCAGACCAACTTTGGCACGCCACTTGTCGATCGTGTTAAGATCAGGGACGGCAGGTGCTGTCGGTGAAACAAGCGACATGGTCTTATGATGATATTTGGTTTTGTTTCTGGTGATGGGCGGGTATCGACGCTGGTTTTCGCCATCGACGCCAGCTCTATGTAGTGGTGGTGGCGACTTTAGTGGTGCGGACCATCTGTCAGTCTGTTTTCCTTTGCGAAGAGCAGGGTGAATATTCGATTCATCTTCCACGGCTTGGTGATCGAGAGCCTGTTGCGCCGTGGCATTTCGTTGCATCTCAAGTTTTATGCCGCCGATAAAGCTCGAGTCTACGCCATGATCTACCGATGAACGGCGAAAGTCAAAGGGGGCTCTGAGGAGAGATACAAACGACCCCGAGCGGCTCCGAGCCTTTCGAGGAGGTTTACTGGTGTTATTGACCGCCGTGGAGCTATCTGCTCGCTCCCTTCGACGGCCCCGGTTCGCATCGACATCAGACGCAGAGGCATGTTGCATCGAATAGGGCGAGCTCGCAGGCGGCTGCTTGACTAGCTTCTTCGCCTTTCCATTTCTCGACTCCTCCCTCTCCCTCCTCTCCGTCTTCTTCTCTGTCTTTCGTCTTTCATACGCCTCCCAACTCGGCGAGTGGCAGGGCGCAGGTGCCGACTCGGTAGGAGGGAACTCAAACGAAACGACCTTGGGATACTTGTCGCTGGGCGTAGGGACAATGGTGGAATCCTCATCCCTGGGAGAGTAGTCTCTACCGTGACCCGCGAGTAAATCAGATCCGCTCATGGTGATGGGTGCGCCAGCATTGATGGCAAGAGGGGGTAGTTGTGGAGGCAAAGAAGGATCACGAGGCGGCATATTGCTTTTTGGCCGATTCCTCTGCATGTTTCCTTGTGTTCGACGAGTGAGTATGCCCGGGCGAGTAGGGGAGGCGTTTTTGATAACCGCTGGGGTGGCGGGTTGAGAAGTTGCGTTTGAGGGCGCGGACGGTTGTGAATGTGCGTGAAGGCGACCAAACTGTGAACAGTAAGCCTTGTAAGTCGGGATTCAGAACATGGGCCATACAGAGGCCCGAGTGCGTGATGAAACCTGCACAGGAGTGGAATCGAAAGAGCGAGAGAAGAGAAAAAGAAGAAACTGCACAAGTACAGATACACGGCAGACTCTGAATGAGCGGCAGGTTCTTACCATATATTGCTTTTCGAGGTCCAACATGCGTTGCAGGCTGTTGGAGCGGCCCGACGGATTGTTGGAGTCGGACATGGCCGCAACTCACAAACTGAGGACGAAGTGGTTGGGCTGGCAGACCAGTAGACGCTAACAGCTGGCCGACAGCTGCCAGCCGTGGGTGCGGGAGCTTGCCAACTAGAAAGTATGAACTGTGAAGTCCCCAACGGGCTTGGGCGACCACGACTTGAATGATGATGCAATGAATGCGGCGGCTGAAATGGCTGGCCAGCACCGACTTTTGTTATTTCTCCTCCTTTGTTTTGTTCTGGTCCGTTGCGCCCTTTTTCAGATGCAACGTACGAAACACACCCAAGGGGGCTGGCTTTGTCGTCTTCAAAGCGTGGTGGCGCGATGCGGGCAGTGGGCAAGATTCAAGAATACAGTCGCTGGTCGAGACGAGCGCAATCTTGTCGATCAGGGGCAGATTTGTCGTTAAGAACGAGTACACAACTTTTTAACCTTGGATATTATTGGTACTGCGCGAGTTGCAGAACAGGCAGCGTACCGGAAAGCGTGGAGAGTCGAGTTGGTTGATAGTATTAGATAGATGGTATGTGTGTGAGCAGACTACGATAAACGCAGCAAACCCTCAAAAAGTCACAAGGGACCGATCGGGTCGAGCCAGGAACCATTGACCATATGTATCCGTGGACGGAAAAAAAATCACCATCCCAGCTGAACAACTGACAGGACCCGGTCACACCAGACATGCAGAGGTGCAGTAGGGCGCTTGGCTGGTCCTGGAGATCCGGGTCGATCGCGGCCTGAATACGAGGGGCTTGGTCGAGGGTGGTGTGGCCCGCGCTGGTTGGAGCAGACAACACAGTCAGAGGTTGAATATTGGACATGAGACAATACGCGAGGTGGTACGGAAGTGAGAACGATTGCCTTTGTGTCATGGCACAAGAACCAAGATGCACGGACGGCCATACTTGCAGCACCTGTTGTTCCCTCAGGATCGTCCGATTTGTTTACAACGCCGGCTTGAATGGTTCCAACCCCCCGGTTCGCCCTGGTTCCATCTTGATTCACTGATGGATGCTGACCTGATACCAAGGCGTCCGACGTAGGGAAAGGTGCCGCCGCGTACACAAAGCGACAATTGTAGGATACGAAGCGACAAAGTCGAGCGCGCCATTCGAATAGGACCGGCCGATGATACAGCAGCATCTCATGCTCCTCTTCCGCAAGCCCGAGCACACAGCCATGGAGGCGGAGGTTCCGCCCTCAGCTACTCCCGCACCACGGCACACCGCCAGCTCGGCTCATGTTCCCGTAGGCGGTGCCGGCGGTGGCGTCTTTACAGCATTGGCGGCCCGTCCAAAGAATTAGTAGTTTGGCGCTTGTTGTTGGCGCTGGACACGAAGTTGTCATGCGGGTTTCATCATGGCGGCCAGCAAAATACGAATTGTGGCGCGACTTTGTGTTGCATGGTTGGCAGTTGGCAGTCCTCCAGTGGCCGAGTCTGGCTGGCAACTTTTGCTCGATGCCCCGCCGGCCCGCCCCACTCTTTGTCTCCTGCCCCCCCTGCCACTTGTTTCCTGCCCCCGGCCACCGCCCCACCTTCCCCCCTCCCCGGGCTCGTCCACCCCGGTTGGCGGGCTCTCTCAATCGAAATCTGCATCTGCATGGCTTCATCTTCCAGGCTCTGTCCCGCATGCCTGCGTCTGTAATTAGAATCCCATTGAGTGCGCGGAGCTGCGTTGGATGTACTGAATTCAGGTTCTGGCTAATCAAAAATCTAGTATTAAACGGTATATTACCTTACTAATATTTTATATAATAATAGAAGTCACTAAAATTTCCTAAGTTATAAAGAAATACTTTATATAGTAGTAAACTTAGTACTAGTAAAAGAGGTACGGAATACCGTCTAGGTATCGCGCAAAGAGTGGGTCCAATACATTCAACGCACCTCCGCGCACTCAATGGGATTGACCTGGGCCTGGTAAACGTCATGCACGGACTATCCTTGCCACGGTTATTATTCCGCAAGTGCGTGGTGTTTCCGGCGCTCGTGTCCAACAGCATCTTTGCATTTTGCGTCGAGAGTTGATGCCAAGCACTTCTCGAATACTTGGTACTAGTATTACCGACACACAGGCAAGGCTGCTGAAATCATGGCTCGCTCTGGAACCAGAGGCTGGACCCTCATCACGTGGCCGCCCTCCACAGTAGCCACCTACTCCTTGGGCGGCCAGATAACCGCCCCAGAATTATCCCTACACTTACGGGCTCTCAAGTCCCACGAAAACCTGCAAGTTCCACAGACAATTCGTCCTCTCTCGGCCTCCGCTGCAATCTGCCTCCTTTGGCACGTCATGTCATTGCCGCCGCGACATTTTTCCGATGGGTGTAGAGGCTTGATGCTGGGCAAGTGCTGCGGCGGCCAGATCAGCATCCCAGCCTCGTCCCTACATTTGCTGCCCTCCGGATCCCAATACTTCCCGCAAGCTTTGCAGACAGCTTGACCTGTCTCGCGCTGTGCCGTCGTCTGCCCTCCTTCGCACTGGATTCGGCCGGCTCCAGCGCTACACGTTTTGAATGGCCAGAGCAGCACGCCCGCCGCATCTCTGCATTTGCCCTCGTCGGGGTACCAGTTGGAGCCGCAAATACCGCAGACAGCCTGTCCTGTCTGGAGCTGCGCCGCCGTTTGTTCGCCTCCACACTTGGTGCTGTCATGATGGGTACACGTCGATTCAGCGGGTGGCTCTCGTGGCCAGAGAATTGCCCCCGTCTTGTCCTTACACTGGCCATCTTGAGGGGACCACGCCAGCCCGCAAACGCCACAGGCAGCACGTCCTATTTCGAGCTCTGCTGCCGTGGGCATCTCAAGCTCCATTGCCTTTTTACGGACCTTGGTACAAGCATCCTTCAGGTTCGTCTTGAGCTGTTGCTCGTCTGGCGGGGTCTCGTCAACGCGTTCGCAGGTGCGGAGAACGTCGTTGACGCTAATCAACCGCATCTTATTTCTCTTCCCGTATGATAGGAGCTGCAGGTCTTGTGGCCGCCGCCTTGGGCCCTCCAGTATCCAAAAGACCCGCTTAAAGAAGTTGATCAGCGCTGCCTGGTTGTCATTACCGCTGATGTCGTTCCGTCGCGGCCCTCCAATATACTCCTGGAACCCGTTAATACTGTCGTCAAGCTCTTTCACAGCCCACCCAATCGGGTGATCCCACTGGCGCAGCTGGTTCAGCACGTTACGCAAATAGGGAGCCAGAACATTGAATCCCACCAATGTGCCCGCCTTTGCGTACACGCGGAAACTAGTTGCGAGTGATTTTGGCTTCGCCGGGTCTATCGGCCCACTGGGAGAAGTCTTTGGCTTGGTCGGTTTGCTTTGCGGCTGGCCAAGCTGCTTTATGCAATTGTCGTTGCCGTTGCCGGTACATACCGCCTCAATCATGTCGTCCAGACTTTTGCTCACAGGCAGTGTCTTGAATTGCTTCCAAGTGTCCTCGTCCCAAGCTGTAGACAGTCGAGGGAACCCAGCGAGCTGTGGTGCCACGCCATTACCTCTTAGCTTTTGGAAGTTTGGGCTGAAGTGTGGGTTCCTGTGAAAGTGCTTCAACTGCCCCCTCCGCAGCTTGTCTTGAGTTTTCTTTCCGACTTTGGGGTCAGCAAAGTCATGCTTATATGTGACTTCCCACCAGCCTTCAATCTGCTCAAATGGGATAAAGCCAATAGCTGCATGCTCGGTTTGCGCGGGGTATGGTGAGTATTTCCCAAGAGATCGATTTACATCAACCATCCTTTTGTCGGCGTGGATCTTATAAATGTAGCCCTTCTCGACTGGATCTTCGTCGTTGACAGCGAATGTAAGGGATGTGGCCGGGTCGGCACTCGTCGAGACATAACGTGTAAACGGAGCCGTGTCTCCAGCCGCATGACGAAACAGGCTGCTGCCGTCTTCCAATTCTTCCCAGGACAGTTTATCCCCTGAGAGTATCCTCTGCATGCCCCTCGAGTAAAACCCCCCATCCTTTTGAACTTCTTTTGGGGTTCTCTGTATCTCGCCGCGGTAGACGTGTCGCGGAAATTCATCATCGAATCCTCCGGATTCAGTGTCTACGCCGCGACGCTCAAGTGTCGGTTCGAAGCTGTGTCCTGGCTTCAAGTGGCCCTGACACAACCCAAACAGCAGCAGCGGCGCGGCTATCGAGACCCAGGGACTCGCCTTCATCGTGAAAGAATTGCTCAAGAAATCCCTATCGCAACAGGGCCGCGGTGGCACTGGCAAGTACCCAAGTTAAAAGGTGGCTGTTTGCTTTTCGCAGCGTAAATTGTAAAGGAAGCGTAGCCATCGCAAGCATTATATAGTGTACAAAGTATGCAGTCGCAACACAATATCAGGGCCACGCCCTCATCTTTTCCCCTACCCATCTCGAAGGATGTAAGCGAAGAAGGAACTCGAAAAGTGGGGGCATGGTAGGAATTCTCCGGAGATACTTGAATTACTACTGGGGTTGTGATCCGTTACCCAAGTCAAAAACTGATGATTGTATCTATTGATGCTCTCGTGTGTTCTTGCCGACGGGGGGGAGACTTTCTTGCCCCTGCCAGGTTACACCAGCGGATGCAGCTATGGCTGTAGCCCGTAAGTGATCCTACGCTTAAATGTCTGGTTGACAAGGAGTGGAATATTCAAATTCCATCCATGTGACGTTGTGAGGGCACGAGCAAGGTCGGGTGAGACTTGGATGAAGCGATTGCTCACAAGAACAGGAAGGGCTTCCCAAGAAAGCCCCGAGCCGAGCTATCCGAGTCCTAAAGTGGGGCCGTTTCCTTGCAATCCAGTTACGACAAGAAAACGGTGATGTAATGCTATAAGAGGAGTTGTAGCTGAATCAAGGCATGACTCCAAGCCCTCTATGTGCACTTATTACATCGTCTCTATAACCCTAGAACAACAGCAAAAGAAGTCAATTAAACTTTTACGTTTTTTTACAGCTACCTTAACCAGCCACCCTTTACTTCCATGCAAATAATGATGTAAGCATCGTGCAAGCACTCTATTAACACAACATGTCGGCTGTACTTGAGCCAGAAAACTGCAACAGACCACGTAGGAAGAATACGTTGGTAATATTGAAAACCAAATATTACATGGATTATTGCACATTAGAATAACCCGAGTGTGTCTACTAGCCAAAACTTTGGATATGACAATAGCTCAGTGAGGGCTTCAAGCAATAACTTCCTTTGTCTAACAACACTCTTTGATGTAGGAAGTCCTTTGTTTGTCTCAAGACTTGCCTAGGTAGTTAACTAAAAGGCTTTATTCATACAAGAAGTGGTGCGAACCTTTTGCCCTGGGTCCCGTGATCGTAGCCCTTGTGTAACCGTAGACACTTGGCACGCTTAGAATCCCTGGTGCCAATACGAAGATACTTGACACCATGTAAAACAACAATACGCTGTGGAGAAAGGTGCTATTGCGGACATTCAAAGGCCAAGAACGACAGAATAGGTAGTTCTAGACAAAGGATATAATAGTTGTAATAGGGCTAGTTGTATGGAGCACTATCCTAGAGGATGGCTTTTGAAGGATGAAGACCCTATTAAACTGTCAATATCTTGAAAGGATTCCTCCGACACATCTGCTCCCCACTGCGGTGCTGGTTCCACGGGTCACAAGGGACTCGGGAGTGGGACATGGCACGAGTAGGGTGTTGCAAATAAACTTGATACATGGAATAACACAACAACCGGTGTTAATGCTAGAAGAGTGTGCGTTACACTGGGACTCACGGAAAAAGGAATATGTGGACTAATAGTCCGAAACGAAGACGCGTGATTCATGACAGTTTTGATTTTTTAAACGCATTGTGAGGAGAATGCTCTACGTGAACAAGGGTGAACACATGTATACTAACTTTTCCTTAATAAACCGCGGAAAATTAGGGCTCGTCTTCACACGATTGTCAGACAGACTTGACTCTATGAAAACGCACCCAACTCTCAATCCGCACGCACTCTCCCACATTCAGCCACATTGCATCCGACATCACCTGGTGAGCAATTCAGGATAAGCAATCTAATCAAACTTTTCGAATAATGTGTTAAAGTGTGAGACCTAGTTACTATAGAGTTCTTCTGCAGATTTCTTTTCCAAGGGGTGTAAGTTGCACGAGGCTTATTCAGCCAGAAGCGTGTTACAAACCTACAAATTAATTACATCATAAAAGAGAAGAACTAGAAGCTCTTAAGGAGATGGTTATTAATTTGTATAGTTTATGCTCAGGGGCAGATTATAAGACCTTCATTTGGTGGCGTCATTGCATCGGCGTCAGTCGAGTGCACTTCAATGGTTACAAGGGGGCTGAAATAGTCTCCTCCCGACCTTATGTTGTCCCATTTCCTTGACAGCAACGACCCTATGTAATATGAGCCTTGTTATACTATAAGAAAATTGAACTTCTTAGTTTCTTCGTGTTTCCGTGTCCCTTTTCCTATTCACGAGTTCTGCAGTTGTTGCAAAATGCCCCCGTACTTGGGAGCTGTACTTGAGAGTTGACCCTGGCTGAAATTGAGTGACATTATTGGCTGAGAATCGCTCCAGTTAACGATATCGCGTATTATTGTGGCTGGATGTGACTGAAAGGGGATCGGGTGCGTTTTGATAGAGTCTGTCATTGTTAATTTTGTGCGGATAGTGGATGACGGTTTAAAGCTACTGGACGGAAATAGAAAAGCCAATATACGTGGCGGATAGAGCTTTTAGTTTGGGTAACGCTGCCAAGGAACCTCCGTTCAAGGACCGACGTTGGTTTCACGGTAAAAGAGATTTTGCAGAGTCCCAACAGATGGGCAAGAAGAAAGGAATTGAAACCGCGCAACGCGGCAATAAGAAGACGGCCGCGCAGCCTCGGCATCGTAGGGGCGCAAGTATTAAATTTTAACGAACCTAAGCAATGCTCAGTTCCTCACAAGTTGCACAAGGTACTTGTCAATCCGCCTTCTTGACATAGAATGAAAAAAGAGGGTCTTCATTGCCCTGCTTAGACATGTCCAACTCGATAGTACCCAACCCAGATAGGGAATAGACATCGACTCTGTTGTCGAACATGCCCGTTACTTGCTTCGGGAAAACCCACAGCTCGCTCAACTTATCGTACCCTGCAGGCATGCAGCGACCCATGACACATACATAATCTAATTCTTTTGGGTTCTCCCCAAACAAGAGCCTGGCACTGCCAGCAACCTGACCAAAGTTGAAGGCTTGGAAGCTGAAACGCGGCTTCTCCCCTGGCTTGTCGTCGACGTCTGTCATTGTGGGAATAGGGTTAGCGCTAGGGACAGTTGGCCAGGGACCATGTATCTTGGGGTCACTCTCACAGTGAGTGTAGAGGTTGTCCTTCACGCGAAGACGTCGTCCGAAATATGTCAAACTTTCTTGAGTGAACCCTTCCCCGACTAGTTAGCGCCAAGCTCGACGGGAAACCGCCATGTTACTTACCAAGACTTTCAGATGGAAATCATGAGGGCTTGGGTATTGCGGTCTTGTCGCCGCGTGATCTGGCTTCGCAATGACTTTGGCAACCTGAACTGGTCGTTAGGAGCGCGCGCAAAGTCACAGCGGGCATGTGCTTTGGAGATACCCAGTCCTTATACCCCGCCACCACATTACTTGCTTCCACATCTAAAGATGCCTTACTCCTTCTGCCGTCTACGTAGTGATTTTCATCAACTGTAGTAACCCAGGTTGGAGACGGAGATGAAACGCTTAGTTCGTAGGATGGGAGTAGCATACTCGCACGGAGAGCAGTCTGAATGGAAAGGTATTTGGTGAAGTCGATGGCAACTGACCAGCTGGAAAGAGATGTACTGTCTCCTCATGCGGTCGAGAGAATGCATCATGGGGAACTCAAAGAGATCTTGACCTCTATGACGGCAATACTAAGATCTGCAAGGTCTACTGGGACTGTCCTTGGGGAAAATCCACAAATACAGCGCGGATTCTGGACTATGATCCCTCAACTTCTGATTATGCTGTTGTTCTTGGACCTTACAATACCAGTGGTGGTGCTCTTGGCAGAGTCGATATCACAGTGTCAAAACTAGGTTAACCACATGGATGCGCGCGAGGGGCCTCAGTGTGGGTTTTGTCCTGAGCGAGTTGGGGTTTCCCACATCTTTTTTGCAAATGCAGAGGTCTGGTTCTGCTGTACGGATAGGCAATTTATACTTGAGGCGTCTTTTTACCGTCGTGCGCACCTTGCCAGGCATGGTGTCATAAAGAAGCGGTGTAATAGTAGACATTGCTTCTGCCAGTACAAACTTTCATTTTGGAAACCAAATATATTAGGCGGCCGAAGCTGGCATCTTGGCGTCGCCTTGAAGCAGTGGCATAATAATAATAATATGTTCCGGGCCAGCCACGACGACTATCTTGTAGTATACATGAATATACTATAATACAAAGAGTCATGGTTGAGTACTTGATCTACACGGCCCAATACGTCGAGCCGAGAATCCGTCAAGCACTTGCTAAACGCTGCCACTATCCTCCTTCGTTGGTCCTGGCTGTCGTCCAGGAGAGCCGTGGTAAGAAGCAACGGGCCGTGAATGGGGAAGGAGGTGCCTCGTACTCTGTGCAAACATAAACAGAGGCATCCCACGTTTGTGTCGGAACCTTTTCTTCTTTTCTTCTTCTTCTCAAATCGGACCGTCGCCAGAATGGATGTCGTTATCGCCAGCAGTGTTTGCGCGTAGTGCATTTTTATACTTGCGCTCCTCACCTATCTCGGCTCGGAAAACCTCACACGGCTCACGGACCGACTCTTACGCTTGTTACACTTTATGACGCCTCGCTTGCCGGCCGTTCGAACCTGCGTCTCCAAGCGGTGCGTGTCCGGCCCCCTCTCCCCAGCGCTGACTTTTGTTTAGGGAGCCATTCCAGTAGGGCTCGTCAAATAATTACTGGGGGAGGGCCTGGGACTAGGGCCTGAACCAGCGCTTGTACCTCACCGTGGTGGTTCAGTCCAGTAGCCTGCTGAAGTCAAGTACGTAGTCTCAAGGTACCAGACTACAGTGGGTGAAGCCAACACAAGCAGTCGTGCTCGGCTCTGCAGACCAAAAAGGCAAGTTTTTCTCCAGATGCACAAATGGACACGTCTGATGGCTAACCATTCTATTCTTGGACTCGTGCTTTCTTTCAATGTGCCGCCGCTTGATGGTGTCGCTCTCCTGTCGTCATCTGCTGTACCAAGACCCACCACATTTGAAGCCATTCACAAAGCTACGAGAACTTATTCTACATTTTACTTTCTGCGAATCGCACCAAGGCTACGCGGGTGCAAGCCGGTCTTTTTGTGGCTTTCCTTCAAGATTGTCCCAAGGCAACATAAAAGGACAAGGCTTCTCTCCCCCCGTCCTTCGCCTACAAAGCAAACCAGACCCGGCCGAGATGAAGCTCCTGAAGCGCTTGTTCTGCCGTGGTACGACAACCAGGCATAAAAGACCACCCCAAGATGCTGCCGCGCTGCTAAATATGCCCATTGAAGTTATCCTTCTCATCATTGATCAACTGCCTCGACAAAGCTTATACACGCTTGCTCAGTCGTGCTACGCTTTACAAACTATTATTCAAGAGCATTACCTCAACGCCATCGGTTCCTCGCAACATCGGACTCAATCTCTTGATTTTTTCGGCTGTCTCTCCAATGAACTCCTCAACTACTTAGTCTGCGACAGGTGTATCGAGTTCCATGCTGGAAAATATAGCAATTTCCCTCGGGGCCCATGGCACGAATATCAACTCAATACCATGATGCCGGGTTGTAAGCGTTCAACGCGCTGCATGTGTCATGGCTGCCACCCTCCTCATCTCTGCTCATGTTATCGGCGCGACATCAATCACGTCCCAAAGCAGCACGTCGAGCTTGTGCTCACGTACACGGATCGGCCGCCCGTCTTGCACGATACAGTATACCATGGCAAGGTGTTCGTTGAACACCGGCGTGCAAACCCCTTGGAATGCAGGCTCCCCAAGATGGTACCAGTGCCCCCCCAGCCGTCTACAACATTAAAGTATCGCTACACTATTATATCCCGAGTGGTGCGAGGCAGGCTTCTGCTTTTCCGCCAAATTCGATGGGCGAATGTCCATCCGAACGACCTCCCAGCAATCTTCGTCCTGCACTTTGTTCCATGCGCCGTCTTGGCGACGCAAGGGAGGTGGATGCTGGAAGCTCTGCGCCGCATGATTTTCGCGACGAGGACGAAATACGGACCAATTATAAAATGCCCCCATTGCATGGCCGAGTACAGCTACTGGTATACTGGAGGGAGTGGCATCAGCCGCATTTGGCAAGACCTTGGCAGCGCCGATGACCCGAGGCATGTCTGCTGCACCGACATGGTTTCGGACAGAGAAAGGGCCTATAGGGAAGCAGGGAGTATTGCCGAGCTTTTTGGACCGATATAGTTAATCTTTGGGGCAAAAGAAGGCAAAGACGGGCGCAGAGACACTGGAGCACAAGAAATCAAACCATTCGAGTTCTGCGAGACATTCTGTTTTTATCCGTAATTGCTGTGCCTTCATCGGAAACTGGCTACATTATGCCCCGTCCATGATTTTGACTATTTTCGGTGACTCGTTTCCCAAGCTGCATGTCAGCTCTGGCACATGCCTCCATCTTTCTGATCCTCTCCAAACGAGGCCGCATGCAAATAGACGCCTCGCTGTGATAATGACTACACAACAGAAATGAAAAATACAGTAATTACCGCTCGGTACTTTGGCAGCATCAGTTCTCCATCAGACAAAACTGGTTGGCCCGCTCAGCCAAGGGCACTCCTGTACGAAGCCACATCTGCACATCTCGGGCTAATATGCGTCCACAACTCATCCTGTTCAGTGTAATCATGGAGTCCATTGCCCAGCGCGTCTCCTTCGACAGCGTTACACATCAGTGTCCGCCAAAGCCTTCGACACCACGCCTTGAATCTCTTTGAAAACTCGTTGGGAATCTTGAGCCTCACCGCCACCCACTTGTACTCCGGGGCGTGGTCCTCTATCAGCGCCTCCTCCGGCTCACTCGGTGCCGGCGCCGACAGCAACAGATCCTCGTCGGCCCACGTCTTGTGTTTGATGTGTCCAGGCGGCAGGGTGAGGCTGAGAAACTCCAGCGACGTTGCGACGGTAAGAGAACAAGCCCGCAGCGGGTTCACCATTGACTTCATGAAGAACGACATCCAGTGGGGGTACAGCACCGCAAAGTCGGTCATGGCGAGATGCGTGGAGCCCACGATGGTGAGCATCCAGCACAGGGTCTTGGATTCACGCGCCTCCTGGCAAAACCCGACGACGCGTTCGAAATTCTCCTTCCAGTGCATGAACGCCTCTGACGATATGGCAATGATGGGCTTGGCTACAATGTTCCCAGGGCCGTCGCCCCGGGCAGGAGTTCCCTGGCCCCAGGCGTCGAGAATGACGCCCTGTCCCAGCCACGCGAGAGACTGGTCTCGACAGAGTTGGATCGTGGTTGCGCCTCCAAACGAGTGGCCCATGGCGGTGACCTTGTCGAGAAACATGCTCCCCTTCCAGCTGTCCCACGTGATGCCCGTGAGCCCCCTGGAGCTGGAGCCGATGTTGCCCTTCTTGCGCAAGTTGAGGCGCGCGACGTCGTGCCCCCTGCCGCCGTTGATGAGCGAGAGCACATGGTACGCCTCTTTGATCTCTTCCAGCCTGAGCTCGATCTGCGCGTTGCGGAGGTGTCTGTCCACGCCGCGGGGGTTGTGTGGAGACGTGTCTTGGGCATTGTCCTTGGGCAAGATGTAGTCCATGATGTAGTACGGGTTGACGCCGCGCTTCGTCTTACGCTCAACCTTTTTCTTCCTAGCTCCGGCCCCGGCCTCAGACCCGTGCTCCTCGTCGTTGCCGGATACGATTTCCGCCGTTGAAGACTCAATCTCCGTTGCGCTGACATTCTCAGGCAGGTTGACCAGTGTCCTCGCGCCGCTTCCGTCCCTATGCTCGACCGCGACCACGATGAAGCCGAAGCTAGCTAGTTCGCCGCATATCGTGCTGTAGCACAGCCTCGACCCCCCCAGCCCATGGCTGAATATGATGACGGGAAACGTGGGCTTCTCCGAATCGCAGCCGTCTTTTCCGCCGTCCTCCTTGTCGCAAGCCACATCTTCTTTGGGACCATTCTCCGCCCAGGAGTCTGCCAACTGGGCGTTTCGAAAGGCAGGCAGCTTTGTAAAGAGCGACGTGCAAGCCAGATATCCCGTGACTGGGGCCGCGGGGATATTGAGAAACTTTGCGTATCCCTTGGAAGTGGCGATCCTGGGCGCAGGCATCCAATTGACGCGCCGGAGGTTGTGCGCACCGCCTGAGGCTTGGATGGTCTTTTCGACGTCGCAGGGGTAGTATATGCCCATGAGGACGGTGTCCAGGCGCAGCACTGGCTTGCCCCCGCGCTTCAGGTTCGATATGGGACGCGGGTTGCGAGCCGGCACCTCGACGTCCATGTAGCCGACGTTGTAGGGGCCGTTGTAGTTGGGCAGACGGTGGAGGAATCTCTCCCGCAGCGTCTAGGGGGGAGTGATGGCGGACGTGCGTGCAGAGGTCTCGGTGGGCGTGGCTGTCAAGTGAACCATGGTGAGGGTTCAGACAATAACACTGGAGAAACTTGGATAAACATTTCATGCATTGACGAAAGATTTTGTCTTGCTAGTAAAGGATCTGGGGTTGAGGTCATTTTGAGGGAGGGCTGTTGGCGGGTTGGGATCTGGGAATTATAAGGCTGATCGATCGTGGGCGCTGGATGGGAAGGAGTGAGAACTTGTGACGTCAACATTTTTGCGCGGCTCGGAAGCGAGGGGACCGGAGCTATGCGGGCATTGGCGCGCTTTGCGTCGTCGATAAGATCGGGCCATTGACGACTTGGGACTCGTGGCATTTGCCTTGCCTTTGGATGGTGCATGTAGAAACTGAGCTGAATCACGGATTCTTTTTTGCTTACTCTGGGAGCGAGTGATGTCGAGCCAGCTGATTCATTTTGTCACTGCAAACGTCGAGTTGAAATTAGGGTGCGTCAACGGTTTATTTGGCCACGCAATCAAGTGGGTTTCTGAAGACTCCCTGCCATTGGCTAGCTTGAGTTTATTAAGTCACGCATCTAGGTACTCCGTACTTGTAGCTCTCATTCTACTACTCCGCAGGTATTTTAGTATCATGGCACCTTGGGCATAATCTAATAAAACATGACTTATTATAAAAAAAATTTATTTTTGAAATGCAAGTACAAGTACCTGGGTAGTGGGTGCAAGCCCACGTGCGATCGACTGGCCCAAAAAACAGGCTGACTAACACAACAAGCCAAGTTGCCTAGGGTCATGGCGCGCCAATATTTTTCCGGCAGGGCAAATCGCCGTCCCCACTCACGTGAGCCTCGCCTCCCACACACAACCATTTGCCAAATTCCGCAAAAACTCCTTCGCCTCTCTCCGCCGACTGACTCCCTCATCCACAGCATCGCCAAACACAATCCATCACCATGGGTAAAGTTCACGGATCTCTCGCCCGTGCCGGTACGTCCTCGCCATCTCGACTCGATCAATATCATCGCTCAGCGAACTTGGACTAATCATCTCGCAGGCAAGGTCAAGTCTCAGACCCCCAAAGTACGAGAACCCACCGATCCTGCCGCCCGGCGAAACACTCTCCCCTTGACCGCGATCGCGAACGACGAAGACTGACTATTTATTTTCCCGCTGCGTTTAGGTTGAGCCCCAGGAGAAATCCAAGGTCCCCAAGGGCCGCGCTCTCAAGCGCCTCAAGTACACCCGACGATTCGTCAACGTCACCCTCACTGGTGGCAAGAGAAAGGTGAGGATCGAAAACGCCCGGCCACGACATCGATGGGAAAGGATGTGCTGACCACGGTGGCGTAGATGAACCCCAACCCCGGCTCGTAAAGATATCGACAGGAGAGGGGATGAAGTGAATGCCAAAAAATGTACAGGGTGGAACGCCGTTTCCTAATGGTTATTTTGAGAAAATATCGGCGGGACGGAATACGGGTCGATCAGGAAGCTGAGTACCTCTGCGTGTGACGACTGGGTGCGACGAAGCGCGGCGACTTTTCTCGGGCGTCTTGGTGTCGTTCGTCAATAAAGAACATTCATCCGCAAACATCTCATAATCAGTGACTACGTGATGCCATTCCAACGATGGCGATGCGATGTTGGCTACGATGAAAGAATCATCAACCTGCCGGATTAGAATCACCAACTTGTAGACTGTTCTTTTCTACGAGTCCTGTACAACTAATCTAGGATCTCTTTTGACCCGAGTATCCTAGAATACAGGCACCCAAAAATACAAGCCATGATGAGCACCCGAATCGTAGAATAACCAGGCCTTGTAATTCTATTTCCCCCACAAACATGTCGCTCTTCCAGTCCCGCGTCAAAAATCACAATCACGTGACCAATATCAAGCTTCTGCCCCACGTCAAGTCAACCCAAAGCTTCATTGTTGAATAGGCCTCGCATCCCTCTTGGCCGCTCTAAACACAGCATCTTCCCTCACGTCGTGGACCAGATCGCAAACCGAAGCCATGGCCGACGTAGACATGGACGTCGACCGACCTGCGTCGCCCCCGGCACGCAACGAATCCGAAATGCAAACACACACCAAAGCCACGGCCGTCCGATCCATCGAGGGCTGGATCGTGATTGTCACAAACGTCCACGAAGAGGCCGACGAGGAGGCCATACAAGACAAGTTCGGCGACTTTGGCGAGATCAAGAACTTGCACCTCAACCTGGACCGGAGAAGCGGCTACGTCAAGGTACGTGCCCGCCCACCACGCGCGCAGAGGACATTGCTAAAACACCAGCGCAGGGCTACGCACTGATCGAGTACGCCACGCTGGAGGAGGCGCGGGCGGCGATTGACGGCGCCCACGAGACCAAGCTGCTGGACCAGACCGTCTCGGTGGACTTTGCATTTGTGCGACCGCCGCCTGGCAAGGGCGGCAGGGGCGGCAGGGCGGGCGGTGGCAGCGGCGCCGGCGGGCGAAGACAGCGAAGCCGTAGCAGGAGCCCGGCTGCCAAGGATGAGTGAGGTGGTAGGGGCGTGAGAGAAGGCGCGGGATGGAAATGCCTCCAGGCCGATGTTTTGATCTACGCGGGTCAAGAGACGTCGGCACATGTACTCGATATTAATGAGGTATGATATCCCTCGAGGCGGTGGACGAATGACACCTGGCTGACATATAATAGAATGGAATATGGGCGCGGCAAACAGACATGATTGTCACGTTTCTGACAGGAGGGCGAGTCTTATACCCCTGTTTGGGAACGTTTGTTTTTGCATAGTTGGCGACTGGGCATGAGAACAATGTCGTTATATAGAGCTATGCAAATCTGAATTTATCCCTCAAGTGTCTAACCTTGGTTTCTACGGTCAAATTTTCTTTAGGGCCATATGAAAGAAATACTCAAGCATAGCTGGTGGGAAACAGCTGAATGGTTCAGTTTGTTTCTATATCAGTATAATGTCCACTGAATTCTTGGCTACGTCAAACATCACCTCCCCATTCATTACACCGTGCACATAACACTCGCCCACTAGGTGATAATGCCCTTCTCTTTCAGTGGGACGGATCACAAATGGGACATCGCATCCGTGGATGATGACTACGACATCGTTCTCCTGTGTCGACAGTGGCATTAATCCAATCAAGCGATCTTCCGTGAAACATAGCGAATGCTTGTTAGCGACGAGGCCAAGTGAAGACGCGTAAGCGGCACAATCTTCTGGTAGGCCGGTTGTGGATCCTGCAGTGGTGACGCCCATGTGTACGAGGAGGTCCAATGTTGCTACTGGGTACGCATGAGTGCACATGTAGTATGCCAATGCAACCAGTACCGGCACTAATAGCAAGACGTATATCCAGCGGAATACGGGCAGAAGAACCATGAACACTACAGCCGGCTTAACTGCAATGTACTGCATCCATGCCAGACCACTCAAGACGGCCACCTGAGCGATAACCGGCAAATATCGGATTCCAATGATGATCAAAGGTAGTGCCATGAGACAACCCATAAGAAGAAGCACAGAAGCCTTGTGAAACAAAGCTTGGTCATGTTTTTTCATGTTCTCATATTGTGAAGCAAATTCCGGTGGCGCTAGTTCGCCCAGCATGGTTCGATTGGCGACCATTGTTCGCCAGAAAGCTTCGATTATGGGTTCCCCTGTGGCATAGACGTTTCCAAGCCTCAAGGCCATGGATTCGTACATGTACACAGGCAGTAGTAACCTGCCCGACAGCACAACCTTTACACGGCTGACGGGTGTAGCACGAACGTATAGCAGCCCCTGCTTGGCATCGCAGCCAAATATCACACTAGTGCGTCCAGCAGCGTTGTACAGTTTTCGACCAGGATTATTTGAGGTTGCTGTATTCGTGTCCTTGCTGCTCTCCCGCCTCTCTCTGGTAACATCTGCGTCGGCTATTTCGCCCCGAGTCTCTCTGGGAACAGTGGCTGTCTTCTGCGTATTGCTTGAAGCTAGGGTTGTCAAGGGTGGGGCAAGTTCCTCCTCCTCTTCCTGGCCTCTGTCGTGTGTTGTTTCTTCGTTGGATATCAGGGCAAAGCGAGTAAATCCAGGGTCTGAATCTTGCGAATACCGCACTGATGTCCAATCTGGTACCCAAGAGGGCCAGTCCCGTGAAGAAATATTGTTTGACGTAATGCCAGCAGTTGAGAGGATTAGCGAGAGATGCCCATTGTTAATAAATGTAGCCGCGAATTGCGTCGAAACAATCGCGAGGCTTTGTTCCGCTGAGTATATCGGCTTGTACCCGGCCGCATCTTCGGCTAGACCGAGAAGAGCATAGAGTCGGTCAATAGGCTGGGTTGCCCGAAAATTACTTGTTCGATGTAGGAGATCCAAGAGGCTATGTCTTTGAAAGGGGAAGGGTTGTCCTGCAGCACGGTCGGATAGCCATTTATTTCGTGTGAACTTTTCGAAACTTTTAATGGAGCTTAGATCTTTCCGAATGGACAATCCGGAAGGATCAGACGGCTCGCCTTTGTCGAGATTGAACACCATATAAGGTCCAGACATGTAACCTTGGGCGCGCATACGCAAATCAGTAACAAGGTGCAGAGACCTAGCGCCTTCGTGGGCTTCCCTGTAGTCATCCAGTCTCCTGGTCGTGAACAAATCTTTCGAGTAACCGTGGAACATGAGCTGTCGATTGGACATATATGCCTTGGATGCCAACCAGAGCCTATGCCAATCTATTTCCAGGTCACCGCAGATGACGCATACATCTGTGGCATATACAAATTCTTGTATGATCCAGACCCGACGAAACCAAGGTCGTCGGAGGAACGCACGCAGCGCAGGCCATCTCTTGTCTTCGACTGGGGGGAGTACAAATCCGCCTTGCTTGGCAAGTTCAACTCCTATCTCGCCGTGGGGATGTATGGAATCATCTAGATGTTCAGAGTAGTCGGCTATCGAATACAGAAGCTCCAGAGCCGCGGGAACATTGTCGGCTTCATCGCCTAGGTAGACTTGAACACAAGCTGCAATGCGATATATGTCGGGCATAAGCTGGATTTGTTCTCCCTTCTCCGTGTTCGATTCCGAGGTAATCTGATTGATGCAAATAGCATCTGCCCACAAAACTCGAGCCTTGTCAGGCAATGCCAATCGGCGAAGAATTGTGTGAAGCGTAGACGTGATTTTTATCGCGGCCTCCTCGCCGTTGTCGCCGCGAATGACTACTTGAAATGGGGTTCTGGTGTCACCGCCCCAATGATAGGAGATTGCATCATATGGAAGAGAATGCTCCAAGTAACCGTCACCGGTCTCAGAGGGTTGGTATTTTGGGTCTGTTAGGCGGTGATGAATGATGTTTCCAGAGAGAGGCCATTGAGAATTTCGAGTGGCATCCAGTCGCAACAGGCGAATCTCACCAGGTTGAAGTGCCTTGTATTGATAATCTCTCATCTTGGTCGCAGACCGAGTTCGCGAGCTGCAGTACTTGCACCTGACTGAAACAAAGGACGTACGTTTCTGCTCCAACAAGACAGGTGGTTAGGGACGGCCCTCCCGAGTGTCAGTGTCTGATAATGCAATATCAAGGTTTTGACCCTGGTTGACGCCTGAGGATGAGCTCGTGCACGGCTTGCCTCATGACCGTGAGCCGCATCTAATAATTGCCTGATCGGGAGGCCTCGGCGGGCTGATTCCACCATGACAGAAGTGAGCTGCCTGTTTGATGCGGCTGAGTTGAACAAGGGGGCCTTGGCACGGCGAAATCACAGCCTCATGCTGTGAAACAATAATTCGGCCGTCGGAGAAATCCGTTGCTCGTAGCTGAAGTCGGGCGTTTGCCCTTGTGAAAGAAAACTCGCTTGATACAGCGCATTGTTGGTGCGTGCTGCCGCGTCGTCAGCGGATCCATGGACTCGGGCTTTACGATCAGCGCTGCTGGATAGCAAATGTATTGAATGGCGATTTCAATGAGTTGTTTTGATGCCGTTCAAGGTGTTGGAGCATATTGAATGACATTGATCGGTTGGAGCCTGATGACGCCTAGAGTTGGGAATCACTGCAGAAGCAGACCCAGACCAGACAGACCACCTCGCCGAGGAAGCCACAAAGCCCCACCCTGGTCACCCTGGTTGCTTGCTCCTTCCCCACGTAATACCGTAATACCGTGCCATCTCCCTTCAACATTCGTTCTGCAGGTCCGCCTTGACACAGAGTTGCATTGGCATTCTCCCAAACCAACTCAATTACACCCGACGCTGGTTCAAAGACATGGGCATTGCGCCGTCGCAGTAAATGATCCCGCAAGTCTGCCGCTTTGGCTGCCCCTAATGGCGTCTCTGATCGACCGCCGCCGCCGCCATCATGTATAATCGCGAGTCCAAGATCATGCGCAAGCTCCTCGGCAAGGCGGCGCCCGACTCTGCGACTGGTGACTTGGCTTCAATCACCGGCACGACCACACCTATTCCGACCTCGTACCGCCCGTCCAAGTCGCAAAATGCTGTATATGTTGCGGGAGCCCCGATATCGTGCTTTGACGTTTCTGCTGATCGCCGCGCAGTCGTGCTGGGAGGCGCGCATGTTCTCAAGACCATCCTTCTGGACGACCTGACAGCCTCAAGCTTCAACTTTTACGACGGCATCGATGTGCGCACCGCAATCACTACACGACAGTCTACTGTGTCTCGACAGAATGTCGTGGCCGATCAGCTCAATATACGCGACGTGAAATGGCACGGCAATTCGCACGTATACACTGCCTGTGCAAGCGGCAAAGTCTTCTCATACGATCTGACACGACTTGGTGCGGGCGACAATGAACCCCTGGAATACATCTTGACACAAGAGGACTCACGGCAGATGAACACCCTGGACATAAGCCCTCACCTGAAGACCTGGCTATTGACTGGTGGTCAGGATGGAACCGCGCGCGTCTTTGATTGCAGCAACACAACGCCGGCGAGACACGGTCTCAGCTTCAGGCAACGCTTTGCACCACTCAGATGCATCGACCCGATCAGAAAAGTTAGATGGTCTCCTGCCAACGGCCATGAGATGGCTTGCTGCACGGAAAGCGGTGTGGTTATGAAGTGGGACGTGCGACAACCCTCACGTCCCGTTCTTAGAATCAATGCACACGAGAAATCGTGCTCGGATATCGCATGGCACCCCGACGGCATTCACCTGATTAGTGCCGGAATGGACACAAAAATCCACACTTGGGACCTGGGTAACACGGCGGACAAGAGACAGAAGCCGAAATGGACCATATCAGCACCCGCACCAGTGGCTGCTGTAGCCTGGCGCCCGGGGCTTTGGTCTGCGAGTGCCCATGCCAGGCGAGTTGCGCAGATTGCTGTGACCTATGATGAAACTAGCAGTCGAAGATATGGCACATCAGCAGTACACATTTGGGATTTGGCGCGGCCATCCATGCCATATAAAGAAATCGAGAGATTCGAAACATCTCCATCAGCTCTAGCGTGGCAGGACCAGGACATGCTATGGACTGTTGGCCAGGACGGTACCTTCAACCAATGTGATGTGGCGTTTGCTCCCAAGGTCATTGATCGCCAATCAACTTCGGCCATGGCATTTTCTCCAAGAGGAGATGTGCTCATGTTTCTTGATGAGCGTCCTCTATCGCATCGACCACGGCTTCCAGTGGTACACCAATCTGATGCTATGCATCGCGCTACATACAGCTCCAGCCCCAGCAACCAGGGCCTAAGCATAAGTCGGAGCGATTCTGAAGATGATGTAATAGGAACCTTTCTTGGATCACGGCGCAGGATCCCTCGAAAGAGGAGACCCAGTGGAAGAGGCACCATCCCCTTAAGCACCACACCGCCTTCTGGGGGAGCACCATTTCCAGACGACAACAAGCAGAATATGGGTCTGGAGCAATCTATTAATATAACGGGAGTCTTCAGGTCTCAGCAGGCCATGTCTTTTGGACCTATTCCTGCAGCGAAGCCTGTGCAGATATACCGCTTTTTATCGAATACGTACCTGGAGACGCTCAAACGTGAGCTTCCATATTCTGATGGTGGCAAGCCATTAGTGGAGAGAGTGGGCGTCATCATGGAACAGTATGCAAAAGCTGCTGAAGTAGCCAACTTGTACCGGCTAGCGCAGACATGGCGAATCTTGGCATATGCCACGAATCTTCTCCTCAAACGCAGGGCACAATACCATTTCGAGGTTCGAGTTGGGCAGTTCCAGAAACTTCAAGTTGACGATGTAGTAAAAGGCGCAGATAAGTTGAAAGCCTCGGAAATGTATGCCAATGGGGAAGATACTCCTAGACGACCGTCAGCACAAAGAAGCAGCATCGACGGCCGGTTCCACTCCATTCGGTCATTGCTCGCGGAAGAGATTGAAAGCACGTCGAACGTGCCAACACCTGTGGCAAGGCCAGCCGATAGTGCCACGAGCACCGCCACTTCCGGTCATGACGACGCCGTACATCAGCACGGCAAACGATTGTCACCCATTGTCGAACCAGAGTCGCTCACTATCGGACCTGCTGCTCATGGGTCCTTTGGAGAGTCCCAAAGTCCTCGGAAACGTCACGACTCGGAACCTATATCAGTGGGGAGTGAACAAACCGATGATTCCGCAACTTCATACACCGAGGGCTATGACTTTTATGATGCAGAGGTGTTGGCAAAGGCGATTGATGTTCCGATGCCAAGAAGAAAGAACAGCTCTAGGGGAGTGCCTTACCGCGGTAGGACCGTCAGGCAGGATTCAGACGAAAGTTTTGTCCAGATGTTTTCCATCTCGAATGGAACTAAGAGATCTGGGAGGATGGGATCTAGTGGCGATGCGTTTGCCAAGCCGCTCAATCGGGAACAGTCTGACCTGGAGAGAGAAAGCGGCACCTCGAGTGCAGACTCCCCAGCTATGGCAAACACGCTAACCGGGAGAAACGACCGGTCTCCACGCTCGAATGAATCCCAAGAGGAGGTTTTCATGATTTCACAGACGACAAAGACAGACGACAGTTATCCATCTCAACCATCCTTCACTTCACAGGACACCGATGGGATTGGTCTCGGGGAATCGCTTCACAATTCAGTGCCGGACATCAGAACAAGCCGATCAGTCAGCCCCAAGAAGAAGGAGTCCATACAACCTCGGCACGACCCCCGGCCTCACGTCGTCGAAACAGATTATCTCCCATGGAGCAACGATCCGCCCTACCCTTATCCCGTCAACGCCCACAACTCCAAAGCGAGCCCGGCTTCAATCTCGCCTCTCAACCCCTACAGCCTGTTGCTCAGCGCCTTGGATTTTGAATCCAAAACATCGGCCCTGAATGCCTCTGCAATGATTCTGTTGCTAAGACCGCTCGTGCCCACTTCTGTCATCGACAGCCACAGGGCCAGCGCCATCCTCCGCCAACACCACCAGCGGCTGATGCGAATGAGCCTCTTTGTCGAGGCAGCTCTGCTTCGGAACCTGTGCATACAAGGGTGGCCGGACGGCCTGCCAGACTGGGGAGACAACTACATTTCCATCTTTGGCGGTGCCCAACAAGGCGTCAAAGTGGGCCTGTTCTGCTCGTCGTGCCGCAAACCCCGAGAAGTCGACCCCGCGGGTGGCCGAGACGCAGTGTGGACATGCGAGCGATGCCGAAGTGTCATGGCACCATGCCCGGTGTGCGGCCACCGCGAAGCAGAGCGCCCATCCTTCATCCCGTCGGAGACGACGCCCTCTGCCTCGGACGTCGAGTCCGAAATGTGGCTGTCCGAATGGTGGTACTGCCTGGGCTGCGCACACGGCGGCCACGCCTCGTGCCTGCAGCTGTGGCACGGCGCGTCGGAGCCCGTCGCCGCCGCCGACCCGTCCGCCAAGTACAGCGACGGGTGCTGCCCCTCGGACGGCTGCGGCCACGCCTGCCTGCCCGGCAAATACCGCGGCGAGACGACGACAGCCCGGTCAGACGAGCTCGGCCGCGCGGCGGTGGACTCGTCCCGCGCAAGAGAGGGCCCCGCGAGCCGCGGCGGCAGCAGGCGATCGAGCCCCGGCGCGCCGTACGAGCGCAGTGTCAAGAGCGACATCAACGACGTGCCGCAGAGCAAGGCCGTCGGCATGGCGAGAGAGGCCCTGAACAAGGGCGGCGGGGGGATCCTGAGTTCAAGCCCGGGCAGGTCAAGCGGTGTGGGGGACAGGGAGCGAAGGAAGAGTGTAAAGTTTGCAAGGACGGATCGTTGATTGTTTTTTTGTGTTGGCGTTTACAATACCCCCGGTTCTCATGGAGCGGACGCGTGTATTTATCCTGGGTGCTTGACGGCAGGATACTTTATGCTTTGGCGCAGAGCAAGGCTGTAGAAATTACGATGATGATACATGTGACATGGTGCCTATCTGGTGAATATCGTATAAACGTGTTGGCGCCTTGTCCCCTGAGCTACTTTGCTGTGGTCCCGTTCCGCCCAAGTTCCCCCACAACACCACATCCCATCACACACGTTCAAGTATGATGCGAGGATAGTAATTAAGTTTGCAATATGCAGCGGGGCACTGGATCAAGAGAATAGTGTTTATTTGGAACATGGTGTAGACTCTACGTCAGCGGTACGAGCGAGGACAAGCGGATGGCCAATTGTACAAAGTGCCGCCGAGCCTGCCAACACGCGTCCATCGCCACGAGGTCAAATACACCCGCTGCAGTCCACGCCTCGCGGTATCGTACATACACCGCTACGCAACATTCTCCCTCAGCCCCTTGGTGCGCAGGGTAAACCTCGCGTCGTCCCCAAACGGCAACAGCCCGACACCACTGTCCGCCCCCCAGCCGCCGTCCCCATCGCCATTCGCCTGCACGGCCGCGCTGCGCAACGCCTCGCCATGCTGGTTCGCAACCTCGCTGTCTACGCTTCCCCTCCTGCTGCCGCCGGCGCTGCTGCCGCTCTCGGGGTCGGCCGCGGCGCCCATGCGGCCTTTCAATCTGCCCGCCCACAGACCGCGCACGCCGCCCTTTTTGCGCTCGGGAACCTCGTCTGTCCCGGCGCTGCACACGTACAGGAGGTATTTGAGGTTGGGCAGCGAGTGCCGGATGTCGACGACCTTGAGGCCCTGAGACGCGCACAGGGCCTCAATGTTCTTGTTGAGCAGGAACCAGCCGTATTCGAAGCGCCACTGGGCGATTGTCGAGCCGCCACGCGGCAGGTAGAGGGGGAACTCGCGCCGCTGGGGCTGCCGCTCGGGGATGTGGGAGATGTCGTCTCTGGCGTAGGACCGCGAGCCGCAGGCCGACAGGGGGTATGGCAGCGGGCAGGAGAGGTAAAACTGCAAGTGGCGCGTGAGCGTCGCGACGAGGCCCAGCGCGGCGGAGAGCACGTCCTCGTTGATTGTCCTGGCCGTGGCGGCGTCGTATGTCGAGTTGGGCAGTGGCAGATTGCAGATTTGAAACGACAACGGAGGCGCGTTCGGGATGGGCGTGATGGGGAAGATGTCGTACAGCTCCGAACATATCCTCCGTCTCTGGCCGCGAATCTGCTGCTCCGTCTTGTGAAGCAGCGCAATGGAGGCGGCCAGCTTTTCCTTGTTGTTGGCAATGTCTTTTTCGGCTGCCGCCTGGGCTTCCCTGCCTATTGAAATGGCTTCCCTCCTGCTCCGCAGTGACTCCATCATCTCGTCGCGTCGTCTTCGGGCCGTCTTGTTTGCCCGCTGCTGTGTGGCAACGAACTTGCCGGCAAGGGACACTTCTTCATCGGCAGCAGGGGTCGGATCGCTCGGGGACTTTTCGAGGATTTGGTTGATTTGCTGGGTGATTCTGTGCTGGGTGTCGATGGCATCTTGTATGGAGCTTTCGAGGTTAGCGAGCTTCATGAGTGCGTTGTACGAAGAGGTTGCTGCTGCCGGGGGAGCATGTTTCGGGTCGGCCGTCCTGGTGGGGAAGTCGAGCGAGTATACGCCGTCCTCGAGGTGTAGTATTATGGCGTTGGGGGGGAATTGACGGTCTATTAATGTGCCGATGAAGTTGAGCCGTCGTAAGTCTATGAATTCCTGGAGGAGAAAGACCCATGATGTTTGCTGGGGCCGCTTTGCCCAGACGCGGATGCTGACGGTGCATGATCTCGAAACAAGAGGCTTGTCGGCCGAGAGGTCAAAGAATTGGAAATTAAAGTTCTACAGAAAGAGTTAGGCGCGTGGCGGACAAGACAGCACGGCGTACTGGAGCATATCATCGTACCGCGGATTGATTGCGGACTTCGCTAATGTAGATGGGCTCCTCGCACCCGGCCGCATGCAGCGAGAAGAAGACGTCTCCCACCGAGGCTTGCACCAGACTCTCGAGCCTCTTCTGGCGCGTCGAGGGATTTGCATGCGAAAGACTCAGGCTCGTCCGGCGAAGTTGAGGGGGCGGCCTCCTCTTCTCGGGGCGCAGGCCATCCCGGCGCAGGCTATCGGAGGAGCGAGAGGTGTGCAGGTGTGCGGCCTCACGCAGCATGCCGAGCTTGCTGGGGCTCCCGGGTATGACTGCATCGTCGGCGGAGTACAAGGTGGCCAGGGCAAAGGTCAGGTTTCGCAAGGAGAGACCTTTGAGATGGCGAAGCTTGCGGTTCTGGGGGAGCAGGCGAGGTCGGCGGGGCTCGGACAGCGTTGACATGATGCACGCATGCTGGAGCAGTTGCTGCGCTTTCGATGGCTCATGCCTGGCGGGACGGGGGTGAGGCCATGGGCTTGTGATGGATGTCGCGGGTTTGACTGGAGGTTGGGCGTGCCGTCATGGATTCAAGAGAAATGACATGTGGACTGTTGGTGTTGCCATTGGCAGCCGGCTTTACATGTTGAGTTGACCTTGCGCCACACGCACACGCCACTCGTCACTCGTCACTCGCCACACGGATATGGACTCATGGTCTTGATACGGCCAGCGTCTTCATTTCCTATCTAAAATTTCCCCTTTAACAACTCCAATGACCATGTAATCGACATGACTCTGGCCAGGGAGTGAAGAGTTTCGTCGTCGTTGAATGTCGCGCACCACGATCCGATTTCCATCCCTGCTCAAACTCCCTTCCCTTCCGTCGTCAACGGCCTGAATCTCGTCTGTCTTCTCTGGAGTCGCTTAATGTTCTTGTTTAGTCTCGCACTGCACGGTTCGGTGCCCAATCCTGCTCAAAATCCGCTTTCCTTCCCTCCATGAAATCCGTTCACCGCTTGAATCTCCTCTGTCCTCTCTGGAGTCTCTTCCTCGTTCAATCTTGAACTCCACGATTCGGTTTCCATCCTTGCTCAAAATCCCTTTCCCTTCCCTTCATAAAAGTCCTTAACCGTCTGAACATTGTCTGTCCTCCCTGTCGCCATGATCTCGCGCAACGTTGTTTCCATCTTTGGGATGGCCTCTTCAATTGCAGCCACGTGACTCTGCAACTGCTTCCAGTGGTCTTCTGGGAATTGGCTCTTCTGCGCTTTGAGGAGTGTCCTCATCTGATCCAAGACTTCATGCATGGTCGTGATATCCGTGTCTAGTTCCCTCTTTACAGGGCCTTCTCCCATGTCCGGGTCCTCAAGACTAGTGGCATGATGCAGCGCGAAGTCCCGAAACATGGCAGGTCGAACTGCAAGAAGATTCCGGATAACAGCAAAGTACGCTCTCTCCGCATGCTGCATAATGACGCGAACCATTCTTGGGCTCAGCTTCAAATGCCCACAGCTTTTGTTCGGCTCGCAGATCTAAGTTCCATCAGCGATTAGCTTGCATCTCGCGAGCTATTGGCTATTGGCTTTTACATACCTCTGGCGTTGCCTCTGGGCTCACTGGCTCCACGGCCATGACATTGGTGAGGTACTCTCGTCGTCCCTTGATATCGCTTGCGAAGTTGTCGCGAGACGTTCCAAGGGAAGTCCGGCATTTGACTTTCAGGCCCGACTCCTCATCAACTTCTTTCTCGACTGTCGCTAGTGTATCGTCGTCAATCTCCATGTGTCCTCCGTATAGCGAGATTGTCCCTGCAAGCCATCACGTTAGACTAGTTGATCATGTTTGCGAGCAGCTCATGTGGCGGAAGCGCATATAAAGATGATGATTGGGCGTTTGCAGTGACTCACCAGATCCGTGGCTTTGCTTGCGCAAATCGAAAAGAAACCATCCAAGGGTGTCCATAATCAAAGTGGACACGCCCGTTCGAACATGTTTGTAGTCCGGGTGCACTGGGTATTTCTTCAGTTCCTCCGAGTCTCGGAGAATAATCTCCCCATTGTCGCGATAAAACAGATGCTTCTGCTTTTGGGTGAGGGCGTACTGTTCCTCATTGTACTGGATCTCGCCAAAAACCGGGCCTTTCTTGCTCTGGATCATGGTGATGCTGGTAGTTGGTGGTGTTGATTGTTGGTTGTTGGTGGCATCCATGGTTGATGGTGGTGTTGATAGTTGGTGGTGTTGATAGTTGGTGGTGTTGATAGTTGATGGTGTTGATGGTGGTATCCGTGGATGGCAAATACTTCAAAGGATGATGAGCCTGGCATCTCAAAAGTCTAGCGAGGGCAAGAAGGCTCTTTATATAGCTGGCTGGAGCGGACACGGCCTCTGCTGTATCACACAAACCCAAGAAAATCAAGCCGTGAACAAAGGCGGCCCCGTGTGTCTGATCCAACACCCCGATGTGCACTGCTGCTTGCACTCTGGCACTGCCCCCAGACAAGTCGACAAACGGGATTGACTGAAGCTCCAACGACCAATGCTCGGAGGAAGGGCCTCCATTCACTGCCGGCGCAAAGCATGCTGTTGTTGGTGAACATCTGACGAGGGTCCCAACTGTCGTACAACGGTTAAGCCATGCTGCGCGTGACAACGCTACCAACGAGGTTGCGAGGTTGGATGCGCGGACTGTCCTTTATCCAACTTCTGTTCATGAAATGATTTCTTCTCTTGGAAATTCACCGGGCCCGAGTGCTTTCAAGTTTCAATAATCGGTCCCTGCTGACGCCCGGCCTTATGAACGCCCACGTGTGCGCCTTGGACTCTGCCTCATCCAACAAAGAAATGTCACCCACCACTTACATGCAACCTGAGGCCGCCAAAAAAAAGACCAAAAGTACAAGTCCTGGACTTTTCTTGAACAGGCTTTTATATCTTAAAGCACCTTTGCGCACAGGCCGTCCCATCGGTTCAGAAGCGGCAAACGACACGTCACTTTATGACATGTTACACGTCTACCATGACTGCTTCTTTTGCATTCTTGGCCACCATGCACATCAGCGGAGCGTCTGAGCGAACTCTCTCTCACGTCGTACAACTCCATTCCGTTTTCAAACACAAACCAAACAGTAGCTCTTTGATCCGCCTTGTCTACCCTGGTAGCTGGACGTTTCTCGTTTTCGAGTCGAGCCGCAGGTCATAACCATGTCGGCTGACACGGATCTCGGCAGTGCATGTTCCCCTTGCCGGCGAGCAATGCCGCATGACGACGTTGTGGTGCCCATCTTGAGCTGCGAATGCAAGTGCCCTAGGATTACTTCGTACATCAACCCGTGATCGTAGCCCTCATGTAACCGTGTGACGCAAACCATTGGTTGATTCACCTGTTTCTAAGGTGCACACTGAATACACTGAATAACGGTGATATTACGTAGCATATGTCATGTGAGGAACATGCTTTAATCGAACAGCAACTGAACACCTCTATTCGTCGGCAATATAAATGACGTATTTATATAATCCACGTCCGATGTGGGACCTGAAAGAAAGATATAAGTCTATTTTGAAGCATCCAACTCGTTTACTCTAGATGATTATGATAAATTCTCAGCATAATTGCGCCAACTATATGCCAACATATTATTGGTACCGTCGACGTTCTAACAGCTTTGTTCGCTCTCGTTCCAGGCTTTATATTCGCCATATAAGGTAGCTTACTTTCCACGCCTTCGATTTATCTAGCTTAAATCACCACAGAATGTGACAGGAAGTGCATTGATCGTGCTGCTCATTGTATATATTCATTCCATTATTGAAACGCGCCTGGCAAGGCCTAGCTCACCATGTCTGACAAATTGTGATTCTTTATCTCAACGTCTCGCAAAACCTATTTGATAGTAAACTCAGTACGAGATTCCCAGCACATCAAACTCATTCGAACGGATATGACAACGCTTGACATTGTTCCAAGGTGCCTTTAGCCGGAACGACTCCAGCACGAGTGAGCTGTTTCTTGATTTCCGCCTGACTTAATAGGTAACGAAGACGATACTCATGTGACCAGTAATATGTCTTATTACTGCACGTAAAAGTTGAATTAAGAGATGGAACTGGATTCGAATGCCGTTCAATCGTCTGCTGGAGAAGCCTTGCAGCTTCCTGTTTCTGACCCAGTTTGGCGCACGTCGCACATAGGTGTCTCAATGCCCTTACCGAATCGCGATTCGTACACTCAAATACTTCCAGTCGTTTCCTTAATACCTGACGCAGAAGTTGCTCTGCTTCTTGTAGTTCATCCAAGTGGTAGAGAGCAAGGCCTAGGCTTTCCTCTGCTAATAGCGTGAGGTCACATTCGATCCCCTGTGTCTCCTTGGCCATTTCCAAGGCCCGCAGCCCAGCAGCCTTAGCCTCTTCAAAATCATTTAAACGATTATTTGTATCACACAGGGATACCATTGTCCGTATTATAACGGGACAGTACTTATCTATATCATTCTTCTCGTATCGGTCCACCACCCCGAGCAGAAGTCTTTTCGCTTCACGAAGGTAAGCCTCTCTCACCTCAGGAGTGTCAAAGTTGAGATCGAGGTAATCCATTGTGCCGGCAAAGTAATTGTAACAATGAGAAAGAATGAGCTGACACTGCAATGATAGTTCTAATGACTCTTGTATGGTTATTTTTTGACCATGCACCGGAAACGTAAGCTTGTGTTCCTCGCGTTGACGATCAGAGGTTAGAATTTCATTACTTATTTCCGGCAACGAAACATTCGGTCCCTCCAAATGATGTATCTTGGTACAATACCAAAATTGCGTCGTAATTTTCAGCTGTTGCTCCGCCTGCCGCCGAACACGATCGTCCTCGTCCAGAGCATCAATGCTTAGCGCACATGCACATCGTGCCATAGTCTTCGCTTCTTCTATATTGTCTGTCGAAATATATGCTTTGGATATGTCCGTCATAATCTCCAGCGTCTCGGGGTGGCGGTAACCTAGCTCTGTCACCCTACTGTCGAGCAACTTCGGAGTATGTTTGAGGACTGCCTCGGCGTGGCAGCAGGTCCAAAAGCAGTGGCTCCTGCCTTCAGGATTTGGGCCTACTCCTGAAACTAACTTGAGAGCTTTGGCAATATACCCGTCAGTCTCCTTGTGGGCATTTAGCCATGCTTTGGTAGATAGCTGTACCAGTCGATGCATCTCAAAGCTCTCGCGGGACTTGTCTGCGGTGAGCAACCGAAACGACCTCAGTGGCCCTAAATCTTTGATGAAGTCTACCCCTGGCTCTTTACCCCTTGAAAAACATGAGCATGAGATTTGTTGTCTGTCTAGATAACACATCTGTGACAAGAGCTCTGCAGAACGAGGCTCGCGCTTCTTTAGCAGATCAAACGAGAGACTGAAACTTTTAATAACTGAATGCGGGACGTCGCTGTATCGTCGTTCGTCATGTAAGTCATCGCTCAATAGCTTGATAGACTCCTCTTCGTCACTTGTTAGGAGTCTGAGGTAGTCTGCCATACTGATTCCGTTCTCCAGAATAAATGCAATAGCTTGGGTGATTGCTAAAGGCAAGTATTCCAAGTTCTTTAACAGCGGAAGCAGTACGTTTTCGTCCATGTATTCTTGTAGTTTTATCCCAAACAATTTTTTAGCCTCTTCAACGGTCATTTCCCCAACATCGATGGAGTTCAGGTTGCAGAGTGTCCTGCCAGCCCGCCAGTCCTGAGTTGTGACGAGCACGGAGCAACGTTTGGTGTCAGGAATATATTCAGCTAGCACTAGTTGATGGGTTACATGGTCAGCCTGTCTGCGATAGTATATCGGCAACGAAGCCAACGATTCCTCGGTGTTGATTTTACGGTAAGGAGTGGGACTAATGAAACCAATCCGTACCTTTACGAGAAAACTTCTCTGATGCAAACGCTTGCGGCGAGCGAAGAAGCTCGGCATCGTCATTGCTGTCTATTATCAAAAACCAGGGGGCATTCGCTCCATTTTTTAGCCACTTATGAACCAGGTGAAGTATCTCATCAGCCTGGCTATCCCTTTTTGTAAGGATCTTTAAGTTTTCGGCAATATCTCGATAGGATTGTATGAAAGTCGTAACACTGCTAGCAATGACCCAGAATATCCGGGTCTTCGGGTCGCGTTTCTTCACGCGATTGGCAAATTCGACCGCAATCTGTGTTTTTCTACAAGAGAGTCAGAAAAGTTCTGGGCATATTGCGTCGCACGGAAGGGGGATACACCAACCCGACTCCGCTACGGCCAACTAAAGCCAGTCGACTGTGCTTCGCGCGTCGCATCAACTTGCTTGCAAGTGTTTTGAGAATGTCTTCTCTCCCGACAAATTCCGGGTCTTCGGGGAAAGGTACGGTTGAGCATTGAGTATCGGCGGCTTGTTTTGCAGTGTCTTGATGGTGTTAGTCTAGATGAGAAGCTACCTTGACGACATTTGCTTTGTACTAACCACACCTTGCTTTCGCCGCTTTGCTTTTTCCAACCCTCGCCGCAGGAATAACTGACAGCACCTCTTTTGCACATGCCGCTGCTGTTCCCGCGGCGTACGCTTGCCACATCTTGTTCTTGTGCGAGTCTGCGTAATCACAAATACCGCGGATCACAAGACATGGAGCGTTATTCATTAAACCCGCTGCCTCCATTTCAAAGCAAAGGACCCCACCAAGGCCCTCACTTACACAATCTCTTGTCACCGCATCTCTCATGACCTTATTGCCGGATGCTATTGTCCCGTAGTGAATCACAAACTTCTCAGGACTCTTGCGTGGTTCCCTTTGCACTATTCGCTCTTCGCTGCATGAATGGCACACCTGGCCTTCTTCCCCAACGTGCTTGTATCCTGCTTCATAGAGAACATCAGGCATGTCTCCGTCGCGTTTGAATTCCGGAATACGCTGAAGCTGAGTCATGAAGTCCAGAGAACGGCTTCTTCGTAGAAGACGATTACTTTGTAGCTCGCTGACGGCGTTTAAAAGGACCTTAGGTGGACAACCAAGGTATCCCGTACGCTCAAATCCACCAGGCTTCTCTTTGCCAAAGTCATACTGGACTACTCCGCCATACTGTTCAACTGGCTGGCTGATAACGACATCACCAAGCCGAATATCTTTGGCCGCCCTGGGAACCCCTCCTCCAATGCCGACCAACAAAACGAACCGAATTTCTCCAAATGAAGCCTTCATCTGGGTCACAAGAGCAGCTGCTGAGTTGGTCCCAGTCTGCCCAGCCGGCAAACACGCGATTACAACGTTATGCCGGCAGAACGTTCCAAAAGTGTATAAAGTATCGTCATTTCGATTTGGACTATATGCTTTGTGTTCCTCGTCCAATAGTCCCCGCGCTGCGACTTTTTCGATCGGGAGGGCACACACCCATCCTACTGTGTACTTCCAGGGGGGCAGAGGTTGGCGACGACGATCCATCGTGACACGGCACCGCCTTCGCTCAAAAGCTAGGCGGGCAAAGGGGGCAGTCGATGAAAATATCAGACCTCAACGGCGGAAATATCTCCTCGTTTCTCTAGTAGCCTAGGACGGCTCCTGGATACTAGTTTCACCTAGCTGCTATTGGATTCCCAGATGTTAGCACATCGATGCACTGTGTTTACCGGGCGTGTATTGCAGTATGGAATACCATTCAGCGCCCGGATTCCGAACTGCGCTGGCCACAGAGAGTGTGAGAGCTCGAAAACTTTATATTCCAAAGTGAATATACACGCTCAAGTTTGCTGTAGGATAAATCTGGAGGAAATTTTATGTAGAAAGTTGCCCCTCGTAGACGGAAATGATCAAAAGGACCTCTGGCCTCGATGCCCAAGAACAGCCACCCATCAGGCAGCAAAAATGACAAGAAAAAAGCCTCATGAGATGTGGGCTGGCACAAGTGTCTAAAAATACCCCTTGTTTTAGGAACAAGGCTTGGAAAGGTCACACGGTACGACGTACAGAGGGGCTAGAACTTACACAACAGGCCTAGCCACAGCCTCTCTCTTCCCTCCTCCCTCCTCCCATCTCAAGTCATAATTTACGAGTTGGAACGCCTTTAGAGCCTGTTGCTATTGATTTTCATGCAGACTTTCCTTGAATAGTTACTATGCTCTTGGCCACATTTTGATCCAACACTACTCCGTACCGATGAAGTGTCATCCTGCGGATGCATTGGTATTAGTCTTTGTCCATGGTCGGACCGGCCCGGAAGACCCACCGGCCGGCCCGAGCCGTGTACGTGGACAAATGTGGGGTTGGTGCAAGTTGGACAGGTTTTCTTGTGCTCTCGCCACCGAGCCTGTACTATGCAAGCCGGACACGCGCGACATGGTGTGCAACCTTTATGCCCCTGGCTAGAAGCTGGTGTAAATGTTTTGTGGGGAGGTTATCTTCAAGAAGTCAGCTTCCTAAATACGTTTTCTCCGCACTATTCTCTACATTAATACCAGCATGGTAGAGTAGGGAAAAAAATGTAATCAAGGGAATGAAAGTTTTTGCCTATTTCAGGATTGAGGTTCCAACTCTCACCTTGCTGGTGAGGTCTTGGGCTCGTCGTGATGAAGGGGAGGGAGCCAGAAGCCGTGAAACCCCCAATATCACTGACGTGGAGCGTGAACGGCGCGGTGTGACACGAAACGGTCCTATATTTGAAGTTGAAATGCGACAAGTCATAGAAATCTAACAAAGTTGACTTGGCTCCGTAAAGCAAATGTATGGTGGTGAGTGGCAAGATGGTACGACCCAGTGTTGGGCAGAAATTGTACCATGTTTTCCTTCGTTGTTTTGGAACGGCCATGTTGAGGTCCTAATGATTGCCAGAACTAGCAGCTGTCGTGGGAATTTCTTAGCGCCTGTCAACTTTATATTCACTTCTAGCTGTGATTTTGAGACGCGCCAGCGGGGCTTGTGCGCCTGTCTCGTTTTCGAGCATTTAATCCGAGTTCCAGCGTTGGCATTGTCGCTCTACATGTGCTAAGTGTCCATTGACCATGAGGGTCGGACTCGGTCTTCATACACTTACCTTTTTCCACTTTCGGCGACTTCGTCGCAAGTGTGTTTGTTCATGGCCAATCCTACGGGCAGGGCGGTCAAATGCAATGTCACCATCTGCGCCCAAGGTAGTCTTGAATTCTTACTTGTCCCGTTCTACGACCACAGCGTTTCATTCGGCCCTTCACGGCCAATCGAAGAATGCCAACTCTCAAAGAGGTTCACGTGTCGCAGTCGACATGCATAATCCGACAGATTCCGTCAGAACGCCTTGGAAAACCCAATAAAAGACATTTTACATGGCAAGAATTGGCAGGACTCAAGCTTATATTGCATCACCAAGTACGTGCGTAATCTACAACCACTTAATTGACTTGAGTCACGGTTCTATTTGAAGATGCAAAATGGCGGGTAATCGCAATGACTGAGGCCAGAAAGAGAGCCAAGATGTGCATACTTTTAAGCTGGATATCGGGGAAATTCGGCCAAGGGCCGCTATTTCTGTGTCTTTTTGCTCCATGGCTCAGTGGCTGAGCCTGATAACTACTCTGGCAGTTTATACAAGGCCGTCTTGTTTGCAGTTGCTAAACAATAGATGTTTTGGCAGAGGTGCTCCGGCGTCAAATGTCAGGTACCTCTCTGATATATAGATGTCGAAGCTGTAGCCAGTCAAGGTTTGATCAACTGTCATTTTGACTACAGCTCCACATCTTGTGTGTCTGCTTTGCGGGTATTCATAAGCAAATTTTCCCGATTTCCTGAGAGGTTTCTGTGCCTATATAAAACCACCAGTATTAGCATGACCAAATACCTTAAGAAGTGCGCATTTCTCGTGAGCAGGGAACAACTTCACGGATATCATCATCTCTAGTTAAAGAAAAACGAGAGTAAGTATAATCCACTATTGAGATCCCATCCCCATGTAACTGGCCTCGACAGACTAGTCGGTTTGCAAATAGAAATATGGAAACATCAGTTTGATTGTATCACTTAGCCATTGATACCTCTCCATCGCATACAGACAGCCAACTAGTTTGGCATGTCGACATCAGCTGCTAGCAGGCCCCCTTCTGTTCTAAACATGCCGGGCTCGGCATGAGTCTCATCATATAACCAATACAGCCGGTCAATAGCGCCGTCCTGACTCGTCGATCCAAATCTAATCCTGTAAGATTCCACAGGACGCGTCTGAAATCTCCCACGCCTCGCAGGCACGTCATGAGGTTCATTCCACACAAAAACATCGTGGTGAAGATGTCGAAGACAATAAGTCTCGCTAGGCATGCCTTGAAAACACATACTCAACGTTTCGTCACTCTCGACGGTAACGTCTATGCGGAAGCTCTTGGATTCATGCCAGAATCTGCCTACATACTCCTTCAATGGCCGAGGATTTGTCCCCCTTTCCCGCGATCGCTGTAGCTCCTCCTCAACCTCATCAGCGAGCTTTACACCTCTAGCCGCCGATACTGTCGCCAGCTGCACAAAATCAATATCGCACTGTGGCAATCCCGAGAGGATAGTTTGCACCAGCATCTGCGGCACCCAGTCGCAGGCATCACACAGGGCGGATGAATTCTGCAACGCAAATACAGCCGTCTCGGTCTCGGGAAGCAGGTACACGGCCGACGTGAATCCCTGCATGCTTCCTCCGTGATAAACCACCAGTCGAGACGGGAGCCCACGGCCAATCACAGGCATAGCGGGGACAAGATGCTTGTTATAGTTGAAGGACCCAAGAGGTGATGGGAGTTGTGTGCGAGCCCATGCTAGTGCGTAGGATGTTTCGCGCATGGAGTGCACGGGAAGCTGATTATGCGGACTCCAGATTGTAGACAGCTGCTTAAAGGGCGAGCCGGGCGTGCTCGTACGCTGGTGGTTGAACTGGTCATTTGCGGCATGCATTAGATTTTTGTAGAAGCGCGCAAGATCATTCGTACAACTGCGCACTCCTCCCGAGGCAGCCATGATAGTCTTGTCGGAGATGGTGGGAACAGGAACCTCGACTGGTGTGCCGTCTTTGAGAGGAAAGTAAGCCTTGGCTGCGTTGGGATCTTTTGAAAATTCGTCATTAAGAGAAGTGCGCGTCATGCCTAGCGGTCCAAAGATCTTTTCTTGGAGATTAGCGCCGAGAATTTTGCCAGTTGACTCTTCGATAATTCGCCCAACCGTCTCGAATGCAAAATTGGAATAGAGAAAGTCGGCGCGGAAAGCTCGGACTGTTGGCTGAGAGATCCATGCATCGAGCGCCTCGGACTTGGACAGGAGGATGTTGCCGGCACACTGCAACCAAAGGGCATCCGCTTGAGCCATGCCGATTCTATGGGACATTAGATCAACCAGAGTGATTTCACTTCCTCTGCCGTCAAATGCGTGGGCTAGCTCTGGCAAGATGTGAGATACTGGCGCCTTCCAGTCGAGAGTTCCATCTTGTACCAAGATGCCTACCAGAGCCGAGACCATCGCTTTCGTCATTGATCCAATAAAGTAAATTGTGTCTCCATCTGGGAGCTTTCCATCTTTCACGCTGGCATGTCCAACGTGGTGGGAGTAGACTTCAGTCCCGCGGTGAAGGACACTGATTGAGAGCCCTGGAGCGCCGGCAATGCGGCATATTTTCGATATGAGGGCTTCTTGGGCTTCTAGATTGTGCCTCAGCTTCATCCCACTGTCGTGCTCCATTGTCGGTTGTGGAATTCGATATGACGAAGTTAATGTTGAAGGGGAACGGATGGGATGGATTGCAAAATATTGAGTGATTCACAATGTTGAGAGGTCAGCGGGAAGAGGAAGACAAACTATACGACTGCTCTTTTTTTTCCCATTTGCTTACCCCAGACGTTGTGTGAAGCAATGTGCAATCCTGCCCTGGCTGGACAAAGAGAGCACTGACCGGTTGTCCCGCCCGTAGTCGGCCAATGGTATCAATTGATGCCATTCAATGTTCTCTGGACAATGTTCGCTAGTGGCTTAAAAAGAGAATAAGTATTCTCGTCAAAGGGTCGTAACTAAGAATCTTGCCATCTAGATATAGCTGTGTACGCTACTAGTTCATCGTGATACAGCTTTGGGAAAATGTCCTTTGCGTATTGTTTCCAGTCCGTAGTAGCAGGACGCTGGAAGAACTTAACATAGTCCCAGTATTCAGGATACCATCCACCGTCCTCCCAGTCTACCAGTCCCGTGATCTTCCCGTCCTGAACCAAGATGTTTCTGGGAGCGAGGTCGCAGTGCGAGAGGACGATACGGTGGTCGGTTCGCAAGTGCAGGGAAAGCGCCTCTCGGACCGCTTCGGGCGTAATTTTAAACAGACTGGACAGCAGAAAACCATTGAACATTTCCTCGTCGCGACAAGGAGGGTGATGGTAGGTATTGAGAACTCTAGTATCCCGGATTTCCGTGCCATCACAAGCACCGATAAGCTCACAGGGCGGGGCAATCGATCTCATCTGCTCCAGAATCTCGCGAAGCTGGCGGCATACGTCTTTCTTTTCCTCTACCGACATGGCCGGCCACAGCTTGTCAAGGGACTCGCCTTGAACATAATCCATGTGGATCTCGCTTTTGCCGTCGGGAAATGTCTTGGCCCGGTGGACAAGGGGAACTGGGAGGCCTGCCATCCTGGCCACTCTCATTGCCTCGGCCTCGCCAAGGGCTAGACGCTTCCCCGACTTTACGACAACGCCGTCAGAACGGTGGACGACCTTGCGATGGAACAACTGATGCAATATCACAGCATCTAATGAGCATACTAAGTCAGCTGGCCGCAGCTATGTACCAAAACGCTCTGTGGTCGAACCAACCTGGTTCATGCTCCTCATCAGTCTCAGATTCATCAGAAGATCTTGCTTGACCATTGGCAATTCTTCTCTCTCTAAGTTTGACACGGTAAAGGGACTCGCCCGGCCGTTTGCCTCGTGAACGCGACACGGCATGCGCCGCTATATTTGGACCGGACGTATTTTGCATCATGACTGTACGGGACACAATTAAGCGGCGTGCGAAGCAACAGGTCAGTGTTTTGAGATGTGAGGAAACATGGCAGAGAATATAAGTGCGGCGCAGTCGCAGAAATCACAGTTGTTTAATCGAGCGCGCTCATTTCAGAAGGCCCGGTGACCCAGAGGATGAAGCAGTCGAAACGAAATAAAAAGAGTACAAAGTAAGGCTTGCGCAGAAGGTACTTCTATTTCCACTCACCTGGATTCGATTTCAACTTATCACGTGTTGCACCGTACCTAATTGGTTTAAAAAAGCTGATAGCTTGAAACAGTCTGGTAAATAGTGGGTTCGCTGTACTAGTCTGGTAGTACTAGTGGCAACTTCTATGTATGACGAGAGAGCTGTTATTGGTAAGATACATATATCCGCGATTCCATTAAAACATAAATATCGACATTTAATAGACCAACTACAGATCTAGGAGACAGTAGGCTATTGGATTCAGGGCGATACCGGGAAGATTCTAAAGGAAGAGCGTCAACATTATCAATAAAGGGGTCTCTTTCAAAGTTGCAGTCTTAAGTAGTCGGCCAGAAACCTATCAAAATACAAAAATCTTGAACGTGTTCAAACTTGCAGCAACGGTAAGTGCATATATCTTTCAGCCAACACGCAATAAAGCCCTCTTGTAGTAAACTGCCACCGGCTCACTCCAACCCGTCAATTGGTCACATGTCTGCAACCCTCAAGTCTCCCAAGCAAAACACCTCCCACAGCCACATTCAACTTCATGCCGCATATAGAAACCAAAACTCATGCCTCGTCCTCACCTACTCGCCATCAGGCATGCTCACAGCCAAAGCACAAGTCGCCCCAGCATCGACCGTCAAAACCGTCCCCGTAATCCACCTCGCCTCACCACCGGCCAGAAACCGCACCGGTCCAGCACAATCCCACGCATTCCCCTCGGTCTGCAACAGACTCCTCCGCCTCCTCGCCTCCCTCACCTCTGCCGACATGCCCCCCTCGGCATCATACACCATGGGCGTATACAACATCCCTACAAAGTCAGCACAGGACTCCCCCAAGATACAAACTAAAGTAAAGTCTCACCAGGACAAACGCAATTCACCCTCACCCCATCCTTAGCATGGTGCGCCGCCATAGCCCTCGTCATATTCACCACGGCGCCCTTACTCGTCGGATACAACAGACTCGGCGTGCCACCACGCAGGCCCGCCACCGACCCCAGATTCACAATGCTCCCGCGCACGCCGGCCTCAGGCTCATTATCCCGCATCGCCGGCACCGCATACTTAGCCATGAGCATCATGCTCGTGACATTGACCTCGAGGCCCCTCGCCCACCGCGCGGCATCCACGTCGACCGCCGTGCCCGGGGGCCCCAGCACCCCGACGCCGTTCACCAGCACGTCCACCCGGCCAAACACGCGCAGCGCCGCGTCCACGACCCGCGCGCACTCCTCGGCCGACGACACGTCCGCCGCCACCGCCAGCGCCGACGCCCCCTCGTTCTCCGCGAGCACCAGCTCCGCCGTCCGCTGCGCGAGCGCCTCCTCGCGGTCCACGCAGACCACCTTGGCCCCGTCCTCGGCGAGCAGGAGCGCGATGGCGCGCCCGTTGCCGATCGTCTCGCCGCGGCTGCCGGCGCCCGTGACAATCGCCACCTTGCCTTTGAGGCTGCGCGACGGGCGGGGCGGGTTGGCGGCCGACATTTGATCTTCTTGTTTTTGGAGGGAGGGGGTTGGGTTGGAAAACGTACCGACTTTCTTTTCTTGCCAGGCAAATATATAGGCGCACGTGATTCGTGTTGTGGTGTGGTTTGGGCAAAGTATTCGAGTTTGAGGATAATATATTATAATGCTGTGCCCAATCGGTGCCTCGGCACTGGTCGGCTACCCTGGGGTTCCTGGCCGGATGCTACACTCCCTTTTGTCGGATTCAAATTTACACAACGTCCAGAGTATTACAGATTCAGACAAGAATCCGCAACCAAGTACATAGTGCCTGGCCTCGTCGTTGAAAATAACATACGAACCAAGGCATCTTATACAACGGTCGCACACTGCCGGTCCAAGCAAACGGCCAAGTAAATACGCTTGCAACAACACGGCAGAAGTTGGACTTCGCTGGGTATAACTCTATTACCTATGTACTTAGCTAGCTGGTACACAGAATGTCCTGATGCGCTGAGCCTTGCTGCCGTCCAACCCTTGCCCGAGTCAAATTGAAGTGTATCAGCCCTTGTGAAGGAACAGCCAGATGCCAATATAGAGATGTCTCTATATAAATACGCCACGAGCCTAAACATAAAAAACCAAAGGAAAAATACAGAAAAAGAAAAGAGTTCAACAATTCATGGGACTGCCTCGGATGGCGTGTCCTTCTTCCGCCGTATGCTGCCAAAGCGCCGCTTAAGCCCGTCGCCCAGCTTGTTGCCGGTAGAGTGAGCTCGGCGCAAGTCCCCATCTGGGTTATTCTTGTACGTAACGCCACTGGACAAGGCCTCAGCAGAATGCTGACTGACGCTGCGCTGGTGACTTGCCGTCCACCTGGAGAATCTGTTGGTGCCAGGTGCCATCTCGAACGCATCCGCCTCGCTCAAGTGATGTCGATGGCGTCTTCCCTTCTTCAGGTCGCGCTCCAGCGTGAAGGATGATTCACCCTTGCCTTTGAGATCGTCTGGGTGGTATTGCTACCTACAACGTTAGCTTTTTACTCGCTCATCGATGTAGAAATCCGACTGACAATACCATCCCATCGCTTGTACGCGCCGCCCGCGGCATCAGGCTCTCGCATCAAATCGGCACCTTCTTCATAGTACATGATTCGGCCCCTCATGTCTGGCGCGCCGCTGGGAATGGAGGCGGTGCCTTGGAGGGGAACGTGTTTTATCAATGAATCCATGATATTCTCTCGGGGTGTGGCACGAATGGCCTCCATGTTGGAGTCTTGAACAGCCGCGACGGGTGAGTACTTTTTGTTAAGGTTACGGCTACGCAGAGTCGCATCGTAGGGACCGCCATGGTGGTAGGCGCCACCAATTGTGTCGAGGGCGTCAATTGTGTCCGTCTCTGAGATGCGCTTGCGATGGCGATGAGGGCGCTCGGCAGCCCTTGTATCGCGTTTAATCATGTCAAGAGGACGGTGAGACATGTCTCCAGGAAATCGCTCAGCAAGTCGAGCCTCCGAGCTGGATTTACGATTGCTGTTATTCTTCTTCTTATTAGAGTCCGTAGAATTGCTGGCGTTCTGACGGATTCGACGGGCTTTGTCAAGCTGGTTGCGCGGATACTCCGGATAGGACTGACGGCCCCACGTAGTCGATGAGGAATTGGCGGAAAGGCGGGCGTAGCGCGGTTGACACTGGGGTGGAGAGTGAGTGTTGTTTTTGCAAAGGGCGTTGTTGTTGTCGCCGGCGGAGCTTGTGCTGTTGCGTTGTGATGGAGACGTAGGAGGGGTGGCGGCGGAAGAAGTTGTCAAGGCAGCGGTAGAAATAGATTCAGACGACGCTCGTGTCGATTGCTGGGAGCCGTTTCGATGGCTGGAGAGGTGGGACGATTCGCTGGATTGGCGTGACTGATATGACGTCGCAAACGGGCTGGACGGAAAGACGTCGAAGCTGCGACGAGTGGGGCTGGCCGAAGATGGAGGGGTGGGATATGGTTGATGGGGCGTAGCGCTGGTCGAGGGCCAGTACGCCGGGATGCCTTGCAAGCCTTTCAAGAGCCAAGGCCTTGGCCTGTTCTCCTTCTTCTTTGCCGCAGGGGAAGGCGGTGGTGATGCAGCAGACGTAGCAGACGCAGCAGAGGTCGCAGCGGCAGTCTGGGCCTCGAGCCTCTCCTTGGCCGCAGTGATGTATGGGTTGACGTGGGAGCTGCCAAGGCCGGTCTCTTGGTTGGGTTCAGGCGCAGTCAAGGGTTCCAGAAGGTATTTATGGGCCTGTCGTCGTCGCTATCGTTAGCATATACGGGCAAGGGTGGAGGAGAAAGTTGGCAAAGATGGCAGTGTGATGCACAATGACAGAAAAGAAGACTTTAAATGAAAGTGAGCTGATGAAGACAAGGACATGTCAAGTCTGGCGTGCCCAGTCCGCGATTGGACGTGTACGTAAGCGAGCATTGCTTTTGGAAGTAACAATCATGGCAAGTGCGATGACGGACACGTCGACACATGCTTGCCAAGGACCCCCCCCACCGAGCAACGCTTCCGTCGTTTCGTCCCGTCAAGACTGTTTCTCGTCTGTCTGTTTCGCTGGTGACGTAACCCGGCGGGCAGGGTCCATCCGTCCATCGGTTCCATGTGGCAGATCCATGATGCATGATGCATCAACCCTTGGGACGTTGACTAATCCCGGTCTCGGCGCCATGGCTTAGCACTGATGACGACCACGGCCTGCATCATCATCGCAAACCCGGGTGGGTTACGGTCAGCGACGCGACGCGCCAACTTGGAGACTGCACACACCAGCCATGTCTGCCAGACAGCATCTCTCGGACTGCCGACGCTCTCTCTGCGGCACTTGCCACCGACCCAGGGCCGGCATGTCCCCATATCCCCAGCGGTAGGCCCTCCTGTGAGCAACCGACGACGACGAAATGAACTCGACCTTACCCATTGCTTGTCATAGGACGGCCCGTACTCGTCCGCATCCTTGCGCGCCCTGGAAGCTCCTTCTTTCCTGCCCCCTTTACGGAGCAGGGTCTCGATACCCATGTTGCCGGCGCGATGGTAAAGTGGCGGAAGAGAGATCTGACTCTTTTTTCATATGTTGAGGCGTGCTGCTGGTTTTGGTGGTCGAAACGAAGCGCCCTGTTTGTCAGCGGTTCGACTCAGTCAACAAGCAGAAAGGGGATCAACTGAACCGGCCGTAACACACAGCAAGAGAAAGGGCGACAAATGAGTGACGGAGAGGAATCCAAACACCAGTCTCCTTTTAATACTATCAGATACGCACAATGCCGTGGACTACTAGCCTCTATCCACAAAGCTTACTCGCCAGCCATGTCCAGCCCAAGCGTCCAAAATCCCGAGGTACAGACACATCAAGGGTGCTCGTGCAGCTACCTTTGCTACCACCAACGCCTCCACCAAACTTGGGTATTTTGGAAGGAGAGCATGGACGGAGGGTTCATGTGCATCGCGGAGGCGGCACTGGCGGTGGCATGGTGGCAGAGCGGCATGGCGCCGAGCGGGACTTTAGTGACATGTTGTTGTGGGGAAACAGCCGCAATCTTCAGTCAGGTCTTGGTGGTCCATGTGGGATGTCCCAACTTGCTGAGCGGTGGGGATTTGGAACCTGACTTTCTCCGATTGTTTATGGGAGAATGATCAAAAGCGCTCCCACGGCGCGGCCACAGCAACCGTTCAAAAAGTCTTCCCTTTCCAAAACAGTATCGCCAAAACTCCCGATGTCCCATCTACAACCTCACAAACCCCCCGGCATCCGCCCCCCCAATGTCCCCACCACAAAGCTACACAAGCGCGGGGAACTCCAACAAGAAGGTCAGGTGAGACATGACAAGCGCCTATCCAAGGGTGACAGCGGGACGCCGAACCCTTGCCAAGCCCACATGTGCAAGTCTCATGGATATTTCCGCGCTAACTTCACACTCAAGTCATTCAAAGTGTACATGTAGCCAACAAGACTTGCCCTTGAGTATGGCGGTGACCAGATCTAGCCCAGTGTGTGTATTTAGCGTCCAAGGCACGGAGTACCAAGGGAGGAATACAACCCAACCATGAGACTGTCGGGCAAGCTATTTTCTCCAGCACTGTGTCGCCTGCCGGCGGCCGCGATAGACGCAGGCGCGGCGCATCCATGTCACATGCATGTAGGTTCATTTGTGGACCATGTCTTGCCCGAGGTTAAAAACAGAACAAATGTGTGACTCGGGCAAAATTTGACGTTTATTTCTATTTTCACTTTTTTCACGTTTGGCAGCAGACGAAGGGCATATCTCGACTGGCCAGATGGCGTTCAAAATTGGTGTTGATTTTTGTGCGCACGTGGTAGCCCTAAGTTAGCTAAGCGACATGGCCGTCCTCCCGTGCCTCAACCTACCCTTTTGCGACACTCAATGTTGAAGCTTATTGACTTAAGTAAGAACAGGATTTTGCCATGGTGCCTGGCGCTGCAGTGCCCACTCGGACCATTGTCTAACCACCACTGTCGAGCACAGCAACCTCGCAGGCCAAAAGGGTATGGCCAGATTCCCGACGCTGTCATCACCATTCACGAGAAAGCTTGCTACATGTCACTGTGAACTTAAAACTGTCGCGTGCATGGGATAGCGCATGTGATTCTTGTTGGTGGTGTTATTGTTGTTGTTGTTTGGCAGTGAGACTTTTTTCTCCAAGATCTGTACCTTGATGCTGAGGAACTAGTGATATGCCCTATGCAGTAGACTGAGAATTGTCCCTCCAAATCGTCGACAATGCACCGTGTTGGGTTATATCGGTGGATTTATGCTCTGTCCGGAGCTACGAGGATGCTTTTTCGATGTCACCGCGTAAGGAGGCGCACGCATGATCAGGGCTGCTTTGCAAAAAAACTAATTATAGTGATAGGAGGCTCTTGGCAGAGCAACTATACAATTTGCTCTTCAATTACCCTTCAGATCTGTAGAAAGAGTCCTGGGTTTCTTGCTAGATAGATTGAATGATATGGACAAGTTCTGGTCCGTTAAAACGTTCACAACGGCCACTGCGCGATACGAAAACGACGGGCCCGATTGAAGTGGTGATGTAGGCACGTGCCTGATCATTATGTGACGCAATTGGTGGTATTCTTATGTTTGTGTATTCATCTCCAAGAATGAATCCAATCTCTAGCTGACAACTAATAAAATTCAACATATGAGAAAGATGATCTGGCCTGTGGACAAATATGCAGGACACGCGGCTGAGATCCTAGAGTCGAATCTCGTCCCGTGAATTTGACTGCTGTTCAGTTTCCCTTTTTTGTCTGCTTGATAGATGATAGAGCTCGAATTCAATATGTGTAACCTTAATCAAGTGAAGTGCCCAGGTACGCAGGATCCGCGTGTCGATTGTCATCTGTTTTGAGGCCATGCAAATAAACTTGAATGTATTACTTCCGGATTCCATTTAACCAAAATCTTTCCCTAGGCCAAAGGTACTATATCTGGTTGACTTGTATTTCTTCATCTTGTCATCGACTCCTTATCTCGGCGGAGGTACCCACCCAGTCACTCACCGCAGGTCAACAGGTCTAGACTTGCTCCACCCACATCCGGGAACAAACGACCAACTCTGCTTCGACACGAATGAGGAGCTCATCAACACACTGCCAGCCTTGCCTTGCGCCTTGAGCAGTCTGATTCCAGTCCAGCAATGTATGCACAAGATCATTAGGCGCAACCCTCTACTGGGCCAGGTTCAACGAACAAGCGCGCCGTTGACGGCTGTGGACCTGCAACCAGGGCCATCATTCATCGGTGATGGGTCTGGTCGACTACTCATCGTCCTCCGACGATGAAGCTCCAGCACCGCCAAAGAAGCGCCTAAAAGGGCAAGAACATGTCTCGGACTCCAAGATGCCCCCGCTTCCTGAAGCTTTCTATGACCTATATGCGTCAACAGTCCGACAAAGTGTAGTAGACGACCCGAGCTTGCATCAGGGGCGGACGAGGCTCAATCCTCATGTGGCCGGCAACTGGCCCACACATCTGTACATCGAATGTGCGCCTTTTCTCAAATGAACCAACTGTGGGTTGCATGTATATTGACTGCGCGGGTAGGGCATCCGACTGAAGTGCAGCACGAAACGCTCGATGCGCTCATCAAAAAGACCCAGCAAGAGTTGGGAGACGACATCCAGCTTCACTCCTTTCTCAACAGCGATCTTGGCACAGACTTGCCTCTGCACATTAGCCTCTCGCGACCGCTCAGCTTGCCCACGTCCATCAAGGACGACTATCTCACCAAAGTCAAGCACAGCATTCGCAGTTGTGGGACGGGCGTGTTCTCAGTGAAGCCTGCTGGGTTGGCGTGGTACAAATCCCCAGACTCGGATCGGACATTTTTCGTCGTACGCATTGCTCCTACGGACGCCAATGACGATTCCAAGCACTTGCGGGCGTCGACTCATCCGGAGCTCATGATGCTACTGACGAGGTGCAACACGGTAGCAGCGCATTTTGATCAGCCTCCTCTCTATGAACAGACACAAGGGGAGTCTGCGGCTACGGCGTTTCACATCTCCATTGGCTGGACCCTGGGGGCGCCCGATGAAGAAACGCGCCTTAGAGCGCTGAAGTTATTTCAAGACAAGGAATTTGAGGATATTCACGCCTGGAATGTCAAGGTGGATGGGGTAAAGGCCAAGATTGGCAATGTGGTCACCCATATACCCTTACTAGGGAATGTGAAGACAAAGGAGGAGGACGATTTTGCGGATTCGCTCTACGGGTCGTGAACAAAGCAGGGGTGTAACAGAAGAGTTGGTATAGAATGGTGAAGCTCAACAAAGCATTAGGAAGCGTGTTTTTTTTCATCAGGTTCCGAGGCCTGGACGACGTATACGATCTGATGATTCGCGACAAAGGCAGTTTCAACGCAAAGACTAGTTCGTACAGTCTGTTTTCAATGGCCGGCTACCACCAGCCTTGAGGAACCCACTGCATCGACCTAGTGTTTATGTACCCCTTGACAACGCCACACGGCATGTGGACGCAAAAGAGAGCAAAAAAGATATGACGCAAAAAACAAAGGCTTCTCGCACCATGCGCATCATGCGAGGATGGCGTATAAAAAAGTCGGGTTGAGGCCTGCCCGGATCGAACGGACGACCTCCCGGAATCTCCAGGGACTGGAATCGGGCTCTCTACCGCTGAGATAAGGCCCCGCAAGCTTGGCTGCCGGGTTCTTATTTGTGAATATACATGTCAAGCACAAGTCAGAGTGTAAAATTTGCAGTTCAAAGGACCAGAATTCTGTCATTGGTTTTGTGGCTTTGTTCATTGCTTTCTGTGCCAGCTTCTATTGTCACGTCACACAGAAAAGTGCATCGACTCCTCCTGGGGCGAGGGCTCCGATCGACGAGTCGTGTCGTGATTCCCAGGATAGTGAGACCTGCAGGCGATTAATGATTCGCTACTACTAGTACTACTCTGTACTACCCAAGCATACACCAGACACTTCAGCGCTTAGGGCCAAGAACTTGATACTACATACAACCAAATATGTGGTCGTCCTGTCCGAAGAAGAATATTTTATCCTGCCTACCTCGAAGGCGAGGTTGTTGTGCATTAATCTTGCACTTGTGCCAACGCCTGAGCGAGCCAATCAACGCTTCCCAGGTGCTCGTAGCTATTGACGCGCCGAGCACAAGTAACTACATGACTGGAAGCTTTAACAACTTTAAAAGGTTGGACTGAATGGCTCACGCGCCGTTCTTAGTTGTGCATGTATGCAACATGGAAAAAATGTGGTCTCCGGAAGACGGCATTGCAAGTTTTCACGTCACTGTGCAGTACGTAGTATTTGGACCTCTGTGCCGCAAGTGTGCAGAGTGCGTGCATGAAACAACATTGAAAGCAACATGCAGGGCGCGCTGTGGTTGTGGTTCTTGCACTTGCACAGCTTCAACCTTCACAGGCCGCGTCCAACGCCCTCAACGTCCTATCAGGGGCTCTGCGCAAGCTCGGCCCAGCCTGCCATTGACCGGTAGACGTCACTGCACAAGCGTGTTCACAGCAACCACTCGACGTCCTTGCATGTTTTTCCAGTCTTGTTGTCATGTTTTTGAGATCGGCGTGATGCGTGCCCACACTAAACCGTTCCGCCCCGACTTTCGGTTCCTTAATCCTGGCCGCCTGCTGCTGCTGGCCCCTCCACACACCTGACTGTGCCTTTTTCATCCCACCTCTGGGCAACTTTCTTCAACCGTTGAGCGGCTTGTGTTCTGGCCCTTTGTCCTGCGTGCCCAGACGCGCGAAATTGCTATATATTGGCGCCAGGAGCACCCGCAACAGCTCGCCACCATCGACTCAATCCCTCCAGCAAGCACATCGCATCTGGGAAAATCCCAAATCCATCAATCCCACAATCCACTAGAGAGTGGCCATCCGCCCCTCCCTCCGAGTCCCTCCCCTCCCTCCCCGCACCACAACTTGGACCAGACGCATTGGCCCTTCACGCGCCAGTCGTGCTCGAGAGCTTTCTTCCCCTCCAAATATTTTCCAATCCCAAAAATCTGGGGAGACAATCGACCTCTCCGCCGGCCCAAGTGGTGAGAGCAACACGCATTTCCATCAAGCCCGTCGCATCAGCTGCGCGGCAAAGGTCAGCCAGTCGCTTCACCAGTCGAGTCAACAAACCGCCGTTGCCTACGCCGACGCGCCATAGACGACATGGATATCGACATGAGCCGCCGGAACAAGGTCCCTCGGTCCTTGTCGGATGCCGAACGGGCGCGACTCGACGAGTACATTGACTCAATTCACTATTCCGCGAGGTAAATTTTCCGGCCTTGAACATGGGTGCTTCACCGCCGTTAGCTGGTGTTGCTGGGGGTAACGCAGTCCAAATGCTGACCTAGGCGTGTTTTCTTTCTCCTTCTAGATACTCTGACAGCGAATACGAGTACCGACACGTGCAACTACCCAAAGCAATGCTCAAGGCCATTCCCAAGGACTATCACGACACCTCCAAGGGAACTCTGAAGCTTTTGTGGGAGGAGGAATGGCGAGCGATTGGTATTACCCAGGTACGCGCTGTTTCCCCCCTGTCTGGCTTTGAGGCCCTGGCTTCCTTTTCTGGGCGGGAAACGAACAAACAAATGTTTCGGAGGAACCAATCATTGACCACTACCACAGAGTCTCGGCTGGGAACATTACGAGGTCCACGAGCCCGAGCCCCATATTCTGCTGTTCAAGTAAGTCACCTTTGTGTACACATGGACCGGAATCGGCCTGGGCTTGTTCCCCAGAGCTAACAGGTGCCGATGCAGACGTCCTCTCAACTACCAAGCGCCTCAGTGAGCGATTCATCTTTTTCTATTTCAGCTTGAAACCTCATGTACGATAGTCTCAATTCCGCCACTTCCACCGCCGTCGGTGCTTGCTGCATGTGCGGCGCTTGATTCATGCCCTCTCACGATATTACGGTCTGCACTTTACGATATTTGGGTTGATAGAAATATCAATACACCACGGTCGAGAACGCTTTGCCCTCACACTGGCATTTCGCATTTTTTTTCTCTTCATGGCGTGCTTGCCGTCGCTCCTCAATTGATGACGCCTCATTGGATGTTTTGGGGCCGCGGATTAGATGCGTTGGGGCTTCTCGGGGCGTGCCAGATATTTGCTACATGGCAATGGACACGAAGTGAGTTTTATTTGGAGATTGCTTTTTGTTGGTTTTCTAGAGATTCAGGTGTTGCCGCGCCAGCTTGGGGAAGTTTTTTTGCTCTTACCAGGGTTCATATGCGTTTGCCATTGTACGTTGCGAGGCAGTAGCTTCGCGAGTAGCACGCGGGAGTTGGTGGGTAGTTAGAATGTAGACGGAATTGATTAATAAGTCAACTAGCTTAGGTTTGTTGAACGTGATTGTGAACGTGCTTCGCTCGCCGCGACTGTGGGTTTGTGTATGCCGTGCCTGATGCTTGCTACCCTGGAGCCACTCGCGATTGGATTTAGCTTGGCATCATCAGACATAGGACGAAGTTGGCAGCATGAGTCAGACTCGTTTTATGCCATTAAAAATGCCCGAAGTAAAGCTAAGTCATTTCGCCTGATATTTGACGACGTGCATTTGTATGTGTCTAGAACATATATTGACCCTCAACTTGAAACGACAGAATATTTCCGGGATTGCCCAGGAACCGAATGTTGTGGTGGTCCCACTACTGCGTGGCTGTCACGCCACGACCGACTAAAGTACGAAGTATTACTAGTGTTTGGTACTTTCAACTCTATTGTCCGGCTCATTGCCCGCACAGAGGGTAGCCTCGTGACGACGGGCAATCGCACCAAGCCCGTGTATCCTAGGCACAATGCATGGAAATAAGAGCTGCTCCGGCAAAAGCCAAGCCAGTCGCATGATGTAAAGGACACATATAATCGGCTCCATTATGCGCGTCGCAATGGTGGATGAAATGTTATGCGCAGCCGCAACAGTTGGACAACAGCCCAGATGGTCCCAGATATCGATTCTACACCCAATCAGGTCGAGTGCCGGAAAGTGACTGACACCTTGGCCGTGGCATGACATTGGAGACGTTGCAGCACAGCGCTGAGCGGGTACGGGAGGAGGTGAGATGATGATGGGACGAATTGGAAGGAATGCAGGGAGGCGCTTGCCAAAATGAAAACAACTGGACACCTGTCGCGGCGGAGAACAAACAAGAGGCCACATCGTCACTTCCATTTTGGTCCGCATGCCCACCCGTTTCGTGAATGATATGAATCGGACATCTACTAATTTTTTTCTTCCTTTTTCTTTGCCCATCACTCTTTCTTTGATTGAATTTTATCGGATCTTCGCCTTCCCGCCCGATGCTTGCTTGAGCACTGGCGCTCTTCTCCGCAGACGTCGGCCTTGGGAATAAGTGGTTCCATCCCGCTCCGCAGGCTCCGCAGTTCGAAGCCAAGTTTTGATTAGTCTGGCCTTGATTGATCATCATCAGACAGCGTGGCATCTTCATATCATTCCATTGTGCCCTAGGTTTCTGTATCCCTTGGTCCGTATATATTGTTTTCCGTTTGCGAGAAACCGCGTTTCTAGAGTTTGTCCTTTCCTTAGATTTGAGGCGGTTCTAAACTCAATACCTTGTCGGCGAGCCCGGATTTGTGCCTTCGTTCAAGCCACCTAGTCTGGTGGCGCGCTGTCGATAAGATAACTGTCGCTTGGGTGCGCAGGAACTGGTCTTTTCGTCGCCTTCGAACCACCGCGTCGCCCAGTTACAACTCTGCAAGAACGAGAAACCACACGCTCTTCTTTCTGGAAGCTTGTTCTCGTTGATTGCCAAGTCATGATGAAGTCTGCAAGCAGGCTATTCTATCTATCCGTCTTTGCGCTCTGGGCATCGCCTGGAACTTGCGCTGCAGGGAGTGAAAGCAATTGTGCAGTACGTCGTTCCTTGGGTGAAAGTCGTTGCGCCCGCCGAGGCCTTTTCTAACAGCTTCCTTTGACAGATTTCCCCCAAGTCTATTGTTCAAGATGCGTGCGCCTCATATTCAACCCTCGAGAATCTGAATGACCGGGTTAAACCCGCCCTTGACGACCTCACGCGAACCACCGACTTCTTCTCATACTACCGCCTTAATCTCTTCAACAAAAAGTGTCCTTTCTGGGACGACTCAAATGGATTCTGCGGCAACATAGGATGTGCCGTCGAGACGCTCGATAACGAAGAGGATATACCTGAAGTGTGGAGAGCGAAGGAGCTGTCAAAGTTGGAGGGACCCCTTGCGA